CCCGTCCATCAATGACAGCACACTTAAAGAAAAGTTTACCTGTCCATCAATGACAGTAAAGAAAAGTTTACCTGTCCATCAATGACAGTAAAGAAAAGTTTACCTGTCCATCAATGACAGTAAAGAAAAGTTTACCTGTCCATTAATGACAGTAAAGAAAACTTTACTTGTCCATCAATGACAGTAAAGAAAACTTTACTTGTCCATCAATGACAGTGTAAAGAAAACTTTACTTGTCCATCAATGACAGTAAAGAAAACTTTACCTGTCCATCAATGACAGTAAAGAAAAGTTTACCTGTCCATCAATGACAGTAAAGAAAAGTTTACCTGTCCATCAATGACAGCACACTTAAAGAAAAGTTTACCTGTCCATCAATGACAGCACACCTAAAGAAAAGTTTACCTGTCCATCAATGACAGTAAAGAAAAGTTTACCTGTCCATCAATGACAGCACACTTAAAGAAAAGTTTACCTGTCCATCAATGACAGTAAAGAAAAGTTTACCTGTCCATCAATGACAGTAAAGAAAAGTTTACCTGTCCATTAATGACAGTAAAGAAAACTTTACCTGTCCATCAATGACAGTAAAGAAAACTTTACCTGTCCATCAATGACAGTAAAGAAAAGTTTACCTGTCCATCAATGACAGTAAAGAAAAGTTTACCTGTCCATCAATGACAGCACACCTAAAGAAAAGTTTACCTGTCCATCAATGACAGCACACCTAAAGAAAAGTTTACCTGTCCATCAATGACAGTAAAGAAAAGTTTACCCGTCCATCAATGACAGCACACTTAAAGAAAAGTTTACCTGTCCATCAATGACAGTAAAGAAAAGTTTACCTGTCCATCAATGACAGTAAAGAAAAGTTTACCTGTCCATCAATGACAGTAAAGAAAAGTTTACCTGTCCATTAATGACAGTAAAGAAAACTTTACTTGTCCATCAATGACAGTAAAGAAAACTTTACCTGTCCATCAATGACAGTAAAGAAAACTTTACTTGTCCATCAATGACAGTAAAGAAAAGTTTACCTGTCCATCAATGACAGTAAAGAAAAGTTTACCTGTCCATCAATGACAGCACACCTAAAGAAAAGTTTACCTGTCCATCAATGACAGCACACCTAAAGAAAAGTTTACCTGTCCATCAATGACAGTAAAGAAAAGTTTACCTGTCCATCAATGACAGCACACTTAAAGAAAAGTTTACCTGTCCATCAATGACAGTAAAGAAAAGTTTACCTGTCCATCAATGACAGCACACCTAAAGAAAAGTTTACCTGTCCATCAATGACAGTAAAGAAAAGTTTACCTGTCCATCAATGACAGTAAAGAAAAGTTTACCTGTCCATCAATGACAGCACACCTAAAGAAAAGTTTACCTGTCCATCAATGACAGCACACCTTAAGAAAAGTTTACCTGTCCATCAATGACAGTAAAGAAAAGTTTACCTGTCCATCAATGACAGTAAAGAAAAGTTTACCTGTCCATCAATGACAGCACATCTAAAGAAAAGTTTACCTGTCCATCAATGACAGTAAAGAAAAGTTTACCTGTCCATCAATGACAGTAAAGAAAAGTTTACCTGTCCATTAATGACAGTAAAGAAAACTTTACCTGTCCATCAATGACAGTAAAGAAAAGTTTACCTGTCCATCAATGACAGCACACCTAAAGAAAAGTTTACCTGTCCATCAATGACAGTAAAGAAAAGTTTACCTGTCCATCAATGACAGCACACTTAAAGAAAAGTTTACCTGTCCATCAATGACAGTAAAGAAAAGTTTACCTGTCCATCAATGACAGCACACCTAAAGAAAAGTTTACCTGTCCATCAATGACAGTAAAGAAAAGTTTACCTGTCCATCAATGACAGTAAAGAAAAGTTTACCTGTCCATCAATGACAGCACACCTAAAGAAAAGTTTACCTGTCCATCAATGACAGCACACCTTAAGAAAAGTTTACCTGTCCATCAATGACAGTAAAGAAAAGTTTACCTGTCCATCAATGACAGTAAAGAAAAGTTTACCTGTCCATCAATGACAGCACATCTAAAGAAAAGTTTACCTGTCCATCAATGACAGTAAAGAAAAGTTTACCTGTCCATCAATGACAGTAAAGAAAAGTTTACCTGTCCATTAATGACAGTAAAGAAAACTTTACCTGTCCATCAATGACAGTAAAGAAAAGTTTACCTGTCCATCAATGACAGCACACCTAAAGAAAAGTTTACCTGTCCATCAATGACAGTAAAGAAAAGTTTACCTGTCCATCAATGACAGTAAAGAAAAGTTTACCTGTCCATCAATGACAGTAAAGAAAAGTTTACCTGTCCATCAATGACAGCACACCTAAAGAAAAGTTTACCTGTCCATCAATGACAGCACACCTGGCTATCTGTGCAGACGACGACTCCTGCAGCTCGTTGACCGGTGGGGACAGGAACTGTCCGGCATACAGCTCGTAGGCTCGAGAGAAGTTCACGTCCTGCGCCAGATACAACACACTTAGGGCAGCAAATCTAAGGGCAGCAAATCTAGGGGCAGCAAATCTAGGGGGAACAAATCTAAGGGCAGCAAATTTAAAGAAAGCAAATTTAAGGGCAGCAAATCGAGGGGCAGCAAATATAACGACAGGAAATCTAAGGGCAGCAAATCTAAAGGCCGCTTAAATAATGACAGCAGCTATAAAGTGGGATGGGACCTGCATGTGGTCACCAGCTACATGTGGTCACCAGCTGCATGTGGTCACCAGCTACATGTGGTCACCAGCTGCATGTGGTCACCAGCTGCATGTGGTCACCAGCCACTTACCTGCATATCCTTGGGTCTGGCCGGACGTTTGCTCTCAGTCTGCAACATCTCCATGGCTTGGTCCTACAACAACAAAACATTAACAGCAGCTAGAACCATGGCTTGGTTCTACAACAAGAAAACATTAACAGCAGCTAGAACCATGGCTTGGTTCTACAACAAGAAAACATTAACAGCAGCTAGAACCATGGCTTGGTCCTACAACAAGAAAACATTAACAGCAGCTAGATACATGGCTTGGTCCTACAACAAGAAAACATTAACAGCAGCTAGAACTATGGCTTGGTCCAACCCCCCAGTAGACCAGACCCACCTCCCATTGACCCGACCCACCTCCCATTGACCCGACCCACCTCCCATTGACCAGACCCACCTCCCATTGACCAGACCCACCTCCCACTGACCTGACCCACCTCCCACTGACCTGACCCACCTCCCATTGACCAGACCCACCTCCCATTGACCCGACCCACCTCCCATTGACTAGACCCACCTCCCACTGACCAGACCAACCTCTCACTGACCAGACCCACCTCCCACCTCCCATTGACCAGACCCACCCCCCACTGACCAGACCCACCTCCCACTGACCAGACCCAGCTCCCACTGACCAGACCCACCTCCCACTGACCTGACCCACCTCCGACTGACCTGACCCACCTCCCATTGACCAGACGCACCTCCCATTGACCCGACCCGCCTCCCATTGACTAGACCCATCTCCCACTGACCAGACCAACCTCTCACTGACCAGACCCACCTCCCACCTCCCATTGACCAGACCCACCCCCCACTGACCAGACCCACCTCCCACTGACCAGACCCACCTCCCACTGACCAGACCCACCTCCCACTGACCAGACCCACCTCCCACCGACCAGACCCACCTCCCATTGACCACACGCACCTCCCATTGACCAGACCCACCTCCCATTGACCAGACCCACCTCCCATTGACCAGACCCACCTCCCACTGACCAGACGCACCTCCCATTGACCAGACACACCTACCATTGACCAGACCCACCTCCCACTGACCAGACCCACCTCCCATTGACTAGACCCACCTCCCATTGACCAGACCCACCTCCCACTGACCCAACTCCCACTGACCTGACCCACCTCCCACTGACCTGACCCACCTCCCATTGACCAGACCCACCTCCCACAGACCCACCTCCAACTGACCCACCTCCCACTGACCAGACCCACCTCCCATTGACCAGACCCACCTCCCACTGACCTGACCCACCTCCAACTGACCAGACCCACCTCCCATTGACCAGACCGACCTCCCATTGACCAGACCCACCTCCCACTGACGATCCACCTCCCACTGACCTGACCCAACTCCCGCTGACCAGACCCACCTCCCACTGACCAGACCCACCTTCCACTGATCAGACCAACCTCCCACTTACCAGACCCACCTCCCACTGACCAGACCCACCTCCCATTGACCAGACCCACCTCCCACTGACCAGACCCACCTCCCACTGACTAGACCCATCTCCCATTGACCAGACCCACCTCCCACTGACCTGACCCACCTCCCACTGACCAGACCCACCTCCCAACTCCCATTGACCAGACCCACCTCCCATTGACCAGACGCACCTCCCATTGACCTGACCCACCTCCCACTGACCTGACCCACCTCCTATTGACCGGACCCACCTCCCACTGACCCACCTCCCACTGACCAAACTCACCTCCCATTGACCAGACCCACCTCCCATTGACCAGACCCACCTCCTATTGACAAGACCCACCTCCCATTGACCAGACCCACCTCCCACTGACCTGACCCACCTCCCACTGACATGACCCACCTCCCATTGACCAGACCCACCTCCCATTGACCCACCTCTCATTGACCAGACGCACCTCCCATTGACCCGACCCGCCTCCCATTGACTAGACCCACCTCCTACTGACCAGACCAACCTCTCACTGACCAGACCCACCTCCCACCTCCCATTGACCAGACCCACCCCCCACTGACCAGACCCACCTCCCACTGACCAGACCCACCTCCCACTGACCAGACCCACCTCCCACTGACCAGACCCACCTCCCACCTCCCACCGACCAGACCCACCTCCCATTGACCAGACGCACCTCCCATTGACCAGACCCACCTCCCATTGACCAGACCCACAACCCACTGACCAGACCCACCTCCCATTGACCAGACCCATCTCCGACTGACCAGACCCACCTCCCATTGACCAGACCCACCTCCCATTGACCAGACCCACCTCCCACTGACCAGACGCACCTCCCATTGACCAGACACACCTACCATTGACCAGACCCACCTCCCACTGACCAGACCCACCTCCCATTGACTAGACCCACCTCCCATTGACCAGACCCGCCTCCCACTGACCCACCTCCCACTGACCTAACCCACCTCCCACTGACCTGACCCACCTCCCATTGACCAGACCAACCTCCCATTGACCCACCTCCCATTGACCAGACCCACCTCCCACAGACCCACCTCCAACTGACCCACCTCCCACTGACCAGACCCACCTCCCATTGACCAGACCCACCTCCCACTGACCTGACACACCTCCCACTGACCAGACTCACCTCCCATTGACCTGACCCACCTCCCACTTACCTGACCCACCTCCTATTGACCGGACCCACCTCCCACTGACCCACCTCCCACTGACCAAACTCACCTCCCATTGACAAGACCCACCTCCCATTGACCAGACCCACCTCCCACTGACCTGACCCACCTCCCACTGACCTGACCCACCTCCCATTGAACAGACCCACCTCCAATTGACCCACCTCCCATTGACCAGACCAACCTCCCACTGACCCACCTCCCACTGTCCCACCTCCCACTGACCAGACCCACTGAACAGACCCACCTCCCACTGACCTGACCCACCTCTCACTGACCTGACCCACCTCCCACTGACCAGACCGACCTCCCACTGACCAGACCCACCTCCCATTGACCAGACTTACCTTACACTGACCAGACCCACCTCCCACTGACCTGACCCACCTCCCACTGACCTGACCCACCTCCCATTGACCTGACCCACCTCCCATTGAACCACCTCCCATTGACCAGACCCACCTCCCACTGACCCACCTCCCACTGACCCACCTCCAACTGACCAGACCCACCTCCCACTGACCAGACCCACCTCCCACTGACCTGACCCACCACCCATAGACCAGACCCACCTCCCACTGACCTGACCCACCTCCCACTGACCTGACCCCCCTCCCACTGACCAGACCCACCTCCCACTGACCAGACCCACCTCCCACTGACCAGACCCACCTCCCACTGACCAGACCCACCTCCCACTGACCAGACCCACCTCCCACTGACCAGACCCACCTCCCACTGACCAGACCCACCTCCCACTGACCAGACCCACCTCCCGCTGACCAGACCCACCTCCCACTGACCAGACCCACCTTCCATTGACCAGACCCACCTCCCATTGACCTGACCCACCTCCCACTGACCTGACCCACCTCCCACTGACCAGACCCACCTCCCACTGACCAGACCCACCTCCCATTGACCAGACCCACCTCCCATTGACCAGACGCACCTCCCATTGACCTGACCTGACCCATCTCCCACTGACCAGACCCACCTCCCACTGACCCACCTCCCACTGACCAGACCCACCTCCCACTGACCAGACCCACCTCCCATTGACCTGACCCACCTCCCATTGACCCACCTCCCATTGACCAGACCCACCTCTCACTGACCCACCTCCCACAGACCAGACCCACCTCCCACTGACCAGACCCACCTCCCACTGACCAGACCCACCTTCCGCTGACCAGATCCACCTCCCACTGACCTGACCCAGCTCCCACTGACCTGACCCACCTCCCACTGACCAGACCCACCTTCCACTGACCAGACCCACCTCCCACTGACCACACCCACCTCCCATTGACCAGACGCACCTCCCATTGACCTGACCTGACCCGTCTCCCACTGACCAGACCCACCTCCCACTGACCAGACACACCTCGTATTGACCAGACCCACCTCCCACTGACCCACCTCCCACTGACCAGACCCACCTCTCACTGACCCACCTCCCACAGACCAGACCCACCTCCCACTGACCAGACCCACCTCCCACTGACCAGACCCACCTTCCGCTGACCAGACCCACCTCCCACTGACCTGACCCAGCTCCCACTGACCTGACCCACCTCCCACTGACCAGACCCACCTCCCACTGACCAGACCCACCTCCCACTGACCACACCCACCTCCCATTGACCTGACCCACCTCCCACTGACCAGACACACCTCCTATTGACCAGACCCACCTCCCACTGACCCACCTCCCACTGACCAGACCCACCTCCCACTGACCAGACCCACCTCCCATTGACCTGACCCACCTTCCATTGACCCACCTCCCATTGACCTGACCCATCTCCCACTGACCAGACCCACCTCCCACTGACCCACCTCCCACTGACCAGACCCACCTCCCACTGACCAGACCCACCTCCCATTGACCTGACCCACCTCCCATTGACCCACCTCCCATTGACCAGACCCACCTCCCACTGACCCACCTCCCACTGACCAGACCCACCTCCCACTGACCAGACCCACCTCCCATTGACCTGACCCACCTCCCATTGACCCACCTCCCATTGACCAGACCCACCTCTCACTGACCCACCTCCCACAGACCAGACCAACCTCCCACTGACCAGACCCACCTCCCACTGACCAGACCCACCTCCCACTGACCAGACCCACCTCCCACTGACCAGACCCACCTCCCACCTCCCACCGACCAGACCCACCTCCCATTGACCAGACGCACCTCCCATTGACCAGACCCACCTCCCATTGACCAGACCCACAACCCACTGACCAGACCCACCTCCCATTGACCAGACCCATCTCCGACTGACCAGACCCACCTCCCACTGACCCACCTCCCATTGACCAGACCCACCTCCCACTGACCAGACGCACCTCCCATTGACCAGACACACCTACCATTGACCAGACCCACCTCCCACTGACCAGACCCACCTCCCATTGACTAGACCCACCTCCCATTGACCAGACCCACCTCCCACTGACCCACCTCCCACTGACCTGACCCACCTCCCACTGACCTGACCCACCTCCCATTGACCAGACCAACCTCCCATTGACCCACCTCCCATTGACCAGACCCACATCCCACAGACCCACCTCCAACTGACCCACCTCCCACTGACCAGACCCACCTCCCATTGACCAGACCCACCTCCCACTGACCTGACCCACCTCCCACTGACCAGACCCACCTCCCATTGACCAGACCCACCTCCCATTGACCAGACCCACCTCCCACTGACGATCCACCTCCCACTGACCTGACCCAACTCCCGCTGACCAGACCCACCTCCCACTGACCAGACCCACCTTCCACTGATCAGACCAACCTCCCACTTACCAGACCCACCTCCCACTGACCAGACCCACCTCCCATTGACCAGACCCACCTCCCACTGACCAGACCCACCTCCCACTGACCAGACCCAACTCCCACTGACCCACCTCCCATTGACCAGACCCACCTCCCACTGACCAGACCCACCTCCCACTGACTAGACCCACCTCCCATTGACCAGACCCACCTCCCACTGACCAGACCCACCTCCCACTGACCAGAGCCACCTCCCACCTCCCATTGACCAGACCCACCTCCCATTGACCAGACGCACCTCCCATTGACCTGACCCACCTCCCACTTACCTGACCCACCTCCCACTGACCAGACCCACCTCCCACCTCCCACTGACCAGACCCACCTCCCATTGACCTGACCCACCTCCCATTGACCCACCTCCCATTGACCAGACCCACCTCCCACTGACCCACCTCCCACTGACCAGACCCACCTCCCACTGACCAGACCCACCTCCCATTGACCTGACCCACCTCCCATTGACCCACCTCCCATTGACCAGACCCACCTCTCACTGACCCACCTCCCACAGACCAGACCAACCTCCCACTGACCAGACCCACCTCCCACTGACCAGACCCACCTCCCACTGACCAGACCCACCTCCCACTGACCAGACCCACCTCCCACCGACCAGACCCACCTCCCATTGACCAGACGCACCTCCCATTGACCAGACCCACCTCCCATTGACCAGTCCCACAACCCACTGACCAGACCCACCTCCCATTGACCAGACCCATCTCCGACTGACCAGACCCACCTCCCATTGACCAGACCCACCTCCCATTGACCAGACCCACCTCCCACTGACCAGACGCACCTCCCATTGACCAGACACACCTACCATTGACCAGACACACCTCCCACTGACCAGACCCACCTCCCATTGACTAGACCCACCTCCCATTGACCAGACCCACCTCCCACTGACCCGACTCCCACTGACCTGACCCACCTTCCACTGACCCACCTCCCATTGACCAGGCCAACCTCCCATTGACCCACCTCCCATTGACCAGACCCAACTCCCACAGACCCACCTCCAACTGACCCACCTCCCACTGACCAGACCCACCTCCCATTGACCAGACCCACCTCCCACTGACCTGACCCACCTCCCACTGACCAGACCCACCTCCCATTGACCAGACCCACCTCCCATTGACCAGACCCACCTCCCACTGACGATCCACCTCCCACTGACCTGACCCAACTCCCGCTGACCAGACCCACCTCCCACTGACCAGACCCACCTTCCACTGATCAGACCAACCTCCCACTTACCAGACCCACCTCCCACTGACCAGACCCACCTCCCATTGACCAGACCCACCTCCCACTGACCAGACCCACCTCCCACTGACCAGACCCAACTCCCACTGACCCACCTCCCATTGACCAGACCCACCTCCCACTGACCAGACCCACCTCCCACTGACTAGACCCACCTCCCATTGACCAGACCCACCTCCCACTGACCAGACCCACCTCCCACTGACCAGACCCACCTCCCACCTCCCATTGACCAGACCCACCTCCCATTGACCAGACGCACCTCCCATTGACCAGACGCACCTCCCATTGACCTGACCCACCTCCCACTGACCAGACCCACCTCCCACTGACCACACCCACCTCCTATTGACCAAACCCACCTCCCACTGACCTGACCCACCTCCCACTGACCAGACCCACCTCCCATTGACCAGACCCACCCCCCATTGACCAGACCCACCTCTCACTGACCCACCTCCCACAGACCAGACCCACCTCCCATTGACCAGACCCACCTCCCATTGACCAGACCCACCTCCTATTGACCAGACCCACCTCCCATTGACCAGACCCACCTCCCACTGACCTGACCCACCTCCCACTGACCTGACCCACCTCCCATTGACCAGACCCACCTCCCATTGACCCACCTCCCATTGACCAGACACACCTCCCACTGACCCACCTCTCACTGACCCACCTCCCACTGACCAGACCCACTGAACAGACCCACCTGCCACTGACCTGACCCACCTCTCACTGACCTGACCCACCTCCCACTGACCAGACCCACCTCCCACTGACCAGACCCGACTCCGACTGACCAGACCCACCTCCCACTGACCAGACCCACCTCCCACTGACCTGACCCACCTCCCATTGACCTGACCCACCTCCAATTGACCCACCTCCCATTGACCAGACCCAACTCCCACTGACCCACCTCCAACTGACCAGACCCACCTCCCACTGACCAGACCCACCTCTAACTGACCAGACCCACCTCCCACTGACCAGACCCACCTCCCATTGACCAGACCCACCTCCCACTGACCAGACCCACCTTCCATTGACCAGACCCACCTCCCATTGACCAGAGCCACCTCCCACTGACCAGACCCACCTCCCATTTACCAGACCCGTCTCCCATTGACCTGACCAATCTCACACTGACCCACGTCCCACTGACCTGACCCACCTCCCACTGACCTGACCCACGTCCAGCTGACCAGACCCACCTCCCACTGACCCACCTCCCACTGACCTGACCCACTTCCCACTGACCAGACCCACCTCCCACTGACCCACCTCCCACTGACCTGACCCACCTCCCACTGACCTGACCCACCTCCCACTGACCAGACCCACCTCCCACTGACCAGACCCATCTCCCATTGACCAGACCCACCTCCCATTGACCAGACGCACCTCCCATTGACCTGACCTGACCCATCTCCCACTGACCAGACCCACCTCCCACTGACCAGACACACCTCCTATTGACCAGACCCACCTCCCACTGACCCACCTCCCACTGACCAGACCCACCTCCCACTGACCAGACCCACCTCCCATTGACCTGACCCACCTCCCATTGACCCACCTCCCATTGACCAGACCCACCTCTCACTGACCCACCTCCCACAGACCAGACCCACCTCCCACTGACCAGACCCACCTCCCACTGACCAGACCCACCTTCCGCTGACCAGACCCACCTCCCACTGACCTGACCCACCTCCCACTGACCTGACCCACCTCCCACTGACCAGACCCACCTCCCACTGAACAGACCCACCTCCCACTGACCACACCCACCTCCCATTTGACCAGACGCACCTCCCATTGACCTGACCTGACCCATCTCCCACTGACCAGACCCACCTCCCACTGACCAGACACACCTCCTATTGACCAGACCCCCCCTCCCACTGACCCACCTCCCACTGACCAGACCCACCTCCCACTGACCAGACCCACCTCCCATTGACCTGACCCACCTCCCATTGACCCACCTCCCATTGACCAGACCCACCTCTCACTGACCCACCTCCCACAGACCAGACCCACCTCCCACTGACCAGACCCACCTCCCACTGACCAGACCCACCTTCCGCTGACCAGACCCACCTCCCACTGACCTGACCCACCCCCCACTGACCTGACCCACCTCCCACTGACCAGACGCACCTCCCACTGACCAGACCCACCTCCCACTGACCACACCCACCTCCTATTGACCAGACCCACCTCCCACTGACCTGACCCACCTCCCACTGACCAGACCCACCTCCCATTGACCAGACCCACCCCCCATTGACCAGACCCACCTCTCACTGACCCACCTCCCACAGACCAGACCCACCTCCCACTTACCAGACCCACCTCCCATTGACCAGACCCACCTCCCACTGACCAGACCCACCTCCCACTGATCAGACCCACCTCTCACTGACCAGACCCTCCTCCCATTTACCAGACCCACCTCCCACTGACCTGACCCACCTCCCACTGACCAGACCCACCTCCCATTGACCAGACCCACCCCCCTTGACCAGACCCACCTCTCACTGACCCACCTCCCACTTACCAGACCCACCTCCCATTGACCAGACCCACCTCCCACTGACCAGACCCACCTCCCACTGATCAGACCCACCTCTCACTGACCAGACCCTCCTCCCATTTACCAGACCCACCTCCCACTGACCAGACCCACCTCACACTGACCAGACCCACCTCCCACTGACCTGACCCACCTCCCACTGACCAGACCCACCTCCCACTGACCAGACCCACCTTTTGATAGGGGCCCTCCAGCAGGTAGACCAAACACTTCTGGCACGTGAGCAGCTCCTGGGCGTCTGTCATGATCTTCTGGACCAGCCTCTCTAGGTTGGTCTGCTCCTCAAAGATGCCGCGGGCCAGGTGAAGTAGAAGCTGGCAAATGTGGGGGAGAACATGTTAGCACAGAGGGCCACTCATAACTGATGGCCACACACACTCCACACACCATACACACATAACTGATGGCCACACACACCACACACACATAACTGATGGCCACACACACCACACACACAACTGATGGCCACACACACACACACCACACACACATAACTGATGGCCACACACACCACACACGTAACTGATGGCCACACACACACCACACACACATAACTGATGGCCACACACACCACACACATAACTGATGGCCACACACACCACACACATAACTGATGGCCACACACACCACACACATAACTGATGGCCACACACACACCACACACACATAACTGATGGCCACACACACCACACCCATAACTGATGGCCACACACACCACACACATAACTGATGGCCACACACACCACACACATAACTGAAGGCCACACACCACACACACATAACTGATGGCCACACACACCACACACACATAACTGATGGCCACACACACACACCACACACACACAACTGATGGCCACACACACCACACACATAACTGATGGCCACACACACACATAACTGAAGGCCACACACACAACACACATAACTGATGGCCACACACACACATAACTGATGGCCACACACACACCACACACACATAACTGATGGTCATACACACACCACACACATAACTGATGGCCACACACACCACACACACATAACTGATGGCCACACACACCACACACACATAACTGATGGCCACACACACACATAACTGATGGTCACACACACCACACACACATAACTGATGGCCACACACACCACACACACATAACTGATGGTCATACACACACACCACACACACAACTGATGGCCACACACACCACACACATAACTGATGGTCACACACACCACATACACATAACTGATGGCCACACACACCACATACACATAACTGATGGCCACACACACCACACACACATAACTGATGGTCACACACACCACACACACATAACTGATGGCCACACACACCACACACACATAACTGATGGTCATACACACACACCACACACACATAACTGATGGCCATACACACACCACAGACATAACTGATGGCCACACACACCACACACACATAACTGATGGTCACACACACCACATACACATAACTGATGGCCACACACACACTACACACACATAACTGATGGCCACACACACCACACACATAACTGATGGCCACACACACCACACACATAACTGATGGCCACACACACACCACACACACATAACTGATGGCCACACACACCACACACATAACTGATGGCCACACACACCACACACATAACTGATGGCCACACACACACCACACACACATAACTGATGGCCACACACACACACCACACACACACAACTGATGGCCACACACACCACACACATAACTGATGGCCACACACACACCACACACACATAACTGATGGCCACACACACCACACACATAACTGATGGCCACACACACCACACACATAACTGATGGCCACACACACCACACACATAACTGATGGCCACACACACACCACACACACATAACTGATGGCCACACACACCACACCCATAACTGATGGCCACACACACCACACACATAACTGATGGCCACACACACACCACACACACATAACTGATGGCCACACACACACCACACACATAACTGATGGCCACACACACCACACACATAACTGAAGGCCACACACCACACACACATAACTGATGGCCACACACACACATAACTGATGGCCACACACACACCACACACACATAACTGATGGCCACACACACCACACACATAACTGATGGCCACACACACCACACACATAACTGATGGCCACACACACACCACACACACATAACTGATGGCCACACACACACACCACACACACACAACTGATGGCCACACACACCACACACATAACTGATGGCCACACACACACATAACTGATGGCCACACATACCACACACATAACTGAAGGCCACACACCACACACACATAACTGATGGCCACACACACCACACACACATATTTGATGGCCACACACACACCACACACATAACTGATGGCCACACACACCACACAACTGATGGCCATACACACACACCACACACACATAACTGATGGCCACACACACCACACAACTGATGGCCACACACACCACACACATAACTGATGGCCACACACACCACACAACTGACGGCCACACACACCACACACACATAACTGATGGCCACACACACACATAACTGATGGCCACACACACACCACACACACATAACTGATGGTCATACACACACCACACACATAACTGATGGCCACACACACCACACACACATAACTGATGGCCACACACACCACACACACATAACTGATGGCCACACACACACATAACTGATGGTCACACACACCACACACACATAACTGATGGCCACACACACCACACACACATAACTGATGGTCATACACATACCACACACATAACTGATGGCCACACACACACCACACACACATAACTGATGGCCACACACACCACACACATAAATGATGGCCACACACACCACACACATAACTGATGGCCACACACACACCACACACACATAACTGATGGCCACACACACCACACACATAACTGATGGCCACACACACCACACACATAACTGATGGCCACACACACCACACACATAACTGATGGCCACACACACACCACACACACATAACTGATGGCCACACACACCACACCCATAACTGATGGCCACACACACCACAAACATAACTGATGGCAACACACACCACACACATAACTGAAGGCCACACACCACACACACATAACTGATGGCCACACACACCACACACACATAACTGATGGCCACACACACACACCACACACACACAACTGATGGCCACACACACCACACACATAACTGATGGCCACACACACACATAACTGATGGCCACACACACCACACACACATAACTGATGGCCACACACACACAACTAATGGCCACACACACCACACACACATAACTGATGGCCACACACACCACACACATAACTGATGGCCACACACACCACACACATAACTGATGGCCACACACACACCACACACACATAACTGATGGCCACACACACACACCACACACACACAACTGATGGCCACACACACCACACACATAACTGATGGCCACACACACACATAACTGATGGCCACACACACCACACACATAACTGAAGGCCACACACCACACACACATAACTGATGGCCACACACACCACACTTACATATTTGATGGCCTAACACACACCACACACAACTGATGGCCACACACACCACACAACTGATGGCCATACACACACACCACACACACATAACTCATGGCCACACACACCACACAACTGATGGCCACACACACCACACACATAACTGATGGCCACACACACCACACAACTGATGGCCACACACACCACACACACATAACTGATGGCCACACACACACATAACTGATGGCCACACACACACCACACACACATAACTGATGGTCATACACACACCACACACATAACTGATGGCCACACACACCACACACACATAACTGATGGCCACACACACCACACACACATAACTGATGGCCACACACACACATAACTGATGGTCACACACACCACACACACATAACTGATGGCCACACACACCACACACACATAACTGATGGTCATACACATACCACACACATAACTGATGGCCACACACACCACACACACATAACTGATGGTCACACACACCACATACACATAACTGATGGCCACACACACACCACACACACATAACTGATGGCCACACACACCACACACACATAACTGATGGCCACACACACCACACACATAACTGATGGCCACACACACCACACACACATAACTGATGGCCACACACACCACACACATAACTGATGGCCACACACACCACACACACATAACTGATGGCCACACACACCACACACATAACTGATGGCCACACACACTCCACACACACACAACTGATGGCCACACACACCACACACACATAACTGATGGCCACACACACCACACACATAACTGATGGCCACACACACCACACACATAACTGATGGCCACACACACCACACAACTGATGGCCACACACACCACACAAACACCACTGATGGCAACACACACCACACACACAACTGATGGCCACACACACCACACAAACACCACTGATGGCAACACACACCACACACACAACTGATGGCCACACACACACACACCACACACACATAACTGATGGCCACACACACTCCACACACACATAACTGATGGCCACACACACTCCACACACACACAACTGATGGCCACACACACCACACACACATAACTGATGGCCACACACACCACACACATAACTGATGGCCACACACACACCACACACACATAACTGATGGCCACACACACTCCACACACACATAACTGATGGCCACACACACCACACACATAACTGATGGCCACACACACACCACACACACATAACTGATGGCCACACACACCACACACATAACTGATGGCCACACACACACCACACACACACAACTGATGGCCACACACACCACACACACATAACTGATGGCCACACACACCACACACATAACTGATGGCCACACACACACCACACACACATAACTGATGGCCACACACACTCCACACACACATAACTGATGGCCACACACACCACACACATAACTGATGGCCACACACACACCACACACACATAACTGATGGCCACACACACCACACACATAACTGATGGCCACACACACACCACACACACATAACTGATGGCCACACACACCACACACACATAACTGATGGCCACACACACCACACACATAACTGATGGCCACACACACCACACACACATAACTGATGGCCACACACACCACACACATAACTGATGGCCACACACACCACACACACATAACTGATGGCCACACACACCACAAATACACAACTAATGGCCACACACCACACAACTGATGGCCACACACACACCACATACACATAACTGATGGTCATACACACACCACACACACACAACTGATGGCCACACACACACCACACACACATAACTGATGGCCACACACACACCACACACACATAACTGATGGTCATACACACACCACACACACACAACTGATGGCCACACTGTAACGTTTACCTATCTACCAGCCAGATAGATGGTGAACGTCCCCGGATTCTTTTTTCGGGGTCATATGCAAATGACTTAAAGCCTAAATGAATGAACACTAACTCAACAACACACTAGGGCTCGATCTCGATGTCTAGGGAAAACTAGTGATACTATTGAAGTTAACAACTCATTCAATCTGCATACAACCTTTAATAAGCGAACACAGTTGTGGCAGAACACTAGGTTAAACGAGATAAAATATTTAATACAGAAAATAACAAAACCCAACTTACAAAGCGTAAGAAAAAATACTATCACAGATTTTAACACTGTATAAAAATAGCCACAGGTCACACAACACTGCTATAGCCTCAATAATCACTTGGCGACAAGTAATATTATACTAGAAGACTAAACCAACTTAAGAAAGCATAGCACACTCAGGACTTAAGTTCTCTCACGTTCAAATGGTCAGAATCTATTGCCGGACAAAATGGACGGCCTGGTCTTAATAGACCGTTTGATCAAGGTAGACTGCCTCGTGTTGCGTGTGTGCGATCCAGTTAAAGACTTATGCAACAGGGGAGGTTATCCTCAACTCATGTAGCCATTGGTTGGGATGGTCATCTGATCAGAATTAATCAATCAGATCTTGATGGAAAATTTCTGGGTCCTAGACACCCTTAATAAGACAGTGGAAAAACCCCGGTAGTTGCACCATCAATCCATATAAGGTATTATACAATGTCAAACTAAGAATGGAACATGACTAGACCTAAGTAGGTCACAACACACACACCACACACACATAACTGATGGCCACACACACACCACACACACATAACTGATGGCCACACACACACCACACACACACAACTGATGGCCACACACACACCACACACATAACTGATGGCCACACACACACCACACACACACACAACTGATGGCCACACACACACCACACACACACAACTGATGGCCACACACACCACACACACAACTGATGGCCACACACACCACACACACACCACTGATGGCAACACACACCATACACATAACTGATGGCCACACACACACCACACACACACAACTGATGGCCACACACACCACACACACAACTGATGGCCACACACACCACACACATACCACTGATGGCAACACACACAACTGATGGCCACACACACACACACCACACACACATAACTGATGGCCACACACACCACACACACACAACTGATGGCCACACACACCACACACATACAACTGATGGCCACACACACCACACACATATAACTGATGGCCACACACACACACCACACACACATAACTGATGGCCACACACACACACACCACACACACATAACTGATGGCCACACACACACACACCACACACACACAACTGATGGCCACACACACCACACACACATAACTGATGGCCACACACACCACACACACATAACTGATGGCCACACACACCACACACACATAACTGATGGCCACACACACCACACACACACAACTGATGGCCACACACACCACACACATACAACTGATGGCCACACACACACCACACACACATAACTGATGGCCACACACACACCACACACATAACTGATGGCCACACACACCACACACACAACTGATGGCCACACACACCACACACACAACTGATGGCCACACACACCACACACACACCACTGATGGCAACACACACAACTGATGGCCACACACACACACCACACATAACTGATGGCAACACACACACCACACACATAACTGATGGCCACACACACACCACACACACAACTGATGGCCACACACACCACAAACACACCACTGATGGCAACACACACCACTGATGGCCACACACACACACACATAACTGATGGCCACACACACCACACACACACAACTGATGGCCACACACACCACACACAACTGATGGCCACACACACCACACAAACACCACTGATGGCAACACACACCACACACACAACTGATGGCCACACACACACACACCACACACATAACTGATGGCCACACACACCACACACATACAACTGATGGCCACACACACCACACACATATAACTGATGGCCACACACACACACCACACACACATAACTGATGGCCACACACACCACACACAACTGATGGCCACACACACCACACAAACACCACTGATGGCAACACACACCACACACACAACTGATGGCCACACACACACACACACCACACACACATAACTGATGGCCACACACACCACACACATACAACTGATGGCCACACACACCACACACATATAACTGATGGCCACACACACACACCACACACACATAACTGATGGCCACACACACACACCACACACACACAACTGATGGCCACACACACCACACACACACAACTGATGGCCACACACACCACACTGACATAACTGATGGTCACACACACCACACACACATACAACTGATGGCCACACACACACACCACACACACATAACTGATGGCCACACACACACACCACACACACATAACTGATGGCCACACACACCACACACACATAACTGATGGCCACACACACACATAACTGATGGCCACACACACCACACACATAACTGATGGCCACACACACCACACACACATAACTGATGGCCACACACACCACACACACATAACTGATGGCCACACACACCACACACACATAACTGATGGCCACACACACCACACACACATAAATGATGGCCACACACACATAACTGATGGCCACACACACCACACACACATAACTGATGGCCACACACACCACACACATAACTGATGGCCACACACACCACACACACATAAATGATGGCCACACACACACATAACTGATGGCCACACACACCACACACACATAACTGATGGCCACACACACCACACACACATAACTGATGGCCACACACACCACACACACACAACTGATGGCCACACACACGACACACACATAACTGATGGCCACACACACCACACACATAACTGATGGCCACACACACACGACACACACATAACTGATGGCCACACACACACGACACACACATAACTGATGGCCACACACACCACACACATAACAGATGGCCACACACACACCACACACACATAACTGATGGCCACACACACCACACACATAACTGATGGCCACACACACCACACACACATAACTGATGGCCACACACACCACACACACATAATTGATGGCCACACACCACACACACATAACTGATGGCCACACACACCACACACATAACTGATGGCCACACACACACCACACACACATAACTGATGGCCACACACACCACACACATAACTGATGGCCACACACACCACACACATAACTGATGGCCACACACACACCACACACACATAACTGATGGCCACACACACACCACACACACATAACTGATGACCACACACACACATAACTGATGGCCACACACACCACACACATAACTGATGGCCACACACACACCACACACACATAACTGATGGCCACACACACCACACACATAACTGATGGCCACACACACCACACACATAACTGATGGCCACACACACACCACACACACATAACTGATGGCCACACACACCACACACATAACTGATGGCCACACACACACAAGTGATGGCCACACACACACTATTTTGTCAATACTTACCTGATTTCTCTTGAACTCCTGAACCGACATCTCAAAGAGCTGGGCGTTAGTAATGCCTATACCACAGAAGGTCAGGTACTTGCCAAATATCTGGGGACAAAATCACTTGTCTTTGGTAGGTCTTGCAACTCCAGTCAGTCAAGTCTAGCTTTAATGTGTGGCCACATTGGGACAATGAGCTTAACTCGTGTCTCACCACCTGAACTCATGTCTCACCACTTGAACTCATGTCTTACCACTTGAACTCATGTCTCACCACCTGAACTCATGTCTCACCACCTGAACTCATGTCTCACCACTTGAACTCATGTCTTACCATCTGAACTCGTGTCTCACCACCTGAACTCATGTCTCACCACCTGAACTCATGTCTCACCATCTGTTTAGTGAACTCATGTCTCACCACCTTTTTAGTGAACTAATGTCTCACCACCTGTTTAGTAAACTCATATCTCACCATCTTTTTAGTGAACTCATGTATCACCACCTGAACTCATGTCTCACCACCTGTTTAGTGAACTCATGTCTCACCATCTGTTTAGTGAACTCATGTCTCACCACCTGAACTCATGTCTCACCACCTGAACTCATGTCTCACCATCCGTTTAGTGAACTTATGTCTCACCATCTGTTTAGTGAACTCATGTCTCACCATCTGTTTAGTGAACTCATGTCTCACCACCTGAACTCATGTCTCACCACCTGTTTAGTGAACTCATGTCTCACCATCTGTTTAGTGAACTCATGTCTCACCACCTGAACTCATGTCTCACCTCTTCATCTTGTTTAGTAAACTCGTGTCTCACCACCTGAACTCATGTCTCACCTCTTCATCTTGTTTAGTAAACTCGTGTCTCACCACCTGAACTCATGTCTCACCACCTGAACTCATGTCTCACCATCTGTTTAGTGAACTCATGTCTCACCACCTGTTTAGTGAACTCATGTCTCACCATCTGTTTAGTGAACTTATGTCTCACCACCTGAACTCATGTCTCACCATCTGTTTAGTGAACTCATGTCTCACCATCTGTTTAGTGAACTCATGTCTCACCACCTGTTTAGTGAACTCATGTCTCACCACCTGAACTCATGTCTCACCACCTGAACTCATGTCTCACCATCTGTTTAGTGAACTCATGTCTCACCATCTGTTTAGTGAACTCATGTCTCACCACTTGAACTCATGTCTTACCACCTGTTTAGTGAATTCATGTCTCACCACCTGAACTCATGTCTCACCTCTTCATCTTGTTTAGTAAACTCGTGGTCCCCTGTGATCTTGTTGATAATCTGGGCCACTCCGATGACCTCGCCCTCGTAGTTGACGATGGGCATGGACAGGATGCTGTGGGTCCTGTAGCCCGTCTTCTTGTCCACCTCTTGGTTAAACCGGGGGTCCTGAAACACAGCGTCCTGCCTCAACCAACCACGTCATAACAGACACCCCCAACTAACCACGTAATGCCCCCAACTAACCACGTGATGCCCCCCCCCCCCCAACTGACCACGTGATGCCCCCCCCCCAACTGACCACGTGATGCCCCCCCCCAACTGACCACGTGATGCCCCCCCCCAACTAACCACGTGATGCCCCCCAACTGACCACGTGATGCCCCCCAACTGACCACGTGATGCCCCCCAACTGACCACGTGATGCCCCCCCAACTGACCACGTGATGCCCCCCCCCAACTGACCACGTGATGCCCCCCCCCCCCCCAACTGACCACGTGATGCCCCCCCCCCAACTGACCACGTGATGCCCCCCCAACTGACCACGTGATGCCCCCCCCCCCCCAAACCTACCGCATACACGTCCTTGATGTTGATGGCCTCCCGTGTGAGGGCCACATTGCCAGCGATGCCGACACCGAAAGGGACGACGATCTCGTTGGCCTCCGTGTGGATGGACTGTTCCAGCGTGCTGGACTCAGTGACGTCAAAGAGCTTGGACACCAGGTACTTGTTGTCTCTACTGCCCCGCACCAGGAACAGGCTGCCCCTGTCGCTGTTGGTCAGGATACTCACGTTCTGGGGGACAGACAAAAGACAGACAGCTAGACAGACAAGACAGACAAGACAGACAGCTAGACAGACAGCTAGACAGACAGCTAGACAGACAGCTATACAGACAAGACAGACATAAGACAGACAGCTAGACAGACAAGACAGACATAAGACAGACAGCTAGACAGACAAGACAGACAAGACAGACATAGGACAGACATCTAGACAGACAAGACAGACATAAAACAGACAGCTAGACAGACAACAAGACAGACATAAGACAGACATAAAACAGACAAAAGACAGACAGCTAGACAGACAGCTAGACAGACAAGACAGACAGCTAGACAGACATGAGACAGACAGCTAGAGAGACATGAGACAGACAAATAAACAGACATAAGACAGAGAGCTAGACAGACAACTAGAGAGACAAATTATCAGACACCTAGACAGACAGCTGCACAGACAAGACAGATAGCTAGACAGATATAAGACAGACAGCTAGACAGACAGCTAGACAGACAACACATACAGCTAGAAAGACATAAGACAGACAGTTAGACAGACAGCTAGACAGACAAGACAGACAGCTAGACAGACATAAGACAGAGAGCTAGACAGACAAGACAGACAACTAAACAGACATAAGACAGCTAGACAGACAGCTAGACAAACAAGACAGACAGCTAGACAGACAAAACAGACAGCTAGACAAACAGCTAGACAGACATAAGACAGACATAAGACAGACATAAGACAGGCATAAGACAGACATAAGACAGACATAAGATAGACAGCTAGACAGACAGCTAGACAGACAAGACAGGCATAATACAGACACAAGACAGACAGCTAGACGGACATGAGACAGCTAGAGAGACATGAGACAGACAACTAAACAGACATAAGCCAGACAGCTAGAAGATCTTACAGACATAAGACAGACACCTAGACTGACAGCTGCACAGACAAGACAGACAGCTAGACAGACAAAACAGACAGCAAACCAGACATAATATAGAAATAACACAAACATAAGACAGACATAAGATAGGCATAAGACAGACATAAGACAAACAGCTAGACAGACATAAGACAGACAGCTAGACAGACAAGACAGCTAGACAGACATAAGATAGACAGCTAGACAGACATAAGACAGACATAAGACAGACAGCTAGACAGACATAAGACAGACAGCTAGATAAACAAGACAGACATAAGACAGACAGAAAGACAGACATAAGACAGACATAAGACTGACCACTAGACAGAAAAAATACAGACAGCTAGACAGACAAGACAGGCATAAGACAGAAACAAGACAGACAGCTAGACAGACATAAGACAGACAGCTAGATAAACAAGACAGACATAAGACAGACAGAAAGACAGACATAAGACAGACATAAGACAGACCACTAGACAGAAAATGACAGACAGCTAGACAGAAAATGACAGACAGCTAGACAGACAAGACAGACATAAGACAGAAACAAGACAGACAGCTAGACAGACATAAGACAGACGTAAGAAAGACCGCTAGACAGATATAAGACAGACAGCTAGACAGATATAAGACATACAGCTAGACAGACAGCTAGACAGACAAGACAGACAGCTAGAAAGACACAAGACAGACAGCTTGACATATAGCTACACAGACAAGATAGACAGCTAGACAGACAGAAAGACCCACATAAGACAAACATAAGACAGACCACTAGACAGAAAAAATACAGACAGCTAGACAGACATAAGACAGACATAAGAAAGACCGCTAGACAGACATAAGACAGGCAGCTACGCAGACATAAGACAGACAGCTAAACAGACAGCTAGACAGACAAGACAGACAGCTAGACAGACATAAGACAGACATAAGAAAGACAGCTAGACAGACTTAAGACAGACAGCTAGACAGACAAGACAGCTAGACAGACCTGAAGGATCTTGTGGCACAAGACGTTGACGTCCAGCTCACTGGCGATGTCCCTGATGAGCTCCATGAAGAGCTCCTCCTCCGACATGCGGCGCAGATCCTCCAGGTCCTTCTTGACGCTGGCCCGCCGTGTCCGGTCCCCGTCCAAATACTTCCTGAAGATCATGCTGGTGATGGAGTTCCTGCCCACCTTAGAGAAGCTGGTGTACCGCTGGATTTTCTTGTCTTCTAGAGAGTTCAAGGACGCCACTGATCCCGTAGAGCTTTCCTCAAGTTTGACTAGACATGGGGCCGTCGGGGCGGGGTCATGCGCCGAAGGGGCGGTGCCATGCTCCGAAGGGGCGGGGCCATGCGTAGAAGGAGCGGGGCCATGCTTTGACTGGATAGACACGGCGTCCTGTTTTAACTTTCGCGCCAAAACTTTTAATGTTTCGTCGTCGGCAGATTGCAGGAACCAGCGGGCGAGATAGTCCGGGTGCTCGCGGAGATAATGGCTGACGTCATCTTCACTCAGCTGGCTCATGGTGGCGCCTGGGGAAGTGACGTCATTGTGGAATGTGACGTCAGTCAAGAAATGTTTTTAAAATAACTAATGGAAAGAAAAACAAAGTCTTACCTTTGACCTTTACTTCAGTCTCAAGGTCGTTTTACAGACATTCCATCAATTCTAGAGAGAAATAAATATAGGGGGTAGCCGGGCAAGGTAGAACTATAGGGGGGGGGGGGGGGGGGCGGGGGCGGTAGAAATATTTCAATATTGTCAAAACATCTAAACTTTCCAATCATCAAAGCATCTAAACTTGCCATCAAAACTTGCCGTCAAAACATCAAAACTTGGCATCAAAACATCAAAACTTGCTAATCATCAAAAACTCTATGTTTAATCTTCAGGTTAAGTAGTTAGATGGAACAATATCCTCGCTAAGGTCTTGGTGTTACGGTCATGGTGTTAAGGTCATGGTGTTAAGGTCATGGTGTTACGGTCATGGTGTTAAGGTCATGGTGTTAAGGCCATGGTGTTAAGGTCATGGTGTTAAGTTCATGGTGTTACGGTCATGGTGTTAAGGTCATGGTGTTAAGGTCATGGTGTTAAGGTCATGGTGTTACGGTCATGGTGTTACGGTCATGGTGTTACGGTCATGGTGTTAAGGCCATGGTGTTAAGGTCATGGTGTTAAGGTCATGGTGTTAAGGTCATGGTGTTAAGGTCATGGTGTTAAGGTCAAGGTCTCAGTATCCAGTAGTGCTGTGATGTGTTTCCCACCAGCGTTTTGTAATCACAGTCTCAACCAGGTTTTTCTCGCTAGAACGGTCAACCAGCTCAACCACATTGCCAACCCACTAGCAACAACCAACCCACTAGCAAGAACCAACCCACTAGCAAGAACCAACCCACTAGCAACAACCAACCCACTAGCAACAACCAACCCACTAGCAACAACCAACCCACTAGCAACAACCAACCCACTAGCAACAACCAACCCACTAGCAACAAACAACCCACTAGCAACAAACAACCCACTAGCAACAACCAACCCACTAGCAACAACCAACCCCCATAAAATTGTCAGAAAACCCAATTAGGCCCGGAGCAACTGAGGAAAAAACAGATGGCCCCTTCAGGCTAAACTAAACACGACCCATGTCCTAATGAATCTTTGGTGGGCTCGGCCGTGTAGGGGACCTTACTCGTGTCTCCGCTAGCGCTCTCCAGCTCGTACAGTTAGGATGGTACGGTTAGGATGGTACGGTTAGGAGGGTACGGTTAGGATGGTTCAGATAGATTGTACAGGCGAGGGTAAAATTAGAATGCTAAAGATTAGCTGGTACAGTTTGTGGTGCAGCTAATTTTATTAGGATAATAATAATAATATAATTTGGTTACAATCAATTGATTGATTCATTTAAGATGGTACAGTTTGCATAACTATGATGGTACAATAAGGATAGTACACTTAGCATAACTAAGATGGTACAATTAGGGTGGTACAGTTATTATAACTAAGATGGTACAATTAGGATGGTATTTATCATAACTAAGATGGTACAATTAGGATGGTAGATATCATAACTAAGATGGTACAATTAGGATGGTACAGTTATCATAACTAAGATGGTACAATTAGGATGGTACAGTTGTGTTAAAATAGTCTAAATGCTGCTAGAGTTGTCTAGGTGAGGTAAAAACTGTGGACCTACCTGGTGTTTACCTGTCTCTCTCGTCTGCCACCGTCTGTCTGGCACATTCGGACGGCGAGGGAACAAGTTATCGATTCATGGGTAATCGACGGCTGGCTGGGGAGGGGGGGGGATTGGAGGAGAGGGGACAACGGGAGGAGGAGGGGTGGGGGTACAGAGCTAATTTGTGCCAGATCAAGAGATATTTAAGTGAAATTGTTGACGCACAACCCAACCCAACCCCCAGAGGCAGGGTTGTATTCCACGCAACCCTTGGAGTATTGATGAACAAAATGATTTTTGTACGAAATGACAAAAGCTGTGTCGAAATTACCAATGTAATTTTACCTTGCTAAAGCATGAAGCGGCAATTAACTTTAATTGATGGGTTCTGGTGGGGGCAGAACCAGCAAGGAAAATACAAGACAAGTAGATCACGACACAAGTAGATCACGACACAAGTAGATCACGACACAAGTAGATCACGACACAAGTAGATCACGACACAAGTAGATCACACGAGTAGATCACGACACAAGTAGATCACGACACAAGTAGATCACGACACAAGTAGACCACGACACAAGTAGATCACGACACAAGTAGATCACACGAGTAGATCTCGACACAAGTAGATCACGACACAAGTAGATCACGACACAAGTAGATCACGACACGTGTAGATCACGACACAAGTAGATCACGACACAAGTAGATCACGACACAAGTAGATCACGACACGTGTAGATCACGACACGAGTAGATCACGACACAAGTAGATCACGACACAAGTAGATCACACGTGTAGATCACGACACAAGTAGATCACGACACAAGTAGATCACGACACAAGTAGATCACACGTGTAGATCACGACACAAGTAGATCACGACACAAGTAGATCACACGTGTAGATCACGACACGAGTAGATCACGACACGAGTAGATCACGACACAAGTAGATCACGACACGTGTAGATCACACGAGTAGATCTCGACACAAGTAGATCACGACACAAGTAGATCACGACACAAGTAGATCACGACACAAGTAGATCACGACACGTGTAGATCACGACACAAGTAGATCACGACACAAGTAGATCACGACACAAGTAGATCACGACACAAGTAGATCACGACACAAGTAGATCACGACACAAGTAGATCACGACACAAGTAGATCACGACACGTGTAGATCACGACACAAGTAGATCACGACACAAGTAGATCACGACACGTGTAGATCACGATACAAGTAGATCACGACACAAGTAGATCACACGAGTAGATCACGACACAAGTAGATCACACGAGTAGATCACGACACAAGTAGATCACGACACAAGTAGATCACGACACAAGTAGATCACACGTGTAGATCACGACACAAGTGGATCACGACACAAGTAGATCACGACACAAGTAGATCACGACACAAGTAGATCACACGAGTAGATCACGACACAAGTAGTTGACGACACAAGTAGATCACGACACGAGTAGATCACGACACGTGTAGATCACGACACGTGTAGATCACGACACAAGTAGATCACGACACAAGTAGATCACGACACGTGTAGATCACGATACAAGTAGATCACGACACGTGTAGATCACGACACAAGTAGATCACGACACAAGTAGATCACGACACGTGTAGATCACGATACAAGTAGATCACGACACAAGTAGATCACACGAGTAGATCACGACACAAGTAGATCACACGAGTAGATCACGACACAAGTAGATCACGACACAAGTAGATCACGACACAAGTAGATCACACGTGTAGATCACGACACAAGTGGATCACGACACAAGTAGATCACGACACAAGTAGATCACACGAGTAGATCACGACACAAGTAGTTGACGACACAAGTAGATCACGACACGAGTAGATCACGACAGGTGTAGATCACGACACGTGTAGATCACGACACGTGTAGATCACGACACAAGTAGATCACGACACGTGTAGATCACGATACAAGTAGATCACGACACAAGTAGATCACACGAGTAGATCACGACACAAATAGATCACGACACATAGATCACGGGTGAAGACAAAAGCACGACACATAGACCGAGGGAGCAAGTTCAATAAAAGTTTGTAAAAAATGCATGAGAAACTCTTTAATAACAAGCTTTTTTTTTTTTTTTTTTTTTTTATAAAAGCTTGCACTAAAAAGATTTTTTTACCCTTTAAATATATAATAATGCATTACTATTTAAATAACTATAAAAGAAAGCGTTGGTTACTTTGTAAACGACTATAATACCCCAAATGATCCATAAAATAAACAAAAGGCAGTATTTAAAATACCCGAGTTTTACCTACCACAGTGCATTTTATCAACCCATGCTAATTATAATATACGAGCCGGCCCGCGGCATAACATACGCCGCTATTTAGTTGTTTCTAATTTTCAATAATTCATAATTTGTGAATTCGACAGTACCAACGCTGACACTGAAAATATTTCTTTAAAACACTATAAGTAGCTAGTTAAGGACCATAACCCCCCCCCCCTTCCTTCCCTCCCCCCCTCCTCCCCCCCCCCCCCCCCCCTACGTTTAAAATCGTTGGCTCTGCTTGTAAACATTTAGAGTGAACACAGCTCACTAAAACCATGTAGGGGTGGGGAGGTAGGGAGAGCGTTTGCAGCTTGTTTTCTAACGGCTCGAAGAAGAGAATTATATATATATACGAGCCGGCCCGCGGCATAACATACGCCGCTATTTAGTTGTTTCTAATTTTCAATAATTCATAATTTGTGAATTCGACAGTACCAACGCTGATACTGAAAATATTTCTTTCAAACACTATAAGTAGCTCGTTAAGGACCATAAACCCCCCCCCTTCCTTTCCCCCCCCCCCCCCCCTACGTTTAAAATCGTTGGCTCTGCTTGTAAACATTTAGAGTGAACACAGCTCACTAAAACCATGTAGGGGTGGGGAGGTAGGGAGAGGGTTTGCAGCTTGTTTTCTAACGGCTCGAAGAAGAGAATTATATATATACGAGCCGGCCCGCGGCATAACATACGCCGCTATTTAGTTGTTTCTAATTTTCAATAATTCATAATTTGTGAATTCGACAGTACCAACGCTGACACTGAAAATATTTCTTTCAAACACTATAAGTAGCTCGTTAAGGACCATAACCCCCCCCCCCTTCCTTCCCCCCCCCCCCTCCCCCCCCCCCCCCCCCTACGTTTAAAATCGTTGGCTCTGCTTGTAAACATTTAGAGTGAACACAGCTCACTAAAACCATGTAGGGGTGGGGAGGTAGGGAGAGCGTTTGCAGCTTGTTTTCTAACGGCTCGAAGAGGAGAATTATATATTAATATATATATAGATATTCTCACAATAATGTCGTCTTGTACGTCCGCGAAATTTGCATTCACATTTTTTTTAATTAGCGTGAGTGGAATTTCTTTTTAAATTACCTCCCCTGGTATAATTATTAGGAATCTAAACGATAATATTCCTTGACCTTGATCAGTTTAATATGTTTTAGCAAATTGCGTGTAATTGATATTTTCTTCACGTTATTCGAAAGAGTAAAAACTGTAGCAACTATAAAATAAATAAATCCATAAATTACAATAAGTATAAGACAATGCGATGCAATCTAAAAGCACTGCATGATACGATGTTTACTTTTATGGTTCCAAAATCTGTAGCGATGACGGAAGGACTGACACACTACCAGCAGCGTTAAATTATAGATATTCGAGAAAGTTTAGGGGAGATCACTCCCGCATTATTTCTGTATATTTAAATATTGAATACAATAGCACTGCATGGCTAAAAACAATTACGCACTAAATTAACACCAAACCTGTACGTATAATAGCGCGGCAAATAATATTTTATATAGGAAATTTTAATTAACTATTTTAAAGTTATTAAACATCCCATTAAGTCAAATGATATATTGTCAGATTGCATTGTTATTGAGTTTTGACCCACCTGACAAGTTTCAGAGAAATTGGTTGGATAGAAGTGATCAAAGTTGAGCTCATTAGTTTCGATCGATGACGGACGGTAGACAAAAGAACGAGAAAGCAAGTTAAATAAAAGCTTGTAAAAAACAAAGCCGGCGTTATTTTTCTTGGATCATAGTTTTTTGGGGCGCGGGTTAGTCCATACTACCACCCAGACACCACAGGGCGTGAAAGCAATGAGTGTCAGTTAGTCCCACTCCCATTTAGTGAGGCACAACACATTCGTCGACCAGATGTCAGTGGCGTCACTGGGCGAACAAAAGAGTCATCGGTTACACTACCTAAAGGGACAGGGTGTGACCGTGTTTGGGTTTAGATTTATAATGTAGCAGCCTACCGCTTCCCTGCTGTATGGCACTTTTTAAAACGAATGTAGGTGTTATAGTGCTATTGGGGGAACACGACTGCCGCCAACGTCTGGTTCAATGGGAGGTTTATCATTTCTATTGATACATCTCCCAAGTTACAGGATTTAGATATGGGAGGTTTATTATTTATATATTAATATATATCCCAAGTAATAGGCCGCCTCTATCCCTTTTAACACTATATTGCTCACACACACAATTATGTTGGCTAATTCAGGGAGATCCTTTTATTCAGGGGGAAATCGGTTATGATGAATGAGTAGTCGGTCTGGACGATTCTGTAGTTACAGTGGGTTGATTAGGCTAACTCTGTAAACAGAGTGGGTTGATTAGGCTAACTCTGTAAACACAGTGGGTTGATTAGGCTAACTCTGTAAACACAGTGGGTTGATTAGGCTAACTCTGTAAACACAGTGGGTTGATTAGGCTAACTCTGTAAACACAGTGGGTTGATTAGGCTAACTCTGTAAACAGAGTGGGTTGATTAGGCTAACTCTGTAAACAGAGTGGGTTGATTAGGCTAACTCTGTAAACACAGTGGGTTGATTAGGCTAACTCTGTAAACACAGTGGGTTGATTAGGCTAACTCTGTAAACAGAGTGGGTTGATTAGGCTAACTCTGTAAACACAGTGGGTTGATTAGGCTAACTCTGTAAACACAGTGGGTTGATTAGGCTAACTCTGTAAACAGAGTGGGTTGATTAGGCTAATTCTGTAGACACACTGGGTTGATTAGGCTAACTCTGTAAACAGAGTGGGTTGATTAGGCTAACTCTGTAAACAGAGTGGGTTGATTAGGCTAATTCTGTAGACACACTGGGTTGATTAGGCTAACTCTGTAAACAGAGTGGGTTGATTAGGCTAACTCTGTAAACAGAGTGGGTTGATTAGGCTAACTCTGTAGACACACTGGGTTGATTAGGCTAACGAGCGAGATGGCCTTGATGAGATCGATATGTGGCTGACCATCTTTAGCAGGCTCGACATCGATTGGCCAAATTCTAAATACTGGCCAAATTCTAATTACTGGCTTGTAAGTTCTTTTAAAAAAAATTATTTTGTCTAAAAGATGTGGGACAGGTATTTAAAAATGTAATCTTTATTATACGTATTGCATGTGTTTGATTAAGATCGTAGTATTGACAAGGTTAATAGTTAAAGCTAGCGTTCCCGTCACCCCTTGCTGCCATCGCAGAAGAAATTCAAGGACACTTGTTATAACATTCTAGTGTTACCAATGATGTATTTTAGACCGTGACCCAATTGTCTCTCAACACCTTTCGCTTGTGATGCATGTTGTGTATAAAGAAACCCAGACCTTCGGACATTCCCCTCCCCCCCTGAGTCGATTTAGTCAACGATTATAGTAGCCCACAGCATCCCTTGTGTTACAGTAGCCCACAGCATCCCTTGTGTTACAGTAGCCCACTGCATCCCTTGTGTTACAGTAGCCCACTGCATCCCTTGTGTTACAAGTTACAGTAGCCCACAGCATCCCTTGTGTTACAGTAGCCCACTGCATCCCTTGTGTTACAGGTTACAGTAGCCCACAGCATCCCTTGTGTTACAGTAGCCCACAGCATCCCTTGTGTTACAGTAGCCCACAGCATCCCTTGTGTTACAGTAGCCCACAGCATCCCTTGTGTTACAGTTTACAGTAGCCCACAGCATCCCTTGTGTTACAGTAGCCCACAGCATCCCTTGTGTTACAGTTTACAGTAGCCCACAGCATCCCTTGTGTTACAGTAGCCCACAGCATCCCTTGTGTTACAGTAGCCCACTGCATCCCTTGTGTTACAGTTTACAGTAGCCCACTGCATCCCTTGTGTTACAGTAGCCCACTGCTCCAAGCCAAATGATTAAAGACAAATTATTTCAGGGGAAAATATTACACTTCAAATATCGCCAGACAAAGACACAAGTTCTCTTTTGATTTAAAAAATATATTTATTGTCATTGAAACAAGGTTAACATGTTGATTTAAAAACATTTAAAAATATAACAGGCATGAAATGAATGAGGTTGTATTGAAAGAACTCCTGACATTTAAAAATGTAACAGGCATGAAATGAATGAGGTTGTATTGAAAGAACTGACATTTAAAAATGTAACAGGCATGAAATGAATGAGGATATATTGAAAGAAGTCCTGATTGATATTTTTCAACCACAAATCAGCGTCATTCAACACTGTGTGTGTGTGTGTGTGTGTGTGTGTGTCATATACCATCAGTTGCCCTCTTCAAGTAGAGGCACTATGTCATTTATACCGCATACCTGATGTCATTTATACCACATACCTGATGTCATTCATACCGCATACCTGATGTCATTCATACCACATACCTGATGTCATTCATACCACATACCTGATGTCATTCATACCACATACCTGATGTCATTTATACCACATACCTGATGTCATTCATACCGCATACCTGATGTCATTCATACCACAAACCTGATGTCATTCATACCACAAACCTGATGTATATCATAAGTTGTTGCAAGCATCAAAGTAGTACTAAGGTTGATGAAAGAATACAACAAACTAGCCTTCCATTCTAACTGACCTAATACAACAAACTAGCCTTCCATTTGAACTGACCTAATACAACAAACTAGCCTTCCATCCTAACTGACCTAATAAAACAAACTAGCCTTCCATTTGAACTGACCTAATACAACAAACTAGCCTTCCATCCTAACTGACCTAATACAACAAACTAGCCTTCCATGTGAACTGAGCTAATACAACAAACTAGCCTTCCATTCAAACTGACCTAATACAACAAACTAGCCTTCCATCCTAACTGAGCTAATACAACAAACTAGCCTTCCATTTGAACTGACCTAATACAACAAACTAGCCTTCCATTTGAACTGACCTAATACAACAAACTAGCCTTCCATCCTAACTGACCTAATACAACAAACTAGCCTTCCATTTGAACTGACCTAATACAACAAACTAGCCTTCCATTTGAACTGACCTAATACAACAAACTAGCCTTCCATCCTAACTGAGCTAATACCTTTCAGACATAATAAGAACAACTAAAGCTGACCAGCCAGTAAATGGATGAGAGCCACGACCTTGACCGTTGCTGTCGCTGTAGTTCTCCCAAATGTATCCAGTGCGCTGGAACTCTCTAAACATATTGCTGACCAGATTGGTGCGCAGGCGCGTGTAGACGTCTTGAGCCAAGTGCTGGTAGGGTCCTGGCGCAGTGCTATAGTGCTTCAGGGCAGACAGGCACAGGTAGTTCATGTTGACCCATATGGGTCCCCTCCAGTAGGGCGGGTCATGCTCCGTATTGAAGCGGCCATAAAACTTGGACTTGCGACTGATGGAGCGCAGACCAAAGTCTGTCCACAGCTTGTCGCGGTCAGTCAGGTCAGTCAGTATCTGCTGCAGCTTGGGCGAGTCGGGCTCCACCAGACCCAGCAGCATGGGGAAAAGACTGACGTAGCCAAACGCGTCAACAAACTGATACGTCGGCTCGCTCAGGACAACGCGGACCTTGTCCGGGTCAACGTTTGTGGGGGGGCGGTGCGCTGTCTGGACGTGTTTGGGCTTCTCTAGCCTGGCCTTGTCTGTGTGCAGGCCGTAGTCGCTGTACTGCTTGCCCCTGGCTGACCAGTGGAGCTGGTCCAGCAGCTTGTTGTCCGCAAGCAGCTGGTACGTGGCCTCGTATTCCCCACCATCTTTGCCCAGAGCTACAGCGATGTCACGCATGACCCCAGCGGCCAGCGCGATCCAACACCTCAGATCTAAATGTCTCTCATCATCAGTGGGGTGGGAAGCTCGTGGGTAGTCATCTAAACCAGAGGTCAAGGTCAACGGGTTTAGCTGCTTGGTGGTGGTTGCGTCCCTGCCGTGCCAGCGGTACGTGAAGGCTTGAGCCCCAGCCTGGCTCGTGTTGTAGTACTGGAACCAGGCCTGAAGGCGCGGGTACAGGGCGGACAAGTACGCCATGTCCGATGCTGCGCTGCTGTTCACCATACTTCTGACCAGACCCTGCAGTGGCAGGAAAAAAGTGGGCGGGTTGGCATTTGAATTTCTCTGGACCACAAACTGGGCAGGGACCTTGGCTCTGGCCTCGTCCCCCAGGATCTGTTCCCTGGGTATCCAGCCCTCCACGTTCATCAAGTCCAGCCAGTGGCCAATGATCTCTTTGGACATTTCTTCATCCCAGGCAGCAATCAGCAGGTTGTGGAAGCCCTCGTCCCAGAGAAAACCTCGGGGGAAAAAAGGCCGGGATGGGACGCCAGTGTAGAGAGGGGCCTCCCAGTACTTGACCGGCTCCTTGGTGTAGCTGGACTGCACCAGGGAGGAGCCGTAGAAGTAGCCGACGCTACCCAGCATGTTACTTAAAGCAGCTTGAGCAAACTTCTGCTCTAGGTCGCTGTAACCTTTCTCCTTGAGCCTGAAGAGCTTGTGGAACTTGTCCTGGAACTGCTGGAGCTTGTGCTGCAGGATGGCAGTCAAGACCTGACCTGACAACTCCTCAGCTCTCTGATCAAAGCTGGAGGACTGGTAGACAAGTTCCACAGAGAAGGGCAGCTGGGCTGTCACCTGTTTGACAACCAAGTTTGGCTGCCCAACTCCCTGCGGCAGCCTGCGTCCAGCCAGCTTGAAGTAGGGGATGGTGCGAGCTTTGTCCCAAGCGTCCACCTTAAGGCCTGCCACCAGCACCTCCTTCAGCTGGTCCAGCTGGCTGGCGTGGCTCACCAGGTAACTCTCCTTCCTGCTGGCCCCGTCAGGAGCCACAAACTTGAGCCTGAACCCCCCCAACTCCTGGCTCCAGCCCCGCACAGAGCTAAGCTGACCTTTGACCACTTCTGGCTCCAGCTGACCATTGTTGGACTCGAGCGCGGCGTAGAAAAAGCTGGACACCACCACACCAGATGACTGAGGTTCCTGGAACATTCAAGTCATCAGTCATTGTTTACACCATGCCTTCATGACATCAATCTTTACACTGAGATGTAAGCAGAACATCAACATGCCTTCATGACATCAATCTTTACACTGAGATGTAAGCAGAACATCAAAGTAAATAAGGAAGCATTTTCTCCAACCCCACTATATTTTTTACAGCTCTCATCAACAGCCCTTTCACTGTCCTAATGTAGTTATTTTCTACCCATCAATATCCTAATGTAGCTATTTTCTACCCATCAATATCCTAATGTAGTTATTTTCTACCCATCAATATCCTAATCTAGCTATTTTATACCCATCAATATCCTAATCTAGCTATTTTATACCCATCAATATCCTAATCTAGCTATTTTATACCCATCAATATCCTAATCTAGCTATTTTATACCCATCAATATCCTAATCTAGCTATTTTATACCCATCAATATCCTAATCTAGCTATTTTATACCCATCAATATCCTAATCTAGCTATTTTCTACCCATCAATATCCTAATCTAGCTATTTTCTACCCATCAATATCCTAATCTAGCTATTTTATACCCATCAATATCCTAATCTAGCTATTTTATACCCATCAATATCCTAATCTAGCTATTTTATACCCATCAATATCCTAATCTAGCTATTTTCTACCCATCAATATCCTAATGTAGCTATTTTCTACCCATCAATATCCTAATCTAGCTATTTTCTACCCATCAATATCCTAATCTAGCTATTTTATACCCATCAATATCCTAATCTAGCTATGTTCTACCCATCAATATCCTAATGTAGCTATTTTCTACCCATCAATATCCTAATGTAGCTATTTTATACCCATCAATATCCTAATCTAGCTATTTTCTACCCATCAATATCCTAATGTAGCTATTTTATACCCATCAATATCCTAATCTAGCTATTTTCTACCCATCAATATCCTAATGTAGCTATTTTATACCCATCAATATCCTAATGTAGCTATTTTCTTCCCATCAATATCCTAATGTAGCTATGTTCTACCCATCAATATCCTAATCTAGCTATTTTCTTCCCATCAATGTTCTCATGTAGCTATTTTCTTCCCATCAATTGTGTGCAGTGCCAAAATTTTACATTGTAGTCACTGGATTATTTTGTTGGATAATAATCCATCTATTTTTATCCAGTCTAATAAAGATAGCATGATATATTTAGCCTGAGTAAATGTAAAGCGACTTACTTTGGGAAGAAAGTGAATTCTTGCGGTCCAGTCCCCCCCATGGTGACCACCTGGCTGTTTGACAAACTCCGTCTTGACCAGGTACAGCTTCTCCTGCAGCTCCTGCACACCAAAGCTGGTCCCATCATGCACCAGCCAGGTGTAGCTCTCAAGGCCGTCCCCCTGGTCACACCAGTGGCGCAGTGGGGGGGGCATCTGACCACTCAGCTCCGTCATCCACATCAGCCCAAACACCGGGGAGGTGGGGCTGCGAGATTTGACTCCAAAGTAGGTGTGGGGTCTGGTCAAACAAACACAGAGATAGAGATTTGACTCCAAAGTAGGTGTGGGGTCTGGTCAAACACAGAGATAGAGATTTGAGACCACAGAGAGATTTGACACCACATTTAATGTACAGCTTTCTGTGCTGGTAAGTGTAATGTGGGACTATAGGCTGGTAAGTGTAATGTGGGACTATAGGCTGGTAAGTGTAATGTGGGACTGTAAGCTGGTAAGTGTAATGTGTGACTGTAGGCTGGTAAGTGTAATGTGGGACTGTAGGCTGGTAAGTGTAATGTGGGACTGTAAGCTGGTAAGTGTAATGTGGGACTGTGGTAAGTGTAATGTGGGACTGTAAGCTGGTAAGTGTAATGTGTGACTGTAAGCTGGTAAGTGTAATGTGTGACTGTAAGCTGGTAAGTGTAATGTGGGACTGTAAGCTGGTAAGTGTAATGTGGGACTGTAGGCTGGTAAGTGTAATGTGTGACTGTAAGCTGGTAAGTGTAATGTGGGACTGTAAGCTGGTAAGTGTAATGTGGGACTGTAAGCTGGTAAGTGTAATATGGGACTGTAAGCTGGTAAGTGTAATGTGGGACTGTAAGCTGGTAAGTGTAATGTGGGACTGTAGGCTGGTAAGTGTAATGTGGGACTGTAGGCTGGTAAGTGTGGCACTGTAAGCTGGTAAGTGTAATGTGGGACTGTAGGCTGGTAAGTGTAATGTGGGACTGTAGGCTGGTAAGTGTAATGTGGGACTGTAGGCTGGTAAGTGTAATGTGGGACTGTAGGCTGGTAAGTGTAATGTGGGACTGTAAGCTGGTAAGTGTAATGTGGGACTGTAAGCTGGTAAGTGTAATGTGCGACTGTAAGCTGGTAAGTGTAATGTGGGACTGTAGGCTGGTAAGTGTAATGTGGGACTGTAAGCTGGTAAGTGTAATGTGGGACTAAGCTTCTAGTGGGACCATCAAGCTAAAACCCCCAAAACCTGGTAGGTTTAACAGGAGCTAAACCAACCTGTAGGTCCCCCAAAACCTGGTAGGTTTAACAGGAGCTAAACTAACCTGTAGGTCCCCCAAAACCTGGTAGGTTTAACAGGAGCTAAACCAACCTGTAGGTCCCCAAAACCTGGTAGGTTTAACAGGAGCTAAACTAACCTGTAGGTCCCCCAAAACCTGGTAGGTTTAACAGGAGCTAAACCAACCTGTAGGTCCCCAAAACCTGTCAGGTTTAACAGGAGCTAAACCAACCTGTAGGTCCCCCAAAACCTGGTAGGTTTAACAGGAGCTAAACCAACCTGTAGGTCCCCAAAACCTGGTAGGTTTAACAGGAGCTAAACCAACCTGTAGGTCCCCCAAAACCTGTCGGGTTTAACAGGAGCTAAACCAACCTGTAGGTCCCCCAAAACCTGGTAGGTTTAACAGGAGCTAAACTAACCTGTAGGTCCCCAAAACCTGGTAGGTTTAACAGGAGCTAAACTAACCTGTAGGTCCCCCAAAAACCTGGTAGGTTTAACAGGAGCTAAACCAACCTGTAGGTCCCCAAAACCTGTCAAGTTTAACAGGAGCTAAACCAACCTGTAGGTCCCCCAAAACCTGGTAGGTTTAACAGGAGCTAAACCAACCTGTAGGTCCCCAAAACCTGGTAGGTTTAACAGGAGCTAAACCAACCTGTAGGTCCCCCAAAACCTGGTAGGTTTAACAGGAGCTAAACCAACCTGTAGGTCCCCAAAACCTGGTAGGTTTAACAGGAGCTAAACCAACCTGTAGGTCCCCCAAAACCTGGTAGGTTTAACAGGAGCTAAACTAACCTGTAGGTCCCCCAAAACCTGTCAGGTTTGACAGAGGGCAGAGAACTGTTGTCTGAGATGATTTTAGGGGCGGGGTGTGGCGTAATGATGATGTCTTGTAGATACTGCTGATAGCGGTACCAGCCAATCAGGCTGACAGAGACCAGTAGAACAGCTAAGCCACAAACTTTGGCCCCATACGTATCCAATCTTCCATGAGAACCTGTCCCATCTTCCTGGCTGTCTGGCTGTATAATGCCTCTGGGCTTTTGTTTCACTCTGCTGCGTAACTCAGATTTTGACATGGTCAGACACTTTCTACCTTACTAGAAGAAAGATTTGTTAGATACTTTCTACCTTACCAGAAAAAAGTTTTGTATTAAACCAAATACAATGAACGTTAAGCTAATTTAAAGCTAGCATTTAGAAATAAATATTATTAATCTTGCTATTTTAATAGGTCAATTAGATATAATTATGTTGCAACCTATAGTGGAGAATGTATTTATTTATTCTCTGAAAAGTGAAATTTATTTAGCAATATTGTTGACAATGACATGGATAAAAAATGTATATTTTTAGATGTTGCCATCAAAGTGGCCGTAAAGAAAAAACTTAAGCTTGAAAATAATTCATAAAAATAATATTTTTAGAATCAATTTTATTAAAGTTGCAAATCTAGAGAACTTCAAATAATTTTTTGAGTTTAAGTTTTAGGTACATTTCTATTATTTCCATCAAGCCTAAGTTATGACATGAAGTTTCACTTTCGTAAGACAAATTTTGATTGGCTGTACAGGTACCGTGTGATCAGTTTTCTGAAAACCCCACTTCATAAATAAGCTCAACGTAATTTGTAATCAAAACTTTGCAGATATAATTTTTAAATAAAATTGGTCCAGTGTTTGAAAAATTGATTTTATTTTTAAAAAATTGTATTGCCGAAGTTCTCAGTACAAATTACCATGGTTTTTTTTAAAGTAATTTGAAAGAAATGTGACTAGTTAATAAGGCTTTAGTACAAGTATATTGTGTATCAAATATAATGCAGTATTTAGCATTTGGGCAAAGGGAAGATAACTTGCATATAAAACCTGCCCAGAAGCTGATTTTTCAAATTTTGCTTTTACCACTGTCTCTTATTAATTTAAAATTAATATGGTATTTATTTCCATTTTACAAAGCAACCAAATGTTCAAAATCTACTGAGGTTCAGTTTTACAAAGCAACCAAATTTTCAAAATCTACTGAGGTTCAGTTTTACAAAGCAACCAAATTTTCAAAATCTACTGAGGTTCAGTTTTACAAAGCAACCAAATTTTCAAAATCTACTGAGGTTCAGTTTTACAAAGCAACCAAATTTTCAAAATCTACTGAGGTTCAGTTTTACAAAGCAACCAAATTTTCAAAATCTACTGAGGTTCAGTTTTCACCTAATCCAGTTACGTTTTATTTTCTTTTATGTTTGCCTTAAAAAAATTCATTTGAAAACAATATATGCTGTAAATCAACTGTATTTTAATAGAAAAACATTTGTCTGCTCAAAAAAACTTTATAACATAAGTTGAATAAATCACATGTGATTCTTATTTTATCAAGCAAATGTGATTAAATTTTGCAAATACATTTTTATAAATTTTAAAAAATTCAGACCTCCATCTGCCATATTCTTTTTTCCTTTAAATTAGTCAAAGTAAAAATAAAGCATACCACCAAACAGAAAGAAGTCTGTACAATTATTAATGCAAATTTACATAAAAGAACCACCCCTATTTCATACTTTGTCAGTAAAATTCAAATAAATTTTGCAAATATATATTTTATAAAATTTTCATTCATTTTTGTTTCCCACTCGCTACATTTTTTTTTTTACAGAGCTTATATTAGATTAGATTCTAGATCTAAAATTGGAAAAAAAATATTTCTCATTTTTTCTATTTAAGCTAGAAATATAAATTTGCTCCCTCAAACTAACTTGTATGATTTTGTGATAAAATACTCAAAAAACTCATTTTTTAGGCTACTAATTGAATAATAGGGCCTAGGCCTAATAATAATAAATTATTAATAAACCAAACACAATATCTAGGCCCTAAACATTAAAATAGGACAGGTCTCAATGCTATTAAATATTAATTTTATTATTTTAGGTAGGCTACCTAAAAGTAGGCTAGATTTTAGCTTAGATTACCTAATTTTCTACTCTACCACTACCATTAGTAATTACTAATTAGACCTAGATTCTAGTAATTAATAATTAGTCCTAGATTCTAGTAAATTAGGCCCTCTCTGCAGGACTAGCTCTAGCCCAGTCTAGGACCTATACTTATAGATCTACTAGATCTAGAATCTAGGTGTTGTAAAAAGTATAGAGATACTAAGAATAACTAAGATAGAGCATACTAGATCTAGATCTAGATCTACATCTAGATCTAGATCTAGATTTAGATCTATATCTAAACGAGATCTAGATCTACATCTAGATCTAATCTCGATCTAGATCTATGTATCAGATTCGGTAATCTATCGTTTTGGGTACGTAAAATCGCCCGCGGCTATTAATGTACGAAAACGTTACCTCATTGTCAAGGCTGTAATAGAAGTATATTGTGATATGTTTGTGTCAAATAAAACTAGATAAATGATTTTACGTACCCAAAACGATAGATTACCTCAGATTCTTCTACTAAGACACTAAGATCATAGACATAGACTAGATATAGAATCTAGTTCATAGGCCACCAAATCGTATTTATTTAGAAATCTAGTATTTAAGAACTAGATTCTAATCCCCCTAGATCTAGACTAGATCTAGATTCTAGATCTAGATTTTCTAGAGATCTAAACTAAAGTATGAAAGTAGGAAAAGCCAAGGCGATCTCAGTTCTGTAAAGGTTGGGGGGAGGGGGATATTTAAACCTAAATGTAACAAAACTTTTAATTTCCACTCCCCCAACGAAGACAGCATATTCATAGAATTATTTCTTTAATTAATAGTCTATGAGCTGTGTTTTTAACAACTTGTTTTCAGGTGTGCCCCGCGATAATATCGTTTTTGTACGTGTACAAGTTTGCAATCACTAGGCCGGCGCGGAAACGATACTGTTACGATTTTCGATGTCGCAAAATGAAAGCCAGATAATAATGTGAGATACTTGTCAAAAAAACTTTACAACCTCGAATTCTAAGTGTTATTTTCTTGGGTTATCATCAGGTTATGGTGTGTTGAAATCTTTGACTAGTGACAAGTGAGCTACAAATTTCCCCCAAACTATTAAATAACTAAAATCTGAAGTCATAAAAAAATGTGGTCAGCAAAAGATATCTCAAGAAATAAATAATAGATCTAGCTAGACTTAGATCTAGATCACAAAAAGATTGTTTTAGAAAAGGGGTCATCCATTTATGACGTACACAATATTTTTTATATTTTGGACCCCCCCCCCTCCAAAAAAATCCACTATTTCCCTTATAAAAGTCCATACGCGTCCGCAAAAGTCAATTTTTTTCGGACCCCCCCCCCCCCCCGTATAGACGTCATAAATGGATGACCCCAAAGCGTACCTTCTCACAATAAAAAAATAAATTTAAAAAATAGATCATTCAATCAATCAACCTAACTATCTAATATCTATCTATCTACCTACCCTCCCTACCTAGTACCTACCTACCTATCAATCTCTCTTTCTCTTTATATATATATATATATATATATATATATATATATATATATATATATATATATATATATATATATATATATATATATATATATATATATATATATATATATGTATATATATATATATATATATATATATATATATATATATATATATATATATATATATATATATATATATATATATATATATATATATATATATATATAAAGCAATGTATGTGTGTGTGTGTGTTTTTTATTCATAACCACACCTTTCGTCCGATCGCTGTGAAACTTTGGGAAGTTGTTAAGAATAATCCCGGGAAGGTTTCTGTGGAATTCTTTTTTAATTCGCAGGGTTGGCGCCCCGACAGGGCACGATTAGATTCTTTTTTATGTACCATTCATCGGATCGCCATGAAACTTTGGGGAGTAGATGAGAATACGCCCGAGAAGATTTCTGCGAAAAAAATAATTAAATTTCTTTTGGGCGGCGCTCGGGAGGGTGCTATTTTTGCCAATACACGATTTGGCGCCCAGAGTTCCAGAGAGGCTATGTTAGCACTTGATAGCGGGTAAGTGGTACTACTACATTCAAGAATTGTACACCAAGTGAACAGCGAACAATATGCGGATAATAGTGCAGAACATTAGTAATTTATAAGTTCATTTGCGTCGTTTTTATTTTAAGAAAATCGGAAATAGAGTAATATGCTACTTCCGTTCACCGGAAATCACTCATTATTTGAAAGAAAACAGAGAATTGGATATTTTATTTATAGGTGAAATTTTATCTATCTATCAGAAACAGTATTCAAGTTACAGGAGAACTTCTGGTCTAACCCGTAAGCTTCATACTTCATACATAGCATGTCAGATACCCCAGTCGCAGCTCATACGCACATCAAACATTTTCACCAGTTGTTTTTCTCCTGGTTAAAGGTGTTGAAAAGATGAAGAAAAGACTTTGACAATGACGGTACAACTGTGACACCCAGGCCCCACAGAGTGCCGACTGTTCTAGCAAGACCACAAGAACTGGGATATTTTGACGCTCTTCGTGGCCTATTAAATGCTGAACTACACAACATTCTAACCATTGTCGACCTCAACACAAAACAGCACATTCCTTCTTCTGATCAGCTGATTACTTCCCTTCCACCCCGCTTGCTGATCCCACGCCCACATAACTGCCGGAAAAATCGATACACTTGTACAGGGAGATAGCAGGTAAAAATCAATCAGCTCTAGGCTTCAATGTTTACTGCAGCAGTCTAGACAGAATACAGGTAGACCTGTGACACTAGACCTGTGACACTAGACCTGTGACACTAGACCTGTGACACTAGACCTGTGACACTAGACCTGTGACACTAGACCTGTGACACTAGACCTGTGACACTAGACCTGTGACACTAGACCTGTGACACTAGACCTGTGACACTAGACCTGTGGCACTAGACCTGTGACACTAGGCCTGTGACACTAGACCTGTGACACTAGACTCGTGACACTAGACCTGTGACACTAGACCTGTGACACTAGACCTGTGACACTAGACCTGTGACACTAGACCTGTGACACTAGACCTGTGACACTAGACCTGTGACACTAGACCTGTGACACTAGACCTGTGACACTAGACCTGTGACACTAGACCCGTGACACTAGACCTGTGACACTAGACCTGTGACACTAGACCTGTGACACTAGACCTGTGACACTAGACCTGTGATACTAGACCTGTGACACTGTGTCACTAGACCTGTAACACTAGACCTGTGACACTAGACCTGTGACACTAGACCTGTGACACTACACATAGTCCAGGCAAATAACTACCCACATTCGCTCATAGTGGGGGGGGGGGAGGAGGAGGAGAGAAGGCAGCAGTGTCCACCCTCATCCCCCCACAGAAAAAATTGATCAAATGTAAACAGGAAATTTGCTGTCACAATCCTTAGAACTATCCGCACCCCCGGAGCAAAATACCACACCCTAACTAATTATACGCACCATAACAAAACCAGTGAGCCATACCAGAACCTAGTCAACTTCAACTGATTCTCAGTTTGACCTAATTAATTACTCATCAAAAATTGGAATAGTGTAGATAGTGATGGAAACGTATTTACTTCATGTTTGTGGTTCACACACACACTTGAATATATATATATATATATATATATATATATATATATATATATATATATATATATATATATATATATATATATATATATATATATATATATATAGTTTGACAGGAGCGGTTTGGTAGCAGTAAATATTCACGTTTGAGAAGTTGGTAGTGTATACACCTGCGTTACGGTTGACTGGCATTAACCTTTGACCTCTAGATTCCAGACACTTGTTCGACCTGTAGTGTTCCAGCTATAAGGTCCAAGAGTCAAGCGAACAATCCAAGCAATCAAGAGAGGACCACATCGCTGGACCCCCCGAAAGCTCTTACATGTAGGTACAATCAGCATTAAGTTCTACAACGTTAAGATTAGTACCATGGAGTGTAGTGGAGATCTTTAGGATTATCTTTTACACTGTAATATTTGGATTCATGAAGACAGATTTCTATTTGCACTACCAAACTATTGCTAGCGGTCTCTTTATAATACTGGCTGTATCACACAAAACCACCAATTGTGCTACCGACTGTCTCACACAAAACCACCAATTGTGCTACCGACTGTCTCACACAAAACCACCAATTGTGCTACCGACTGTCTCACACAAAACCACCAATTGTGCTACCGACTGTCTCACACAAAACCACCAATTGTGCTTCTTACAGATTGAACGCTGCACTAGCTGTAAGCTGAAGATGACCCGCGGCATCCCGGTACTCCGCCAGCAGGGTGCATGACGCTCCCAAAAGGGTGCATCTCGGCGCCCAGCGCGCCCCCAGCATGGCGCAAGGCCCGCCAGCTAGCCCCACGGCGCAAGTACCACTTCAGCATCCTCTACCACCAGCCAGGTTGGCCGCCCGTGTTGGAAAACCTGTCCAGTTTGACGCTCAGATTTACCACGTACCTGGCCAAGCAGCTAGAACTCAGGGGATATGTTGGCAGGTCAGTGCTCAAAGGGACATAATCACTGCTTCAATAATTCGTGGGTATTGTGGCCGTTCAGTGCTCAAAGGGACAATCACTGCTTCAATAATTCGTGGGTATTGTGGCCGTTCAGTGCTCAAAGGGACATAATCACTGCTTCATTAATTCGTGGGTATTGTGGCCGTTCAGTGCTCAAAGGGACATAATCACTGCTTCAATAATTCGTGGGTATTGTGGCCGTTCAGTGCTCAAAGGGACATAATCACTGCTTCAATAATTCGTGGGTATTGTGGCCGTTCAGAGCTCAAAGGGACATAATCACTGCTTCATTAATTCGTGGGTATTGTGGCCGTTCAGTGCTCAAAGGGACATAATCACTGCTTCAATAATTCGTGGGTATTGTGGCCGTTCAGAGCTCAAAGGGACATAATCACTGCTTCATTAATTCGTGGGTATTGTGGCCGTTCAGAGCTCAAAGGGACATAATCACTGCTTCAATAATTCGTGGGTATTGTGGCCGTTCAGTGCTCAAAGGGATATAATCACTGCTTCAATAATTCGTGGGTATTGTGGCCGTTCAGTGCTCAAAGGGATATAATCACTGCTTCAATAATTCGTGGGTATTGTGGCCGTTCAGTGCTCAAAGGGATATAATCACTGCTTCAATAATTCGTGGGTATTGTGGCCGTTCAGTGCTCAAAGGGACATAATCACTGCTTCAATAATTCGTGAGTATTGTGGCCGTTCAGTGCTCAAAGGGACATAATCACTGCTTCATTAATTCGTGGGTATTGTGGCCGTTCAGTGCTCAAAGGGACATAATCACTGCTTCATTAATTCGTGGGTATTGTGGCCGTTCAGTGCTCAAAGGGACATAATCACTGCTTCAATAATTCGTGGGTATTGTGGCCGTTCAGTGCTCAAAGGGACATAATCACTGCTTCAATAATTCGTGAGTATTGTGGCCGTTCAGTGCTCAAAGGGACATAATCACTGCTTCATTAATTCGTGGGTATTGTGGCCGTTCAGTGCTTAAAGGGATATAATCACTGCTTCAATAATTCGGGGTCAGGTATGAAAGAGATTTCTCAAGCCTATATAATAATGCTGTGTTTTGTTATTTTCTAGCACTCATCACTCCACGAGTGCCGTGGCATGCAGCCGTTGGTCAGCAGACCTGACCGACATTTTATCGGAGTGTTCACTGGTGTTGGTGGTCGTCACGCTGGACACAGAACTCGAGCACCTGCTGGAAGCTTGCCGGACCGTTGATCGTCTGCTCGTCTGCCGGCTCGGCCTGACCCAGCTGCCGGACACACACCAGATGGTTGTAGACTTCAGCCCCTGGGGGTGGGGCCAGACGCCAGCGTCCAGCCAGGAAGGTAGGGTCCACGTCATGACAAGCTTTCCCGTCGGTCTTGGTAGGGTCTAGTCTCGTCATCATAAACTTTCTATTTCAGGTGACGTGATGACGTCATTACAGCCAGTTTTTCAAACCAGCTTCGATTTCGTTGAATGCCAATTGTTAGATCGGTTGGCTAGAGACAACACAGCTACAGACAACAAGACCACAAACTTTCTGGACCACAAGACCACAGACTGTTTAGACCACAAGACCACAGACTGTTTGGACCACAAGACCACAGACTGGCTGGACCACAAGACCACAGACTGGCTGGACCACAAGACCACAGACTGTTTAGACCACAAGACCACAGACTGTTTGGACCACAAGACCACAGACTGGCTGGACCACAAGACCATAGACTGGCTGGACCACAAGACCATAGACTGGCTGGACCACAAGTCCACAGCCTGTTTGGACCACAAGACCACAGACTGTTTAGACCACAAGACCACAGACTGGCTGGACCACAAGACCACAGACTGGCTGGACCACAAGACCACAGACTGGCTGGACCACAAGACCACAGACTGTTTAGACCACAAGACCACAGACTGTTTGGACCACAAGACCACAGACTGGCTGGACCACAAGACCACAGACTGGCTGGACCAGAAGACCACAGACTGGTTGGACCACAGGACCACAGACTGTTTGGACCACAAGACCACAGACTGTTTGGACCACAAGACCACAGACTGGCTGGACCACAAGACCATAGACTGGCTGGACCACAAGACCACAGACTGTTTGGACCACAAGACCAGAGACTGGCTGGACCACAAGACCACAGGCTGTTTGGACCACAAGACCACAGACTGGCTGGACCACAAGACCATAGACTGGCTGGACCACAAGTCCACAGACTGTTTGGACCACAAGACCACAGACTGGCTGGACCACAAGACCATAGACTGGCTGGACCACAAGACCACAGACTGTTTAGACCACAAGACCACAGACTGTTTGGACCACAAGACCACAGACTGTTTGGACCACAAGACCACAGACTGGCTGGACCACAAGACCACAGACTGGCTGAACCACAAGACCACAGACTGGCTGGACCACAAGACCACAGACTGGCTGGACCACAAGACCACAGATTGTTTGGACCACAAGACCATAGACTGGCTGGACCACAAGACCACAGACTGGCTGGACCACAAGACCACAGATTGTTTTAATTACAAGACCACAGACTGTTTGGACCACAAGACCACAGACTGTTTGGACCACAAGACCACAGACTGGCTGGACCACAAGACCACAGACTGTTTGGACCACAAGACCACAGACTGGCTGGACCACAAGACCACAGACTGTTCAGACCACAAGACCACAGACTGTTTGGACCACAAGACCACAGACTGGCTGAACCACAAGACCACAGACTGGCTGGACCACAAGACCATAGACTGGCTGGACCACAAGACCACAGATTGTTTGGACCACAAGACCATAGACTGGCTGGACCACAAGACCACAGACTGGCTGGACCACAAGACCACAGATTGTTTTAATTACAAGACCACAGACTGTTTGGACCACAAGACCACAGACTGTTTGGACCACAAGACCACAGACTGGCTGGACCACAAGACCACAGACTGTTTGGACCACAAGACCATAGACTGGCTGGACCACAAGTCCACAGACTGTTTGGACCACAAGACCACATACTGGTTGAACCACAAGTCCACAGACTGTTTGGACCACAAGACCACAGACTGGCTGGACCACAAAACCACATGCTGTTTGGACCACAAGACCACAGACTGGCTGGACCACAAGACCACAGACTGGCTGGACCACAAGACAACAGACTGGCTGGACCACAAGACCACAGACTGGCTGGACCACAATACCACAGACTGTTTGGACCACAAGACCACAGACTGTTTGGACCACAAGACCACAGACTGTTTGGACCACAAGACCACAGACTGGCTGGACCACAAGACTACAGACTGGCTGGACCACAAGACCACAGACTGGCTGGACCACAAGACCACAGACTGTTTGGACCACAAGACCACAGACTGTTTGGACCACAAGACCACAGACTGTTTGGACCACAAGACCACAGACTGGCTGGACCACAAGACTACAGACTGGCTGGACCACAAGACCACAGACTGGCTGGACCACAAGACCACAGACTGTTTGGACCACAAGACCACAGACTGTTTGGACCACAAGACTACAGACTGTTTGGACCACAAGACCACAGACTGGCTGGACCACAAGACCACAGACTGTTCGGACCACAAGACCACAGACTGGCTGGACCACAAGACCATAGACTGGCTGGACCACAAGACCACAGACTGGCTGGACCACAAGACCAGAGACTGGCTGGACCACAAGACCACAGACTGTTCGGACCACAAGACCACAGACTGTTTGGACCACAAGACCACAGACTGTTTGGACCACAAGACCACAGACTGTTTGGACCACAAGACCACAGACTGGAGAGAGACCAGAGACACCAATAGCTGGGAAGAGACCAGTTGTTTATACCAAAATAGCTTGTGTGAGATGTTCGGCCTTGACCTGTTGAACCAAGGTCGGATCCGGCGAACGAATTTCCTCCGTACTGTTGAGCGACACATTGAGCAGCTAAAGCAGAGAGGACGGACACATTTCTCAGCGGATCTTCTTCTGAGTCCCTACACGCACACCGCTGAGTCAGCTTTCATTTTTTCTCCTGTCACCCAAGATTTGCCAACTGACACCCAATATTTGCCAGCTGTCACCCAAGATTTGCCTACTGACACCCAAGATTTGCCTACTGACACCCAAGATTTGCCTACTGACACCCAATATTTGCCTATTGACACCCAAGATTTGCCTACTGACACCCAAGATTTGCCTACTGACACCCAAGATTTGCCTAACGTTACATTAACTAATCATTCACGAGACGAATTTTTCTTGCATGAACAATTTTTTTCGAAGATTTTGAGCAAGGAGTTTTCACGAAGTGGTGTACCAGACATTGCAAAACTTGACTCACACGTAGGAGAGTTCAAATCAGAGACCACCTGTTGCAGTGGTGTAAACAATCATTTAAATAAAGAAGATTTAGATCAAAATGGCAATTCTATACGTTTAGAGGAAAAACAAACAGAAAATGTAGAACAAACTACCTTACAAACTGAAGATGTAGAACAAACTACCTTACAAACGGGAGATGTAGAACAAACTACCTTACAAACAGAAGATGTAGAACAAACTACCTTACAAACAGAAGATGTAGAAGAAACTACCTTACAAATAGAAGATGTAGAACAAACTACCTTACAAACAGAAGAGGTAGAACAAACTACCTTACAAACTGAAGATGTAGAACAAACTACCTTACAAACAGAAGATGTAGAACAAACTACCTTACAAACAGAAGATGTAGAACAAACTACCTTACAAACAGAACATGTAGAAGAAACTACCTTACAAATAGAAGATGTAGAACAAACTACCTTACAAACAGAAGAGGTAGAACAAACTACCTTACAATCTGAAGATGTAGAACAAACTACCTTACAAACAGAAGATGTTGAACAAACGTCCTTACAAACAGAAGATGTAGAACAAACTACCTTACAAACAGAAGAGGTAGAACAAACTACCTTACAAACAGAAGATGTAAAACAAACTACCTTACAAACAGAACATGTAGAAGAAACTACCTTACAAACAGAAGAGGTAGAACAAACTACCTTACAAACAGAAGAGGTAGAACAAACTATCATACAAACAGAAGAGGTAGAACAAACTATCATACAAACGGGATATCTAGAACTATTTAGCTTACAAACAGAAGATGTTCAGCAAATTACTTTACAAACAGAAGATGTAGAACAAACTACCTTACAAACAGAAGAAGTTGAACAAACTACCTTACAAACGGATGATATAAAACAATCTTCCTTACAAACAAAAGATGTAGAACAAACTACCTTACAAACTGAAGATGTAGAACAAACTACCTTACAAACAGAAGATGTAGAACAAACTATCATACAAACGGGAGATGTAGAACTAACTAACTTACAAACAGAAGATGTTCAGCAAATTACCTTACAAACAGAAGATGTTGAACAAACGTCCTTACAAACAGAAGATGTAGAACAAACTACCTTACAAATAGAAGATGTAGAACAAACTACCTTACAAACAAAAGATGTAGAACAAACTACCTTACAAACAGAACATGTAGAAGAAACTACCTTACAAACAGAACATGTAGAACAAACTACCTTACAAACTGAAGATGTAGAACAAACTACCTTACAAACAGAACATGTAGAAGAAACTACCTTACAAACAGAAGATGTAGAACAAACTACCTTACAAACAGAACATGTAGAAGAAACTACCTTACAAACAGAACATGTAGAACAAACTACCTTACAAACTGAAGATGTAGAACAAACTACCTTACAAACAGAACATGTAGAAGAAACTACCTTACAAACAGAAGCTGTAGAAGAAACTACCTTACAAATAGAAGATGTAGAACAAACTACCTTACAAACAGAAGATGTAGAACAAACTACCCCACAAACAGAACATGTAGAAGAAACTACCTTACAAATAGAACATGTAGTACAAACTACCTTACAAACAGAAGATGTAGAACAAACTACCCCACAAACAGAACATGTAGAAGAAACTACCTTACAAATAGAAGATGTAGAACAAACTACCTTACAAACAGAAGATGTTCAGCAAACTACCTTACAAACAGAAGATGTAGAACAAACTACCTTACAAACTGAAGATGTAGAACAAACTACCTTACAAACAGAAGATGTAGAACAAACTACCTTACAAACAGAAGATGTAGAACAAACTACCTTACAAAGAGAAGATGTAGAACAAACTACCTTACAAACAGAACATGTAGAAGAAACTACCTTACAAATAGAAGATGTAGAACAAACTACCTTACAAACAGAAGAGGTAGAACAAACTACCTTACAATCTGAAGATGTAGAACAAACTACCTTACAAACAGAAGATGTTGAACAAACGTCCTTACAAACAGAAGATGTAGAACAAACTACCTTACAAACAGAAGAGGTAGAACAAACTACCTTACAAACAGAAGATGTAAAACAAACTATCATACAAACGGGATATCTAGAACTAACTAGCTTACAAACAGAAGATGTTCAGCAAATTACTTTACAAACAGAAGATGTAGAACAAACTACCTTACAAACAGAAGAAGTTGAACAAACTACCTTACAAACGGATGATATAAAACACTCTTCCTTACAAACAAAAGATGTAGAACAAACTACCTTACAAACTGAAGATGTAGAACAAACTACCTTACAAACAGAAGATGTAGAACAAACTATCATACAAACGGGAGATGTAGAACTAACTAACTTACAAACAGAAGATGTTCAGCAAATTACCTTACAAACAGAAGATGTTGAACAAACGTCCTTACAAACAGAAGATGTAGAACAAACTACCTTACAAATAGAAGATGTAGAACAAACTACCTTACAAACAAAAGATGTAGAACAAACTACCTTACAAACAGAACATGTAGAAGAAACTACCTTACAAACAGAACATGTAGAACAAACTACCTTACAAGCTGAAGATGTAGAACAAACTACCTTACAAACAGAACATGTAGAAGAAACTACCTTACAAACAGAAGATGTAGAACAAACTACCTTACAAACAGAAGAGGTAGAACAAACTACCTTACAAACAGAAGCTGTAGAAGAAACTACCTTACAAATAGAAGATGTAGAACAAACTACCTTACAAACAGAAGATGTAGAACAAACTACCCCACAAACAGAACATGTAGAAGAAACTACCTTACAAATAGAAGATGTAGAACAAACTACCTTACAAACAGAAGATGTAGAACAAACTACCTTACAAACAGAACATGTAGAAGAAACTACCTTACAAATAGAAGATGTAGAACCATCTACCTTACAAACAGAAGATGTTCAGCAAACTACCTTACAAACAGAAGATGTAGAACAAACTACCTTACAAACAGAATATGTTCAGCAAAGTACCTTACAAACAGAAATTATAGTTCAAACTAACTTACAAACAGAAGATGTAGAACAAACTACCTTACAAACAGAAATTATAGTACAAACTAACTTACAAACAGAAGATGTAGAACAAACTACCTTACAAACAGAAGATGTAGAACAAACTACCTTACAAACAGAAGATTTAGAACAAACTACCTTACAAACACAATATGTAGAACAAACTACCTTACAAACAGAAGATGTAGAACAAACTACCTTACAAACAGAAGATGTAGAACAAACTACCTTACAAACTGAAGATGTAGAACAAACTACCTTACAAACAGAATATGTTCAGCAAACTACCTTACAAACAGAAATTATAGTTCAAACTAACTTACAAACAGAAGATGTAGAACAAACTACCTTACAAACAGAAGATGTTCAGCAAACTACCTTACAAACAGAAATTATAGTACAAACTAACTTAAAAACAGAAGATGTAGAACAAACTACCTTACAAACAGAAGATGTAGAAGAAACTACCTTACAAACAGAAGATGTAGAACAAACTACCTTACAAATAGAAGATGTAGAACAAACTACCTTAAAAACAGAAGATGTAGAACAAACTACCTTACAAACAGAAGATGTAGAACAAACTACCTTACAAACAAAAGATGTAGAACAAACTACCTCACAAACAGAAGATGTAAAACAAACTACCTTACAAACCGAAGAGGTAGAACAAACTATCACACAAACGGGAGATCTAGAACTAACTAGCTTACAAACAGAAGATGTTCAGCAAATTACCTTACAAGCAGAAGATGTAAAACAAACTAACTTACATACAGAAGATGTAGAACTAACTAGCTTACAAACAGAAGATGTTCAGCAAATTACCTTACAAGCAGAAGATGTTCAGCAAATTACCTTACAAGCAGAAGATGTAGAACAAACTTCCTTACATACAGAAGATGTAGAACTAACTAGCTTACAAACAGAAGATGCAAATGGTGAAGATGTGGTCGATTCAGGTAACATAGTAGAAGACACAACAGACCATGGCACATTGAACAACACAGACACAGACAAAAAGCTATGGCTTCTCAACGTTTTTAGAGCTGTTTGTCATGTTCTTTCAAATCCTGAGATGCCATTTCTTGGATGACAAGTGAGATGCCATTTCTTGGATGACAACAACTGAGATGCCATGTCTAGCAAGAACCTTTGTTTTGCTGTATTTGACACATAGCATTATATGTTCCTTCTGTATGTTATTTCTGTGTATGTTTCTTCTAAAACAGCAAATTTTACTGTAGTAAAAGCTTTTGAGTCATGAAACATGTTATGTAATTTAACATAAATTGAGAATAAAATATATATTTTCTATCAGTACTAAGAATTAAGGACCACCTTCTCATAATATTCTAATTAAAAATTTGATATTTGAAAAATAAAAATGAGAATTGAATAATGTTGTTTACTTATAATCTCTGGCACTGATTGTATAGTTATAATAGTACTATGAAATAAAGTAGAATGTGTGAACCTACTGATTCAATAGTGAACTTTGGCTAATAGAATTAAAACAGTGTAACAATATCTCAGTCTCTGTACAGTAAAATTAGGAACATTACTTTCATGTAGTAAAATGTAGGAACATTACTTTCATGTAGTAAAATGTAGGAACATTACTTTCATGCGGTAAAATGTAGGAACATTACTTTCATGCGGTAAAATGTAGGAACATTACTTTCATGTAGTAAAATGTAAGAACATTACTTTCATGTAGTAAAATGTAGGAACATTACTTTCATGCGGTAAAATGTAGGAACATTACTTTCATGTAGTAAAATGTAGGAACATTACTTTCATGTAGTAAAATGTAGGAACATTACTTTCATGTAGTAAAATGTAGGAACATTACTTTCATGTAGTAAAATGTAGGAACATTACTTCCATGTAGTAAAATGTAAGAACATTACTTTCATGTAGTAAAATGTAGGAACATTACTTTCATGTAGTAAAATGTAGGAGCATTACTTTCATGTAGTAAAATATACTATACGAGCCGACCCGCGGCGTATCATATGCCGCTATTTAGTTGTTTTATTTTCTACTTTTAAGTAATTCATAATTTGTGAATTCGACAGTACCAATGCTGCCACTGAAAATATTTGCTTTAAAACACTAACCCCCCTTTTCCCCCAACCCCTACCCTACACCCCCCCCCCCGTGAAAGCAGCCTCCTCTTAGTTACCTCCTGTAAGTTTGAAATCGTTTCAAACTAAATTATCTGCCCCTAATAGCCGTCACTAAACCCGGCTCTACAATTTATAAACATTTAGAGTGAACCACCGCTCACCAGACCATAGGAACATTACTTTCATGTAGTAAAATGTAGTATATGAGCTGACCCGCGACGTAGCATACGCCGCTATCTAGTTGTTTTATTTTCTACTTATCAACAATTCATAATTTGTTAATTCGACCCCCCCCCCCCCCGCCCAGTGAAAGCAGCCGTTTACAGACGACAATGAAAATATCAAGCAGAACGTATTATCTCCCCTTAGTTTCAAATCGGTTTAAAACTAAATTATCTGCCCCTAATAGCCGTCACTTATTTCGAACCGGCTCTACTATTGTAAACAATCGGGGTGAACCACAGCTCACCTGACAGGTGGGGATGAGGGTGGTCAGTGTTTCTTCCAGACTTTTTTCTCCGGGTGGTGGGGGGGGGGGGTACTTGATATTTTTTTGGAGGGGGGGGGGGGGGGGGGGGGGAGGGGCGGACACTATTAAAAGTGTATATTTACTATATAAATTCCATCTCGTTCGGGGGGGGGGGGGCGGTAGACTTTTTTTGGGGGAGCGGAGACCACCCCCGAAGAGATGCCCGGAAGAAACTGAGGGTGGTGGCTAAGATGCGTGGTGTTTTCTATGGTTTCCATAAAGAGAATTATATATAGATAGATAGGAACATTACTTTAATGTAGTAAAATGTGTCCGAATCTGTTAACCAAAATATAAATCTAGGGTAACCTACACATAAAACAGCTTGTCCGAATCTGTTGACCAGAATATAGCGTACACCACACCAGTGGCGGAACTAGAAAATAAGGGCCACTCCGCAAAAAACTTTTTTAGCCCCCCCCCCCCATATATAAATATATAGGCCTATATATGAAATATATATATATATATATATATATATATATATATATATATATATATATATATATATATATATATATATATATATATATATATATATACAATCACAAAATACAAAAATAGGATACTCATTGCTGGCCTGTTCGGGATTTGAAAAACATAAATTTAAAAAAATTTCAACATTAGGTCATGTGTGTATGTGCATAAAATCAGTTTTAATTAATTTTTGATAGATACCCTCTTAACATCTAGTCGGTCAAAATAATGTAAACCATAAAAGCTTTGTATAAGTACTGGTGTCTCGTGTTATCTTTATTTTTATGTTGTTTTTTTATTTATATTATTAATTTTTTAAATATTATTGATTTAATATATTTCCTTTTAATAGTATGTCATTCTTTAGTAATTACTTATAAAAAATAATTGAGAGTAGTAATGATCACCCCTATTTGACTATTTTTAAAAAAAGGGAGTCATGGGAGTGGTTTGAACATTTGCTTATCTTTGTTAAGTTTAATTGTAGGAGAAAGACTCGGCTTTCGTAGTTTTTTTAAAAACAAAGGGAAAAAGAATATAGAAGAGTGTGGGGTAGTGTCTGTATATAGAATAAAGATAATCCAACCGCAGCTACGGGAATTTTTTACAAAACAACCATCAAGTTAAAAATAAAAGAAAATTTACTTTTTTAAACTATAAATTTGTTTATTATGGTCGGCTCTGGGCCCCTAAATGGCGTGCCCCCCCCCCCCCCCCCCCGCATTGCGGGGTCTGGCGGCACTGTAGTTCCGCCCCTGCACCACACACAACATGGTCATATCAAATACAAAGCTTATCCGAACCTTCTGGACTAAATATAGTTTAAAATATGGTATCCCACAAACAAGAGAGGTAGCATAGGCCTACAAGAGATAAATCTACGGTTTAAGTTTAAGCATATGATTACTAAGTTACTTCAATCACATTAGCATCTCACCTACTTATTTTGCATTCCTTTTATAAAAGCAACACCGAAGACAATAGCTTTATACTAGTAGTTATAGTTATTTAGATAGTAGATCTAGTGTATTTAAAGAAAATAATTTATTTTCTACTTTTTAGTGGATTATTACATAAAAGTTTGTTGTTAAAACGTTTTTTTTATTAATTGTTTTCATAATATTTTCATGCTAGTAGAATTTATACTTTAGACTTGGAAAATACTTTTAGTTTTAGATTTGTTTGCACCGTAAGAAAACGATTACCTGGCACAGTTTTACAAATTAGATTTAGCCCGCTAGAATATAAGCAAACCAAAAATCTTCTTACTGGACTAGAATCTAGATCTTAGACTCTAGATCTAGATCTAGATAGATCTAGATTCTAGACTAAAAAGCTGCAGACAGCCAGGTACCTAGATCTAGATCAACATTCTGATTCTAGAACGTAATTCTTATAGAAAAACTAAGAAGTAAGGTTGGTAAATGTTAAAAATCACGATATCGCCCGTAAGGCCGTGCCGTAACTAAGTAACTAGATCTAGATCTAGCTAGATCTAGATTAGATTAGAATCTAGATTTAATTATAATTTTTAATTAGATCTAGATTCTTCTAGATCTAGATTAGGGTAAAATCACGATATAGCGTCGGTTATTATTCCGGAACTGTACAGCAGTAAAAAACAGTAAAACCATAGCGTAGTCTGTCGAGCCGTTCCGGAAACCACCGGAAATACTGTAAACCATAATTTATTTGCTGCCATATTATTTTTAATACATAATGTTGAAAAATGTGCAAGGATTGATTTTAGTTGCAATTTTGTATTTCTTATTATTTTAAGTGTATGTGCTAATTATTGCTGCTACTAAACATTATTCTAGTTATTCTTACTACTTTTAACTTTAGAAAATCTAATCGTCTTATTTACTAACAGAACTAGAGCTGGTTGTCGCAAATCTTCTGCAAGTTTTTTCTGTTTCTTAAAAAAAAACATTAATTACTACACTTGACTTTAATAATAATATTTAGATTTACTAATTTTTTGTCAGTTAAACATTAAATTAAGTTAAAACATTAATTTAATGCACTTGACTTTATTTTTCATTCAACTGTCAAATAAACTATGGTTTACAGTAACGAATGTTACCGAAACTCAACGAAGATTACCCAATAATTTCCGACGCTATATCGTGATTTTACCTAGATTAGACCTAGAGTCTAGAAGAATCTATAGATCTAGATCTGCATAATCTATCGTTTTAGCGTAATCAATTCGGCTGCAGTAGTAATGTGCGGGAGACAATTTAAAATAACATGAAACTAGCTTTAAACTAGTCTAGATTCTAGGTGTTTGAGGTAGAAAAAAACAGCGGCCATCTTTCCAAATAAAATTTTGAGTACTTACCCTTGATAAAAATGTCTATTCGTATGTAAATTGTGTTGACTTTGTTGTTTAATATACATACCTGTCTTGCTTAATATAAGTAGGACAGAGGGCCGTCTTCTTATCTTTAATTTCAAGTGAAATGAAGGCTATGATGGATGTATGTATATCCAAGATCTCACAAAATTTTGGGAGGTCCTACATTTATTAACCAATTAAACCCTTTTCACTGATTAACTTGTCAATTGATAGGTCGTCCATATTCCTCATAAATGACGTTAGACTCAAAATATGGGACAGGGTAAAATATTTTTTTTTAAATAATGAAGATGTTCGTTTTCGTTAGAAATTGTGATTAAGGGTTCGGGTATAGTAGAACTGCGATATAATATTAAATCATCATCTTGCTTTTAGTGACGATTGGGGGAGAGGGAAATCATCAGGAAAAGTATGACGTCATTTACGGGTGATCCATTTAAGCCTAGTTGTTTGTTTTGTCTGTAGACATTAGTCTTAGGCTTAGGGGTCAGATGGTGCGAGGTCACACTTTTGCATTATAAAAAAGCAATGTTAGAAAACGAATTTTAGACGTTATTTCGCGTTTTAGAAAACTGTTTTAATAAATTGTAATAGATTAAAATACTATATTTTGTCAGAGTTTAGACACGATTTTAGAAAAATATCGATGTTTAAAAAAAAAACAATTCAACTGCAATTTTGAGGGGGGGGGGGGGGGGGGGGTTGTAGGTTGAGGTGTGACATCATTTAAGGGGGGGGGGGTCTGGCTTTGTGTGATGGAGGGGAGGGGGGAGGTAAAAAAATCATCAAAAAAGCGTGACGTCATTTATGGATGACCCCCTACACTTTTTCTGAATTAAGATTATTGTGTTTATAAAAATAGGTTTAAATTTTAATCAGTTACATTTGAATACCACATGGTTGTTTTTTTTCCTTTGCCTTCTGCTTTCATCAGTTTTTGATTTGTTCAGTAGTCAATGTTTATCCCTCCCCACCATCCATTATAACAAAAACAAAAAACACCCACTATATAGTAATATCTCCCTCTAGAAAAAAACTAGATCAACCTATAGTTCGTAGGAAAATTAGAATAACTTATTCTTCTGTTACAAAAAAAAAATAAATACGTAATTTTTCTCAACCCTGCCGTTTCATCCCCCACTGAGTACAACGTCAGCAAGTTCGCGGCGCACATGACGTCATTTGTCATTAGGCTAATGTTAAAGTTAAAGAAAGATATACCGCATAATTTAAAAAAAATCAAAACAGGCACTAAATCACTATGGCGATGAACTTTAGCGACGTTTAGCCTGACGAATAGATCTAAATGACTTTAGTTCAGTGAATTATATTGGAGTTTAACTTATAACAGTGGCATGTTGTTCTCCCTCTACTATACAAATTCACGTGCTTTTAATTTCTGTAACCTGCTGCCCTGAGACGTTCGGCTGTAAAATGCCCGTGACACAGCGGCTTCGGTAAATGCATGTAGGCTCCCAGTCCCACCTATAAACGTCTGTCCATTAAGCTCCACGCAAAACTTGTGATTAATATGTGGACATAAGCGGCGCTAGTGGTGGTGTCAACAGGGGCCAAGCTCAGCTCTTAAAGGTGCTTCACACTTCATAAAAGACAAAATTGATTTTCAGATATCTACTTGGAAGCCTTTATGTACTCATCATCTTTTCCCATTCATGTGCTAGACACATGGAGCAAATAAAGTAGAATCCATCTGTCTCAATGACCTCTGCATACAGAAGGATAAGGTGGTTTTTTCTAGGTCCAGCTGTCTTACTTACCCTAATGCTAGTCCGCTGCTTTGGTGCTAGATTTTAAGGATTTCCCCAATAGTCAGTGTTAGCTGCTTTGGTGCTAGATTTTAAGGATTTCCCCAATAGTCAGTGTTAGCTGCTTTGGTGCTAGATTTTAAGGATTTCCCCAATAGTCAGTGTTAGCTGCTTTGGTGCTAGATTTTAAGGATTTCCCCAATAGTCAGTGTTAGCTGCTTTGGTGCTAGATTTTAAGGATTTCCCCAATAGTCAATGTTAGCTGAACGTCTTGTGTTTTTTTAAAAAGTAGTTATCTTTTTGTGCAGAATGTCAATGCCAGTGGATGATTTCTTGAGTCACCTCCCCCCAGAAGTCATAAATTACAGCAGCCAGAAATGTGTGGATGCTCTAGACCTTATGCACAGGGATCTGCATGAGCTGCAGGATAAGCTGCTCAAACTAGCAGGTAGGGCACAATATAAGCTACTCAAACTAGCAGGTAGGGCACAATATAAGCTGCTCAAACTAGCAGGTAGGGCACAATATAAGCTACTCAAACTAGCAGGTAGGGCACAATATAAGCTGCTCAAAATGGCAGGTAGGGCACAATATAAGCTACTCAAACTGGCAGGTAGGGCACAATATAAAGCTGCTCAAACTGGCAGGTAGGGCACAATATAAGCTGCTCAAACTAGCAGGTAGGGCACAATATAAGCTGCTCAAACTGGCAGGTAGGGCACAATATAAGCTGCTCAAACTGGAAGGTAGGGCACAGGATAAGCTGAACCATGATATTATTTATTCAGGAATTGTTGTGGAGATGATCTTATGACTGTATGGCCTTCAAATTTTCAGTCCAGAGTCATATTTTGGAAGTGGACTTGGCAACACAGTTCAGCCCAGATTTATCACTGGCAGTTGACAAGGCAGTTGAAAGTTGCCTGACCTGTACACAAGCAGTAGTGTCCTCTCATGTGGCCATGGACTCAGTGATGGAGTGCACAGAGTCTGGTGAAAGCTGTCAATTACCGGCTGACACTTATTCACTAGTCAAGCCTGGTCTGTAAGTTTGTTCACTATTTACAGTCATGACATTTCAGCATTTGTTCAATGCCTGTTCACATACGTTTGTACCAAGAAGGAATAAAATCATCCAACAGATACAAAAACATTTTATTTTTATTCCAACAAAATAATGTTTAATATAACCAACAATTTTAAAATAATTTTAACCCTTTACAGTCCTCTGTGCATAAATAAATATATTGTACATTTATTTGTGCTATATTAACAGAAATTTTGTAGTGTGAGTGGGGTAAAAAAGAATGACTTACAGTACTTACACCTTTTTGTTCTGCCACTGCCAGGTTCTTTTTAAAGCTCATCTCTCTTTCATTATTATAGGCAGTATAATTAGCTAAAATTTAAACTAATTAAGATGTCTTTGCTGTTGAAACTGGCTTTGATTATAAAAACAATAGTGTAACAAAAAATTGAAAGTATTTCTACTAATAATGTTTTCTTGTGTATTAGGTGAAAATTTGTTAAATAATTTTTTAAAATATTTACGTTGAAAAATAATTTTTTGTTGCATGGCTGTATGGGAAGTAAAAAAAAAAAAAGATTTTACTGTAAAGGGTTAAAGACAAAACCCAACTTTTCAGCCTAGTTGACAGGGATTAACATGCGTGTCAAAAATTTGACCTAGGTAGAAAGATAAAGAGTTTATTTCCATGTAAAGATGAACAGGCAAGTCATACTGACCTGTCAGTTTTGTGCATACACATGCCTGCAGACATAGGGACATTTAGACAGGATGATGCAGCATAGATACAAGACCTGCTAGTCATTACTAGAACTAGCTGCATCAGACATTTAAATAAGGAGATGTAGCATAGATACAAGACCTGCTAGTCATTACTAGAACTAGCTGCATCAGACATTTAAACAGGATGATGCAGCATAGACCTGCTAGTCATTACTAGAACTAGCTGCATCAGACATTTAAATAAGGAGATGTAGCATAGATACAAGACCTGCTAGTCATTACTAGAACTAGCTGCATCAGACATTTAAACAGGATGATGCAGCATAGACCTGCTAGTCATTACTAGAACTAGCTGCATCAGACATTTAAACAGGATGATGCAGCATAGACCTGCTAGTCATTACTAGAACTAGCTGCATCAGACATTTAAACAGGATGATGCAGCATAGACCTGCTAGTCATTACTAGAACTAGCTGCACCAGACATTTAAATAAGGAGATGTAGCACAGATACAAGACCTGCTAGTCATTACTAGAACTAGCTGCATCAGACATTTAAACAGGATGATGCAGCATAGACCTGCTAGTCATTACTAGAACTAGCTGCACCAGACATTTAAATAAGGAGATGTAGCATAGACCTGCTAGTCATTACTAGAACTAGCTGCATCAGATATTTAGACAGGATGATGCAGCATAGACCTGCTAGTCATTACTAGAACTAGCTGCACCAGACATTTAAATAAGGAGATGTAGCATAGACCTGCTAGTCATTACTAGAACTAGCTGCATCAGACATTTAAATAAGGAGATGTAGCATAGACCTGCTAGTCATTACCAGAACTAGCTGCATCAGACATTTAAATAAGGAGATGTAGCATAGACCTGCTAGTCATTACTAGAACTAGCTGCACCAGACATTTAAATAAGGAGATGTAGCATAGACCTGCTAGTCATTACTAGAACTAGCTGCACCAGACATTTAAATAAGGAGATGTAGCATAGACCTGCTAGTCATTACTAGAACTAGCTGCATCAGACATTTAAATAAGGAGATGTAGCATAGACCTGCTAGTCATTACCAGAACTAGCTGCATCAGACATTTAAATAAGGAGATGTAGCATAGACCTGCTAGTCATTACCAGAACTAGCTGCATCAGACATTTAAATAAGGAGATGTAGCATAGACCTGCTAGTCATTACCAGAACTAGCTGCATCAGACATTTAAATAAGGAGATGTAGCATAGACCTGCTAGTCATTACTAGAACTAGCTGCATCAGACATTTAAATAAGGAGATGTAGCATAGACCTGCTAGTCATTACCAGAACTAGCTGCATCAGACATTTAAATAAGGAGATGTAGCATAGACCTGCTAGTCATTACCAGAACTAGCTGCATCAGACATTTAAATAAGGAGATGTAGCATAGACCTGCTAGTCATTACTAGAACTAGCTGCATCAGACATTTAAATAAGGAGATGTAGCATAGACCTGCTAGTCATTACCAGAACTAGCTGCATCAGACATTTAAATAAGGAGATGTAGCATAGACCTGCTAGTCATTACCAGAACTAGCTGCATCAGACATTTAAATAAGGAGATGTAGCATAGACCTGCTAGTCATTACCAGAACTAGCTGCATCAGACATTTAAATAAGGAGATGTAGCATAGACCTGCTAGTCATTACCAGAACTAGCTGCATCAGACATTTAAATAAGGAGATGCAGCATAGATACAAGACCTGCTAGTCATTACCAGAACTAGCTGCATCAGACATTTAAATAAGGAGATGTAGCATAGACCTGCTAGTCATTACCAGAACTAGCTGCATCAGACATTTAAATAAGGAGATGTAGCATAGACCTGCTAGTCATTACCAGAACTAGCTGCATCAGACATTTAAATAAGGAGATGTAGCATAGACCTGCTAGTCATTACCAGAACTAGCTGCATCAGACATTTAAATAAGGAGATGTAGCATAGACCTGCTAGTCATTACTAGAACTAGCTGCATCAGACATTTAAATAAGGAGATGTAGCATAGACCTGCTAGTCATTACCAGAACTAGCTGCATCAGACATTTAAATAAGGAGATGTAGCATAGACCTGCTAGTCATTACTAGAACTAGCTGCATCAGACATTTAAATAAGGAGATGTAGCATAGACCTGCTAGTCATTACTAGAACTAGCTGCATCAGACATTTAAATAAGGAGATGTAGCATAGACCTGCTAGTCATTACTAGAACTAGCTGCATCAGACATTTAAATAAGGAGATGTAGCATAGACCTGCTAGTCATTACTAGAACTAGCTGCATCAGACATTTAAATAAGGAGATGTAGCATAGACCTGCTAGTCATTACCAGAACTAGCTGCATCAGACATTTAAATAAGGAGATGTAGCATAGACCTGCTAGTCATTACCAGAACTAGCTGCATCAGACATTTAAATAAGGAGATGTAGCATAGACCTGCTAGTCATTACCAGAACTAGCTGCATCAGACATTTAAATAAGGAGATGTAGCATAGACCTGCTAGTCATTACCAGAACTAGCTGCATCAGACATTTAAATAAGGAGATGTAGCATAGACCTGCTAGTCATTACCAGAACTAGCTGCATCAGACATTTAAATAAGGAGATGTAGCATAGACCTGCTAGTCATTACTAGAACTAGCTGCATCAGACATTTAAATAAGGAGATGTAGCATAGACCTGCTAGTCATTACCAGAACTAGCTGCATCAGACATTTAAATAAGGAGATGTAGCATAGACCTGCTAGTCATTACTAGAACTAGCTGCATCAGACATTTAAATAAGGAGATGTAGCATAGACCTGCTAGTCATTACCAGAACTAGCTGCATCAGACATTTAAATAAGGAGATGTAGCATAGACCTGCTAGTCATTACCAGAACTAGCTGCATCAGACATTTAAATAAGGAGATGTAGCATAGACCTGCTAGTCATTACCAGAACTAGCTGCATCAGACATTTAAATAAGGAGATGTAGCATAGACCTGCTAGTCATTACCAGAACTAGCTGCATCAGACATTTAAATAAGGAGATGCAGCATAGATACAAGACCTGCTAGTCATTACCAGAACTAGCTGCATCAGACATTTAAATAAGGAGATGTAGCATAGACCTGCTAGTCATTACCAGAACTAGCTGCATCAGACATTTAAATAAGGAGATGTAGCATAGACCTGCTAGTCATTACCAGAACTAGCTGCATCAGACATTTAAATAAGGAGATGTAGCATAGACCTGCTAGTCATTACCAGAACTAGCTGCATCAGACATTTAAATAAGGAGATGTAGCATAGACCTGCTAGTCATTACTAGAACTAGCTGCATCAGACATTTAAATAAGGAGATGTAGCATAGACCTGCTAGTCATTACCAGAACTAGCTGCATCAGACATTTAAATAAGGAGATGTAGCATAGACCTGCTAGTCATTACTAGAACTAGCTGCATCAGACATTTAAATAAGGAGATGTAGCATAGACCTGCTAGTCATTACTAGAACTAGCTGCATCAGACATTTAAATAAGGAGATGTAGCATAGACCTGCTAGTCATTACTAGAACTAGCTGCATCAGACATTTAAATAAGGAGATGTAGCATAGACCTGCTAGTCATTACTAGAACTAGCTGCATCAGACATTTAAATAAGGAGATGTAGCATAGACCTGCTAGTCATTACCAGAACTAGCTGCATCAGACATTTAAATAAGGAGATGTAGCATAGACCTGCTAGTCATTACCAGAACTAGCTGCATCAGACATTTAAATAAGGAGATGTAGCATAGACCTGCTAGTCATTACCAGAACTAGCTGCATCAGACATTTAAATAAGGAGATGTAGCATAGACCTGCTAGTCATTACCAGAACTAGCTGCATCAGACATTTAAATAAGGAGATGTAGCACTTCCATATGTTGGCTGGAATGTTCATTCCCCACTGGGAAAAATTATAGTTCACTAATCAACAATGCACCTCAGATCTCCACAACCTGATAATGTTTAGGCTGTCACTAATCAACAATGCACCTCAGATCTCCACAACCTGATAATGTTTAGGCTGTCACTAATCAACAATGCACCTCAGATCTCCACAACCTGATAATGTTTAGGCTGTCACTAATCAACAATGCACCTCAGATCTCCACAACCTGATAATGTTTAGGCTGTCACTAATCAACAATGCACCTCAGATCTCCACAACCTGATAATGTTTAGGCTGTCACTAATCAACAATGCACCTCAGATCTCCACAACCTGATAATGTTTAGGCTGTCACTAATCAACAATGCACCTCAGATCTCCACAACCTGATAACATTTAGGCCGTCGCAATTTGACAGGTCTGGCTTTTAAAAGAATCAATTTTATCAATTGTGCTTAGAATTTTTTTAGTCAAGGTGAAAAGTCAAGTGATGCATGAAGTGCTACCTTAAGCCGAATTGCTGACCAATCATGGCTAGTATGCAAGTACATTGTGTTTTCAAACACTAGCTGAAGGTGAGGTCTGCCCCACAGGTGTGGACAGTGTGGGGGTCTGCCCCACAGGTGTGGACAGTGTGGCGGTCTCCCCCACAGGTGTGGACAGTGTGGCGGTCTCCCCCACAGGTGTGGACAGTGTGGCGGTCTCCCCCACAGGTGTGGACAGTGTGGCGGTCTCCCCCACAGGTGTGGACAGTGTGGCGGTCTCCCCCACAGGTGTGGACAGTGTGGCGGTCTCCCCCACAGGTGTGGACAGTGTGGGGGTCTCCCCCACAGGTGTGGACAGTGTGGCGGTCTCCCCCACAGGTGTGGACAGTGTGGCGGTCTCCCCCACAGGTGTGGACAGTGTGGCGGTCTCCCCCACAGGTGTGGACAGTGTGGCGGTCTCCCCCACAGGTGTGGACAGTGTGGCGGTCTCCCCCACAGGTGTGGACAGTGTGGCGGTCTCCCCCACAGGTGTGGACAGTGTGGCGGTCTCCCCCACAGGTGTGGACAGTGTGGCGGTCTCCCCCACAGGTGTGGACAGTGTGGCGGTCTCCCCCACAGGTGTGGACAATGTGGCGGTCTCCCCCACAGGTGTACATGAGAAGTGATAGATTTCTATTAAGATTGCAAACATGTACATAATGGATGTGATGGATCAGTTTAAACTGGTTCACCAAATAGGTACATAAAAACTAGCATTGTACAAGGACAGGACCACTGAGAAGTGGGTGCTAGCCATTTAAAATGATTGACATTCTAGTTGTGCTAGACTCTGTTGTTCTATGTCCCTAGCATCAAGTTATAAAAAAATATCAAAAGTTAAACTTCAGATGTTGTACGTCTTCGAGGCGCTGCTCCAGAGGGTGCCACTTGAGCAAATAATTGATGATTTAAAATTTCTTTGGCTGTTGGTCGCATTGTCGGGTCACCACTGGTCATCTGGTAAACAAGCTGGCTCTAGAAAACAAAATCAATTGGATTTGAGACCTAACCTGCTCTAGATGAGTTGCCCATACTAAACAACTAGATGGACATAAATGTTTAAAACATAATTTTTTTTTTAGATGCGTTGCCCATACTAAACTACAACTGGATGTATATAAACGTTTTTAAACATACAATTCTTTCAATCTTGTTTGAAATGACAGTCACCTATTTCAAACCTTCACTTGAACACTACTTTAAGCTACACTGTTAAACTCAATGGGAAATAGAATATCTTTTTTTAAACTACACTGTTAAACTCAATGGGAAATAGAATATCTTTCTTTAACTTTAAACTACACTGTTAACCCATATTCTGCTAGCGTCCCACTTATGGGACGCTTGTAAAAAAAATTGCTAAACATTTTTAAAAACTAGTTAAAACACAAATTATGTTTCATTGTATTTGAAAATGGCTAGACTATTGAATTTGTGTGTGTTTTGTGAAAAAAAATAATTTAGAAAAATGTTATAGTGCCGAATTTGCAGGACTTGTCAAAATGGCGAAAAAAAGAAAACATGCGCACAGGAAAATGCATATCTTTTAAAATATTAACATTTTAAGTGCAAAATACATTTGAAACTTGTAGCAGTACCATATTTATATCTGATAAAAATTTAAGAATAACAATTTTTTTTTACTACTTCGTTATATCAAGTGTACAACAAGTGTCCCATAAGTGGGACGCTAGCAACGAATGGCCCCATGTAGATTGTTACACAAACGTCACATTTATTAGACACTAGCGAGAAACACAGATGAAAATATTTATGTTAAATGGTTATTTATGGTGAAACAATTGTTGACTTTGTTAACGGTTGACTTTGGGGTGTTAAGTAGTATTTATAGATATTTAATTATGACCTTGAGCTATATTTTCTTATATATTATTGTATTAAAAAATTGCAAATATTGAAAAACTTACATTTTATTTTTAAGTTTTCAGAATTACACTTACTGAAGTATTTAATACCATTGAATAATAACTAATTTAGTATTGCTGTAAATTTACTAGCGCGTGATATTAAAATTATAACAAACCAGAATAATAACAATAGCCACGATTTAGGTGAAATGATTCAGTCATGGGGGTTGGTTAACTCTTTTCATATCAGAGAGCTTAAGCTACATATAGCAGAAATGTGAATTAGCTGTGTACAGTTGTCATGCCCCAATAATATTCCCCTCCAATAGTTCCCATTACCAGCTTTACTTTGTTAACTTTTTAAGGAGATACCTGGTGTTAGATTGGGAGCCCGTTCGCATAGTGAGTTGCATACATGGATGAGAGCCATGAACACTCAATACAAGCCCCCAGAGACAGATCCGGGCCCTAGAAATAAGATGTCTGATGTCCTAATGTACGCCTGTGAGGGGGGATAGCGAGGGTAACAAAAGAGAAGATGGCTGGATGACATCTGGGACTGGACCGGATCATCTTTTGCAAATTCACTGAGGGCAGAGTTTCTTTCAGGCATCATTTCGGAGGAGGTGGGGGCTCTGCCCCCAGAACAAAATGGAATTTATATACAAAACATACTTTTACCAATGTCCACCCTTCCCCTGAAATTTAAGTCCCCACCCCTGAAAATTTCAAGTACGCCCACCAAAAAATCAATTATTTATATTTAATTATATTACCGTTTTTGATGAATAATAACAATATTTGTGATCATGTGTGTCTAATTAGATGTACTAGTCACATCTTTACTTAATTCCAAGTGTTATTCACTTTGATGGATGCTAGATTGAAAGAAAACTAGACTTTTGAACATAATTTCTGCATTTTAGACCATGGTATGGCTAACCCAATTGATCATTATCAGTATTTTTAGCTGTCCTAAACAATGTAATCATTGGTCTAACAATACAAAATCAGTATACAGCTTAATTTTCGCGTGAATAGCCATATTTCGTGATAAATGATTTTATTTTTCAATAAATGTACATGGGGCCGTTCGTTGCTAGCGTCCCATTTATGGGACGTTTTTTAAAAAATCAATATTTAAAAAAGTATTGATTTTAAAAAAAAATCCATAGTCATTCCTTCATTCAGTGCCCAAAAGCTAAACCATATCAAAAAATTATAAAAGTTTGAGACCTTGGGATAATATGGGTTAAACTCAATGGGAAATAGAATATCTTTCTTTAACTTTAAACTACACTGTTAAACTCAATGGGAAATAGAATATCTTTCTTTAACTTTAAGCTACACTGTTAAACTCAATGGGAAATAGAATATCTTTCTTTAACTTTTAGCTACACTGTTAAACTCAATGGGAAATAGAATATCTTTTTTTAAAGCTGTTCTGACTAGCAGTCAATGATGGTGTGACTATGTAAGTTGAATAGCTTGTAGTTTTCTGTGTTCAATGAAGGCAGGTGCCACTAGATTGGGAAATACATAAGTACCATATTAGGGTGGCCATCTGGCTAGAGTTTGGGTAATTTAGCAAAAATGTTTTAGAGAGCCATTGTTGATATATCCTAAAAATGTTCTATTATCAGTGACTATGGCCAGGGTGAGTGGTGGGCTGACTATGGCCAGGGTGAGTGGTGGGCTGACTATGGCCAGTGTGAATGGTGGGCTGACTATGGCCAGGGTGAGTGGTGGGCTGACTATGGCCAGGGAGAGTGGTGGGCTGACTATGGCCAGGGTGAATGGTGGGCTGACTATGGCCAGGGTGAGTGGTGGGCTGACTATGGCCAGGGTGAGTGGTGGGCTGACTATGGCCAGGGTGACTAAGGCTAGGGCCAGAAGTTGCTTTGATCATGATTTAGTAGCCCAGACATAACTTTTCTCATTGTATTTTTTGTATTGTTCAGTTTGATATTTGTAGAAACAGATTTGGCCAGAAGATACAAGGTGTTGGGGAGGTAGGTGTTGGGGAGGTAGGTGTTGGGGAGGTAGGTGTTGGGGAGGTAGGTGTTGGGGAGGTAGGAGGTGTTGGGGTGGTAGGTGTTGGGGTGGTAGGTGTTGGGGAGGTAGGTGTTGGGGAGGTAGGTGTTGGGGAGGTAGGTGTTGGGGAGGTAGGTGTTGGGGAGGTAGGTGTTGGGGAGGTAGGAGGTGTTGGGGTGGTAGGTGTTGGGGAGGTAGGTGTTGGGGAGGTAGGTGTTCTTAGGTCAAATGTTTTGAAGATGCCACGGCCCTTACCTCAGTTGGCAATTCTCTGAGGAATCTCTCTGGAAGAATCTGTCTTTTGGCATCTTGTAGTGTCCTCATTCTCTCCATTTGAGTAGAAAAAGGTATCCAAAGTTCCAAGAAAATTAAACCCAAAGAAAATATATCCACCTTAAAGTCATAAGGCTTTTTGGCAACCTGTTAAAAAACAGGTCCATTGTGCTATGTCCTCTTACATTAATTGATTCTCTAATATCTCATTTCATTATAACTATGTCGAATTGAGTGAATTCTCTAACATAGAAAACAACAGCAACTGAACAAAACATTTGCTGTTTACATCAGAACTTTGATGTTTGGGAAAAGCAAACAATGATTTGACCTTGACCTACCTGTTCTGGGCTCATGTATAGTGTGGTCCCGACCTCAGCTGTGTGCTTGTCAGAGTTTGAATCCGACCAGGAGTCCAGGTCCTGTTGTACAGTGAGCGCTGTGACCAGACCAAAGTCTCCCACCTTAACTGTGCCATCAGCAGAGAAAAATATGTTGGAAGGCTGGGCAGCAGAGAGAAGAAAACATCTCAAGCAACAAGTCTAGCTAGCCCATAAAAACATCTGATACTTGCTGTGGTCTAGTGGTTAGCTAGCCTATACACCAAGAGGATAAGAAAATGGTCTAGCGGTTAGCTAGCCTATCACTTACTTTAAGATCTCGATGCATCAGGCCACAAGTGTGGACATAGTCCACTGCGCTGGCTATTTGAGAAAAAATATCAAGCACCAAATGGCGATCTCGCTGTAATGTGTTGTTGTTTAACCAATCTTTCAGAGTGTCTTTTTGATACAGCTGCATTTGTATGTAGAGGAAATATTTGGTTGCAGGCAGGGAAGACCTGCCCAGTGATGTCAGCTCCTTGTCTGCAGCCACTTCTGGTGACTGGCTGCCTTCTTGCTGTCTCTCAGAGCAGGTTTGTGTGGAGCTGTTGTGCTCAAATATAACACTGTCAGTGCCAGTCATGTCCAGCTCAAAGGTTGGCCCCGCCTCCGCTGGTGGACCCGCCTCCACTGGTGGCCCCGCCCCCACTGATGTGCCAAGACTGAAGCCATCTGACCAGCTGCTGTCCCTGCTCACGTCATCAGTCCTGCTTGACCTGCCCCCACACTGGCCTGATGAGGTCACCCCACACGGAGAGTAGGTTGCTGACAGATGTCCAGACTCATCACTAGAAGAAATAAATCACACCCAACATTTACACTTTTTAAAACAAAAGGTAACAAAAACAAAAGGTAACAAAAACAAAATAGATTAGAACTGATATTTTTTGGAATGGACATTTTCAATTTCAGACATTAGATGTTGAATTCAACTTGCAACATAGTCAGACAATGAGCTGATGAAGAACATAGTCAGCCAATGAGCTGATGAACAACATAGTCAGACAATGAGCTGATGAACAACATAGTCAGACAATGAGCTGATTAAGAACATAGTCAGCCAATGAGCTGATGAAGAACATAGTCAGCCAATGAGCTGATGAAGAACATAGTCAGCCAATGAGCTGATGAACAACATAGTCAGCCAATGAGCTGATGAAAAACATAGTCAGACAATGAGCTGATGAAGAACATAGTCAGACAATGAGCTGATGAAGAACATAGTCAGACAATGAGCTGATGAAGAACATAGTCAGCCAATGAGCTGATGAACAACATAGACAATGAGCTGATGAAGAACATAGTCAGCCAATGAGCTGATGAAGAACATAGTCAGCCAATGAGCTGATGAAGAACATAGACAATGAGCTGATGAAGAACATAGTCAGCCAATGAGCTGATGAAGAACATAGTCAGCCAATGAGCTGATGAAGAACATAGTCAGCCAATGAGCTGATGAAGAACATAGACAATGAGCTGATGAAGAACATAGTCAGCCAATGAGCTGATGAAGAACATAGTCAGCCAATGAGCTGATGAAGAACATAGTCAGCCAATGAGCTGATGAAGAACATAGACAATGAGCTGATGAAGAACATAGTCAGCCAATGAGCTGATGAAGAACATAGTCAGACAATGAGCTGATGAACAACATAGACAATGAGCTGATGAACAACATAGTCAGACAATGAGCTGATGAACAACATAGTCAGCCAATGAGCTGATGAAGAACATAGTCAGCCAATGAGCTGATGAACAACATAGTCAGACAATGAGCTGATAAAGAACATAGTCAGACAATGAGCTGATGAAGAACATAGTCAGACAATGAGCTGATGAACAACATAGTCAGACAATGAGCTGATGAACAACATAGTCAGACAATGAGCTGATGAACAACATAGTCAGACAATGAGCTGATGAACAACATAGTCAGACAATGAGCTGATGAAGAACATAGTCAGCCAATGAGCTGATGAAGAACATAGTCAGACAATGAGCTGATGAAGAACATAGTCAGACAATGAGCTGATGAAGAACATAGTCAGACAATGAGCTGATGAAGAACATAGTCAGACAATGAGCTGATGAAGAACATAGTCAGACAATGAGCTGATGAACAACATAGTCAGACAATGAGCTGATGAACAACATAGTCAGACAATGAGCTGATGAACAACATAGACAATGAGCTGATGAAGAACATAGTCAGACAATGAGCTGATGAAGAACATAGTCAGACAATGAGCTGATGAAGAACATAGTCAGACAATGAGCTGATGAAGAACATAGTCAGACAATGAGCTGATGAAGAACATAGTCAGACAATGAGCTGATGAAGAACATAGTCAGACAATGAGCTGATGAAGAACATAGTCAGACAATGAGCTGATGAACAACATAGTCAGACAATGAGCTGATGAACAACATAGTCAGACAATGAGCTGATGAACAACATAGTCAGACAATGAGCTGATGAAGAACATAGTCAGACAATGAGCTGATGAACAACATAGTCAGACAATGAGCTGATGAAGAACATAGTCAGACAATGAGCTGATGAAGAACATAGTCAGACAATGAGCTGATGAACAACATAGTCAGACAATGAGCTGATGAAGAACATAGTCAGACAATGAGCTGATGAAGAACATAGTCAGACAATGAGCTGATGAAGAACATAGTCAGAAATGAGCTGATGAAGAACATAGTCAGACAATGAGCTGATGAAGAACATAGTCAGACAATGAGCTGATGAAGAACATAGTCAGACAATGAGCTGATGAAGAACATAGTCAGACAATGAGCTGATGAAGAACATAGTCAGACAATGAGCTGATGAAGAACATAGTCAGACAATGAGCTGATGAAGAACATAGTCAGACAATGAGCTGATGAAGAACATAGTCAGACAATGAGCTGATGAAGAACATAGTCAGACAATGAGCTGATGAAGAACATAGTCAGACAATGAGCTGATGAAGAACATAGTCAGACAATGAGCTGATGAAGAACATTTGTAGCACAGTAGCTTGTGATCTCACACCACAAGATGCTCAAAGGTCAACAGGGCATTCCCCCCCCCCCGACAGGGTTAGTGGTATGGTCAGGGCTATTGCTGTGACAAGGGTTAGTGCTAGCATTGGTTTTGGTTTTGTGTCCAGTTTTAGGCTGAGGTGAATGCTTAGGTTTTGGTCTTTTTCTTTAGGTTAGGATTATAAGGTAATATATAAGTATAGAATTTGAGTTAGTATCAAACTATAGCACTCACCTTAAGGGTAGCCATTTGTCTCTCTCTTCCTGCCATCCTGCTGGTGGAGACTCTACCCAAGCGTTGAAGTATCGAACTATTCCAACATGTTCCAGTTTGGCTAAAACTTTGACTTCTCGCAAAACTTTTTCTTTAGCGCCATCACTGAAAGTTGTTAACTTACTATTGTTAGATTCTATCAGTCTTTAGTATTCTTTTAATCTTTAAGATGCTTTAATATCTACATTGAAAGCACAGTCATTTAGAGATGAAAAATAAAATGTTGACAGCTAGAGATGGGTCAGAATGCTAGTTATTTACCTTCTGGGCAGCATGGTCCTTTTGACAGCATAATGTTGGTCATCCACCTTGTTTACAGCCTCAAAGACCACCCCAAACCCTCCCTTACCAAGGCAGTGAAGACACTCAAAATCTGTGGCAAACCTACAGGCAAAGACAAAATCTGGAAAACCTACAGGCAAAGACACAATCTGGCAAACCTACAGGCAAAGACAAAATCTGGCAAACCTACAGGCAAAGACAAAATCTGGCAAACCTACAGGCAAAGACACAATCTGGCAAACCTACAGGCAAAGACAAAATCTGGCAAACCTACAGGCAAAGACAAAAATGGTTGGCAAACCTACAGGCAAAGACACAATCTGGCAAACCTACAGGCAAAGACAAAATCTGGCAAAGCTACAGGCAAAGACACAATCTGGCAAACACACAGGCAAAGACAAAATCTGGCAAACCTACAGGCAAAGACAAAATCTGGCAAATCTACAGGCAAAGACACAATCTGGCAAACACACAGGCAAAGACAAAATCTGGCAAATCTACAGGCAAAGACAAAATCTGGCAAATCTACAGGCAAAGACACAATCTGGCAAACACACAGGCAAAGACAAAATCTGGCAAATCTACAGGCAAAGACAAAATCTGGCAAACCTACAGGCAAAGACACAATCTGGCAAACACACAGGCAAAGACAAAATCTGGCAAATCTACAGGCAAAGACAAAATCTGGCAAACCTACAGACAAAGACACAATCTGGCAAACCTACAGGCAAAGACACAATCTGGCAAACCTACAGGCAAAGACACAATCTGGCAAACACACAGGCAAAGACAAAATCTGGCAAATCTACAGGCAAAGACAAAATCTGGCGAACCTACAGGCAAAGACACAATCTGGCAAACCTGTTGCATTGTTTCTTTGAGGGACCATGTAATGAATAAAGGAGATGTGTGATGATCTTTGAGGGACCTGAATAAAGGAGATGTGTGATGATCTTTGAGGGACCTGAATAAAGGAGATGTGTGATGATCTTTGAGGGACCTGAATAAAGGAGATGTGTGATGATCTTTGAGGGACCTGAATAAAGGAGATGTGTGATGATCTTTGAGGGACCTGAATAAAGGAGATGTGTGATGATCTTTGAGGGACCTGAATAAAGGAGATGTGTGATGATCTTTGAGGGACCTGAATAAAGGAGATGTGTGATGATCTTTGAGGGACCTGAATAAAGGAGATGTGTAATGATCTTTGAGGGACCTGAATAAAGGAGATCAGGGTTCGTACTGCTTTTTGAAAATGAAATTCCAGACTTTTTCCAGACTTTTTTGGAAAAATTCCAGACTTTAGACAGATAATGTGTGAATAATTTTTTTAAAATGATGCACTATTTGTACTGTCATTTTAATTACTTATACTAAATTGACATTTATTTTAGGCAATTGAGCTATATTCATAGTGAACTTTCTCTAGCCAAATTGACAGAAAATCATTTTTTCTAAGTTTGCCTACTCCACCCTACCTAAAATTGTAACAATTGAAAAATTGATTAAAATGATGAAACTATTGTTTCCAACATTAGACTTATGTAATCTGTTCCTGATCTAATTGCTTATGTTTTCAATTAAACTATCATTAAAATGGTATTGTATAATAGTGAGAGTTAATTACTTTAAACAATAATAATGTAATGTATTAATTTAGGTCTGCTCTTGTGTAGCCTCATATAGGCTACGTGTAAAGAAAAAAAATTGGAGCAAAAAAAAAAAAAAAAAAAAAAAAAAAAAAAAAAAAAAAAAATCACTGTTTGTGCTTATAGTAATAGCTGAGAAACGGGTCTGCTATAAAAAAAATTGCCCGTATCCTTTCCTCCCATCCCCCCCCCCCTCACATACACACGACACGATGAAGGGTTCACTCTGAGGTCATAGTAGTCTAGACTTCAGTATGCCTGTTTAATACGTCATAACATGAACTGTGCTGTGACTTATACCCCCTCCCCTCCTTACCAGGCAGTACCAACTACGCACTTGGGTTCACGGTGAGTTCACACAAGTGACCGTGGTTACAAGGAGGGGCGGGGTAGTTTAACTTTAATCGTCAGCGTTTGCAATGATTTCAAAAACAGTTTAATGGAAGGTGAATTACAATTAAATCGAGAGCCTAACAATCATGACGGCGATCATTCTTTCATTAAATGACAATTGTAAGTACTTGTAACACATTCATACGGTCAGTCGGGCCACAAAATATCTCTTCCCTCCCTTCCCCTCTTCTTCCAATGACGTAGTAACTGAGCATTCGTGTTTTTTTCTGCGAACAAGCGAAAAAACGCCACAACATAGTGTAAACCCGCGCGATAGCGCGGGGAAAAAAATTGGACTAAAGTCACTTAAAAATCGCAATTTTCTAAGTTGGAAAATATGGACTACGAAGTTTTGTTTCTAAAACTAGATTCCAGACTTTTTCCAGACTTTTAAAAAATCCTGCCCAAAAACTAGCGATTTTCCAGACATTTTTAAGTCTTAAATTCACTTTTCTAAATTCAAGACTTTTTCCAGACTGCGTACGAACCCTGGGAGATATGTGATGATCTTTGAGGGACCATGTAATGAATAAAGGAGACGTGTGATGATCTTTGAGGGGAGGGACCTGAATAAAGGAGATGTGTGATGATCTTTGAGGGGAGGGACCTGAATAAAGGAGATGTGTGATGATCTTTGAGGGACCTGAATAAAGGAGATATGTGATGATCTTTGAGGGACCATGTAATGAATAAAGGAGACGTGTGATGATCTTTGAGGGGAGGGACCTGAATAAAGGAGATGTGTGATGATCTTTGAGGGGAGGGACCTGAATAAAGGAGATGTGTGATGATCTTTGAGGGACCATGTAATGAATAAAGGAGACGTGTGATGATCTTTGAGGGACCTGAATAAAGGAGATGTGTGATGATCTTTGAGGGGAGGGACCTGAATAAAGGAGATGTGTGATGATCTTTGAGGGACCTGAATAAAGGAGATATGTGATGATCTTTGAGGGACCATGTAATGAATAAAGGAGACGTGTGATGATCTTTGAGGGGAGGGACCTGAATAAAGGAGATGTGTGATGATCTTTGAGGGACCATGTAATGAATAAAGGAGACGTGTGATGATCTTTGAGGGGAGGGACCTGAATAAAGGAGATGTGTGATGATCTTTGAGGGACCTGAATAAAGGAGATGTGTGATGATCTTTGAGGGACCTGAATAAAGGAGATGTGTGATGATCTTTGAGGGACCTGAATAAAGGAGATGTGTGATGATCTTTGAGGGACCTGAATAAAGGAGATGTGTAATGATCTTTGAGGGACCTGAATAAAGGAGATCAGGGTTCGTACTGCTTTTTGAAAATGAAATTCCAGACTTTTTCCAGACTTTTTTGGAAAAATTCCAGACTTTAGACAGATAATGTGTGAATAATTTTTTTAAAATGATGCACTATTTGTACTGTCATTTTAATTACTTATACTAAATTGACATTTATTTTAGGCAATTGAGCTATATTCATAGTGAACTTTCTCTAGCCAAATTGACAGAAAATCATTTTTTCTAAGTTTGCCTACTCCACCCTACCTAAAATTGTAACAATTGAAAAATTGATTAAAATGATGAAACTATTGTTTCCAACATTAGACTTATGTAATCTGTTCCTGATCTAATTGCTTATGTTTTCAATTAAACTATCATTAAAATGGTATTGTATAATAGTGAGAGTTAATTACTTTAAACAATAATAATGTAATGTATTAATTTAGGTCTGCTCTTGTTAAGTAGCCTCATATAGGCTACGTGTAAAGAAAAAAAATTGGAGCAAAAAAAAAAAAAAAAAAAAAAAAAAAATCACTGTTTGTGCTTATAGTAATAGCTGAGAAACGGGTCTGCTATAAAAAAAATTGCCCGTATCCTTTCCTCCCATCCCCCCCCCTCACATACACACGACACGATGAAGGGTTCACTCTGAGGTCATAGTAGTCTAGACTTCAGTATGCCTGTTTAATACGTCATAACATGAACTGTGCTGTGACTTATACCCCCTCCCCTCCTTACCAGGCAGTACCAACTACGCACTTGGGTTCACGGTGAGTTCACACAAGTGACCGTGGTTACAAGGAGGGGCGGGGTAGTTTAACTTTAATCGTCAGCGTTTGCAATGATTTCAAAAACAGTTTAATGGAAGGTGAATTACAATTAAATCGAGAGCCTAACAATCATGACGGCGATCATTCTTTCATTAAATGACAATTGTAAGTACTTGTAACACATTCATACGGTCAGTCGGGCCACAAAATATCTCTTCCCTCCCTTCCCCTCTTCTTCCAATGACGTAGTAACTGAGCATTCGTGTTTTTTTCTGCGAACAAGCGAAAAAACGCCACAACATAGTGTAAACCCGCGCGATAGCGCGGGGAAAAAATTGGACTAAAGTCACTTAAAAATCGCAATTTTCTAAGTTGGAAAATATGGACTACGAAGTTTTGTTTCTAAAACTAGATTCCAGACTTTTTCCAGACTTTTAAAAAATCCTGCCCAAAAACTAGCGATTTTCCAGACATTTTTAAGTCTTAAATTCACTTTTCTAAATTCAAGACTTTTTCCAGACTGCGTACGAACCCTGGGAGATATGTGATGATCTTTGAGGGACCATGTAATGAATAAAGGAGACGTGTGATGATCTTTGAGGGGAGGGACCTGAATAAAGGAGATGTGTGATGATCTTTGAGGGACCATGTAATGAATAAAGGAGACGTGTGATGATCTTTGAGGGGAGGGACCTGAATAAAGGAGATGTGTGATGATCTTTGAGGGACCATGTAATGAATAAAGGAGACGTGTGATGATCTTTGAGGGACCTGAATAAAGGAGATGTGTGATGATCTTTGAGGGGAGGGACCTGAATAAAGGAGATGTGTGATGATCTTTGAGGGACCATGTAATGAATAAAGGAGACGTGTGATGATCTTTGAGGGGAGGGACCTGAATAAAGGAGACGTGTGATGATCTTTGAGGGACCATGTAATGAATAAAGGAGACGTGTGATGATCTTTGAGGGGAGGGACCTGAATAAAGGAGATGTGTGATGATCTTTGAGGGACCATGTAATGAATAAAGGAGACGTGTGATGATCTTTGAGGGGAGGGACCTGAATAAAGGAGATGTGTGATGATCTTTGAGGGACCATGTAATGAATAAAGGAGATGTGTGATGATCTTTGAGGGGAGGGACCTGAATAAAGGAGATGTGTGATGATCTTTGAGGGACCTGAATAAAGGAGATGTGTGATGATCTTTGAGGGACCATGTAATGAATAAAGGAGACGTGTGATGATCTTTGAGGGGAGGGACCTGAATAAAGGAGATGTGTGATGATCTTTGAGGGACCATGTAATGAATAAAGGAGACGTGTGATGATCTTTGAGGGGAGGGACCTGAATAAAGGAGATGTGTGATGATCTTTGAGGGGAGGGACCTGAATAAAGGAGATGTGTGATGATCTTTGAGGGACCTGAATAAAGGAGATGTGTGATGATCTTTGAGGGACCTGAATAAAGGAGATGTGTGATGATCTTTGAGGGACCTGAATAAAGGAGATGTGTGATGATCTTTGAGGGACCTGAATAAAGGAGATGTGTGATGATCTTTGAGGGACCTGAATAAAGGAGATGTGTGATGATCTTTGAGGGGAGGGACCTGAATAAAGGAGATGTGTGATGATCTTTGAGGGACCTGAATAAAGGAGATGTGTGATGATCTTTGAGGGACCTGAATAAAGGAGATGTGTGATGATCTTTGAGGGACCTGAATAAAGGAGATGTGTGATGATCTTTGAGGGACCTGAATAAAGGAGATGTGTGATGATCTTTGAGGGACCTGAATAAAGGAGATGTGTGATGATCTTTGAGGGACCTGAATAAAGAAGACGTGTGATGCATCTGATGAGGGACAAGCACAACTAACCTGGAGGTGTATTTGCCAAAGCTTCCAGAATTTTCCTGCAGAACTGGAGCACTGTCAGATGACACAAGAAACACTTCTTCACTTCCTTTTTCCTGCAACAACAACTTGACCATAACACAAAAAACTTGTCTAACAAAAACTTGACCATAACACAAAAAACTTGTCTAACAAAAACTTGACCATAACACAAAAAACTTGTCTAACAAAAACTTGACCATAACACAAAAAACTTGTCTAACAAAAACTTGACCATAACACAAAAAACTTGTCTAACAAAAACTTGACCATAACACAAAAAACTTGTCTAACAAAAACTTGACCATAACACAAAAAACTTGTCTAACAAAAACTTGACCATAACACAAAAAACTTGTCTAACAAAAACTTGACCATAACACAAAAAACTTGTCTAACAAAAACTTGACCATAACACAAAAAACTTGTCTAACAAAAACCTTGACTTATTATAAGCCCTAGTTCTATTCCCACAGGAACTTTCAAAACCCTTGAGCAAAAGATCTGCTTCTAATATCCATGAACCAATCCAATAAAGGCTAAATTCTATTCCTATAGACTTACCAAAGTATGATCAGTCTTCTTGAATAGCTTGATTAAACACAGATGTAAAGCAACAGAGAAGATAACGCCAACCAATACAAGTTTCCTGAAACAAAAAAACAGAAAATATAGGTGGAGTCAGTCACCTCTAAAATTAGCATCAAATATGGGGGGGGGGGGGGGGGGGGGGGGGGGGGGGTAGAGAACATGGCCCTAAAGGTAGCCACAGAACATGGTCCTAAAGGTAGCCACAGGTACAGAACATGGTCCTAAGGTAGCCACAAGTACAGAACATGGTCCTAAAGGTAGCCACAGGTACAGAACATGGTCCTAAAGGTAGCCACAGGTACAGAACATGGTCCTAAAGGTAGCCACAGGTACAGAACATGGTCCTAAGGTAGCCACAAGTACAGAACATGGTCCTAAAGGTAGCCACAGGTACAGAACATGGTCCTAAAGGTAGCCACAGGTACAGAACATGGTCCTAAAGGTAGCCACAGGTACAGAACATGGTCCTAAAGGTAGTCACAGGTACAGAACATGGTCCTAAAGGTAGCCACAGGTACAGAACATGGTCCTAAGGTAGCCACAAGTACAGAACATGGTCCTAAAGGTAGCCACAGGTACAGAACATGGTTCTAAGGTAGCCACAAGTACAGAACATGGTCCTAAAGGTAGCCATAGGTACAGAACATGGTCCTAAAGGTAGCCACAGGCACAGAACATGGTCCTAAAGGTAGCCACAGGTACAGAACATGGTCCTAAAGGTAGCCACAGGTACAGAACATGGTCCTAAAGGTAGCCACAGGTACATAACATGGTCCTAAAGGTAGCCACAGGTACAGAACATGGTCCTAAAGGTAGCCACAGGTACAGAACATGGTCCTAAAGGTAGCCACAGGTACAGAACATGGTCCTAAAGGTAGCCACAGGTACAGAACATGGTCCTAAAGGTAGCCACAGGTACAGAACATGGTCCTAAAGGTAGCCACAGGTACAGAACATGGTCCTAAAGGTAGTCACAGGTACAGAACATGGTCCTAAAGGTAGCCACAGGTACAGAACATGGTCCTAAAGGTAGCCACAGGTACAGAACATGGTCCTAAAGGTAGCCACAGGTACAGAACATGGTCCTAAAGGTAGCCACAGGTACAGAACATGGTCCTAAAGGTAGCCACAGGTACAGAACATGGTCCTAAAGGTAGCCACAGGTACAGAACATGGTCCTAAAGGTAGCCACAGGTACAGAACATGGTCCTAAAGGTAGCCACAGGTACAGAACATGGTCCTAAAGGTAGCCACAGGTACAGAACATGGTCCTAAAGGTAGCCACAGGTACAGAACATGGTCCTAAAGGTAGCATACAATGTTTGCTGCCAGGTAGCATAAAGTTGGGTAGAAACTTAAAAAAATGAAACCTAAGACTGAAGTAAGTAGTTGCTAATATGACTTTACCAAGTAACTTGCCACTTGTGCTCCTGTTGTCCATGTTTTGTGTCCTCAATCAACAGGACCTGCTCTTTTTTGCTTGCACGCAGGTCAGCAAACTCTGGGTACAGGAAGTAGCCAGTGTCTAGAACAGAAACAAGTGGAGCATAGTGCTAGCTCAGCCAGTCTGGGTACAGGAAGTAGCCAGTGTCTAGAACAGAAACAAGTGGAGCATAGTGCTAGCTCAGTCAGTCTGGGTACAGGAAGTAGCCAGTGTCTAGAACAGAAACAAGTGGAGCATAGTGCAGGTCAGCCAGTCTGGGTACAGGAAGTAGCCAGTGTCTAGAACAGAAACAAGTGGAGCATAGTGCAGGTCAGCCAGTCTGGGTACAGGAAGTAGCCAGTGTCTAGAACAGAAACAAGTGGAGCATAGTGCTAGCTCAGCCAGTCTGGGTACAGGAAGTAGCCAGTGTCTAGAACAGAAACAAGTGGAGCATAGTGCTAGCTCAGCCAGTCTGGGTACAGGAAGTAGCCAGTGTCTAGAAGAGAAACAAGTGGAGCATAGTGCTAGCTCAGTCAGTCTGGGTACAGGAAGTAGCCAGTGTCTAGAACAGAAACAAGTGGAGCATAGTGCTAGCTCAGCCAGTCTGGGTACAGGAAGTAGCCAGTGTCTAGAACAGAAACAAGTTGAGCATAGTGCTAGCTCAGCCAGTCTGGGTACAGGAAGTAGCCAGTGTCTAGAACAGAAACAAGTGGAGCATAGTGCTAGCTCAGCCAGTCTGGGTACAGGAAGTAGCCAGTGTCTAGAACAGAAACAAGTGGAGCATAGTGCTAGCTCAGCCAGTCTGGGTACAGGAAGTAGCCAGTGTCTAGAACAGAAACAAGTGGAGCATAGTGCTAGCTCAGTCAGTCTGGGTACAGGAAGTAGCCAGTGTCTAGAACAGAAACAAGTGGAGCATAGTGCTAGCTCAGTCAGTCTGGGTACAGGAAGTAGCCAGTGTCTAGAACAGAAACAAGTGGAGCATAGTGCAGGTCAGCCAGTCTGGGTACAGGAAGTAGCCAGTGTCTAGAACAGAAACAAGTGGAGCATAGTGCAGGTCAGCCAATCTGGGTACAGGAAGTAGCCAGTGTCTAAAACAGAAACAAGTGGAGCATAGTGCAGGTCAGCAAACTCTGGGTACAGGAAGTAGCCAGTGTCTAGAACAGAAACAAGTGGAGCATAGTGCAGGTCAGCCAGTCTGGGTACAGGAAGTAGCCAGTGTCTAGAACAGAAACAAGTGGAGCATAGTGCTAGCTCAGCCAGTCTGGGTACAGGAAGTAGCCAGTGTCTAGAACAGAAACAAGTGGAGCATAGTGCTAGCTCAGCCAGTCTGGGTACAGGAAGTAGCCAGTGTCTAGAACAGAAACAAGTGGAGCATAGTGCTAGCTCAGCCAGTCTGGGTACAGGAAGTAGCCAGTGTCTAGAACAGAAACAAGTGGAGCATAGTGCTAGCTCAGTCAGTCTGGGTACAGGAAGTAGCCAGTGTCTAGAACAGAAACAAGTGGAGCATAGTGCAGGTCAGCCAGTCTGGGTACAGGAAGTAGCCAGTGTCTAGAACAGAAACAAGTGGAGCATAGTGCAGGTCAGCCAATCTGGGTACAGGAAGTAGCCAGTGTCTAGAACAGAAACAAGTGGAGCATAGTGCTAGCTCAGCCAGTCTGGGTACAGGAAGTAGCCAGTGTCTAGAACAGAAACAAGTGGAGCATAGTGCTAGCTCAGCCAGTCTGGGTACAGGAAGTAGCCAGTGTCTAGAACAGAAACAAGTGGAGCATAGTGCTAGCTCAGCCAGTCTGGGTACAGGAAGTAGCCAGTGTCTAGAACAGAAACAAGTGGAGCATAGTGCTAGCTCAGCCAGTCTGGGTACAGGAAGTAGCCAGTGTCTAGAACAGAAACAAGTGGAGCATAGTGCTAGCTCAGTCAGTCTGGGTACAGGAAGTAGCCAGTGTCTAGAACAGAAACAAGTGGAGCATAGTGCAGGTCAGCCAATCTGGGTACAGGAAGTAGCCAGTGTCTAGAACAGAAACAAGTGGAGCATAGTGCTAGCTCAGCCAGTCTGGGTACAGGAAGTAGCCAGTGTCTAGAACAGAAACAAGTGGAGCATAGTGCAGGTCAGCCAATCTGGGTACAGGAAGTAGCCAGTGTCTAGAACAGAAACAAGTGGAGCATAGTGCTAGCTCAGCCAGTCTGGGTACAGGAAGTAGCCAGTGTCTAGAACAGAAACAAGTGGAGCATAGTGCTAGCTCAGCCAGTCTGGGTACAGGAAGTAGCCAGTGTCTAGAACAGAAACAAGTGGAGCATAGTGCTAGCTCAGCCAGTCTGGGTACAGGAAGTAGCCAGTGTCTAGAACAGAAACAAGTGGAGCATAGTGCTAGCTCAGCCAGTCTGGGTACAGGAAGTAGCCAGTGTCTAGAACAGAAACAAGTGGAGCATAGTGCTAGCTCAGCCAGTCTGGGTACAGGAAGTAGCCAGTGTCTAGAACAGAAACAAGTGGAGCATAGTGCTAGCTCAGCCAGTCTGGGTACAGGAAGTAGCCAGTGTCTAGAACAGAAACAAGTGGAGCATAGTGCTAGCTCAGTCAGTCTGGGTACAGGAAGTAGCCAGTGTCTAGAACAGAAACAAGTGGAGCATAGTGCTAGCTCAGTCAGTCTGGGTACAGGAAGTAGCCAGTGTCTAGAACAGAAACAAGTGGAGCATAGTGCAGGTCAGCCAGTCTGGGTACAGGAAGTAGCCAGTGTCTAGAACAGAAACAAGTGGAGCATAGTGCAGGTCAGCCAATCTGGGTACAGGAAGTAGCCAGTGTCTAGAACAGAAACAAGTGGAGCATAGTGCTAGCTCAGCCAGTCTGGGTACAGGAAGTAGCCAGTGTCTAGAACAGAAACAAGTGGAGCATAGTGCAGGTCAGCCAGTCTGGGTACAGGAAGTAGCCAGTGTCTAAAACAGAAACAAGTGGAGCATAGTGCTAGCTCAGTCAGTCTGGGTACAGGAAGTAGCCAGTGTCTAAAACAGAAACAAGTGGAGCATAGTGCTAGCTCAGCCAGTCTGGTACCCAGATCACAAGGAGAAGAATCACCCTGTAAAAACACCTGTCCACACCCTGTAAAAACGCCTGACCACACCCTGTAAAAACACCTGACCACACCCTGTAAAAACACCTGTCCACACCCTGTAAAAACACCTGTCCACACCCTGTAAAAACACCTGTCCACACCCTGTAAAAACACCTGTCCACACCCTGTAAAAACACCTGTCCACACCCTGTAAAAACACCTGGCCACACCCTGTAAAAACGCCTGTCCACACCCTGTAAAAACACCTGTCCACACCCCACCCACCCTGTAAAAACACCTGTCCACACCCTGTAAAAACACCTGTCCACACCCTGTAAAAACACCTGACCACACCCTGTAAAAACACCTGGCCACACCCTGTAAAAACACCTGACCACACCCCACCCACCCTGTAAAAACACCTGGCCACACCCTGTAAAAACACCTGTCCACACCCTGTAAAAACACCTGGCCACACCCTGTAAAAACACCTGTCCACACCCTGTAAAAACACCTGTCCACACCCCACCCACACCCTGTAAAAACACCTGTCCACACCCCACCCACACCCTGTAAAAACACCTGTCCACACCCTGTAAAAACACCTGACCACACCCCACCCACAGCCTGTAAAAACACCTGACCACACCCCACCCACACCCTGTAAAAACACCTGACCACACCCCACCCACAACCTGTAAAAACAACTGGCCACACCCCACCCACACCCTGTAAAAACACCTATCCACACCCCACCCACAGCCTGTAAAAACACCTGACCACACCCCACCCACCCTGTAAAAACACCTGTCCACACCCCATAAAAACACCTGGCCACACCCCATAAAAACACCTGACCACACCCCACCCACAACCTGTAAAAACCCCTGTCCACACACCACCCACCCTGTAAAACCCCTGTCCACACCCCACCCACCCTGTAAAAACCCCTGTCCACACCCCATAAAAACACCTGTCCACACCCCACCCACCCTGTAAAAACACCTGTCCACTCCCCACCCACCCTGTAAAAACACCTGGCCACTCCCCACCCACCCTGTAAAAACACCTGACCACACCCCACCAACAACCTGTAAAAACAACTGGCCACACCCCACCCACCCTGTAAAAACACCTGTCCACACCCCATAAAAACACCTGTCCACACCCTGTAAAAACACCTGGCCACTCCCTACCCACCCTGTAAAAACACCTGTCCACACCCCACCCACCCCATAAAAACACCTGTCCACACCCTGTAAAAACACCTGTCCACACCCTGTAAAAACACCTGGCCACACCCCACCCACCCTGTAAAAACACCTGTCCACACCCCATAAAAACACCTGTCCACACCCTGTAAAAACACCTGTCCACACCCTGTAAAAACACCTGTCCACACCCTGTAAAAACACCTGTCCACACCCTGTAAAAACACCTGTCCACACCCTGTAAAAACACCTGTCCACACCCTGTAAAAACACCTGACCACACCCTGTAAAAACACCTGTCCACACCCTGTAAAAACACCTGACCACACCCTGTAAAAACACCTGACCACACCCTGTAAAAACACCTGTCCACACCCTGTAAAAACACCTGTCCACACCCCACCCACACCCTGTAAAAACACCTGACCACACCCTGTAAAAACACCTGACCACACCCTGTAAAAACACCTGTCCACACCCTGTAAAAACACCTGACCACACCCCACCCACAGCCTGTAAAAACACCTGACCACACCCCACCCACACCCTGTAAAAACACCTGACCACACCCCACCCACAACCTGTAAAAACAACTGGCCACACCCCACCCACACCCTGTAAAAACACCTATCCACACCCCACCCACAGCCTGTAAAAACACCTGACCACACCCCACCCACCCTGTAAAAACACCTGTCCACACCCCATAAAAACACCTGGCCACACCCCATAAAAACACCTGACCACACCCCACCCACAACCTGTAAAAACCCCTGTCCACACACCACCCACCCTGTAAAACCCCTGTCCACACCCCACCCACCCTGTAAAAACCCCTGTCCACACCCCATAAAAACACCTGTCCACACCCCACCCACCCTGTAAAAACACCTGTCCACTCCCCACCCACCCTGTAAAAACACCTGGCCACTCCCCACCCACCCTGTAAAAACACCTGACCACACCCCACCAACAACCTGTAAAAACAACTGGCCACACCCCACCCACCCCATAAAAACACCTGTCCACACCCTGTAAAAACACCTGGCCACACCCCACCCACCCTGTAAAAACACCTGTCCACTCCCCACCCACCCTGTAAAAACACCTGTCCACACCCCACCCACCCCATAAAAACACCTGTCCACACCCTGTAAAAACACCTGGCCACACCCCACCCACCCTGTAAAAACACCTGTCCACTCCCCACCCACCCTGTAAAAACACCTGTCCACTCCCCACCCACCCTGTAAAAACACCTGTCCACACCCCACCCACCCTGTAAAAACACCTGTCCACACCCCACCCACCCTGTAAAAACACCTGTCCACACCCTGTAAAAACACCTGTCCACTCCCCACCCACCCTGTAAAAACACCTGTCCACTCCCCACCCACCCTGTAAAAACACCTGTCCACTCCCCACCCACCCTGTAAAAACACCTGTCCACACCCCACCCACCCTGTAAAAACACCTGTCCACACCCCACCCACCCCATAAAAACACCTGTCCACACCCTGTAAAAACACCTGGCCACACCCCACCCACCCTGTAAAAACACCTGACCACACCACGCCCACCCTGTAAAAACCCCTGTCCACTCCCCACCCACCCCATAAAAACACCTGTCCACACCCCACCCACCCTGTAAAAACACCTGTCCACTCCCCACCCACCCTGTAAAAACACCTGTCCACTCCCCACCCACCCTGTAAAAACCCCTGTCCACACCCCACCCACCCTGTAAAAACACCTGTCCACACCCCACCCACCCTGTAAAAACACCTGTCCACTCCCCACCCACCCTGTAAAAACACCTGTCCACACCCCACCCACCCTGTAAAAACACCTGTCCACACCCCACCCACCCTGTAAAAACACCTGTCCACACCCCACCCACCCTGTAAAAACACCTGTCCACTCCCCACCCACCCTGTAAAAACACCTGTCCACTCCCCACCCATCCTGTAAAAACACCTGTCCACTCCCCACCCACCCTGTAAAAACACCTGTCCACTCCCCATAAAAACACCTGTCCACACCCTGTAAAAACACCTGTCCACTCCCCACCCACCCTGTAAAAACACCTGTCCACACCCCACCCACCCCATAAAAACACCTGTCCACACCCCATAAAAACACCTGTCCACACCCTGTAAAAACCCCTGTCCACACCCTGTAAAAACCCCTGTCCACACCCTGTAAAAACCCCTGTCCACACCCTGTAAAAACCCCTGTCCACACCCTGTAAAAACACCTGTCCACACCCTGTAAAAACACCTGTCCACTCCCCACCCACCCTGTAAAAACACCTGTCCACTCCCCACCCACCCTGTAAAAACCCCTGTCCACTCCCCACCCACCCTGTAAAAACCCCTGTCCACTCCCCACCCACCCTGTAAAAACACCTGTCCACTCCCCACCCACCCTGTAAAAACCCCTGTCCACTCCCCACCCACCCTGTAAAAACACCTGTCCACACCCCACCCACCCTGTAAAAACACCTGTCCACACCCCACCCACCCTGTAAAAACACCTGTCCACACCCCACCCACCCTGTAAAAACACCTGTCCACTCCCCACCCACCCTGTAAAAACCCCTGTCCACTCCCCACCCACCCTGTAAAAACCCCTGTCCACTCCCCACCCACCCTGTAAAAACCCCTGTCCACTCCCCACCCACCCTGTAAAAACACCTGGCCACACCCTGTAAAAACACCTGTCCACTCCCCACCCACCCTGTAAAAACCCCTGTCCACAGCCCACCAATCAAACAAACAGAAGAGCCTACCAAAAGGGTAATCTTCATGCCAAACTGTCAGTGATGTGCTGTCTTTTTTCTTTCTGACATCTGGGGATTTTTCTAGTTGTGCTGGTTGTCTGTTCCCTCCAAAAATGGGCGTCCTCACAGAAGCTACGAATATAAGAGTTGATGGTGTCATAGGGTCAGGTAAAATATTAGTTGATGGTGTCATAGGGTCAGGTGGAATATTAGTTGATGGTGTCATAGGGTCAGGTGGAATATTAGTTGATGGTGTCATAGGGTCAGGTGGAATATTAGTTGATGGTGTCATAGGGTCAGGTGGAATATTAGTTGATGGTGTCATAGGGTCAGGTGGAATATTAGTTGATGGTGTCATAGGGTCAGGTGGAATATTATTATTAGTTGATGGTGTCAAAGGGTCAGGTAAAATATTTGTTGATGGTGTCATAGGGTCAGGTAAAATATTAGTTGATGGTGTCATAGGGTCAGGTGGAATATTAGTTGATGGTGTCATAGGGTCAGGTGGAATATTAGTTGATGGTGTCATAGGGTCAGGTGGAATATTAGTTGATGGTGTCATAGGGTCAGGTGGAATATTAGTTGATGGTGTCATAGGGTCAGGTGGAATATTAGTTGATGGTGTCATAGGGTCAGGTGGAGTATTAGTTGATGGTGTCATAGGGTCAGGTAAAATATTAGTTGATGGTGTCATAGGGTCAGGTGGAATATTAGTTGATGGTGTCATAGGGTCAAGTGGAATATTAGTTGATGGTGTCATAGGGTCAGGTGGAATATTAGTTGATGGTGTCATAGGGTCAGGTGGAATATTAGTTGATGGTGTCATAGGGTCAGGTGGAATATTAGTTGATGGTGTCATAGGGTCAGGTGGAATATTAGTTGATGGTGTCATAGGGTCAGGTGGAATATTAGTTGATGGTGTCATAGGGTCAGGTAAAATATTAGTTGATGGTGTCATAGGGTCAGGTAAAATATTAGTTGATGGTGTCATAGGGTCAGGTGGAATATTAGTTGATGGTGTCATAGGGTCAGGTGGAATATTAGTTGATGGTGTCATAGGGTCAGGTAAAATATTAGTTGATGGTGTCATAGGGTCAGGTAAAATATTAGTTGATGGTGTCATAGGGTCAGGTAAAATATTAGTTGATGGTGTCATAGGGTCAGGTGGAATATTAGTTGATGGTGTCATAGGGTCAGGTGGAATATTAGTTGATGGTGTCATAGGGTCAGGTGGAATATTAGTTGATGGTGTCATAGGGTCAGGTGGAATATTAGTTGATGGTGTCATAGGGTCAGGTGGAATATTAGTTGATGGTGTCATAGGGTCAGGTGGAATATTAGTTGATGGTGTCATAGGGTCAGGTGGAATATTAGTTGATGGTGTCATAGGGTCAGGTGGAATATTAGTTGATGGTGTCATAGGGTCAGGTAAAATATTAGTTGATGGTGTCATAGGGTCAGGTAAAATATTAGTTGATGGTGTCATAGGGTCAGGTAAAATATTAGTTGATGGTGTCATAGAGTCAGGTGGAATATTAGTTGATGGTGTCATAGGGTCAGGTGGAATATTAGTTGATGGTGTCATAGGGTCAGGTGGAATATTAGTTGATGGTGTCATAGGGTCAGGTGGAATATTAGTTGATGGTGTCATAGGGTCAGGTGGAATATTAGTTGATGGTGTCATAGGGTCAGGTGGAATATTAGTTGATGGTGTCATAGGGTTAGGTGGAATATTAGTTGATGGTGTCATAGGGTCAGGTGGAATATTAGTTGATGGTGTCATAGGGTCAGGTAAAATATTAGTTGATGGTGTCATAGGGTCAGGTAAAATATTAGTTGATGGTGTCATAGGGTCAGGTGGAATATTAGTTGATGGTGTCATAGGGTCAGGTGGAATATTAGTTGATGGTGTCATAGGGTCAGGTGGAATATTAGTTGATGGTGTCATAGGGTCAGGTGGAAGATTAGTTGATGGTGTCATAGGGTCAGGTGGAATATTAGTTGATGGTGTCATAGGGTCAGGTAAAATATTAGTTGATGGTGTCATAGGGTCAGGTAAAATATTAGTTGATGGTGTCATAGGGTCAGGTGGAAGATTAGTTGATGGTGTCATAGGGTCAGGTAAAATATTAGTTGATGGTGTCATAGGGTCAGGTGGAATATTAGTTGATGGTGTCATAGGGTCAGGTGGAAGATTAGTTGATGGTGTCATAGGGTCAGGTGGAATATTAGTTGATGGTGTCATAGGGTCAGGTGGAATATTAGTTGATGGTGTCATAGGGTCAGGTGGAATATTAGTTGATGGTGTCATAGGGTCAGGTGGAATATTAGTTGATGGTGTCATAGGGTCAGGTAAAATATTAGTTGATGGTGTCATAGGGTCAGGTAAAATATTAGTTGATGGTGTCATAGGGTCAGGTAAAATATTAGTTGATGGTGTCATAGGGTCAGGTAAAATATTAGTTGATGGTGTCATAGGGTCAGGTGGAATATTAGTTGGTGTCATAGGGTCAGGTGGAATATTAGTTGATGGTGTCATAGGGTCAGGTAAAATATTAGTTGATGGTGTCATAGGGTCAGGTGGAATATTAGTTGGTGTCATAGGGTCAGGTGGAATATTAGTTGATGGTGTCATAGGGTCAGGTGGAATATTAGTTGATGGTGTCATAGGGTCAGGTGGAATATTAGTTGATGGTGTCATAGGGTCAGGTGGAAGATTAGTTGAATTTCAACTGTACCAGTATTCAGGTAAGGTCTCCACGAAACTTTGACATCCGGATCAAAGATGTGTCCGATCCGCTGACGAGTGAAGGACTTGATTATGTTTTCCATCTGAGGCGAGGGTTGGATGTACAGCAACTTCTGATGCGAGCCTGCAAGACAGGGTTGGATGTACAAGACAGGGTTGGATGTACAAGACAGGGTTGGATGTACAAGACAGGGTTGGATGTACAAGACAGGGTTGGATGTACAAGACAGGGTTGGATGTACAAGACAGGGTTGGATGTACAAGACAGGGTTGGATGTACAAGACAGGGTTGGATGTACAAGACAGGGTTGGATGTACAAGACAAGACAGGATTGGATGTACAAGACAGGGTTGGATGTACAAGACAGGGTTGGATGTACAAGACAGGGTTGGATGTACAAGACAGGGTTGGATGTACAAGACAGGGTTGGATGTACAAGACAAGACAGGGTTGGATGTACAGCAACTTCTGATGAGAGCCTGCAAGACAGGGTTGGATGTACAAGACAGGGTTGGATGTACAAGACAGGGTTGGATGTACAAGACAGGGATGGATGTACAAGACAGATGTCTAGTTAATCAGTTCCACGTAGATGTCAGTGACAGTTTAAAGTTGGGACAATGTCTTTTGACAAAGGGTGTGTTCACTAACATACAAATTTCCTCACAAACTGAATATCTGACCAGTAGATGGAGATCTGGCATAAACTAGGTCAATTGTCATTTCCTCAAGTCATGTTACACATGACTTACCATGTGAGACATGACTTACCATGTTAGACATGACTTACCATGTTAGACCATGTTATGCATGACTTACCATGTTACTCATGACTTACCATGTTAGACATGACTTACACATGACTTACCATGTTACTCATGACTTACCATGTTAGACCATGTTATGCATGACTTACCATGTTACACATGACTTACCATGTTACGCATGACTTACCAATGTAGAGCAAAGGCTGGGCCAGGCTGTCGTTGTCATCAGGGGTGTAGGTGGTCAGCGTGGGGATGTGGCGTCCGTCAAACAAACTCATGGGCTCCAGTTTGCCTTGTCTCAGTAGCCAGGCCTTTGCTATTGGGGCATCAAACTGTCAATACAAATGTCAGACTGTCAATACAAATGTCAGACTGTCAATACAAATGTCAGACTGTCAATACAAATGTCAGACTGTCAATACAAATGTCAGACTGTCAATACAAATGTCAGACTGTCAATACAAATGTCAATACAAATGTCAAACTGTCAATACAAATGTCAGATTGTCAATACAAATGTCAAACTGTCAATACAAATGTCAGACTGTCAATACAAATGTCAGACTGTCAATACAAATGTCAGACTGTCAATACAAATGTCAGACTGTCAATACAAATGTCAGACTGTCAATACAAATGTCAGACTGTCAATACAAATGTCAATACAAATGTCAGACTGTCAATACAAATGTCAGACTGTCAATACAAATGTCAGACTGTCAATACAAATGTCAGACTGTCAATACAAATGTCAATACAAATGTCAAACTGTCAATACAAATGTCAAACTGTCAATACAAATGTCAAACTGTCAATACAAATGTCAAACTGTCAATACAAATGTCAGACTGTCAATACAAATATCAGACTGTCAATACAAATGTCAGACTGTCAATACAAATGTCAGACTGTCAATACAAATGTCAATACAAATGTCAGACTGTCAATACAAATGTCAGATTGTCAATACAAATGTCAAACTGTCAATACAAATGTCAGACTGTCAATACAAATGTCAGACTGTCAATACAAATGTCAAACTGTCAATACAAATGTCAGACTGTCAATACAAATGTCAAACTGTCAATACAAATGTCAGACTGTCAATACAAATGTCAAACTGTCAATACAAATGTCAGTCTGTCAATACAAATGTCAAACTGTCACAACTAGAATCTTACTTTATGTTCCCACGTCACAAGACTAGAATCTTCTCTGCTTAAGGCCACAACTCTGCCCTCAGGGACCAGTAGACGCAACAAATCTTCATCACCCAAATCTTCAACAAATCTTTCCCCTCCGCTGCATTCATCTGCATTCAATTAACACAAGTCTTCTTAACACAAGTTTTCTTAACAAAAGAGAAATAGGAACATTTTAAATAAAACACAATTAACACACGTCTTCTTAACAAAAGAGAAATAGGAACATTTTAAATAAAACACAATTAACACACGTCTTCTTAACAAAAGGGAAATAGGAACATTTTAAATAAAACACAATTAACACAAGTCTTCTTAACAAAAGGGAAATAGGAACATTTTAAATAAAACACAACACAAGTCTTCTTAACAAAAGAGAAATAGGAAAATTTTAAATAAAACACAATTAACACATGTCTTCTTAACAAAAGGGAAATAGGAAAATTTTAAATAAAACACAATTAACACACGTCTTCTTAACAAAAGAGAAATAGGAACATTTTAAATAAAACACAATTAACACACGTCTTCTTAACAAAAGAGAAATAGGAACATTTTAAATAAAACACAACACAAGTCTTCTTAACGAAAGAGAAATAGGAAAATTTTAAATAAAACACAATTAACACAAGTCTTCTTAACAAAAGAGAAATAGGAAAATTTTAAATAAAACAAAATTAACACACGTCTTCTTAACAAAAGAGAAATAGGAACATTTTAAATAAAACACAATTAACACACGTCTTCTTAACAAAAGAGAAATAGGAAAATTTTAAATAAAACACAATTAACACAAGTCTTCTTAACAAAAGAGAAATAGCAAAAATTTTAAATAAAACACAATTAACACAAGTCTTCTTAACAAAAGAGAAATAGGAAAATTTTAAATAAAACACAATTAACTCAAGTCTTCTTAACAAAAGAGAAATAGGAACATTTTAAATAAAACACAATTAACACAAGTCTTCTTAACAAAAGAGAAATAGGAAAATTTTAAATAAAACACAATTAACTCAAGTCTTCTTAACAAAAGGGAAATAGGAACATTTTAAATAAAACACAATTAACACAAGTCTTCTTAACAAAAGGGAAATAGGAACATTTTAAATAAAACACAACACAAGTCTTCTTAACAAAAGAGAAATAGGAAAATTTTAAATAAAACACAATTAACACATGTCTTCTTAACAAAAGGGAAATAGGAACATTTTAAATAAAACACAATTAACACAAGTCTTCTTAACAAAAGAGAAATAGGAAAATTTTAAATAAAACACAATTAACACAAGTCTTCTTAACAAAAGAGAAATAGGAAAATTTTAAATAAAACACAATTAACACACGTCTTCTTAACAAAAGAGAAATAGGAACATTTTAAATAAAACACAATTAACACACGTCTTCTTAACAAAAGAGAAATAGGAACATTTTAAATAAAACACAATTAACACACGTCTTCTTAACAAAAGAGAAATAGGAAAATTTTAAATAAAACACAACACAAGTCTTCTTAACGAAAGAGAAATAGGAAAATTTTAAATAAAACACAATTAACACATGTCTTCTTAACAAAAGGGAAATAGGAACATTTTAAATAAAACACAATTAACACAAGTCTTCTTAACAAAAGAGAAATAGGAAAATTTTAAATAAAACACAATTAACACAAGTCTTCTTAACAAAAGAGAAATAGGAAAATTTTAAATAAAACACAATTAACACACGTCTTCTTAACAAAAGAGAAATAGGAACATTTTAAATAAAACACAATTAACACACGTCTTCTTAACAAAAGAGAAATAGGAACATTTTAAATAAAACACAATTAACACACGTCTTCTTAACAAAAGAGAAATAGGAACATTTTAAATAAAACACAATTAACACAAGTCTTCTTAACAAAAGAGAAATAGGAAAATTTTAAATAAAACACAATTAACTCAAGTCTTCTTAACAAAAGGGAAATAGGAACATTTTAAATAAAACACAATTAACTCAAGTCTTCTTAACAAAAGGGAAATAGGAACATTTTAAATAAAACACAATTAACACAAGTCTTCTTAACAAAAGAGAAATAGGAAAATTTTAAATAAAACACAATTAACACAAGTCTTCTTAACAAAAGAGAAATAGGAAAATTTTAAATAAAACATAATTAACACAAGTCTTCTTAACAAAAGAGAAATAGGAAAATTTTAAATAAAACACAACACAAGTCTTCTTAACAAAAGAGAAATAGGAACATTTTAAATAAAACACAATTAACACACGTCTTCTTAACAAAAGGGAAATAGGAACATTTTAAATAAAACACAATTAACACAAGTCTTCTTAACAAAAGAGAAATAGGAAAATTTTAAATAAAACACAATTAACACAAGTCTTCTTAACAAAAGAGAAATAGGAAAATTTTAAATAAAACATAATTAACACAAGTCTTCTTAACAAAAGAGAAATAGGAAAATTTTAAATAAAACACAACACAAGTCTTCTTAACAAAAGAGAAATAGGAACATTTTAAATAAAACACAATTAACACACGTCTTCTTAACAAAAGAGAAATAGGAACATTTTAAATAAAACACAACACAAGTCTTCTTAACAAAAGAGAAATAGGAAAATTTTAAATAAAACACAATTAACACAAGCACTGTCTTAACACAAGGTGGTCACCATTGGGTGTTTGAGATGACTTAAAGGTTGTACGTGGGGTGTTTGAGATGACTTAAAGGATGTACCTGGGGTGTTTGAGGTGACTTAAAGGATGTATGTGGGGTGTTTGAGATGACTTAAAAGTTGTACCTGGGGTGTTTGAGATGACTTAAAGGATGTATGTGGGGTGTTTGAGATGACTTAAAGGTTGTATGTGGGGTGTTTGAGATGACTTAAAGGTTGTATGTGGGGTGTTTGAGATGACTTAAAGGTTGTATGTGGGGTGTTTGAGATGACTTAAAGGTTGTATGTGGGGTGTTTGAGATGACTTAAAAGTGTTACCTGGGGTGTTTGAGATGACTTAAAAGTGTTACCTGGGGTGTTTGAGATGACTTAAAAGTGTTACCTGGGGTGTTTGAGATGACTTAAAGGATGTATGTGGGGTGTTTGAGATGACTTAAAGGTTGTATGTGGGGTGTTTGAGATGACTTAAAGGTTGTATGTGGGGTGTTTGAGATGACTTAAAGGTTGTATGTGGGGTGTTTGAGATGACTTAAAAGTGTTACCTGGGGTGTTTGAGATGACTTAAAAGTGTTACCTGGGGTGTTTGAGATGACTTAAAAGTTGTATGTGGGGTGTTTGAGATGACTTAAAGGATGTATGTGGGGTGTTTGAGATGACTTAAAAGTTGTATGTGGGGTGTTTGAGATGACTTAAAGGATGTATGTGGGGTGTTTGAGATGACTTAAAGGTTGTATGTGGGGTGTTTGAGATGACTTAAAGGATGTATGTGGGGTGTTTGAGATGACTTAAAGGATGTATGTGGGGTGTTTGAGATGACTTAAAAGTGTTACCTGGGGTGTTTGAGATGACTTAAAGGTTGTATGTGGGGTGTTTGAGATGACTTAAAGGTTGTACCTGAGGTGTTTGAGATGACTTAAAGGATGTATGTGGGGTGTTTGAGATGACTTAAAGGTTGTACCTGAGGTGTGTGTAAAAAGGGGGATATCTTGGGCATCTTCCAGGTCCTCATCAAGTTGTGAGTTTGGTGATGGCAGATTGATTTGGTGCTGACCAACACTGAAGTTCCACCTTAAACACACATCAACAGATCCATTCTACTCTGATCACAAATTAGCAACAAAACAATGACCTAACTCAACCCACACAAACAAAGTGTCATGCACTCATTGTACTTGTGATTGTATTGTCTGGTACAAATGTAGTGACCTACAAACATAGTGACCTACAAATGTAGTTACCTACAAACATAGTGACCTACAAACATAGTGACCTACAAATGTAGTTACCTACAAACATAGTGACCTACAAATGTAGTTACCTACAAACATAGTGACCTACAAATGTAGTGACCTACAAACATAGTGACCTACAAATGTAGTTACCTACAAACATAGTGACCTACAAACATAGTGACCTACAAACATAGTGACCTACAAACATAGTGACCTACAAACATAGTGACCTACAAACATAGTGACCTACAAATGTAGTGACCTACAAACATAGTGACCTACAAATGTAGTTACCTACAAACATAGTGACCTACAAACATAGTGACCTACAAATGTAGTTACCTACAAACATAGTGACCTACAAACATAGTGACCTACAAATGTAGTTACCTACAAACATAGTTACCTACAAACATAGTGACCTACAAAGTAGTGACCTACAAACATAGTGACCTACAAATGTAGTTACCTACAAACATAGTGACCTACAAACATAGTGACCTACAAATGTAGTTACCTACAAACATAGTGACCTACAAACATAGTGACCTACAAATGTAGTTACCTACAAACATAGTGACCTACAAACATAGTGACCTACAAATGTAGTTATCTACAAACATAGTGACCTACAAACATAGTGACCTACAAATGTAGTTACCTACAAACATAGTGACCTACAAACATAGTGACCTACAAATGTAGTTACCTACAAACATAGTGACCTACAAACATAGTGACCTACTTCTCAATGCCATTCTTGATGTCCACTGATCTGACCACCTGTGTGCTGCGTGTGAGTACCAAGATGGCGGAGCTCTGGCTCTCTGCTGTGTTACAGCCCTCACTGCTGCAGGAGAACTGGACCTGGGATACAAACACTTGCTGTACTGCCTGCACTGACACTCCACCACACACCCTCCACCTGACACTCCACCACACACCCTCCACCTGACACTCCACCACACACCCTCCACTTGACACTCCACCACACACCCTCTACCTGACACCACACCACACATCCTCCACCTGACACTCCACCACACACCCTCTACCTGACACCACACCACACATCCTCCACCTGACACTCCACCACACACCCTCCACCTGACACTCCACCACACACCCTCCACCTGACACTCCACCACACACCCTCCACCTGACACTCCACCACACACCCTCCACCTGACACTCCACCACACACCCTACACCTGACACTCCACCACACACCCTCCTATGACACTCCACAACACACCCTCCACCTGACACCCCACCACACACCCTCCTATGACACCCCACAACACACCCTCCACCTGACACCCCACCACACACCCTCCACCTGACACTCCACCACACACCCTCCACCTGACACTCCATCACACACCCTCCACATGACACCCCACCACACACCCTCCACCTGACACTCCACCACACACCCTCCACCTGACACTCCACAACACGCCCTCCACCTGACACCCCACACCCTCCACCCCCTTGACGCTCACTTATATAGCCTTACCTTGCCAGAGCGTAGATCCAGCCCAAAGTTCTGCAGCTCCTTGCTGCCAACGATCATGGAGTCATCACTGAGCCTGTAGGTGGAGGAGAGCAGGCTGTCAGCTGACATGGGGATGGCCTCCACCTTCTCCCCATCAAACTGGTACAGAGCTCCATCCAACGAAGGAATCAACCTCAGCTTCTTGCCATTTCGAATCATCTTTCACAAAATGAGAAATTTACACTAACTAAACTCTAGTAGGTGCCAAATTTACACTAACTAAACTCTAGTAGGTGCCAAATTTACACTAACTAAACTCTAGTAGGTGCCAAATTTACACTAAGTAAACTCTAGTAGGTGCCAAATTTACTTACACCAAGTAAACTGTCACCTCACCACCCACTTTTACTTGTCACTAGCCCCCCCCTCCCACTTCTAGTGGTCACTAACCCGCCCTCCCATTTCTAGTGGTCACTAATCACCTCCCCTCCCATTTCTAGTGGTCACTAACCGCCTCCCCTCCCATTTCTAGTGGTCACTAACCGCCTCCCCCTCGCACTTCTACTGCTCACTAACCCCCTACCTCCCCCTTCACTTTTACTGGTCACTTACTTCCATATTAGCCAAACTAGAAGAATAGAGGGGTCTGGTATCTGCCTGAACTGACCATGCTAGATGACCCTGGTTGTGGAGGTCTAGAGCTGAAACACGTCCATCAATGGTGCTCACTAGTACATAAAATCTGGGGGTACAAACAGAGTTTAATAATAGATCAGAAATATAGAAATACACACATACATATATATATATTTAAACATATATATTTTTTACAAGTGGATTGGAGGGGCAGTGACAGCGGCAATTTTCTCAAACACTGTATTTCAAGTTTTTTTTAAACATTTCAACATTTCAAGAACGTTTTACCGCATTAAAAAAACAATTAGATCAAGACCCTACTAGATCGTGTAACTAAATTATAGCAGGCCTACATATTTTGTTTAATGGCCTAAAACATGCAGATCTAGTTTTTTTATTTAAATCTAGTATAGGCCCTTATTAAAAATAACCAGCGCTTGTAGAACTGCCTAGACAATGAAACACAACTGTGCTTGTGTGATCTTGTATCATAGGCCTTACGGTCAGCACGACCTTGAAGAAGCGGGTAAGAGGTGATAAAAAGTGTCTGTAAAGTTGAGTGAAAACAGCAGAGTTCTGTTTCATACATAAATAAATTTTTCTTTTCTTTTAGCAATACCGAATCCAAAAAATGGTAATGGTAGTACTTAGTTATTTTTATTACACAGCCTAACGATAGCCCATTGATGACGTCACATAAAGAATCCATATAGCCAGACAACCACACCACGAATGACTTCAAAAAGTTCTGTCTACAGCCTCACCCATCTGATACAGCCGATTTGTATTTGGTCCATTACGCACATTACATACAAAATTATTTTGATACAATGAATAATTTTTTTACTAACATGTCACAATTTGATTCAATGGCATCTGTGATAGTGGATTTATGGAAATGGTTTATTTCTGATTCAGAAGCTTGTTCCAAAAATTCTTGTTTAGTAAATTGACCAGGATATCCTACATTTTTTTTATCGGCATGCTTCAATGCAGATTTGATTCCACTACTAGATCTATCAAATGCAATTCTATTCACATTTTGATCTAGATCTACGCCTTCCGTTTTGGTTAGAGTGGCACTTGAGCATGCAAGAAGAGCAGACAGTGATGCCAATGCTTTTATTACTTTTGATAGAAAAACACGATTCTTAGAGTTGACCATTTTTTAATAACTTCTTAAATCTCTAAGTTTCTGTCTGCATCTAGATCTAGTAAATTCTAGTAGAGATCTACATATAGCTCAACGTGACATTTCTAACTGTTAGGATGTTGGTTAAACTTATGTTTATAGAGATGTTATTCTGTATAAATTTCTTATGTTTACATATTGACAGGAAACAACTTTGTTTTGTACTGAACAACAAAGCGGAAGTTGAGTCATAAGTACACGTCTTAATAGAAAAATCAACGGAAATTTCCCATTTCTTTTCCACTTTTCTTTTCAAACGGAAACAACAGTTATCATATTGCCTAATAAGAATTGAAAATTAAAGTAATTATTTTCTTCGCGATATTTTAAACGAGTAAATGTTACAAAATATAGCCGTAACTTTTAAATTTTAAATTAAACAGCATTATAAGCTATTTTAATATTGCCCAGGCTCAAGCTTTTTATGCATTTGTCATTAAAAAAAATATTTAAAAAAAAATGTATCTTGCTTTATGAGTTTAGCATCACTTGGGAATGACCGGCAATGCAAGACTATAAATAAACAACTCACATGGCCTAGTCAAGCTGCTAAACTAGTCTAGACTCTTGACTTTTATTTGTCTGTATTAAATATATAATATATATATATATATATATATATATGGTAATCTATCGTTTTGGGTACGTAAAATCGCCCGCGATTTGTAATGTGAAAAAAAGGTGACTCCTTAAATTTTAATAATTATTTCACATTTTGAGGAGGATTTATGTTTTAAAAAATTCAAAAATGTTTCCTTGATTCATTTATGTACCTGTTTTAAAACAATTGAATTAAAACTTTTCCATAATAAATGAAGACTAGCGATGTTTCCAACAGATGCAACCATGCTCATTTACTATAGCAGCCATCTTGTCTAAGTTTTATTTTTATAAGCTTTTAGCGCCAGATTCAGGGGGAAGCCACTCTATTTTACAAATGGCTGCTGTTTATATAACAAATCTTGCTCTCAGACACTGCTGTTTAAAGTTAATTTCTGGCCTATATCGATATATTTAGCCATTGATTTAGGTTTATTATTCATTTATCTATAATATTTGACACAAAAGTATGACAATATACTTCTATTAAAGCCTTGACAATGAGGTAACGTTTTCGTACATAAATAGCCGCGGGCGATTTTACGTACCCAAAACGATAGATTACCATATATATATATATATATATATATATATATATATATATATATATATATATATATATATATATATATATATATATATATATATATATATATATATATATATATATATATATATATATATATATATATATATATGGTAATCTATCGGGTAATCTATCGTTTTGGGTACGTAAAATCGCCCGCGGCTATCAATGTACGAAAACGTTACCTCATTGTCAAGGCTGTAATAGAAGTATATTGTGATATGTTTGTGTCAAATATTATAGATAAATGAATAATAAACCTAAATCAATGGCTAAATATATCAATATAGGCCAGAAATTAACTTTAAACAGCTGTGTCTGCAAGCAAGATTTGCTATATAAACAGCAGCCATTTGTAAAATAGAGTGACTTCCGCCTGAATCTCGCGCTATATGCCTATAAAAATAAAACTTTAACAAGATGGCTGCTATAGTAAATGAGCGTGGTTGCATCTGTTGGAAACATCGCTGGTGTTCATTTATTACTGAAAAGTTTTAATTCAATTGTTTAAAAACAGGTACATAAATGAAACAAGGAAACATTTTTGTATTTTTCAAAACATAAATCCTCCTCAAAATGTGAAATAATTATTAAAATGTAAGGAGTCACCTGTTTTTCACATTACTAGTCGCGGGCGATTTTACGTACCTAAAACGATAGATGGTAATCTATAGTAATGTGAAAAACAGGTGACTCCTTACATTTTAATAATTATTTCACATTTTGAGGAGGATTTGTGTTTTGAAAAATACAAAAATGTTTCCTTGTTTCATTTATGTACCTGTTTTTAAACAAGTGAAATAAAACTTTTCAGTAATAAATGAACACCAGCGATGTTTCCAACAGATGCAACCATGCTCATTTACTATAGCAGCCAGCTTGTTTAAATTTTTTTTTCTATAGACTTATAGTGCGAGATTCAGGGGGAAGTCACTGCTGTTTAAAGTTAATTTCTGGCCTATATTGATATATTTAGCCATTGATTTAGGTTTATTATTCATTTATCTATAATATTTGACATAGGCATTCCGACTTCCGCTGTTTCGATTCGGTATTCAACATCCGGACTTTTCGATGCAGTCTTTATAAAAACTCGCCCTTTTCCGAAGAATGCCGAATCTCACTGTTGGAATCGAGTTTTTAGAAATATTCGATATAGATATTCTAGTGTGGTCGTATTATATGTTTCAATTAGAAAATTACCGCCATTATGACAATCTTTAAGCCGAAATCGATCGCACGATTCTAATGAGTTTATCTCGCGAACATGTCCCGTACGGTGCTGTCACATTTTAAATAAGTTTACGTATTAAACACATTATAAGTGTCTTGCCATTAGTTGTAAGTGTCCATTAAATAAACAAATATTATTATAATAACGGTTTTATGGCACTTACTACTTCTGCTTACGAGTTATCATACATGTCAAATCCCCGAGCTAGCGATTCGGCCTTGACAACGCCATGGCGTCGGTTTAGCACCGCATTACCTATTATCGATAAAATACGCGCACTAATGCCAATGACGTAGTTTTCGAAGTTGGAAAAAATTTAAATTGTGGGTGGCACTGTTAAAACTAGATAAAATACGTTGATCAAGTTATCTATTAAAACCGACAGGCAAGAAGCTTAGGCTTACATTAAATAGTGTTAAGCATTTAACACATACCTACTTACTTAGATTTAAGGCTAATACTAATAGCCTTTAATATACACTATTATACTTTATACTATAAATAAATTATAGGCCTATTTCTTAGTATAACTAATGCTATATATACTATATGTACCGATTGATAAAGTAAGTCTGGGCCTATTATTGGTTATGATAAGTAAAGAAGCTTGGTGATAAACTTATTTAATTATTTGTAATAATTATGCCTATGACATTAGTAAATAATTAACAAAAGGTGCAGCAATTGACAAGGGGGGGGGGGGGTACTAATTAATAAGGCAGTGAATTTAGAATGACATGAAAAAGGCATGATAATTATTATTCATAATAATTTAGGATACAATTTTTACATTTAATAATAAAAAGTAACAAAAAACAAATAACAACAAACAATACAGATTTAAATCACTGCATGTTGCCAATATATATATTCATATAAGCAGATAGACAGGGAAGCTGTAACTTCTGATTTGGTACAAATTAACACTTAGCTTAATAAACTTTTACAAGAATTTAAAGTTTTTCTATTGATTAGTAATTTAGTTGTACCAAAATATCAATAGGGTCCTATAAAGGCCCTAGTATATTAAAGTAGTTTCCCTTTTGGACCTGTCAATCCATCATCCATAAAGCAGCTGAAGTAGAGTTTATCTGTTTCTTGACCCATGCACAAGAAGTGATGGTGTGGTTAGCTCTCTGCCAAGCTATCTTTACTTTCCCTTGGGTCAGGTACTCATCCGAGCTTGGTGGATGCTGCACGCTGCACAGACTCGTATGAGATCTGAGCTTAAGACTTGCATGTTAGTAGTTGAGTGTTTTACCACACCATCCCTAGTTTTATTTTTCAGCATTCTTCTTATTACATGCTTCAGTATCAATAACCAAAATGTATCCTATCTATTATAGTAACATTCTGGACATACGTCCGTTGCAGTCACTATAATTACTATAAAAGGGTGCAACACCCTTTCATAGGACTTTTTAATTATATGCAGTCATACTTAATCTATTTTTTTTTATATTTCTATAGCCCCCACCCTCTAGCAAAGTTTCAATTTTAATATTTAAAAAAAAACATAGACTTTCAGTCTGCATATTGACCTATATGAACAGTACCCCTCACTTTAATTTGACTTGATTAGTTCTAATTATCCTTCATCAAATTTTGATTTTACTTTCATATTTCTATTGCCCACACTCTCTATCACTAATGTGCAAAGTTTTATAATTATATCTCGAATAGCAGCAGTGGTATGCAAGCCTAAAGCCAATCACACAATTAAATCCGATGTTACAGTGATATATAACAGGTTTAATACATAACTTTAAAAATTCATATAAAAAAAACTATTAGGCCTAGAATGATAAATTTGGTATTTTTATCAATGGGGTATATTATAGGATTAATCTGTGTACATTTTATCATTCTATGGTAATTAGGAAAAATATCCCAACATTCCTATTTGACACAAACATATCACAATATACTTCTATTACAGCCTTGACAATGAGGTAACGTTTTCGTACATTAATAGCCGCGGGCGATTTTACGTACCCAAAACGATAGATTACCATATATATATATATATATATATATATATATATATATATATATATATATATATATATAGATCTATATATATATATATTATATATATATATATATATTTATAGATCTAGTAGACAGTCGTCTGACTGTTAACAATAGTTTTAAATTGATAAATCTAAATCACATAATTGAAAAAACTAACTACTAACTACGAACATCTATAGTCTATAGGCCCTAACTGTATTAAATTATAAAATTAACTACACATACTAGATCTACATTCATATAATAAATAAATAATTATAATAGAATCTTATGTCTTATTTATTAATTTACATTTTTAAATCTAGAATCAGTCTACACAAGTCTACAGTCTACTCTCTAGAATCTAAATCTAGAACTAGATCTAAAACTAAATCTTCCAAAAATGGTTTTGGGAACGAAACCATCGTTTGACTTTGGAAAACCAAAGGAGAAGCAACATGTGGTAGGCTTTCATTTTTTTGCTTTCTACAGTTTCTAGCCTTTCTAAATTCAAGTAACTTGATTTTAAGCATGGATAAACTTACAACAAGAAACCTACAGTAACAGTCCTAATAATGGCCGCATTTGCGCGGTTCGCTCCGCGTGACGCGTAAGGCCGCCTTTGCGCAGTTCGCTCCGCGTTACGCTTAATCTTTACCCTAGGTGGCACGCGATCTAACAAAAAAACGATTTTTTTTCGTGGTAACAATTTAATGTTGACATAGATCTAGATCGAGTTAAAGTGTATTTATATTATTTCAACACCTAAGAGTCTAGATATAGTACTTGTAAAAAAAAAACAGTACAGTGTAGTGTCAAGGAAAGTTTGTGAGGTCAGATGGGTCAGATGATAGTCCTAGATCTAGCAGCAACCTAGTTAAATCAAACTGTCCTTTAACCTTTAGGCCTAGCTAGATCTATCTGGCATGCGTGATAGTAGATCTAAGTCTATATTATTTATCCTATGTGAACTGAAAAAAAAAATTCAATTTGCTTGAGGGGAGAGGGGGGGGGGGGGAGAGGAAGAGAGAAGTGAAGACAGGCGATCTCGTGTGAATGTCTATGACGAATGTTTTAGGCCTGCTGAACTCAGTGACCTCGCGACCGTGGTGGGATTTTCCACTCACGGGATAGTAAACGTAAGGCAAGCAATCATGCCAGTGACGATGGTTTGAAATTTTATTAAAAAAAAAAAATCATAGTCTACGTCATATTTTCAATATGATAAAAAAATGTAAAAAAAAAACTAGCTAACCCCGGGTTCGAACTCTGAACTCCGGGTCTATGAACTTTAGACTACAGCTGGCACACTGTTGACTCAACCACAGCGAATGTGATGGAAAATTAAAAAGTAAGCATTTTCAATTACAAGATGGCAAATCAAACCTGCGAGACGCGTAGTCTATTCTTTAGGGGCCACGCTTTGCGAGATGCGTAGTCACTTCGTATAATAATAGGCCTAGGGCCTAGGCCTACATTTTATTAATTTATTTATTAATATTTATCACTTTAATCATACTTTAATTTTAATGCCTAGGCCTGCTCCTAAGATTGGCTAACTAAGTAGTAGTGTTATAGTGTAGTCTACAGCTGAACCAAAACATATTGAAAAAGTAAAAAGTGTATATTTTGACTCTAAAAATAACCACAAACATGGCTGAACTAGATCTAGAAAATCTAGGTCATGTGTTTAAAAAATATTTTTATTTCAAAATTGTAGCGGCTATGTTTTGAGTAGGCCTACAAATTACTATATGATTTGATGAAGTGTGTTTTGAGAGTATCAATCTCGGAGATCCGGTACAGCCAATATAGATTTGTCTTATACGATAGTGAAACTTCGGCTTGATGAAAATAAATAGAAATTTAGCCTCAAAAAGTTATTTTCAAGTTTCCTGTTTTTTTTTCAACTTTTATAACATTGATTCTAAAAATGTAAAATTTCTGAATTATTTTTGGGCTTAAGTTTTTATTTTTATGGTTGCTTTGTTTGCAAAAAATAAAAAGCATGGTTTTAATCCATGTCAAGAATATGAATCATGATGGATTCTCGTCATTTCTGTAGTCCCCATTGGAGAGGGAGTCGGTAAACTGTGAAATGCTGCTAAATGGGAAATTTTTAATTTAATAATTAAGCTTAGAGAAATAATTGAATAAAATTTTGAATATTGTACTCTTTATTTTCAGAAGTGCCAAGACCTTACAAAAGCACACATAGAATCATACAATTATTTCCTGACTTCTGGCTTACAAAAGCTGGTTAAGGTAATCTTGTAAAAATATGGTCACCAGTTATCAAATAAATAAAAATGAAATAAGATTAATTTATTTTTCTCTATCTTATCTTGAGTGTTTTCTTCTTCAGCACATGGATGCCGTGGAATTTAATCTGGGAGAAGAAGGGGAGGCATTCAACAACTTAAGATGTGCCTTGTCTTTCTCTGTCAGTGCCCACACTCACTAGCTCACTGCCAGTTGAGATTTTTCAAACCTTTTTATTTACACAAAGTTTCAATTTTTAAACTCAAGTTTCAATTATCAGATATTTTAATCTTTTTATTTACAGAAAGTTTGAATTTTTAAACTCAAGTTTCAATTATCAGATATTTTTAATCTTTTTATTTACAGAAAGTTTCAATTTTGCCACCTAAAGTTTCAACAGCTAATAAGATGTCTGTTAACAGTAAAATATATCCGTCTGAGGCAAGTATAATAGCTGGAGACCTGTAGCTTTTTTTCCTTTCTCAATGAACTGTCAACTTGAGAATCATCTTAACTGTCACTGACTAGTAAACCTGACTATCACCATACCTGTCACTGTCTAGAAACCTGACTGTCACCATACCTGTTATTGACTAGTAAACCTGACTATCACCATACCTGTTATTGACTAGTAAACCTGACTGTCACCATACCTGTTACTGTCTAGAAACCTGACTGTCACCATACCTGTCACTGTCTAGAAACCTGACTGTCACCATACCTGTCACTGTCTAGAAACCTGACTGTCACCATACCTGTCACTGTCTAGAAACCTGACTGTCACCATACCTGTCACTGTCTAGAAACCTGACTGTCACCATACCTGTCACTGTCTAGAAACCTGACTGTCACCATACCTGTCACTGTCTAGAAACCTGTCTGTCACCATACCTGTCACTGTCTAGAAACCTGACTGTCACCATACCTTTCACTGTCTAGAAACCTGACTGTCACCATACCTGTCACTGTCTAGAAACCTGACTGTCACCATACCTGTCACTGTCTAGAAACCTGACTGTCACCATACCTGTCACTGTCTAGAAACCTGACTGTCACCATACCTGTCACTGTCTAGAAACCTGACTGTCACCATACCTGTCACTGTCTAGAAACCTGACTGTCACCATACCTGTCACTGTCTAGAAACCTGACTGTCACCATACCTGTCACTGTCTAGAAACCTGACTGTCACCATACCTGTCACTGTCTAGAAACCTGACTGTCACCATACCTGTCACTGTCTAGAAACCTGACTGTCACCATACCTGTCACTGTCTAGAAACCTGACTGTCACCATACCTGTCACTGTCTAGAAACCTGACTGTCACCATACCTGTCACTGTCTAGAAACCTGACTGTCACCATACCTGTCACTGTCTAGAAACCTGACTGTCACCATACCTGTCACTGTCTAGAAACCTGACTGTCACCATACCTGTCACTGTCTAGAAACCTGACTGTCACCATACCTGTCACTGTCTAGAAACCTGACTGTCACCATACCTGTCACTGTCTAGAAACCTGACTGTCACCATACCTGTCACTGTCTAGAAACCTGACTGTCACCATACCTGTCACTGTCTAGAAACCTGACTGTCACCATACCTGTCACTGTCTAGAAACCTGACTGTCACCATACCTATTACTGACCCATCATGTGACAAGGTACCTTGTCTGTTGTTTCAGTGTCGTGAAGGGGGCAGCAGCTACATGGGTGACGTCCAAGTGATCATCAACTACAGCTGTAATGGCCAGTCAGGGACTGTGGACAAGATCATTGGACAGGTGCCCATCATGGTCAAGGTACACACCCCACAGGACACTTTTCTTTAGTCTGATATTTCAATGTTACAACTTACTTCAGTCTGATATTTCAATGTTACAACTTACTTCAGTCTGATATTTCAATCTTACAACTTACTTCAGTCTGATATTTCAATGTTACAACTTACTTTAGTCTGATATTTCAATCTTACAACTTACTTCAGCCTGATATTTCAATCTTACAACTTACTTCAGTCTGATATTTCAATGTTACAACTTACTTCAGCCTGATATTTCAATCTTACAACTTACTTCAGCCTGATATTTCAATGTTACAACTTACTTCAGTCTGATATTTCAATGTTACAACTTACTTCAGCCTGATATTTTAATGTTACAACTTACTTCAGTCTGATATTTTAATGTTACAACTTACTTCAGTCTGATATTTCAATGTTACAACTTACTTCAGCCTGATATTTCAATGTTACAACTTACTTCAGTCTGATATATGTTACAACTTACTTCAGTCTGATATTTCAATGTTACAACTTACTTCAGCCTGATATTTCAATGTTACAACTTACTTCAGCCTGATATTTCAATGTTACAACTTACTTCAGTCTGATATATGTTACAACTTACTTCAGTCTGATATTTCAATGTTACAACTTACTTCAGTCTGATATTTCAATGTTACAACTTACTTCAGCCTGATATTTCAATGTTACAACTTACTTCAGTCTGATATATGTTACAACTTACTTCAGTCTGATATTTCAATCTTACAACTTACTTCAGTCTGATATTTCAATGTTACAACTTACTTCAGCCTGATATTTCAATGTTACAACTTACTTCAGCCTGATATTTCAATGTTACAACTTACTTCAGCCTGATATTTCAATGTTACAACTTACTTCAGTCTGATATTTCAATCTTGCAACTTACTTCAGTCTGATATTTCAATCTTACAACTTACTTCAGTCTGATATTTCAATGTTACAACTTACTTCAGTCTGATATTTCAATCTTACAACTTACTTCAGTCTGATATTTCAATGTTACAACTTACTTCAGCCTGATATTTCAATCTTACAACTTACTTCAGTCTGATATTTCAATGTTACAACTTACTTCAGCCTGATATTTCAATCTTACAACTTACTTCAGCCTGATATTTCAATCTTACAACTTACTTCAGTCTGATATATGTTACAACTTACTTCAGTCTGATATTTCAATGTTACAACTTACTTCAGTCTGATATTTCAATGTTACAACTTACTTCAGTCTGATATTTCAATGTTACAACTTACTTCAGCCTGATATTTCAATGTTACAACTTACTTCAGTCTGATATTTTAATGTTACAACTTACTTCAGTCTGATATTTCAATGTTACAACCTACTTCAGTCTGATATTTCAATGTTACAACTTACTTCAGTCTGATATTTCAATGTTACAACTTACTTCAGTCTGATATTTCAATGTTACAACTTACTTCAGTCTGATATTTCAATGTTACAACTTACTTCAGTCTGATATTTCAATGTATTGTTACAACTTACTTCAGTCTGATATTTCAATGTTACAACTTACTTCAGTCTGATATTTCAATGTTACAACTTTCTTCAGTCTGATATTTCAATCTTACAACTTTCTTCAGTCCGATGCCTGCAACATTGCCACTTTAAAGCCTGAAGCCCTTATATCACATGGAGAGGAAGTTGAGGTTAGTTTATTACTAGATATCTACAGGATATCTACTAGATATCTGCACTGTAAAACAATACAATGTGTGTATTGATTTTTTTTCACTTTTTCCAAGTGACCACATTTTAAATGATTTTATTTTAGCATTTTTTGAAAAGATTTCCCCAGCTTATTTTGAAAATGACTCAGGTTTTAATGTTAACTTGATCCCATAAGCTGCTACTGAAGGATGTGCTTCCTTGCTTGATCTGTGTCCATGTTTCTGTTTCCACAGGAAATGGGTGGATATTTTATCATCAATGGCAATGAAAAAGTAGTTCGGCTTCTCATTCAGCAGAGAAGGAATTATGTAAACAATTTTTCTTCATAGTTCTTGTGTAGTAATATCTCCTACCAAATATTCTCTCCCCTTACATTAAGTGCTGTGTATTCTCTCCCCTGACATTAAGTGCTGTATTCTCTCCCCTTACATTAAGTGCTGTGTTCTCTCCCCTGACATTAAGTGCTGTGTATTCTCTCCCCTGACATTAAGTGCTGTATTCTCTCCCCTTACATTAAGTGCTGTGTTCTCTCCCCTTACATTAAGTGCTGTGTTCTCTCCCCTGACATTAAGTGCTGTATTCTCTCCCCTTACATTAAGTGCTGTATTCTCTCCCCTGACATTAAGTGCTGTATTCTCTCCCCTGACATTAAGTGCTGTGTTCTCTCCCTTAGCCATTGTGTTTGCACAGAAGTTCCTGGAAAAACAGAGGACCAGAATATACCAAGTTTGGTGTGTCAATCAGATGTGTCAGGGAGGACCAAGCAATTAATGTAAGTTGTTGGGCCAGGTCATTAATGTAAGTTGTTGGGCCAGGTCATTAATGTAAGTTTTTGGGCCAGGTCATTAATGTAAGTTGTAGAGCCAGGTCATTAATGTAAGTTTTTGGGCCAGGTCATTAATGTAAGTTGTAGAGCCAGGTCATTAATGTAAGTTGTTGGGCCAGGTCATTAATGTAAGCTGTTGGGCCAGGTCATTAATGTAAGTTGTTGGGCCAGGTCATTAATGTAAGTTGTTGGGCCAGGTCATTAATGTAAGTTGTTGGGCCAGGTCATTAATGTAAGTTGTTGGGCCAGGTCATTAATGTAAGTTGTTGGGCCAGGTCATTAATGTAAGTTGTAGGGCCAGGTCATTAATGTAAGTTGTAGGGCCAGGTCATTAATGTAAGTTGTTGGGCCAGGTCATTAATGTAAGTTGTAGGGCCAAGTCATTAATGTAAGTTGTTGGGCCAGGTCATTAATGTAAGTTGTAGAGCCAGGTCATTAATTTAAGTTGTAGGGCTAGGTCATTAATTTAAGTTGTTGGGCCAGGTCATTAATGTAAGTTGTTGGGCCAGGTCATTAATGTAAGTTGTTGGGCCAGGTCATTAATGTAAGTTTTTGGGCCAGGTCATTAATGTAAGTTGTAGAGCCAGGTCATTAATTTAAGTTGTAGGGCTAGGTCATTAATGTAAGCTGTTGAGCCAGGTCATTAATGTAAGTTGTTGGGCCAGGTCATTAATGTAAGTTGTTGGGCCAGGTCATTAATGTAAGTTGTTGGGCCAGGTCATTAATGTAAGTTGTTGGGCCAGGTCATTAATGTAAGTTGTTGGGCCAGGTCATTAATGTAAGTTGTTGGGCTAGGTCATTAATGTAAGTTGTAGGGCCAGGTCATTAATGTAAGTTGTTGGGCCAGGTCATTAATGTAAGTTGTAGAGCCAGGTCATTAATTTAAGTTGTAGGGCTAGGTCATTAATGTAAGCTGTTGGGCCAGGTCATTAATGTAAGTTGTTGGGCCAGGTCATTAATGTAAGTTGTTGGGCCAGGTCATTAATTTAAGTTGTTGGGCCAGGTCATTAATGTAAGTTGTTGGGCCAGGTCATTAATGTAAGTTTTTGGGCCAGGTCATTAATGTAAGTTGTAGAGCCAGGTCATTAATTTAAGTTGTAGGGCTAGGTCATTAATGTAAGCTGTTGGGCCAGGTCATTAATGTAAGTTGTTGGGCCAGGTCATTAATGTAAGTTGTTGGGCCAGGTCATTAATGTAAGTTGTTGGGCCAGGTCATTAATGTAAGTTGTTGGGCCAGGTCATTAATGTAAGTTTTTGGGCCAGGTCATTAATGTAAGTTGTAGAGCCAGGTCATTAATGTAAGTTGTTGGGCCAGGTCATTAATGTAAGCTGTTGGGCCAGGTCATTAATGTAAGTTGTTGGGCCAGGTCATTAATGTAAGTTGTTGGGCCAGGTCATTAATGTAAGTTGTTGGGCCAGGTCATTAATGTAAGTTGTTGGGCCAGGTCATTAATGTAAGTTGTTGGGCCAGGTCATTAATGTAAGTTGTTGGGCCAGGTCATTAATGTAAGTTGTTGGGCCAGGTCATTAATGTAAGTTGTTGGGCTAGGTCATTAATGTAAGTTGTAGGGCCAGGTCATTAATGTAAGTTGTTGGGCCAGGTCATTAATGTAAGTTGTAGAGCCAGGTCATTAATTTAAGTTGTAGGGCTAGGTCATTAATGTAAGCTGTTGGGCCAGGTCATTAATGTAAGTTGTTGGGCCAGGTCATTAATGTAAGTTGTTGGGCCAGGTCATTAATTTAAGTTGTTGGGCCAGGTCATTAATGTAAGTTGTTGGGCCAGGTCATTAATGTAAGTTTTTGGGCCAGGTCATTAATGTAAGTTGTAGAGCCAGGTCATTAATTTAAGTTGTAGGGCTAGGTCATTAATGTAAGCTGTTGGGCCAGGTCATTAATGTAAGTTGTTGGGCCAGGTCATTAATGTAAGTTGTTGGGCCAGGTCATTAATGTAAGTTGTTGGGCCAGGTCATTAATGTAAGTTGTTGGGCCAGGTCATTAATGTAAGTTGTAGGGCCAGGTCATTAATGTAAGTTGTTTGGCCAGGTCATTAATTTAAGTTGTTGGGCCAGGTCATTAATGTAAGTTGTTGGGCCAGGTCATTAATGTAAGTTTTTGGGCCAGGTCATTAATGTAAGTTGTAGAGCCAGGTCATTAATGTAAGTTGTTGGGCCAGGTCATTAATGTAAGCTGTTGGGCCAGGTCATTAATGTAAGTTGTTGGGCCAGGTCATTAATGTAAGTTGTTGGGCCAGGTCATTAATGTAAGTTGTTGGGCCAGGTCATTAATGTAAGTTGTTGGGCCAGGTCATTAATGTAAGTTGTTGGGCCAGGTCATTAATGTAAGTTGTTGGGCCAGGTCATTAATGTAAGTTGTAGGGCCAGGTCATTAATGTAAGTTGTTGGGCCAGGTCATTAATGTAAGTTTTTGGGCCAGGTCATTAACCCTTAAATGCATGACTTTTTAATAATGATTGAAAAAAATATTTTTATATTGTTTTGGTGGGTATATGAAGAGTATAGTCAAGTAAAAAAATATTTTTAGTTTAAACATGTTCTTTAATTAAAATCCGAAATGTTGCATGTCTGCAACATTATGTAGTAAGGTGATACTTTTTAAGACAGTTGTTGATCTTGTTACAACAAAGATATATGTTGCACTTGTGGAAAACTGTTTGAGCTTGATGTGAATTTGCACCTGTCATTGCACTATTCCACGAGACTTAGTGTCCACACTGGTCCAGGAGATCCAGGGTCCATTCTGGTCCTAGAGATCCAGGGTCCACACTTATCCAGGGTCCAAACTGGTCCAGGAGATCCAGGGTCCACACTGGTCCAGGAGATCCAGGGTCCACACTGGTCTTGTAGATCCAGGGTCAAAACTGGTCCAGGATATCTAGGGTCCACACTGGTCCAGGATATCCAGGGTCCACACTGGTCCAGGATATCCAGGGTCCACACTGATCCAGGATATCCAGGGTCCACACTGGTCCAGAATATCTAGGGTCCACACTGGTCCAGGATATCCAGGGTCCACACTGGTCCAGGATATTCAGGGTCCACACTGGTCCAGGATATCCAGGGTCCACACTTGTCCAGGATATCTAGGGTCCACACTGGTCCAGGATATCTAGGGTCCACACTGGTCCAGGATATCTAGGGTCCACACTGGTCCAGAATATCTAGGGTCCACACTGGTCCAGGATATCTAGGGTCTACACTGGTCCAGGATATCTAGGGTCCATACTGGTCCAGGAGATCCAGGGTCCACACTGGTCCAGGAGATTCAGGGTCCACACTGGTCCAGGATATCTAGGGTCCACACTGGTCCAGGATATCTAGGGTCCACACTGGTACAGGATATCTAGGGTCTACATTGGTCCAGGATATCCAGGGTCCACACTGGTCCAGGAGATCCAGGAAGATACTCTTGATCACCAAGAGCATCTACTTCATATTATTCTTCACCTTGATTCACATTGATTTCTTAATGATTATGCTGAAACTAGAAGAAAAACAAGGTACTATATAATCACCAATGCTGATGTATAAAGTAAAAAAAATAGTGCAAAAGTAGGTCAATTTGCATAACGTTGCAGCACTGCAACCTAAGTTTTGTGAAGATTTTAAAATAAATTATGAATTGATTTTCAAAACAACACATACAATATGTAATACATACCTTAGGTTGTCAGAAACATATTTTTTGAAATTCCAAAACCAGTTTATTTGACTTTGATGAACTTTGAAACGCCAACCAAAAATGCTGATATAAAAAACCTTGTGATCATGCACAAATTTGAGATCATGCACAAATTTGAGATCGGCTTGGCGGTAAAACAAATCTAGGTCACTTAGACATGCACAAGCTGTAGGTTAACATTGTAGCAGTCAAACAACGTGATGCACAGAATAAAACATGTTTAGGCTAATATTTTATGGAAAGGTAACTGGTATGTTGCAGATTTGTACCGGTATGCATTTAAGGGCTAATGTAAGTTGTTGGGCTAGGTCATTAATGTAAGTTGTTGGGCCAGGTCATTAATGTAAGTTGTAGGGCCAGGTCATTAACGTAAGTTGTAGGGCCAGATAATTAATGCAAATCGTAAAACCAGGTCATTAATGTAAAATGAAATGCTGGTCATTAATGTGTTGTAGGGCCAGGTCATGACATCTGTACTAGCTGGCATGTCTAAGCTGTAACTCTTGGTATAACAAACTTGTTTTATCTTCCAGAGTTTGACCCTACACTACCTCAATAATGGAACAGCCAAACTTTCGTTTGGTCTGAACAAGGAAGTTTTTTTTGTGCCAATTGTATTGGTACTAAAGGTATCTATATCCTACACATAGTCTAGTATTGGTACTAAAGGTATCTATATCCTACACATAGGCTAGTATTGGTACTAAAGGTATCTTTATCCTACACATAGTCTAGTATTGGTACTAAAGGTATCTATATCCTACACATAGGCTAGTATTGGTACTAAAGGTATCTATATCCTACACATAGGCTAGTATTGTTACTAAAGGTATCTATATCCTACACATAGTCTAGTATTGTTACTAAAGGTATCTATATCCTACACATAGTCTAGTATTGTTGCTAAAGGTATCTTTATCCTACACATAGTCTAGTATTGGTACTAAAGGTATCTTTATCCTACACATAGGCTAGTATTGGTACTAAAGGTATCTATATCCTACACATAGGCTAGTATTGTTGCAAAAGGTATCTATATCCTACACATAGTCTAGTATTGGTACTAAAGGTATCTATATCCTACACATAGGCTAGTATTGGTACTAAAGGTATCTATATCCTACACATAGGCTAGTATTGGTACTAAAGGTATCTATATCCTACACATAGGCTAGTATTGTTGCTAAAGGTGTTTATAAGCCTACAGTTAGTCTAGGTATCGAGATTTATATGCTACTGATAGTGTAACCCTTATATATCATTAAAGTTAGTTGCCTTGTTATTTGTACCAGCTGGTCTGTCATGTCATCTGTACCAGATGTCAATCTGTGATGTCATCTGTACCAGATGTCAAACTGTCATGTCATCTGTACCAGATGTCAATCTGTGATGTCATCTGTACCAGATGTCAATCTGTGATGTCATCTGTACCAGATGTCAATCTGTGATGTCATCTGTACCAGATGTCAATCTGTGATGTCATCTGTACCAGATGTCAATCTGTGATGTCATCTGTACCAGATGTCAATCTGTGATGTCATCTGTACCAGATGTCAATCTGTCATGTCATCTGTACCAGATGTCAATCTGTGAGATTATTTCAGGGCCTGATGGATGTCTCCGACAAGTTTCTTTTTGATGAGCTCATGAGGGGCCGTGAGGAGGACACTTTCTATAGAGGGTCAGTTTGTTTGTGTAGGGGGAGGGGGTGTGAGGACACTTTCTATAGAGGGTCAGTTTGTTTGTGTAGGGGGAGGGGGTGTGAGGACACTTTCTATAGAGGGTCAGTTTGGTTTGTGTAGGGGGAGGGGGTGTGAGGACACTTTCTATAGAGGGTCAGTTTGGTTTGTGTGGGGGGAGGGGGTGTGAGGACACTTTCTATAGAGGGTCAGTTTGGTTTGTGTAGGGGGAGGGGGTGTGAGGACACTTTCTATAGAGGGTCAGTTTGGTTTGTGTGGGGGGAGGGGGTGTGAGGACACTTTCTATAGAGGGTCAGTTTGGTTTGTGTGGGGGGAGGGGGTGTGAGGACACTTTCTATAGAGGGTCAGTTTGGTTTGTGTGGGGGGAGGGGGTGTGAGGAGGACACTTTCTATAGAGGGTCAGTTTGGTTTGTGTGGGGGGAGGGGGTGTGAGGACACTTTCTATAGAGGGTCAGTTTGGTTTGTGTGGGGGGAGGGGGTGTGAGGACACTTTCTATAGAGGGTCAGTTTGGTTTGTGTGGGGGGAGGGGGTGTGAGGACACTTTCTATAGAGGGTCAGTTTTGTTTGTGTAGGGGGAGGGGGTGTGAGGAGGACACTTTCCAGGGCTGCCTACCCCAAAAAAATTTTCCCCGTAATAAGAGCATAGGTTTTCCGTAACTTTCCCTATTTTTACAAATTTTTTAAATACAATGTAAATAAGACCCATATTATACGATCGTAAAGCTCATCAGCGTAATGATGACAGTCGGCGACTCGTGCTACTTTTTATTTTATGGACTAATAATTAGTTTTTTAAAAAAAAACTCCGTTAAATTCAGAATGTAAGGCGACAATGGAAAATTTCAAATAGGAATTGTTCTTGCAATGAGTAGTATGACGTATGAATAGGCCAACACTACGGATATCTAAACCAATGTGAACTCAGTTACCCCTAGACTGTGTGTATGTCAGGATTTTTTCTCCCGCGAACAAGAAAACGTAAGCGGCCGACGGGTGACGATGTTTAGAATTAGCATATTTCTTGAATATTTTTTTTAAATCTACATTTTATCAATGTAATATCTAGAAGAAAAGAACAATTTTAAAAATATGATCCATAATTAATCTAGGTGAGCCTAGATCTCGTTGTTTAGTAAAATCTTGTCTTCTCGCACATCTCAAACAAAATGCCTCGATGTCTCGCTATTTAGGCATTTAGCCGTAATACCGCCTCAGCAAATATGTCTTTCAATGATTTAGGCCACGCCCTTTTTTTTCTCTCCGGACAACACCGACTCATGAGGTAACACAGACTACTCGCGGGGTCAATAGTTCACAATATAAACACGACTGCCGCCAGCCATGACAAGAGGGGGAGGGGGATTGTTACGGAAGAGGCTGGGAACCTTAGAACCGGATAACACACTGAAATACTGAAATATAACTAGCTAAATTAAAATTAAAAATTCCGTAACCTGGGTGTCAAAATCGTAAAGTTACGGGCAAAACCGTACAAGTAGGCAGCCCCTGACTTTCTATAGAGCGTCAGTTTGGTTTGTGTAGGTGTGTCCTGGAGGTTTGAAGGCGTGTCCTGGAGGTTTGAAGGCGTGTCCTGTATTTTTGAAGGCGTGTTTTGTTTGTGCAGGTGCGTCATCTTCATGCTGAGGCAGGTGATGACCGAGGGCCTCAACTCCCAAGCGTCAGTTGTCAGCTTTATTGGCAAAAGATTCCGTGTCAAGTTGGCCCTGCCCGCCTGGTACACAGATGAAGAGGTGGGGCATTACCTCATCAGTAGGTGCATCTGCATCCACCTGAACCGTCCTGCCGACAAGTTCCACCTGCTGGTGTGAGTGGTCTTATTGTCACATTTACATGACCCAGAAACTTGAATTGTTACAGTTACATGACCCAGAAACTTGATTGTTAGTTACATGACCCAGAAACTTGATTGTTAGTTACATGACCCAGAAACATGAATTGTTAGAGTTACATGACCCAGAAACTTGAATTGTTACAGTTACATGACCTAGAAACTTGAATTGTTACAGTTACATGACCCAGAAACTTTTTGCATTTGTCAATGGAGAATGTTCAGCAGAGAACCCAGACAATCCCATGTTCCACGAGGTTTTAGGACCAGGGCATCTGATGCAGATGGTACTCAAGGTCAGTATACAAGGTCAGCACAAATGGCCATGATGTGTATACAGTGTCATGGTCATCTTAGGGTTGTATTGGGTTATCATCACCTAGGCTCTCACAAGACATGATCACAACATTTTCTCCCATGATTAACTAAGTGACTACAACTCTCATCCCATGATTAACTAAGTGACCATCACATGGTTAACTAAGTGACCATCCCATGATTAACTAAGTGACCATCCCATGATTAACTAAGTGACCATCCCATGATTAACTAAGTGACCATCCCATAATTAACTAAGTGACCATCCCATGATTAACTAAGTGACCATCCCATGATTAACTAAGTGACCATCCCATGATTAACTAAGTGACCATCCCATGATTAACTAAGTGACCATCCCATGATTAACTAAGTGACCATCCCATGATTAACTAAGTGACCATCCCATAATTAAGTGACCATCCCATGATTAACTAAGTGACCACAACTCTCATACAACTGACCTACACCAACTGACCTAAACCAATTGACCTAAACCAATTGACCTTAAATAACTGAACCATCTGAGACCACCTTAGAGCTCTATGAATCATCTTGTCTTTCATTTATATTTCCTCATTTTATTGATTGTTAACAACAAATTAGTCAAATGTAGTTCTAGTTCCTATATAAAAATGGGCTAATTAAATTTCAGGATTCACTTTTAAAAATGTTGTAATACCATATGAGAAAGTGTTTTTCTTTAGTTTGCTTATGTGATCATGTATCCTTTAAATGTTCTGAAATTTTTATTTTTACTCTTAAAATATACCTCATGAACTTGGTGCCAAAACGTTGTCTATTGACAAACCCCATATGACCAGATGAGCTGACCGCATATGACCAGATGAACTGACCCCATATGACCAGATGAACTGACCCCATATGACCAGATGAACTGACCCCAGATGAACTGACCCCATATGACCAGATGAACTGACCCCATATGACCAGATGAACTGACCCCATATGACCAGATGAACTGACCCCATATGACCAGATGAACTGACCCCATATGACCAGATGAACTGACCCCATATGACCAGATGAACTGACCCCATATGACCAGATGAACTGACCCCATATGACCAGATGAACTGACCCCATATGACCAGATGAACTGACCCCATATGACCAGATGAACTGACCCCATATGACCAGATGAACTGACCCCATATGACCAGATGAACTGACCCCATATGAACTGACCCCATATGACCAGATGAACTGACCCCATATGACCAGATGAACTGACCCCATACGACCAGATGAACTGACCCCATATGACCAGATGAACTGACCCCATATGACCAGATGAACTGACCCCATATGACCAGATGAACTGACCCCATATGAACTGACCCCATATGACCAGATGAACTGACCCCATATGACCAGATGAACTGACCCCATACGACCAGATGAACTGACCCCATATGACCAGATGAACTGACCCCATATGACCAGATGAACTGACCCCAGATGAACTGACCCCATATGACCAGATGAACTGACCCCATATGACCAGATGAACTGACCCCATATGACCAGATGAACTGACCCCATATGACCAGATGAACTGACCCCATATGACCAGATGAACTGACCCCATATGACCAGATGAACTGACCCCATATGACCAGATGAACTGACCCCATATGACCAGATGAACTGACCCCATATGACCAGATGAACTGACCCCATATGACCAGATGAACTGACCCCATATGACCAGATGAACTGACCCCATATGAACTGACCCCATATGACCAGATGAACTGACCCCATATGACCAGATGAACTGACCCCATACGACCAGATGAACTGACCCCATATGACCAGATGAACTGACCCCATATGACCAGATGAACTGACCCCATATGACCAGATGAACTGACCCCATATGAACTGACCCCATATGACCAGATGAACTGACCCCATATGACCAGATGAACTGACCCCATACGACCAGATGAACTGACCCCATATGACCAGATGAACTGACCCCATATGACCAGATGAACTGACCCCAGATGAACTGACCCCATATGACCAGATGAACTGACCCCATATGACCAGATGAACTGACCCCATATGACCAGATGAACTGACCCCATATGACCAGATGAACTGACCCCATATGACCAGATGAACTGACCCCATATGACCAGATGAACTGACCCCATATGACCAGATGAACTGACCCCATATGACCAGATGAACTGACCCCATATGACCAGATGAACTGACCCCATATGACCAGATGAACTGACCCCATATGACCAGATGAACTGACCCCATATGACCAGATGAACTGACCCCATATGAACTGACCCCATATGACCAGATGAACTGACCCCATATGACCAGATGAACTGACCCCATACGACCAGATGAACTGACCCCATATGACCAGATGAACTGACCCCATATGACCAGATGAACTGACCCCATATGACCAGATGAACTGACCCCATATGAACTGACCCCATATGACCAGATGAACTGACCCCATATGACCAGATGAACTGACCCCATACGACCAGATGAACTGACCCCATATGACCAGATGAACTGACCCCATATGACCAGATGAACTGACCCCAGATGAACTGACCCCATATGACCAGATGAACTGACCCCATATGACCAGATGAACTGACCCCATATGACCAGATGAACTGACCCCATATGACCAGATGAACTGACCCCATATGACCAGATGAACTGACCCCATATGACCAGATGAACTGACCCCATATGACCAGATGAACTGACCCCATATGACCAGATGAACTGACCCCAGATGAACTGACCCCGTCTAACTGACATCATCCCATTCTCTCGTGCCAGGAAAAATTGGAGCTCTACCTGCTGGGGATTAAAACTTTGCTCATCAAAGCTGCCAAAAGGAAAAAGAAAAATTTTCAAATCAATGCAGGTAACTAGTTGACTGGGACCAATGGCTGACCTACTTTTGTGACCTACTTTTGTGACCTACTTTTGTGACCTACTTTTGTGACGGACCCATTTGTGCTACTGACTGCTTAATGTGTCCACCAACTGCCCTACTCTACTGCCCTACTCTACTGCCCTACTCTACTGACTGCTTGAGTTAATGTGTCCACCAACTGCCCTACTCTACTGCCCTACTCTACTGCCCTACTCTACTGCCCTACTCTACTGCCCTACTCTACTGACTGCTTGAGTTAATGTGTCCACCAACTGCCCTACTCTACTGCCCTACTCTACTGCCCTACTCTACTGCCCTACTCTACTGCCCTACTCTACTGACTGCTTAAGTTAATGTGTCCACCAACTGCCCTACTCTATTGCCCTACTCTACTGCCCTACTCTACCAGCTGAGGTGCGTGAAGCGTGTAAGCATGTGTCGCCCATCACCAGGGCTATGGAGTACATCCTGTCTACTGGAAACCTCATCTCTCGCACTGGCTTAGGTCTTATGCAGGTAGGTCATGCTCATGTTAGGTCTTATGCAGGTAGGTCATGCTCATGTTAGGTCTTATGCAGGTAGGTCATGCTCATGTTAGGTCTTATGCAGGTAGGTCATGCTCATGTTAGGTCTTATGCAGGTAGGTCATGCTCATGTTAGGTCTTATGCAGGTAGGTCATGCTCATGTTAGGTCTTATGCAGGTAGGTCATGCTCATGTTAGGTCTTATGCAGGTAGGTCATGCTCATGTTAGGTCTTATGCAGGTAGGTCATGCTCATGTTAGGTCTTATGCAGGTAGGTCATGCTCATGTTAGGTCTTATGCAGGTAGGTCATGCTCATGTTAGGTCTTATGCAGGTAGGTCATGCTCATGTTAGGTCTTATGCAGGTAGGTCATGCTCATGTTAGGTCTTATGCAGGTAGGTCATGCTCATGTTAGGTCTTATGCAGGTAGGTCATGCTCATGTTAGGTCTTATGCAGGTAGGTCATGCTCATGTTAGGTCTTATGCAGGTAGGTCATGCTCATGTTAGGTCTTATGCAGGTAGGTCATGCTCATGGCTACCTAACTTTTGTCTGTGTGTATATATATATATATATAGTTCTGCTCATGGATACCTAGCTTTTGTCTGTGTATATATATATATATATAGAGAGAGAGAGAGAGAGAGAGAGTTATTTAAAAAATTATTTTTGATGTCTGCTAGAAAAAATATCCTGTGTACAGTCTAAAGCAAAATGTGCTGTGTATAGTCTAAAGCAAAATGTGCTGTGTATAGTCTGAAGCAAAATGTGCTGTGTACAGTTTAAAGCAAAATGTGCTGTGTGTGCTCCATTGTCACTGAGTGCTGACTACCACACCACATTGTGATGGTGTATTTAGTGAAACTGTTGTAACCACTCTAGTTACAAATCTGGAAGTGGTTCTAGGTATTGAGGGAATTTGCCTGTCTTTAAGTTGTCTGACCTGTTGCCCCACCTGTTGCCCCACCTGTTGCCCCACCTGTTGCCCCACCTGTTGTCTGACCTGTTGTCTGACCTGTTGTCCAACCTGTTGTCTGACCTGTTGCCCCACCTGTTGTCCGACCTGTTGCCCCACCTGTTGCCCCACCTGTTGCCCCACCTGTTGCCCCACCTGTTGCCCCACCTGTTGTCTGACCTGTTGTCTGACCTGTTGTCCAACCTGTTGCCCCACCTGTTGTCTGACCTGTTGCCCCACCTGTTGTCTGACCTGTTGTCTGACCTGTTGTCTGACCTGTTGCCCCACCTGTTGCCCCACCTGTTGCCCCACCTGTTGTCCGACCTGTTGCCCCACCTGTTGTCTGACCTGTTGTCTGACCTGTTGTCTGACCTGTTGTCTGACCTGTTGCCCCACCTGTTGCCCCACCTGTTGTCCGACCTGTTGCCCCACCTGTTGTCTGACCTGTTGCCCCACCTGTTTCCCCACCTGTTGCCCCACCTGTTGTCTGACCTGTTGCCCCACCTGTTGCCCCACCTGTTGTCTGACCTGTTGCCCCACCTGTTGTCTGACCTGTTGCCCCACCTGTTGTCTGACCTGTTGCCCCACCTGTTACCCCACCTGTTGTCAGACCTGTTGCCCCACCTGTTGCCCCACCTGTTGCCCCACCTGTTGCCCCACCTGTTGTCTGACCTGTTGCCCCACCTGTTGCCCCACCTGTTGCCCCACCTGTTGCCCCACCTGTTGTCTGACCTGTTGTCTGACCTATTGTCTAACCTATTGCCCCACCTGTTGCCCCACCTGTTGTCTGACCTGTCATCTGACCTGTTGCCCCACCTGTTGCCCCACCTGTTGTCTGACCTGTTGCCCCACCTGTTGTCTGACCTGTCGCCCCACCTGTTGCCCCACCTGTTGCCCCATCTGTTGTCCGACCTGTTGCCCCACCTGTTGCCCCACCTGTTGCCCCACCTGTTGCCCGACCTGTTGCCCCACCTGTTGCCCCACCTGTTGTCTGACCTGTTGCCCCACCTGTTGCCCCACCTGTTGCCCCACCTGTTGTCTGACCTGTTGCCCCACCTGTTGTCTGACCTGTCGCCCCACCTGTTGTCTGACCTGTCGCCCCACCTGTTGCCCCACCTGTTGCCCCATCTGTTGTCCGACCTGTTGCCCCACCTGTTGCCCCACCTGTTGCCCGACCTGTTGCCCCACCTGGTGCCCCACCTGGTGCCCGACTTGTTGCCCCACCTGTCGCCCCACCTGTTGCCCCACCTGTTGTCTAACCTGTTGTCTTCATTCTTTTGTTTCAGTCGCGGGGGTTTTCTGTGATTGCAGATAAATTAAATTTCTTCCGCTACGTGTCCCATTTCCGTGCCGTGCACCGTGGGGCCTTTTTCACAGAGATGAGAACTACTGCTGTAAGGAAGCTGCTGCCTGAAGCTTGGGGTATTGCCGCCTTGTTGGATGGAATGTTGGATCATGTGTTGGATGACTAGTTGTATGACAGTTTCAATGGTTATGCTGTATGACAAGTTCTATGTCATGTATGATGTGAGATCTGAATATGTTGTATGTCATGTATGACATGTGATCTGAATGTTGTATGTCATGAATGACATGTGATCTGAAGGTTTGTCATGTATGACATGTGATCTGAATGTTTGTAATGTATGATGTGTGATCTGAATATGTTGTATGTCATGTATGACGTGTGATCTGAATGTTTGTCATGTATGACGTGTGGTCTGAATGTTTGTCATGTATGACATGTGATCTGAATATGTTGTATGTCATGTATGACATGTGATCTGAATGGTTGTCATGTATGACGTGTGATCTGAATATGTTGTATGTCATGTATGACATGTGATCTGAATGGTTGTCATGTATGACATGTGATCTGAATGTTTGTCATGTATGACATGTGATCTGAATGGTTGTCATGTATGACGTGTGATCTGATTTTGTTGTATGTCATGTATGACATGTGATCTGAATGGTTGTCATGTATGACATGTGATCTGAATGTTTGTCATGTATGACATGTGATCTGACTTTTCCTCTCCAGGATTTTTGTGTCCAGTTCACACACCTGATGGCTCACCCTGTGGACTTCTCAATCACCTGGCTGCTTGCTGTAAGGTCAGTTCAATCACCTGGCTGCTTGCTGTAAGGTCAGTTCAATCACCTGGCTGCTTGCTGTAAGGTCAGTTCAATCACCTGGCTGCTTGCTGTAAGGTCAGTTCAATCACCTGGCTGCTTGCTGTAAGGTCAGTTCAATCACCTGGCTGCTTGCTGTAAGGTCAGTTCAATCACCTGGCTGCTTGCTGTAAGGTCAGTTCAATCACCTGGCTGCTTGCTGTAAGGTCAGTTCAATCACCTGGCTGCTTGCTGTAAGGTCAGTTCAATCACCTGGCTGCTTGCTGTAAGGTCAGTTCAATCACCTGGCTGCTTGCTGTAAGGTCAGTTCAATCACCTGGCTGCTTGCTGTAAGGTCAGTTCAATCACCTGGCTGCTTGCTGTAAGGTCAGTTCAATCACTTGGCTGCTTGCTGTAAGGTCAGTTCAATCACCTGGCTGCTTGCTGTAAGGTCAGTTCAATCACCTGGCTGCTTGCTGTAAGGTCAGTTCAATCACTTGGCTGCTTGCTGTAAGGTCAGTTCAATCACATGGCTGCTTGCTGTAAGGTCAGTTCAATCAACTGGCTGCTTGCTGTAAGGTCAGTTCAATCACCTGGCTGCTTGCTGTAAGGTCAGTTCAATCACCTGGCTGCTTGCTGTAAGGTCAGTTCAATCACTTGGCTGCTTGCTGTAAGGTCAGTTCAATCACCTGGCTGCTTGCTGTAAGGTCAGTTCAATCACCTGGTCAGTCAGACAGTAGTAATGGTGATTGTGATGATGACCTCATGTTTCAGATTGTGATGGTGACCTCATGTGTTTCAAATTGTGACCTCATGTTTCAAATTGTGACCTCATGTTTCAAATTGTGACCTCATGTTTCAGATTGTGATGTGACCTCATGTTTCAAATTGTGACCTCATGTTTCAGATTGTGACCTCATGTTTCAGATTGTGACCTCATGTTTCAGATTGTGACCTCATGTTTCAGATTGTGACCTCATGTTTCAGATTGTGATGTGACCTCATGTTTCAAATTGTGATGTGACCTCATGTTTCAAATTGTGACCTCATGTTTCAGATTGTGACCTCATGTTTTAGATTGTGACCTCATGTTTCAGATTGTGACCTCATGTTTTAGATGTTGACCTCATGTTTTAGATGTTGACCTCATGTTTCAGATTGTGACCTCATGTTTCAGATGTTGACCTCATGTTTCAGATTGTGACCTCATGTTTTAGATTGTGACCTCATGTTTCAGATTGTGACCTCATGTTTTAGATGTTGACCTCATGTTTTAGATGTTGACCTCATGTTTCAGATTGTGACCTCATGTTTCAGATTGTAAATACTGATGTGGAGACGGAGCACCTAGACGGAGTGTTGACAGAGTTGGGCATGTCACCCCTTGGCTCCCCCCTGCTCTGGCCTGTCAAAGATTGTTATGTTGTCTTGCTGGATGGGAGAATTCTCGGACACATCAACGCTTGGTCAGCTGACACGTTGGTCAAAACACTCAGAGTACTCAAGGTCAAGGGCAGAGGAGAAGTGGGTCAAGGACAGCTTAGTGTTCACTGTATAGTAACTAGTTGCACAAGTAGATCAAATATGACGTCATAGGCACTGTATAGTAGCTAGTTGCACAAGTAGATCAAATAATGACGTCATAGGCACTGTATAGTAGCTAGTTGCACAAGTAAATCAAATATGGCGTCATAGGCTCTGTACAGTAGCTAGTTGCACAAGTAAATCAAATAATGACGTCATAGGCTCTAAACCTTTCCTGAACAAAAATATCGAATTCAAATGTATTCGTTCGCATTGCTATGTTAACCGTTAAAAAACCGATAGAACGCGATTATGATTCCAATCATATATGCCCTCCTTATTAGCAGTGGTTATTGACCGTTACCGCCTTATAATATTTATTTCACCTTTTTTACTTGTTTTTGTTGATCTCAGATTGAGTTTAAAAGGTGAGTTATCAAAAATTTACTTAAATAGTAAAACATTGAGACTAACTCTGTTTTTAGTGGGATTTTCTTCATTATTTATTAAACTTTCTTACTGGCATATTTATTTTAGATTTATCCGTTTTTCATGTTCCTTCGTTTTATAGGAATTATGCCACCAAATTTAATAAAAACATTTTTCTCAAAGAATTTTAATAATGAAACTAGTAAATGAGTAGATTAAGCTAATATGATGTGGCCTGTTCTACGTGCTACTAATGATTAAATTAGGCATACAATAACTGAACACAAAGTTGAAATTAAGTTATAAAAAGAATGATTTAAAACTTAAAATAATGACACTAGCTTCGATTTGAGTAAGACTATTCGATTTTTAGTTTTTTTAACTACGAAAATCAGCTTTGTTGAAACGCATTATAGTACGGGCTTAAATCTAAAAGTCCAAAATTTTTTTTGCAGGGTGGCCCTCTTTTTCTAGTTCCGCCGCTGCTAGAGAACCGTTTATCCTATTCAAATGAGTTTGGTATCATTTTGCAGCATTTAGTCCCCTTAATAGAACGTCATTATTTTGTCATTTAAATTTTGTGCAACTAGCTTCTATATAGAGATGTGTTTGTTCTAGGTGCCCTACTGTATAGAGATGTGTTTGTTCTAGGTGCCCCACTGTATAGAGATGTGTTTGTTCTAGGTGCCCTACTGTATGTGTTTGTTCTAGGTGCCCCACTATATGTGTTTGTTCTAGATGCCCCACTGTATGTGTTTGTTCTAGGTGCCCCACTATATGTGTTTGTTCTAGGTGCCCCACTATATGTGTTTGTTCTAGGTGCCCCACTGTATGTGTTTGTTCTAGGTGCCCCACTGTATAGAGATGTGTTTGTTCTAGGTGCCCTACTGTATGTGTTTGTTCTACGTGCCCCACTGTATAGAGATGTGTTTGTTCTAGGTGCCCCACTGTAAAGAGATGTGTTTGTTCTAGGTGCCCCACTGTATGTGTTTGTTCTAGGTGCCCTGGTGTATAGAGATGTGTTTGTTCTAGGTGCCCCGCTGTCTAGAGATCTGCCTGATCAAGAAGAGCGAGGTGTCCAGCCAGTACCCAGGGCTGTATCTCTTCTCCACTGTGGCCCGCATGATCCGTCCAGTCCACAACATCCAGGCTAATGCTCAAGAGATGGTCGGGTCCTTTGAACAAGTCTACTTGGACATAGCACTCAATCAGTCGGAGATCTACCCCGGGGTTAGTGCCTCTTGCTCAACACATCTTTTTAGGCTCTCTTACAGTAGCTAGTGACCTTGTTTAGTTACCTTCTGATTTAAGCGTGTGACCTTGAGATGTGAGCTAGTGACCTTGTTATTTAAGCAAGTGACCTTGTGATGTGAGCTAGTGACCTTGTATTTAACAGTTGACCTTGACTACAGGTGACGACCCACCAGGAGTTGAATGAACAGAGCATGCTCAGTGTCTTGGCCAATTTGATTCCATTTTCTGACTTCAATCAATCACCTCGGAACATGTACCAGTGCCAGGTATAGTATCCGTGTAGAACTTGTATACAGAACATGTACCTGTGTAGAACTTGTATACAGAACATGTATACAGAACATGTACCAGTGCCAGTTATAGTATCTGTAGAACTTGTATACAGAACATGTACCTGTGTAGAACTTGTATACAGAACATGTATACAGAACATGTACCAGTGCCAGGTATAGTATCTGTAGAACTTGTGTACAGAACATGTACCAGTGCCAGGTATCCATGTAGAACTTGTATACAGAACATGTACCAGTGCCAGGTATAGTATCTGTGTAGAACTTGTATACAGAACATGTATACAGAACATGTACCAGTGCCAGGTATAGTATCTGTGTAAAACTTGTATAGAGAACATATACCAGTGCCAGGTATAGAATCTGTGTAGAACTTGTATAGAGAACATGTACCAGTGTAGAACTTGTATACAGAACATTTACTAGTGTAGAATTTGTATACAGAACATTTACTAGTGTAGAACTTGTGCATCTCTCTTACATACAAACTATTACATAACTATTGCAAACTATTTTATTACAAACTATTAGTTTATCCACTTGTATTTACTGCGTTGGAGAACGTGTTTACATCCATTAATCACGTCATGTTGACAGTTAAAATCTATTTTGATCACATCAGTTACATATCAACATTCTGTTAGTTACCAGTTATATTATAGCTAGTTCCTGTAGTTACCGGTTATATTATAGCTAGTCCCTGTAGTTACCGGTTATATTATAGCTAGTTCCTGTAGTTACCGGTTATATTATAGCTAGTTCCTGTAGTTACCAGTTATATTATAGCTCGGTCTGGTTTTGGCCTTGACCTTGTCAGCCAACCAGCCAACTATGTTTTATCAATTTCTGTGCTTTCAACTTTACACCAGTTATATATAAAACTTCTTACAGAATTAGAGAACTTTCATAGCCCAGTCTAATCACAACACGACCTGTCTAGTCTGTCCATCACAACATGACCTGTCTAGTCCATCACAACATGACCTGTCTAGTCCATCACAACATGACCTGTCTAGTCTGTCCATCACAACATGACCTGTCTAGTCCATCACAACATGACCTGTCTAGTCCATCACAACATGACCTGTCTAGTCTGTCCATCACAACATGACCTGTCTAGTCCATCACAACATGACCTGTCTAGTCCATCACAACATGACCTGTCTAGTCCATCACAACATGACCTGTCTAGTCCATCACAACATGACCTGTCTAGTCCATCACAACATGACCTGTCTAGTCCATCACAACATGACCTGTCTAGTCCATCACAACATGACCTGTCTAGTCCATCACAACATGACCTGTCTAGTCCATCACAACATGACCTGTCTAGTCCATCACAACATGACCTGTCTAGTCCATCACAACATGACCTGTCTAGTCTGTCCATCACAACATGACCTGTCTAGTCTGTCCATCACAACATGACCTGTCTAGTCCATCACAACATGACCTGTCTAGTCCATCACAACATGACCTGTCTAGTCTGTCCATCACAACATGACCTGTCTAGTCTGTCCATCACAACATGACCTGTCTAGTCCATCACAACATGACCTGTCTAGTCTGTCCATCACAACATGACCTGTCTAGTCTGTCCATCACAACATGACCTGTCTAGTCCATCACAACATGACCTGTCTAGTCTGTCCATCACAACATGACCTGTCTAGTCTGTCCATCACAACATGACCTGTCTAGTCCATCACAACATGACCTGTCTAGTCCATCACAACATGACCTGTCTAGTCCATCACAACATGACCTGTCTAGTCCATCACAACATGACCTGTCTAGTCCATCACAACATGACCTGTCTAGTCCATCACAACATGACCTGTCTAGTCCATCACAACATGACCTGTCTAGTCCATCACAACATGACCTGTCTAGTCCATCACAACATGACCTGTCTAGTCCATCACAACATGACCTGTCTAGTCCATCACAACATGACCTGTCTAGTCCATCACAACATGACCTGTCTAGTCCATCACAACATGACCTGTCTAGTCCATCACAACATGACCTGTCTAGTCTGTCCATCACAACATGACCTGTCTAGTCCATCACAACATGACCTGTCTAGTCCATCACAACATGATCTGTCTAGTCCATCACAACATGACCTGTCTAGTCCATCACAACATGACCTGTCTAGTCCATCACAACATGACCTGTCTAGTCCATCACAACATGACCTGTCTAGTCTGTCCATCACAACATGACCTGTCTAGTCCATCACAACATGACCTGTCTAGTCTGTCCATCACAACATGACCTGTCTAGTCTGTCCATCACAACATGACCTGTCTAGTCCATCACAACATGACCTGTCTAGTCCATCACAACATGACCTGTCTAGTCTGTCCATCACAACATGACCTGTCTAGTCCATCACAACATGACCTGTCTAGTCCATCACAACATGACCTGTCTAGTCCATCACAACATGACCTGTCTAGTCCATCACAACATGACCTGTCTAGTCCATCACAACATGACCTGTCTAGTCCATCACAACATGACCTGTCTAGTCCATCACAACATGACCTGTCTAGTCCATCACAACATGACCTGTCTAGTCCATCACAACATGACCTGTCTAGTCCATCACAACATGACCTGTCTAGTCCATCACAACATGACCTGTCTAGTCTGTCCATCACAACATGACCTGTCTAGTCCATCACAACATGACCTGTCTAGTCCATCACAACATGACCTGTCTAGTCCATCACAACATGACCTGTCTAGTCCATCACAACATGACCTGTCTAGTCTGTCCATCACAACATGACCTGTCTAGTCTGTCCATCACAACATGACCTGTCTAGTCCATCACAACATGACCTGTCTAGTCCATCACAACATGACCTGTCTAGTCCATCACAACATGACCTGTCTAGTCCATCACAACATGACCTGTCTAGTCCATCACAACATGACCTGTCTAGTCCATCACAACATGACCTGTCTAGTCCATCACAACATGACCTGTCTAGTCCATCACAACATGACCTGTCTAGTCCATCACAACATGACCTGTCTAGTCCATCACAACATGACCTGTCTAGTCCATCACAACATGACCTGTCTAGTCCATCACAACATGACCTGTCTAGTCCATCACAACATGACCTGTCTAGTCTGTCCATCACAACATGACCTGTCTAGTCTGTCCATCACAACATGACCTGTCTAGTCCATCACAACATGACCTGTCTAGTCCATCACAACATGACCTGTCTAGTCCATCACAACATGACCTGTCTAGTCCATCACAACATGACCTGTCTAGTCCATCACAACATGACCTGTCTAGTCCATCACAACATGACCTGTCTAGTCCATCACAACATGACCTGTCTAGTCCATCACAACATGACCTGTCTAGTCCATCACAACATGACCTGTCTAGTCCATCACAACATGACCTGTCTAGTCTGTCCATCACAACATGACCTGTCTAGTCTGTCCATCACAACATGACCTGTCTAGTCTGTCCATCACAACATGACCTGTCTAGTCCATCACAACATGACCTGTCTAGTCCATCACAACATGACCTGTCTAGTCCATCACAACATGACCTGTCTAGTCCATCACAACATGACCACACCAATTTTGCCCATTTCTAGATGGCCAAACAGACAATGGGCACCCCCCTTCATGCCTATCAGCACCGAGCCGACAACAAACTTTACAGAATCCAGAGCCCACAGAGCCCACTGGTCAGGCCAGCCGCCTATGATGACTACAACTTTGATGAGTATCCTCTGGGGACCAACACAGTCGTAGCGGTCATCTCTTACACGGTCAGCACCTTGTCCATGATGTCTGATGTTTCTACTGACCATGTTGTCTGATGTTTGTACTGACCATGATGTCTGATGTTTGTACTGACCATGATGTTTCTACTGACCATGATGTCTGATGTTTCTACTGACCATGATGTCTGATGTTTCTACTGACCATGATGTCTGATGTTTCTACTGACCATGATGTCTGATGTTTCTACTGACCATGATGTTTCTACTGACCATGATGTCTGATGTTTCTACTGACCATGATGTCTGATGTTTGTACTGACCATGATGTCTGATGTTTCTACTGACCATGATGTCTGATGTTTCTACTGACCATGATGACTGATGTTTGTACTGACCATGATGTCTGATGTTTGTACTGGCCATGATGTCTGTACTGACCATGATGTCTGATGTTTTTACTGACCATGATGTCTGATGTTTCTACTGACCATGATGTCTGATGTTTTTACTGACCATGATTGTTGATGTTTCTACTGACCATGATGTCTGATGTTTCTACTGACCATGATGTTTCTACTGACCATGATGTTTCTACTGACCATGATGTTTCTACTGACCATGATGTCTGATGTTCCTAGGGTTATGACATGGAGGATGCTATGATCATCAACAAATCTTCCTATGAGAGAGGTTTTGCTCATGGCTCTATCATTAAGTCTGAGGTCAGTCAAAATAGTCTCTTGATCACCACCACATGACCACACCACCACATGACCACACCACCATCTGACCACACCACCACATGACCACACCACCACATGACCACACCACCATCTAACCACACCACCACCTGACCACACCACCACCTGACCACACCACCATCTGACCACACCACCACATGACCACACCACCACATGACCACACCACCACATGACCACACCACCACACCACCACCTGACCACACCACCACCTGACCACACCACCACATGACCACACCACATGACCACACCACCACATGACCACACCACATGACCACACCACCACATGACCACACCACCACCTGACCACACCACCACATGACCACACCACATGACCACACCACCACATGACCACACCACCACCTGACCACACCACCACATGACCACACCACCTGACCACACCACCACCTGACCACACCACCACCTGACCACACCACCACCTGACCACACCACCACATGACCACACCACCACATGACCACACCACCACATGACCACACCACATGACCACACCACCACATGACCACACCACCACATGACCACACCACCACATGACCACACCACCACATGACCACACCACATGACCACACCACCACATGACCACACCACCACCTTACCACAACACCACCTGACCACACCACCACATGACCACACCACCACCTGACCACACCACCACCTGACCACACCACCACCTGACCACACCACCACCTGACCACACCACCACATGACCACACCACCACATGACCACACCACCACCTGACCACACCACCACCTGACCACACCACCACATGACCACACCACCACCTGACCACACCACCACCTGACCACACCACCACCTGACCACACCACCACATGACCACACCACCACATGACCACACCACCACCTGACCACACCACCACATGACCACACCACCACATGACCACACCACCACATGACCACACCACCACATGACCACACCACCACATGACCACACCACCACATGACCACACCACCACCTGACCACACCACCACCTGACCACACCACCACATGACCACACCACCACATGACTACACCACCACATGACTACACCACCACATGACCACACCACCACCTGACCACACCACCACCTGACCACACCACCACACCACCACACCACCACACCACCACCTGACCACACCACCACCTGACCACACCACATGACCACACCACCACATGACCACACCACCACCTGACCACACCACCACCTGACCACACCACCACACCACCACCTGACCACACATCTCTGTCCCCCAGGAAGTTGACCTGCGAACAGTCAGCCGGGATCACGGACCCCGAGCATTGGTGTTTGGTGAGTACAGTCAGGTGACTTGTACATCAGGTGACTTGTACATCAGGTGACTTGTACATCAGGTGACTTGTACATCAGGTGACTTGTACATCAGGTGACTTGTACATCAGGTGACTTGTACATCAGGTGACTTGTACATCAGGTGACTGACTTGTACATCAGGTGACTGACTTGTACATCAGGTGACTTGTACATCAGGTGACTTGTACATCAGGTGACTTGTACATCAGGTGACTGACTTGTACATCAGGTGACTGACTTGTACATCAGGTGACTGACTTGTACATCAGGTGACTGACTTGTACATCAGGTGACTTGTACATCAGGTGACTTGTACATCAGGTGACTTGTACATCAGGTGACTGACTTGTACATCAGGTGACTGACTTGTACATCAGGTGACTTGTACATCAGGTGACTTGTACATCAGCTGACTGACTTGTACATCAGGTGACTGACTTGTACATCAGGTGACTTGTACATCAGCTGACTGACTTGTACATCAGGTGACTGACTTGTACATCAGGTGACTTGTACATCAGGTGACTTGTACATCAGGTGACTTGTACATCAGGTGACTTGTACATCACGTGACTGACTTGTACATCAGGTGACTTGTACATCAGGTGACTGACTTGTACATCAGGTGACTTGTACATCAGGTGACTTGTACATCAGGTGACTTGTACATCAGGTGACTGACTTGTACATCACGTGACTGACTTGTACATCAGGTGACTTGTACATCAGGTGACTGACTTGTACATCAGGTGACTTGTACATCAGGTGACTGACTTGTACATCAGGTGACTTGTACATCAGGTGACTTGTACATCAGGTGACTTGTACATCAGGTGACTGACTTGTACATCACGTGACTGACTTGTACATCAGGTGACTTGTACATCAGGTGACTGACTTGTACATCAGGTGACTTGTACATCAGGTGACTTGTACATCAGGTGACTGACTTGTACATCACGTGACTGACTTGTACATCACGTGACTTGTACATCAGGTGACTTGTATTTTCAGGCTGTCAGACAGATGAATGTTCAGGAAAATTGGACCCTGATGGATTACCTCCAATTGGAGCTAGGTTGACTAATGGCGACCCTTTCTACAGGTACCATCAGCTACTGGGGCCTCCAGTATGCTTTTAGTATCCAGTAGTATAAGTTATTGCCCTTGGCAGTCAGTAGTATAGGTCAGGGGTCAGCAACCTGCGGCGAGCCGCACGCAACTCTTTTGATGTCAAGATGGGGCTCTTTGGCTCAATGCACAAATATTAATATTTATTTTATTTTCAAAACTCATAAGAATATTGTTCTGCAACACTCAGTAATTAATTATATAATCATAAACATTAAACATTTGCTATTCTATTAGAATATTTAGGTACTCCCTATTTTCAATGTACTTCCTATTAAACTGTTCATCCCGAATTGAAACACTCAACTTCATGGTGGATATCACAAAGAAAATAAACGAGCTAAATGTAAAACTGCAAGGAAAGGAAAACTCAGCCCATGCCTTGCTTTAGAAGTGGATGTTTCGAAAAAAATACTTTTTTTTGTTGAAGACATGGAGAGCGGTAAATTACTTGATTTAAATAAACCGGGAGTGATCTCCCCTAAACTTTCTCGAATATTTTTATTTAAAATAACAGGGGATGGGAACTCGGGCTATAGACATGATTTTTAATCCATTTTAAATACTTAAAGTTTTAAAAATAGAATAAAATCTTGTAGACAAAAGAATTGCACACAAAGTGAACGCTAAATAAAAAAGTGCATAATAGTGCGCAATATTATTAGTACTTTAAAAATTTACATTAGTTTTTTGAGAAATCGGAACTAGCGTAAATTACTACTTCCGTTCAATGGAAATGACTCAAAATTTAACAGAAGGTAGAGAATTAGATCTTTTACTTACCTGTGAAATTTCGTTTATCTATCTGAAATAGTACTCAAGTTATAGGCTTTTGAAAATTTCAAAGTAGGAAAAGTACCACTTCCGGTTATCGGAAATTGCTCAAAAGTTGATACGGATCTACGATTTCGATAAAATACTTATATATGAAATTTCATCAACCTAGCTGTAACGGTACTCAAGTTATCGTGTTTACACACACACACACAGACAGACACACAGACATACGGACAAGATTGCAAAATTATGTTTTTCCGTATCAATGAGATGTAAAACGTCGAGATTTGTAAAAATCAGCATTACAACAAACAAAACGAACGATGGATTCACTGAGAGCAATTCAAAACAAATGCAAGTACTCTGACGTTCATAGTAGACCCTCTCAACAAAAACAAATGAGATTAACTTTGAGCTATTTGGAATTGATGCTGGTTTGCTTCAAATGCAATTGCTGGATTTGAAAACGTATCATTTGTGGAGCGGAAAATTCACAGAACTCAAGAGCAAGTAAAAATAGTTGAAAGTCCAGTAAAACATGCATGCTGCACAACTGGACAGCTGAAAGAAATATCGCGAGTTGAGGCACTCATATGTCACGCATGGAATAAATTTGCAGGATGGTACAGTAACATGGAGAAGTTGACATCTGGAGTGCTGACGATCGTTAGGTCAACATATTCGTGCTAGCAAGAGTTCTCTTACATGAATATAATAAAAAGTAAAGTAAGAAGCCAACTAACAAATAAAAATCTAGAGGCGTGCTTGAAACCTCCTAAAACAAGAAGTTATGAGCCAGATTTAAACAAACCAAACGGCATGCAACGTCTATGCTCCCATTGATGTAACTAATGTAAATGTTCAATGATTATAGCTATACTATTTGATTACTAATTTTATTACTCTAGCAGAGCTAGCTAAAATACTATAAAATGTTATGTGCGAAATACTATTTGATTACTAATTTTATTACTCTAGCAGAGCTAGCTAAAATACTATAAAATGTTATGTGCGAAACATGTGTATTTTTAAAAAATATGAATAAATATCATTTCATTTTTAAAGCTATTTATTTAAATTATATATATATATATATATATATATATATATATATATATATATATATATATATATATATATATATATAAAATCCTAAATATTGAAAAAATAAACCGGGAGTGATCTCCCCTAAACTTTCTCGAATATTCTTATATAAAATAACAGGGGATGGGAACTCGGGCTATAGACATGATTTTTAATCCATTTTAAATACTTAAAGTTTTAAAAATAGAATAAAATCTCGTAGACAAATTAATTGCACACCAAGTGAACGCCCAATAAAAAAGCGCATAATAGTGCGCAATATTATTAGTACTTTTAAAATTTACATTAGTTTTTTGAGAAATCGGAAGTAGCGTAAATTACTACTTCCAGTCAACGGAAATTACTCAAAATTTAACAGAAGGTAGAGAATTAGATCTTTTACTTACATGTGAAATTTCATTTATCTATCTGAAATAGTACTCAAGTTATAGGCTTTTGAAAAATTCAAAGTAGGAAAAGTACCACTTCCGGTTATCGGAAATCGCTCAAAAGTTGATACGGATCTACGATTTTGATATAATACTTATATATGAAATTTCATCAACCTAGCTGTAACGGTACTCAAGTTACCGTGTTTATACACAGACACACACACAGACATACGGACAAGATTGCAAAATTATGTTTTTCAGTGAGGTGTAAAACGTCGAGATCTGTAAAAATCTCGATTTTTTTTTTTTGCACGATTAGAATACTTTCTCTATACTTCGTATATACGAGAAAGTAAAAAGTGACTCTTCAAAAACTGGTAAATTTTGTAAATTGCATCTTTTGGCTCTTCCGTCTCAAAAGGTTACCTACTCCTTGTATAGGTTATTGCCCATGGCAGTTAGTAGTTTATTGCCCTTGGTTATATTCCAGTTATTTGAATGTCAGCACTGGTGAGTACAGGGTAGTTCCCTACAAGAGTTTGGAGGAGGCCACAGTTGTACAGATCAAAGTTCTTGGTGACCCGCTGGGGACTGAGGCCTTAAATCATGTCTGCTTTGTTCTCCGCATCCCTGTAAGTCATGTGTCAGATTTGTTGGATGTCAGACAGACATGCACCGTTTGTGTCAGACAGACATGCACCATGTGACAGATAGATACTTTTAAAATGTGTGTCACGTTGTCATATGTCTGTGTCACGCTGTCATATGTCTGTGTCACATTGTCATATGTCTGTGTCATGCTGTCATATGTCTGTGTCACATTGTCATATGTCTGTGTCATGCTGTCATATGTCTGTGTCACGCTGTCATATGTCTGTGTCACGCTGTCATATGTCTGTGTCATATGTCTGTGTCATGCTGTCATATGTCTGTGTCACGCTGTCATATGTCTGTGTCACGCTGTCATATGTCTGTGTCACGCTGTCATATGTCTGTGTCACGCTGTCATATGTCTGTGTCACGCTGTCATATGTCTGTGTCATGCTGTCATATGTCTGTGTCACGCTGTCATATGTCTGTGTCATGCTGTCATATGTCTTTGTCACGCTGTCATATGTCTGTGTCACGCTGTCCTATGTCTGTGTCACATTTTTTCCCCTAGAGAAACCCAACTATTGGAGACAAATTTGCCAGTCGTCATGGACAGAAAGGAATCTGTAGGTCAGTGCTGTCTTTGTCAGCTGTCTGTAGGTCAGTGCTGTCTTTGTCAGCTGTCTGTAGGTCAGTGCTGTCTTTGTCAGCTGTCTGTATGTCAGTGCTGTCTTTGTCAGCTGTCTGTATGTCAGTGCTGTCTTTGTCAGCTGTCTGTATGTCAGTGCTGTCTTTGTCAGCTGTCTGTAGGTCAGTGCTGTCTTTGTCAGCTGTCTGTAGGTCAGTGCTGTCTTTGTCAGCTGTCTGTATGTCAGTGCTGTCTTTGTCAGCTGTCTGTAGGTCAGTGCTGTCTTTGTCAGCTGTCTGTAGGTCAATGCTGTCTTTGTCAGCTGTCTGTAGGTCAATGCTGGTGACTTGTGTGTAACATGTATTGAAATGATTTCTACTTTTAGTATGCTGTGGCCTACACCTGATATGCCCTTCACAGAGAGTGGGATGGTCCCTGATATCATCTTCAACCCTCATGGGTTCCCATCTAGAATGACCATTGGTATGTTTGGCGTGGACAAACAGATGAGACAAAAGAATGAAATAATAAAACAACTGACCCATAGAACACAAACATCCCCATCCACCCCCAACATACAAAAACCATCCACCCCCCACATACAAAAACCTTCCACCCCCCCCCCCCCTCCTGTGTTGCAGGTATGATGATTGAGAGCATGGCGGGGAAGGCGGGCGCCCTACACGGTCTGTACTTGGATGCCACTCCCTTCACATTCTCTGAACACCAGCCAGCCATTGACTACTTTGGACAGATGTTAACAGCAGGTGCAGTCTCAAGCATTGCTTTTTTAGATGGCACTAGACAGTCAGTAGATGGCACTCTAAGTCAGTAGATAGCAATCTAAGTCAGTAGATAGCAATCTAAGTCAGTAGATAGCAATCTAAGTCAGTAGATAGCAATCTAAGTCAGTAGATAGCAATCTAAGTCAGTAGATAGCAATCTAAGTCAGTAGATAGCAATCTAAGTCAGTAGATAGCAATCTAAGTCAGTAGATAGCAATCTAAGTCAGTAGATAGCACTCTAAGTCAGTAGATAGCAATCTAAGTCAGTAGAGATCACGCTATTAGTTTAAAGTTTTTAGGTATCACTATAGGCTACAGGACAATACCCCCCCCCCCCCCTTAAGTTAGAATCTTAACTCAAATTCTCTACCTATATATCACCTTAATCCTTACCTTAAGAAAAAAACCAAAACCTAAGCATTGACTTCAGCCTAAGTTGTAGGGCCAGGTCATTAGTGTTATTCTCACAAAACCAACTCAAGACATTGGTTTAAGCCTAACCTTGACCATAACAATAACCTTAATCCTAGCCCTGACCATAACCCTAACCCCAAATCTAACTCTAGCCCTAACTTTAACCCTAGCTGAACCTTAAGCTGTGTCAGGGGGGGGGGGGGGGGGGATTGACAGGGGGGTAATTACTCCAAGGGGGGGGGGGGGGAATGCCCTGTTCCCATCACTATATCCATCATCAAAGTTGTTAGATATCACTCTATTAGTTTTAAGTTTTTAGGTAATTTAGATATCACTCTATTAGTTTTAAGTTTTTAGGTAATTTAGATATCACTATATTAGTTTTAAGTTTCTAGGTAATTTAGCTATCACTCTATTAGTTTTAAGTTTCTAGGTAATTTAGATATCACTATATTAGTTTTAAGTTTCTAGGTAATTTAGATATCACTATATTAGTTTTAAGTTTCTAGGTAATTTAGATATCACTCTATTAGTTTTAAGTTTCTAGGTAATTTAGATATCACTCTACATCATCCAAGTATTAGTATTCCTATCTACATCTGCAAAGTTTGAACACATATTCTACTAATGCCAGTGGATGTGACATGTCCCTCCTAATGCCAGTGGATGTGACATGTCATTCCATGTCAGAGATTTTACCCCCAAAGAAGTTTCTAGATTTTTGTTTTTATATTCTGTGTGCAGTTCTCTACATATTTTGAGTAGTCGTTTCAGTAGTTTTAATTTATTTTTTAAAGACACAGATAATTAATTAAACACTATATCACTGAGATTATCAAGCTATTAAAATTAGCAATCAGAATGTGTTTTTTTATTATAAGTAGCCTAAATCCTGGGATATTAAACTTGTGGGTACAACTTGTCCATTGTTTAGGTGGGTACAACTTGTCCATTGTTTAGGTGGGTACAACTTGTCTATTGTTTAGGTGGGTACAACTTGTCCATTGTTTAGGTGGGTACAACTAGTCTATTGTTTAGGTGGGTACAACTTGTCTATTGTTTAGGTGGGTACAACTTGTCCATTGTTTAGGTGGGTACAACTTGTCTATTGTTTAGGTGGGTACAACTTGTCCATTGTTTAGGTGGGTACAACTAGTCTATTGTTTAGGTGGGTACAACTTGTCTATTGTTTAGCTGGGTACAACTAGTCTATTGTTTAGGTGGTTACAACTAGTCTATTGTTTAGGTGGGTACAACTTGTCCATTGTTTAGGTGGGTACAACTTGTCCATTGTTTAGGTGGGTACAACTTGTCCATTGTTTAGGTGGGTACAACTAGTCTATTGTTTAGGTGGGTACAACTAGTCTATTGTTTAGGTGGGTACAACTTGTCTATTGTTTAGCTGGGTACAACTTGTCCATTGTTTAGGTGGGTACAACTTGTCCATTGTTTAGGTGGGTACAACTTGTCCATTGTTTAGGTGGGTACAACTAGTCTATTGTTTAGGTGGGTACAACTAGTCTATTGTTTAGGTGGGTACAACTTGTCTATTGTTTAGCTGGGTGCAACTTGTCCATTGTTTAGGTGGGTACAACTTGTCCATTGTTTAGGTGGGTACAACTTGTCCATTGTTTAGGTGGGTACAACTAGTCTATTGTTTAGGTGGGTACAACTAGTCTATTGTTTAGGTGGGTACAACTTGTCTATTGTTTAGCTGGGTACAACTAGTCTATTGTTTAGGTGGTTACAACTAGTCTATTGTTTAGGTGGGTACAACTTGTCCATTGTTTAGGTGGGTACAACTAGTCTATTGTTTAGGTGGGTACAACTTGTCTATTGTTTAGCTGGGTACAACTAGTCTATTGTTTAGGTGGTTACAACTAGTCTATTGTTTAGGTGGGTACAACTTGTCCATTGTTTAGGTGGGTACAACTAGTCCATTGTTTAGGTGGGTACAACTTGTCCATTGTTTAGGTGGGTACAACTTGTCCATTGTTTAGGTGGGTACAACTTGTCCATTGTTTAGGTGGGTACAACTTGTCCATTGTTTAGGTGGGTACAACTTGTCCATTGTTTAGGTGGGTACAACTTGTCCATTGTTTAGGTGGGTACAACTTGTCCATTGTTTAGGTGGGTACAACTTGTCCATTGTTTAGGTGGGTACAACTTGTCCATTGTTTAGGTGGGTACAACTTGTCCATTGTTTAGGTGGGTACAACTTGTCCATTGTTTAGGTGGGTACAACTTGTCCATTGTTTAGGTGGGTACAACTTGTCCATTGTTTAGGTGGGTACAACTTGTCCATTGTTTAGGTGGGTACAACTTGTCCATTGTTTAGGTGGGTACAACTTGTCCATTGTTTAGGTGGGTACAACTTGTCCATTGTTTAGGTGGGTACAACTTGTCCATTGTTTAGGTGGGTACAACTTGTCCATTCTTTAGGTGGGTACAACTACTATGGCACAGAAAAGCTGTACAGTGGTGTGAGCGGTCAAGAGATGGAGGCGGACATTTATTTTGGCCTAGTTTACTATCAACGTCTGCGTCACATGGTGTCTGACAAGTATCAGGTCAGGGCGACCTTTGTTTGACATTTTGGCTGCTTTCATCTGTTCATGTCCTACTCATTGTCCTACTTGATGTCCTTGTGTGCTATCATGTCTTACTCATTGTCCTACTTGATGTCCTTGTATGCTATCATGTCTTACTCATTGTCCTACTTGATGTCCTTGTATGCTATCATGTCTTACTCATTGTCCTACTTGATGATGTCCTTGTATGCTATCATGTCTTACTCATTGTCCTACTTGATGTCCTTGTATGCTATCATGTCTTACTCATTGTCCTACTTGATGATGTCCTTGTATGCTATCATGTCTTACTCATTGTCCTACTTGATGTCCTTGTATGCTATCATGTCTTACTCATTGTCCTACTTGATGTCCTTGTATGCTATCATGTCTTACTCATTGTCCTACTTGATGTCCTTGTATGCTATCATGTCTTACTCATTGTCCTACTTGATGATGTCCTTGTATGCTATCATGTCCTACTCATTGTCCTACTTGATGTCCTTGTATGCTATCATGTCTTACTCATTGTCCGACTTGATGTCCTTGTATGCTATCATGTCTTACTCATTGTCCTACTTGATGTCCTTGTATGCTATCATGTCTTACTCATTGTCCTACTTGATGATGTCCTTGTATGCTATCATGTCCTACTCATTGTCCTACTTGATGTCCTTGTATGCTATCATGTCTTACTCATTGTCCTACTTGATGTCCTTGTATGCTATCATGTCTTACTCATTGTCCTACTTGATGATGTCCTTGTATGCTATCATGTCCTACTCATTGTCCTACTTGATGTCCTTGTATGCTATCATGTCTTACTCATTGTCCTACTTGATGATGTCCTTGTATGCTATCATGTCTTACTCATTGTCCTACTTGATGATGTCCTTGTATGCTATCATGTCCTACTCATTGTCCTACTTGATGTCCTTGTATGCTATCATGTCCTACTCATTGTCCTACTTGATGATGTCCTTGTATGCTTTCATGTCTTACTCATTGTCCTACTTGATGATGTCCTTGTATGCTATCATGTCCTACTCATTGTCCTACTTGATGTCCTTGTATGCTATCATGTCTTACTCATTGTCCTACTTGATGATGTCCTTGTATGCTATCATGTTTTACTCATTGTCCTACTTGATGATGTCCTTGTATGCTATCATGTCTTACTCATTGTCCTACTTGATGTCCTTGTATGCTATCATGTCTTACTCATTGTCCTACTTGATGTCCTTGTATGCTATCATGTCCTACTCATTGTCCTACTTGATGTCCTTGTATGCTATCATGTCTTACTCATTGTCCTACTTGATGATGTCCTTGTGTGAACCAGGTGAGGACCACAGGACCAGTGGATCAAGTGACCCAGCAGCCAGTCAAAGGTCGCAAGAGGGCAGGTGGGATACGTTTTGGTGAAATGGAGCGTGACGCTCTAATAGCTCACGGCACAAGTTTTCTGCTTCATGATCGCCTCTTTAACTGTTCCGATAAATCCAAGGTAAATAATGATACATCTTTTCCCATCAATTAAAGGTAAATAATGATACATCTTTTCCCATCAATTAAAGGTAAATATTGATACACCTTTTCCTATCAATTAAAGGTAAATATTGATACACCTTTTCCTATCAATTAAAGGTAAATATTGATACACCTTTTCCTATCAATTAAAGGTAAATATTGATACACCTTTTCCTATCAATTAACCCTTTATCTACTGACGGTACTTATAAGTACCATTTTAATTAGGTGCCTGTATTATTCTTAATTTAATACGAATTTTTAAATTTTTTGATGAAATTAATAGAATTATCTCCCCTGAGTCGCAGGTAGTTGGAGGGATCGATGTTTTTTGAAAATTTCAGGTGTGGCGCCATTTTTAATGTCTTGCTTTATCAGTAGTTCACAATTGTTATGTACAGTTCTCACACATGTTCCTGATTTCCCTTTGTTTTACCTTATTTTTCAAGTTTTCAACCCCAAATATTATTTATTGGCACCTTCAATACTTTGGCAAACGCGTTTAACTTCTAGTTATACAATTTTAATCAAATTGTCATTGTACTAGATTGATGTTTACAAGTGGACTTATAAGTACCGTCAGGGCACACGGTCATTTTTTTAGGAAATGGCAGATTTTCTATGTGGAGTGACATAAATATTATTTTGGTAATAATTAATTCTTGAAATGTACTCAAAAAATTGATATTTACATATTTGTAAGAAGGTTAGCATATGGTTTACCTAAGAAATATTGTAATTACATGTTTCTAGTAGTAAAAGAATAACAAGAATAAAGGTAGCAGTTGCTGGCTCGTTTACTAGGTTTAGTATACTTCATTTGTATACCAAAGCCTAGTTCTAGTAGTAAGATTTAATTTGTTAGTTATATTTACTGCAATAAACTGTCTTGCCTACAATAACTAGCATTTACATAATGTATACCTGTAGACTAGTAATAGTCCATACGTCTGCATATAGTGTAGATCTATAAGGTAAATTTTAATCAGTAAACACAAAACAGTAGGCCACTACGGCTATTCTAAACTATTGAGCTCACTTTTATTTATGAACTTTACAATGTAGTGTAGACTTTTCATAACATTCTAGTAGGCTACAATTATACTAGCTTTACAAGTAGTAGTGTACTGAATAACTAGGATTTCGTTTTCAAAATATTTGTTTATGCGGCTCATTGTAATGGCTATTGGAAGCCTCCAGCAAAAGCAGGTTCAGTCCGGCAACTGTTGCCACACCAGAAAGACGACAGACAAGAATGTCTCAGGAATGAGGGAGCATGACATATCAGCTCCTTTTGCTGTGTTTAAGGTCTAAGATGTGTTCCGATAGAAAATCAAGTAAAAATCAAACTCAAAATATATTTTTGAGCTGTGTTTATGTGTGAAAATTACAAAAAATGATTGTTATAATGAGTGCCATGTTATTAGTTAATAAGTTGTATTGTTTTTTCCTGTTTTGTGAATTTTTTAATTTTCAGAAAAGATGTCCTACATTCCTGACGGTACTTATGTGTACCAATATATGTTTAGGTCCTTAAAAATTTACGAAACAAAATTTCCTTCGACATATTCTTTAAGTGTGCCAAAAGCAATATGATACACCTTCTCCTACCACCTATGGTGTATGATACACCTTCTCCTACCACCTATGGTGTATGATACACCTTCTCCTACCACCTATGGTGTATGACTCTATTTTTCAGGCCTACCTATGGTGTATGACTCTATTTTTCAGGCCTACCTATGGTGTATGACTCTATTTTTCAGGCCTACCTGTGCAGGCGGTGTATGACTCTACTGTCGCCCCTACCTATGGTGTATGACTCTATTTTTCAGGCCTACCTGTGCAGGCGGTGTATGACTCTACTGTCGCCCCTACCTATGGTGTATGACTCTATTTTTCAGGCCTACCTGTGCAGGCGGTGTATGACTCTACTGTCACCCCTACTGACTCTATTTTTCAGGCCTACCTGTGCAGGCGGTGTATGACTCTACTGTCACCCCTACCTATGGTGTATGACTCTATTTTTCAGGCCTACCTGTGCAGGCGGTGTATGACTCTACTGTCGCCCCTCTATTTTTCAGGCCTACCTGTGCAGGCGGTGTATGACTCTACTGTCACCCCTACTGACTCTATTTTTCAGGCCTACCTGTGCAGGCGGTGTATGACTCTACTGTCACCCCTACTGACTCTATTTTTCAGGCCTACCTGTGCAGGCGGTGTATGACTCTACTGTCGCCCCTACTGCCTCTATTTTTCAGGCCTACCTGTGCAGGCGGTGTATGACTCTACTGTCACCCCTACTGACTCTATTTTTCAGGCCTACCTGTGCAGGCGGTGTATGACTCTACTGTCGCCCCTACCTATGGTGTATGACTCTATTTTTCAGGCCTACCTGTGCAGGCGGTGTATGACTCTACTGTCGCCCCTACCTATGGTGTATGACTCTATTTTTCAGGCCTACCTGTGCAGGCGGTGTATGACTCTACTGTCACCCCTACTGACTCTATTTTTCAGGCCTACCTGTGCAGGCGGTGTATGACTCTACTGTCACCCCTACCTATGGTGTATGACTCTATTTTTCAGGCCTACCTGTGCAGGCGGTGTATGACTCTACTGTCGCCCCTCTATTTTTCAGGCCTACCTGTGCAGGCGGTGTATGACTCTACTGTCACCCCTACTGACTCTATTTTTCAGGCCTACCTGTGCAGGCGGTGTATGACTCTACTGTCACCCCTACTGACTCTATTTTTCAGGCCTACCTGTGCAGGCGGTGTATGACTCTACTGTCGCCCCTACTGCCTCTATTTTTCAGGCCTACCTGTGCAGGCGGTGTATGACTCTACTGTCACCCCTCTATTTTTCAGGCCTACCTGTGCAGGCGGTGTATGACTCTACTGTCACCCCTACTGACTCTATTTTTCAGGCCTACCTGTGCAGGCGGTGTATGACTCTACTGTCACCCCTACTGACTCTATTTTTCAGGCCTACCTGTGCAGGCGGTGTATGACTCTACTGTCGCCCCTACTGCCTCTATTTTTCAGGCCTACCTGTGCAGGCGGTGTATGACTCTACTGTCACCCCTACTGACTCTATTTTTCAGGCCTACCTGTGCAGGCGGTGTATGACTCTACTGTCACCCCTACTGACTCTATTTTTCAGGCCTACCTGTGCAGGCGGTGTATGACTCTACTGTCACCCCTACTGACTCTATTTTTCAGGCCTACCTGTGCAGGCGGTGTATGACTCTACTGTCACCCCTACTGACTCTATTTTTCAGGCCTACCTGTGCAGGCGGTGTATGACTCTACTGTCACCCCTACTGACTCTATTTTTCAGGCCTACCTGTGCAGGCGGTGTATGACTCTACTGTCGCCCCTACCTATGGTGTATGACTCTATTTTTCAGGCCTACCTGTGCAGGCGGTGTATGACTCTACTGTCGCCCCTACTGCCTCTATTTTTCAGGCCTACCTGTGCAGGCGGTGTATGACTCTACTGTCGCCCCTACTGCCTCTATTTTTCAGGCCTACCTGTGCAGGCGGTGTATGACTCTACTGTCGCCCCTCTATTTTTCAGGCCTACCTGTGCAGGCGGTGTATGACTCTACTGTCACCCCTACTGACTCTATTTTTCAGGCCTACCTGTGCAGGCGGTGTATGACTCTACTGTCGCCCCTACTGCCTCTATTTTTCAGGCCTACCTGTGCAGGCGGTGTATGACTCTACTGTCACCCCTACTGACTCTATTTTTCAGGCCTACCTGTGCAGGCGGTGTATGACTCTACTGTCACCCCTACTGACTCTATTTTTCAGGCCTACCTGTGCAGGCGGTGTATGACTCTACTGTCGCCCCTACTGCCTCTATTTTTCAGGCCTACCTGTGCAGGCGGTGTATGACTCTACTGTCGCCCCTACTGCCTCTATTTTTCAGGCCTACCTGTGCAGGCGGTGTATGACTCTACTGTCGCCCCTCTATTTTTCAGGCCTACCTGTGCAGGCGGTGTATGACTCTACTGTCGCCCCTCTATTTTTCAGGCCTACCTGTGCAGGCGGTGTATGACTCTACTGTCGCCCCTACCTATGGTGTATGACTCTATTTTTCAGGCCTACCTGTGCAGGCGGTGTATGACTCTACTGTCACCCCTCTATTTTTCAGGCCTACCTGTGCAGGCGGTGTATGACTCTACTGTCGCCCCTACCTATGGTGTATGACTCTATTTTTCAGGCCTACCTGTGCAGGCGGTGTATGACTCTACTGTCACCCCTACTGACTCTATTTTTCAGGCCTACCTGTGCAGGCGGTGTATGACTCTACTGTCACCCCTACTGACTCTATTTTTCAGGCCTACCTGTGCAGGCGGTGTATGACTCTACTGTCGCCCCTACTGCCTCTATTTTTCAGGCCTACCTGTGCAGGCGGTGTATGACTCTACTGTCGCCCCTACTGCCTCTATTTTTCAGGCCTACCTGTGCAGGCGGTGTATGACTCTACTGTCGCCCCTCTATTTTTCAGGCCTACCTGTGCAGGCGGTGTATGACTCTACTGTCGCCCCTCTATTTTTCAGGCCTACCTGTGCAGGCGGTGTATGACTCTACTGTCGCCCCTCTATTTTTCAGGCCTACCTGTGCAGGCGGTGTATGACTCTACTGTCGCCCCTACTGACTCTATTTTTCAGGCCTACCTGTGCAGGCGGTGTATGACTCTACTGTCACCCCTACTGACTCTATTTTTCAGGCCTACCTGTGCAGGCGGTGTATGACTCTACTGTCACCCCTACTGACTCTATTTTTCAGGCCTACCTGTGCAGGCGGTGTATGACTCTACTGTCACCCCTACTGACTCTATTTTTCAGGCCTACCTGTGCAGGCGGTGTATGACTCTACTGTCACCCCTACTGCCTCTATTTTTCAGGCCTACCTGTGCAGGCGGTGTATGACTCTACTGTCGCCCCTACTGCCTCTATTTTTCAGGCCTACCTGTGCAGGCGGTGTATGACTCTACTGTCGCCCCTCTATTTTTCAGGCCTACCTGTGCAGGCGGTGTATGACTCTACTGTCGCCCCTCTATTTTTCAGGCCTACCTGTGCAGGCGGTGTATGACTCTACTGTCGCCCCTACCTATGGTGTATGACTCTATTTTTCAGGCCTACCTGTGCAGGCGGTGTATGACTCTACTGTCACCCCTCTATTTTTCAGGCCTACCTGTGCAGGCGGTGTATGACTCTACTGTCGCCCCTACCTATGGTGTATGACTCTATTTTTCAGGCCTACCTGTGCAGGCGGTGTATGACTCTACTGTCACCCCTACTGACTCTATTTTTCAGGCCTACCTGTGCAGGCGGTGTATGACTCTACTGTCACCCCTACTGACTCTATTTTTCAGGCCTACCTGTGCAGGCGGTGTATGACTCTACTGTCGCCCCTACTGCCTCTATTTTTCAGGCCTACCTGTGCAGGCGGTGTATGACTCTACTGTCGCCCCTACTGCCTCTATTTTTCAGGCCTACCTGTGCAGGCGGTGTATGACTCTACTGTCACCCCTACTGACTCTATTTTTCAGGCCTACCTGTGCAGGCGGTGTATGACTCTACTGTCGCCCCTACTGCCTCTATTTTTCAGGCCTACCTGTGCAGGCGGTGTATGACTCTACTGTCGCCCCTCTATTTTTCAGGCCTACCTGTGCAGGCGGTGTATGACTCTACTGTCGCCCCTCTATTTTTCAGGCCTACCTGTGCAGGCGGTGTATGACTCTACTGTCGCCCCTCTATTTTTCAGGCCTACCTGTGCAGGCGGTGTATGACTCTACTGTCGCCCCTACTGACTCTATTTTTCAGGCCTACCTGTGCAGGCGGTGTATGACTCTACTGTCACCCCTACTGACTCTATTTTTCAGGCCTACCTGTGCAGGCGGTGTATGACTCTACTGTCACCCCTACTGACTCTATTTTTCAGGCCTACCTGTGCAGGCGGTGTATGACTCTACTGTCACCCCTACTGACTCTAATTTTCAGGCCTACCTGTGCAGGCGGTGTATGACTCTACTGTCACCCCTACCTATGGTGTATGACTCTATTTTTCAGGCCTACCTGTGCAGGCGGTGTATGACTCTACTGTCGCCCCTCTATTTTTCAGGCCTACCTGTGCAGGCGGTGTATGACTCTACTGTCACCCCTACTGACTCTATTTTTCAGGCCTACCTGTGCAGGCGGTGTATGACTCTACTGTCACCCCTACTGACTCTATTTTTCAGGCCTACCTGTGCAGGCGGTGTATGACTCTACTGTCGCCCCTACTGCCTCTATTTTTCAGGCCTACCTGTGCAGGCGGTGTATGACTCTACTGTCACCCCTCTATTTTTCAGGCCTACCTGTGCAGGCGGTGTATGACTCTACTGTCACCCCTACTGACTCTATTTTTCAGGCCTACCTGTGCAGGCGGTGTATGACTCTACTGTCACCCCTACTGACTCTATTTTTCAGGCCTACCTGTGCAGGCGGTGTATGACTCTACTGTCACCCCTACTGACTCTATTTTTCAGGCCTACCTGTGCAGGCGGTGTATGACTCTACTGTCACCCCTACTGACTCTATTTTTCAGGCCTACCTGTGCAGGCGGTGTATGACTCTACTGTCACCCCTACTGACTCTATTTTTCAGGCCTACCTGTGCAGGCGGTGTATGACTCTACTGTCGCCCCTACCTATGGTGTATGACTCTATTTTTCAGGCCTACCTGTGCAGGCGGTGTATGACTCTACTGTCGCCCCTACTGCCTCTATTTTTCAGGCCTACCTGTGCAGGCGGTGTATGACTCTACTGTCGCCCCTACTGCCTCTATTTTTCAGGCCTACCTGTGCAGGCGGTGTATGACTCTACTGTCGCCCCTCTATTTTTCAGGCCTACCTGTGCAGGCGGTGTATGACTCTACTGTCACCCCTACTGACTCTATTTTTCAGGCCTACCTGTGCAGGCGGTGTATGACTCTACTGTCGCCCCTACTGCCTCTATTTTTCAGGCCTACCTGTGCAGGCGGTGTATGACTCTACTGTCACCCCTACTGACTCTATTTTTCAGGCCTACCTGTGCAGGCGGTGTATGACTCTACTGTCACCCCTACTGACTCTATTTTTCAGGCCTACCTGTGCAGGCGGTGTATGACTCTACTGTCGCCCCTACTGCCTCTATTTTTCAGGCCTACCTGTGCAGGCGGTGTATGACTCTACTGTCGCCCCTCTATTTTTCAGGCCTACCTGTGCAGGCGGTGTATGACTCTACTGTCGCCCCTACCTATGGTGTATGACTCTATTTTTCAGGCCTACCTGTGCAGGCGGTGTATGACTCTACTGTCACCCCTCTATTTTTCAGGCCTACCTGTGCAGGCGGTGTATGACTCTACTGTCGCCCCTACCTATGGTGTATGACTCTATTTTTCAGGCCTACCTGTGCAGGCGGTGTATGACTCTACTGTCACCCCTACTGACTCTATTGTTCAGGCCTACCTGTGCAGGCGGTGTATGACTCTACTGTCACCCCTACTGACTCTATTTTTCAGGCCTACCTGTGCAGGCGGTGTATGACTCTACTGTCACCCCTACTGACTCTATTTTTCAGGCCTACCTGTGCAGGCGGTGTATGACTCTACTGTCGCCCCTACTGCCTCTATTTTTCAGGCCTACCTGTGCAGGCGGTGTATGACTCTACTGTCGCCCCTACTGCCTCTATTTTTCAGGCCTACCTGTGCAGGCGGTGTATGACTCTACTGTCGCCCCTACTGCCTCTATTTTTCAGGCCTACCTGTGCAGGCGGTGTATGACTCTACTGTCGCCCCTCTATTTTTCAGGCCTACCTGTGCAGGCGGTGTATGACTCTACTGTCGCCCCTCTATTTTTCAGGCCTACCTGTGCAGGCGGTGTATGACTCTACTGTCGCCCCTCTATTTTTCAGGCCTACCTGTGCAGGCGGTGTATGACTCTACTGTCGCCCCTACTGACTCTATTTTTCAGGCCTACCTGTGCAGGCGGTGTATGACTCTACTGTCACCCCTACTGACTCTATTTTTCAGGCCTACCTGTGCAGGCGGTGTATGACTCTACTGTCACCCCTACTGACTCTATTTTTCAGGCCTACCTGTGCAGGCGGTGTATGACTCTACTGTCACCCCTACTGATTCTATTTTTCAGGCCTACCTGTGCAGGCGGTGTATGACTCTACTGTCACCCCTACTGACTCTATTTTTCAGGCCTACCTGTGCAGGCGGTGTATGACTCTACTGTCACCCCTACTGACTCTATTTTTCAGGCCTACCTGTGCAGGCGGTGTATGACTCTACTGTCACCCCTACTGACTCTATTTTTCAGGCCTACCTGTGCAGGCGGTGTATGACTCTACTGTCACCCCTACTGACTCTATTTTTCAGGCCTACCTGTGCAGGCGGTGTATGACTCTACTGTCACCCCTACTGCCTCTATTTTTCAGGCCTACCTGTGCAGGCGGTGTATGACTCTATTTTTCAGGCCTACCTATGGTGTATGACTCTATTTTTCAGGCCTACCTGTGCAGGCGGTGTATGACTCTACTGTCACCCCTACTGACTCTATTTTTCAGGCCTACCTGTGCAGGCGGTGTATGACTCTACTGTCGCCCCTACTGCCTCTATTTTTCAGGCCTACCTGTGCAGGCGGTGTATGACTCTACTGTCGCCCCTACTGACTCTATTTTTCAGGCCTACCTGTGCAGGAGGTGTATGACTCTACTGTCGCCCCTCTATTTTTCAGGCCTACCTGTGCAGGAGGTGTATGACTCTACTGTCGCCCCTCTATTTTTCAGGCCTACCTGTGCAGGCGGTGTATGACTCTACTATCGCCCCTCTATTTTTCAGGCCTACCTGTGCAGGCGGTGTATGACTCTACTGTCGCCCCTACTGGTTGAGAAGGCGGAAGAGACGAGGTCAAGGACAAAGTTTTGCCACCAGGTTGTGTGCCAACACTGTCAGCGTCGTGACACCATACAGCCTGTCAGTGTACCCTATGTGTTCAGGTACCTTCTGGCAGAGATGGCAAGTGTAGGGGTCAAGGTCAACTTACAGGTCAAACCAAATATTTGACAGCCACACATTCTTGGCAATAAATTTGTACTCTCACATTTTCAAGCCTTTTTAATTGCAATTTGTATTTACCCCCACCCCTCCAGTCCATCAAGCACCCCCACCCCTCCAGTCCATCTAGCACCCCCACCCCTCCAGTCCATCAAGCATCCCCACCCCTCCAGTCCATCAAGCACCCCCACCCCTCCAGTCCATCACACATGTTGCTAATGACTAAAAACAAGTTGGAACAAAACTTTTAATGTTTGGCCTGGTAATAAACTGTCTGACATGTTTCCAGGATGTTGAGACATGCTGCCAGGATGTTGAGACATGTTGGGGATGTTGAGACATGTTTCCAGGATGTTGAGACATGCTGCCAGGATGTTGAGACATGTTGGGGATGTTGAGACATGTTGCCAGGATGTTGAGACATGTTGCCAGGATGTTGAGACATGTTGCCAGGATGTTGAGACATGTTGCCAGGATGTTGAGACATGTTGCCAGGATGTTGAGACATGTTGCCATTGGGGATGTTGAGACATGTTGCCAGGATGTTGAGACATGCTGCCAGGATGTTGAGACATGTTGGGGATGTTGAGACATGTTGCCAGGATGTTGAGATATGCTGCCAGGATGTTGAGACATGTTGGGGATGTTGAGATATGCTGCCATTGGGGATGTTGAGACATGTTGCCAGGATGTTGAGACATGTTGCCAGGATGTTGAGACATGTTGCCATTGGGGATGTTGAGACATGTTGCCAGGATGTTGAGACATGTTGGGGATGTTGAGACATGCTGCCAGGATGTTGAGACATGTTGGGGATGTTGAGATATGCTGCCAGGATGTTGAGACATGTTGCCATTGGGGATGTTGAGACATGTTGCCAGGATGTTGAGACATGTTGCCAGGATGTTGAGACATGTTGCCATTGGGGATGTTGAGACATGTTGCCAGGATGTTGAGACATGTTGGGGATGTTGAGATATGCTGCCAGGATGTTGAGACATGTTGCCATTGGGGATGTTGAGACATGTTGCCAGGATGTTGAGACATGTTGCCAGGATGTTGAGACATGTTGCCATTGGGGATGTTGAGACATGTTGCCAGGATGTTGAGACATGTTGGGGATGTTGAGATATGCTGCCAGGATGTTGAGACATGTTGCCATTGGGGATGTTGAGACAATCTTGGGATGTTGATGTGATAACCTCAGGGAAACTGAGAGGGCCTGATGTTGGATAGATCGACTCCTTATGACAGCCCACCACCTAGAGTGACATCAACATCATGATGCACCTGTCGACAGTTGAGTGATGTTATTCTTGGCACATCAAAAGCTGAGAGTTTTTCTCTCATGGGCAGCAGCCGACTCCTCATAAACCTCTCCGCCTCGAGAGCTTCGTGGTAGTACGAGTAGTACTCTCCCCTGGGGGCCCGTGCTGGGGGCATCCATCCATCAGCCTTGGGCCACCTGTAGAGGAAAATATCCCGGGGTGGTGTCCCCTGGAGGTGGCGAGTGTAGCCATTGAGGCGCAGACTGGGGACACCTGAGGGCTGTGTGCCGACGGAATGTCCATACAGTCCTGTAGGACATAACATTGGGAGTGTACATACAGTCCTGTAGGACATAACATAACACTGGGAGTGTACATACAGTCCTGTAGGACATAACACTGGGAGTGTACATACAGTCCTGTAGGACATAACACTGGGAGTGTACATACAGTCCTTTAGGACATAACACTGGGAGTGTACATACAGTCCTGTAGGACATAACATGACACTGGGAGTGTACATACAGTCCTGTAGGACATAACACTGGGAGTGTACATACAGTCCTTTAGGACATAACACTGGGAGTGTACATACAGTCCTGTAGGACATAACATGACACTGGGAGTGTAAATACAGTCCTGTAGGACATAACACTGGGAGTGTACATACAGTCCTGTAGGACATAACACTGGGAGTGTACATACAGTCCTGTAGGACATAACACTGGGAGTGTACATACAGTCCTGTAGGACATAACAATGGGAGTGTACATACAGACCTGTAGGACATAACATAACACTGGGAGTGTACATACAGTCCTGTAGGACATAACACTGGGAGTGTACATACAGTCCTGTAGGACATAACACTGGGAGTGTACATACAGTCCTGTAGGACATAACACTGGGAGTGTACATACAGTCCTGTAGGACATAACACTGGGAGTGTACATACAGTCCTGTAGGACACAACACTGGGAGTGTACATACAGTCCTGTGGGACATAACACTGGGAGTGTACATACAGTCCTGTGGGACATAACACTGGGAGTGTACATACAGACCTGTAGGACATAACACTGGGAGTGTACATACAGTCCTGTAGGACATAACACTGGGAGTGTACATACAGTCCTGTAGGACATAACACTGGGAGTGTACATACAGTCCTGTAGGACATAACACTGGGAGTGTACATACAGTCCTGTAGGACACAACACTGGGAGTGTACATACAGTCCTGTGGGACATAACACTGGGAGTGTACATACAGTCCTGTGGGACATAACACTGGGAGTGTACATACAGTCCTGTGGGACATAACACTGGGAGTGTACATACAGACCTGTAGGACATAACACTGGGAGTGTACATACAGTCCTGTAGGACATAACACTGGGAGTGTACATACAGACCTGTAGGACATAACACTGGGAGTGTACATACAGACCTGTAGGACATAACACTGGGAGTGTACATACAGACCTGTAGGACATAACACTGGGAGTGTACATACAGTCCTGTAGGACATAACACTGGGAGTGTACATACAGACCTGTAGGACATAACACTGGGAGTGTACATACAGTCCTGTAGGACATAACATAACACTGGGAGTGTACATACAGACCTGTAGGACATAACATAACACTGGGAGTGTACATACAGTCCTGTAGGACATAACACTGGGAGTGTACATACAGACCTGTAGGACATAACATAACACTGGGAGTGTACATACAGTCCTGTAGGACATAACATAACACTGGGAGTGTACATACAGACCTGTAGGACATAACACTGGGAGTGTACATACAGTCCTGTAGGACATAACATAACACTGGGAGTGTACATACAGACCTGTAGGACACAACAAAACACTGGGAGTGTACATACAGTCCTGTAGGACACAACACTGGGAGTGTACATACAGACCTGTAGGACATAACACTGGGAGTGTACATACAGTCCTTTAGGACATAACATTGGGAGTGTACATACAGTCCTGTAGGACATAACACTGGGAGTGTACATACAGTCCTGTAGGACATAACATAACACTGGGAGTGTACATACAGTCCTTTAGGACATAACACTGGGAGTGTACATACAGACCTGTAGGACATAACACTGGGAGTGTACATACAGTCCTGTAGGACATAACACTGGGAGTGTACATACAGACCTGTAGGACATAACAATGGGAGTGTACATACAGTCCTGTAGGACATAACACTGGGAGTGTACATACAGTCCTGTAGGACACAACATAACACTGGGAGTGTACATACAGTCCTTTAGGACATAACACTGGGAGTGTACATACAGTCCTGTAGGACATAACATAACATTGGGAGTGTACATACAGACCTGTAGGACATAACACTGGGAGTGTACATACAGTCCTGTAGGACATAACATGACACTGGGAGTGTACATACAGTCCTGTAGGACATAACACTGAGAGTGTACATACAGTCCTGTAGGACATAACACTGGGAGTGTACATACAGTCCTGTAGGACATAACATGACACTGGGAGTGTACATACAGTCCTGTAGGACATAACACTGGGAGTGTACATACAGTCCTGTAGGACATAACACTGGGAGTGTACATACAGACCTGTAGGACATAACACTGGGAGTGTACATACAGTCCTGTAGGACACAACATAACACTGGGAGTGTGCATACAGTCCTTTAGGACATAACACTGGGAGTGTACATACAGTCCTGTAGGACATAACATAACATTGGGAGTGTACATACAGACCTGTAGGACATAACACTGGGAGTGTACATACAGTCCTGTAGGACATAACATGACACTGGGAGTGTACATACAGTCCTGTAGGACATAACACTGGGAGTGTACATACAGTCCTGTAGGACATAACACTGGGAGTGTACATACAGACCTGTAGGACATAACACTGGGAGTGTACATACAGTCCTGTAGGACACAACATAACACTGGGAGTGTACATACAGTCCTTTAGGACATAACACTGGGAGTGTACATACAGTCCTGTAGGACATAACACTGGGAGTGTACATACAGTCCTGTAGGACATAACACTGGGAGTGTACATACAGACCTGTAGGACATAACACTGGGAGTGTACATACAGTCCTGTAGGACACAACATAACACTGGGAGTGTACATACAGTCCTTTAGGACATAACACTGGGAGTGTACATACAGACCTGTAGGACATAACACTGGGAGTGTACATACAGACCTGTAGGACATAACATGACACTGGGAGTGTACATACAGTCCTGTAGGACATAACACTGGGAGTGTACATACAGTCCTGTAGGACACAACATAACACTGGGAGTGTACATACAGTCCTGTAGGACATAACACTGGGAGTGTACATACAGTCCTTTAGGACATAACACTGGGAGTGTACATACAGTCCTGTAGGACATAACACTGGGAGTGTACATACAGTCCTGTAGGACATAACACTGGGAGTGTACATACAGTCCTGTAGGACATAACACTGGGAGTGTACATACAGTCCTGTAGGACATAACTTTGGGAGTGTACATACAGACCTGTAGGACATAACACTGGGAGTGTACATACAGACCTGTAGGACATAACACTGGGAGTGTACATACAGTCCTGTAGGACATAACACTGGGAGTGTACATACAGTCCTTTAGGACATAACACTGGGAGTGTACATACAGTCCTGTAGGACATAACACTGGGAGTGTACATACAGTCCTGTAGGACATAACACTGGGAGTGTACATACAGTCCTGTAGGACATAACACTGGGAGTGTACATACAGACCTGTAGGACACAACACTGGGAGTGTACATACAGACCTGTAGGACACAACACTGGGAGTGTACATACAGTCCTGTAGGACACAACATAACACTGGGAGTGTACATACAGACCTGTAGGACATAACATAACACTGGGAGTGTACATACAGTCCTGTAGGACATAACACTGGGAGTGTACATACAGACCTGTAGGACATAACATAACACTGGGAGTGTACATACAGACATGTAGGACATAACACTGGGAGTGTACATACAGACCTGTAGGACATAACATAACACTGGGAGTGTACATACAGACCTGTAGGACATAACACTGGGAGTGTACATACAGTCCTGTAGGACACAACATAACACTGGGAGTGTACATACAGACCTGTAGGACATAACACTGGGAGTGTACATACAGTCCTGTAGGACACAACATAACACTGGGAGTGTACATACAGTCCTGTAGGACATAACACTGGGAGTGTACATACAGACCTGTAGGACATAACACTGGGAGTGTACATACAGTCCTGTAGGACATAACACTGGGAGTGTACATACAGTCCTGTAGGACATAACACTGGGAGTGTACATACAGTCCTTTAGGACATAACACTGGGAGTGTACATACAGACTTGTAGGACACAACATAACACTGCGAGTGTACATACAGTCCTGTAGGACATAACACTGGGAGTGTACATACAGTCCTGTAGGACATAACACTGGGAGTGTACATACAGTCCTTTAGGACATAACACTGGGAGTGTACATACAGACTTGTAGGACACAACATAACACTGCGAGTGTACATACAGTCCTGTAGGACATAACACTGGGAGTGTACATACAGTCCTGTAGGACATAACATGACACTGGGAGTGTACATACAGTCCTGTAGGACATAACACTGGGAGTGTACATACAGACCTGTAGGACATAACATAACACTGGGAGTGTACATACAGTCCTGTAGGACATAACACTGGGAGTGTACATACAGACCTGTAGGACATAACATAACACTGGGAGTGTACATACAGTCCTGTAGGACACAACACTGGGAGTGTACAAAACACTATGTGTTTAAAAGACACTGGGCATGTATAAAACTATTAATAGAACTGACCACTGGGCGTGTGCTCCTGCACCTGGTACCTGGTCCAGTCCTCCTCCGCCAGGGCGGCCATGTTGTCTGTGCGTGTGAGTCTGGGGTTAAAGCGTACAGCCCTAAGCTCCTGCCAACTTGGGTAAATGGGAACAGAATGGGCGGGGCTGGTCCATATCACGGACTTGTCTTTGCCATTGAGAAAAACTTCTTCTCTGGATAAGTTGAGCGGGGCTTCATGTTTGCTAGAAAACATTGTGGATTTCCTCTCTAATCTATAGAGAAAAAAAGCATGAGAATTGTTGAGTTGTTTTTAAATTTAAAGAAAAGGTCACATCAAAAATACGTAATTAGTAATGGGTTAACAAGACTAATACAATGTTGTGTCACTTGCGTGTGTTGTGCTATGACTGCTAGATGGTAGCAGGCACAAAGGGTGTTCTGGATACAGTACAATGTGAGGTCTCCAATCTATGACAAAATTTAAAAAGCAAAGTTTGGGTTGATGGCTTGTGACGAGATGACTGACAGACATTTCACTTGGCCAGACAAAGGGGCAGCCAGTCAAGTCAACGCCATGAGGCAACAGGTCAAAGTTGGCTATCTCAGGTGGTCAATTTTGATTCAATTATTAGAGAGCTTATTTTATATATTTAGCCAGGAATAAACTCTTAAACTTTAAGGTAAAGGAATATATTAAACTTACCTTAATTTTTAGATTTATAGGCGTTTGGTTTAATCATGCGCTTAATATTGATATGATGTGATATCCTGTGTATTATATATAATTTTAGTTCATTTTCTATCAAATAGATTATGATAATAAGTACATTCACGTCAAATAGTTTTAGTCTAGTGATTTCAAAATTGACAAACATAATTTTGTGTTCACCGTAGATCTAGATTAGAATTAGATCTATTAAAAAAAAAACCCAACAATACAAAGTGAACACAAATAATTTTCAAAAAATATGATTTACTTAATCATTTAGAAAAAAAAATGTAATATGATAATATGCCAATAGTGAATAGAGTCTATTGATCTAGACCAGGCCTACTTTTATTTATAATATTAATAAGCAGGCCTAGATAGAATTATTAGAATCTAGTTATTCTAGTAGCTAGGTCTAGTGTAGTAGGTATAGGACAGTATAGGTAGATAGATCTAGTCACTTTTTAACTCTTTAACTTTTATTTTTAATTAGTAGGCCTAATATTAAAAAAATTAGGCCTTCTTTTAAACTTCTTTAGTAAAAAAAAAATGTATAGGCCTAATACTTTGTAATTTGTGTGTGTGTGTGTCTGCAAATATACCAGGTGTATATAATATTTTATAAAATGAACTTAAATCAGTCTAGATATGGGTCTAGACTAGTCTAGAGTCTACATTTACTTTTAATTTGATTATAATTTGTTTACCTAAACTTTCAGCGTAGCCTCCCTTGTTGCCAGGTAAATAAAATCGAATATTTGCCTTCTAAAATAAACAAGTTCCTGCTAAGGACGACAATTTAGAAATTCAAAACGGTGCTTTATAAAATTTAACACGTAATATTGAGAATAATTGCCCATTGTGTATTGAATTTTTAAGTCATTTACAGAGTCGTTAAATGTACTTGTAAACCTTTTAGAGACATTTATTGGTGTTTAAAATGTAATGTGCTTAATTGTGGGTGAAGTAAAATCTTTTTTTTAGATTAAAAAGGAAAGCAACTCGGAAATTGTAATTATCTTTTGTTTTGATTCCCCCCCCCCCCCCTCCATCAATTCCCCCCCCCCCTCCATTAACTCCAGGACAGGGCTTGGGTTGGGGTTAGAGTTTAGGCTATGGTTAGGGTTATATATATATATATATATATATATATAGGCTATATATATATTTATATATATATATATATATATATATATATATATATATATATATATATATATATATATATATATATATATATATATATATATAACATCACAAAACATGAAACTATACGCCACAAAGTCAAAACACATTGAACCCATTTATCAAAACATAAGAAACGATAGGACGTAAATTGATCTGAATTTCTTAAAGATTGAAGGTATAGCATAATTAGCACGAAAGTAATTTTTTATCTTCATGCGATTTCAAATGCCGTTTTTTTTTTTAAAAATACCAACATAATAAACCGGGAGTGATCTCCCCTAAACATTATCGAATTTTCTAATATAACACTACGTGGGATGGCAACTCGGAATAGACATGATTTTTGTTTACTTAAACTTTTAAAAATAGAAAAGTATCTAGTAGGAAAAAAAATGCGCACCAAGCGAACGCCAAAACAAAATGTGCATAATAGTGCGCAATATTATTAGTACTTTATAAATTTACACGATAAATTGTGTACCGTTACAGCTAGTTTGATGAAATTTCATATAGATCTATTAGTATTTTATCAAAGTCGTAGATTCCTATCAACGTTTGAGCGATTTCCGATAACTGGAAGTGGTACTTTTTCTACTTTGAATTTTTAAAAAGCCTATAACTTGAGTACTATTTGAGATAGATAAATGAAATTTCACAAGTAAGTAAAAGATCTAATTCTTTACCTTCTTTCAAATTTTGAGTAATTTCCGTTGACGCTATTTCCGATGTCTCAAAAAACGCATGTAAATTTATAAAGTACTAATAATATTGCGCAATATTATGAACATGTTTATTTGGTGTTCGCTTGGTGCGCAATTCTTTTTTCTATGAGATTCTATTTTAAAAAGTTTAAGTATTTAAAATGGATTAAAAATCATAACTATATCCCGAATAAGAATATTCTTATATATATATAAGAATATTCGAGAAAGTTTAGGGGAGATCACGAACGGTTTATTTGTAGCTATGGTAATGAACAAGATATTTAGAAAAAAATATTCTTCATTCCAGTAGTTTCCCACTTTTCAAAAAAAGAAATTAGATTTTATTTGTTTTGGTTTTTTTTTAAAAATTAAACAAAAATTCCTACTTTTAATATATAATCTCCAAAATGTACAGTAATTACTATAAATAACATCATTTAGGTTAGGAAATAATAAAAGAAGAAAGGGAAAACACTCTGGTTTAACAACAAAATAAAAACAATAACTGTGTTACATCCCTTTGACTACACAATTATTTGACACCAACAGCGTGAATGTACGACACAGGTTGTAGTAGGTAGTCCAAACTGGCGAAAAAGTGCGTTTTAGGGTAATTTTTTGCGGTTTTAAAAAAAAAATAATTCACTACTTCTAGTTGTGCTATAAGCATAAAAATTATAATCTATGTCGGTAAAACTCCATTTTAGCGTGTTTTATTCTCCGTTGCTTGTTTACCTCCAGTTGAGCGTATTTTATTATAATAACCGAAACACACCAAAACATTAGGAAAACACGAATTTAATGTTTGTATTGTATTGTTGTTTTTTCATAAATGAATAAAAATGAATATTCAAAAAACACGACTTATTTATTTGTTTTGTATTTTTGTTTTAACAAATGAATAAAAACAACAAAGAGACTGACTGAAATGCTTTATTTGTTGGTTGCAAAAATAGAGATGCACACTTTGTACAAATAAGTGTTCCAATTTCAACTAACAGAATAAAAGTATTAAAAGGCATAAGGGATCATCCATAAATGAATTCACGCTTTTTAAAAACGATTTTTACCTACCCCCTCCAGTAGCGTAGCGGGGGGGGGGGGGGTACATATGTCCCCGGGCGCCGACCTTAGGGGGCGCCAAAATGGGTTGGAAAAATAAATTGAAAAGTTTGTCCCCGGCAAGGGTCGCTACGCCTCTGCCCCCTTCCCCCTTCGTCACTTACCGTCACAAAATTGCGGACCCCCCTCTCCCCTACGAGTGTGGCGTCATTTATGGACAACCCCACAGCATTATTTTTTTTAAAAGTCAGAAATTTACTCATACAAAAAATCATACTTGATACATAGATCTATATCAAAATATTGGGAAGGATGGTAGATTTACTATGAATTTAAATAACATACAACTTTATAGTAAAATAATATTTTTTTCAGTTTTGGCAAAACTGTCAAATTAAAAAACACAGTTTGTACATTTATAACATAAATACAAAACAGTGTATCAGTTTCGCCATGAGAAAAATGCCTTTAAAAAAATACAATACAAATAAACAAGTCGTGTTTTTAAATATTCCTTTTTATTCATTTGTGAAAACAACAATACAATACAAATAAATAAATCGTGTTTTCCTAATGTTTTTGCGTGTTTCGGTTATTATAATAAATACGCTAAACTGGAGGTAAACGACAAGTGGAGAATAAAATACGCTAAAATGGAGTTTTTACCTAGATAAGTCGAAATCTGGTATTTTTACTTTCTCGTATATTATTTACATTACAACTCCACTAAATTTAGATTCTGTTTCTCCTGCACTAGATAAATGGGGCATTTTTTAAAATAATATTTTAACTCGTGTGAATTTTGAAAATAATGAACACATCCTTCCTATTAATGTTACCTACATAATAATTTTAGAGTTATACTATGCCCAAAGCACCAAAAAAAAAAAAAAAAAAAACAACTTATGAAAATAAAAATCACCAAAAACGCATTCTTGTCATTTTCAAATATTTTTTACCTTAGAAATTCTCATTTTAGATAACTGACAAAAATTGGGCATATATATTACAAACTTTGCAGCAACTATACACATTTCTACACTTCTATGTTATTTAGTTTAGAAAATATGGGTTCTGAAAAATGGCACTTTTTGAAAATCAATTTTTTACCAAATTTTGCTTTTTTTTTTAAAAAAAAAAAGTCGCATCATTAGTCTTAAAATAGTAATATAAGGGAATTAACTATTAAAAAACATTTCCCCCTAGTAAACCAAGAGTAGCACACCATTTTAAAACTATTTTAAAATAACGCTGGTTATTAAATTTTAAAATATTGTCAAACGGAGAGGGCATTATAAATTTATTTTAGTGACTGAAGTTATTTTAATTTAATTAATAATAAGTTAACTAATAATTTAATTTAATATAAAATATCTAAGTGCAATCGATCTTCAGTCACTAAAAAGAAAACAAGTTAATAAAAAGTCTAGTGACAATTTAAGCGCTATTTCCTTAATTAATTTTTTGTGACCGAACGAAAGGATATTTTTGAAAACTTTCTTCGGCAATATTGTTCTAAATTATGGCAGGAATCGATTGGTAAATGTTTCAAGTCGCTAAGTGGTCTGGTTGCCGAGATATGGCATTTTTTCGAGGTGTTTGGCTTTTCCGGGAAATCCTGGAAGGAATTCCGGGAATTGTTTTGGCCCACAATCATCCTCGGAACTTGCTTAACATATTTGCTTTTGGAACTAGTCCTCGATATTGCTTAGTTGAGGAGGAGATACGACTTAAAGCTGCGGACACATATCCATCCATCCATCCATCCAGAAATAACGAATTAATAATCGCAATTGTCAGTATGGGAATTGCGCTAAAAAATATTTACAGTACTGTCTCCGACCTACGTTAGAGAATATTTTAATAACCAGCGTTGTAAGATATTTATTTAGATGGCATATTTCGCATTTTTAAATTTGTATTTTCAAGATTCTCACACTTTTTTCTATACATTTTTTTTAACACATTTGACACGATTTATCATCGGTTGCAATCTTTAAATAATTAAGAATAAAATAATATATAGGTAAACATTAAATTGGAAAGGACGAGTACTCATATTTTTGCTAAATGGAAAAAAATAAATGCTCGACTATTTCCCTTTGACTATAAATTTGTATACCAGCAGGCTTCAAATAATACAGCTCATATCACTACACATCAGGCTAACTTATTTTCTTCTATTTTTTAAAAAACTTTTTCCTTTAGAATACTTTAGATTAATTATTTTTAAAGACTTTTTTTCTTCAGATTGATTTTTAAAAAAAAACTTTTTCTTTAGAGGAATCATTTTAAAAAAAAAATTCTTTTAAAAAGTTTGCTCACATGTGTGTCTATAAACTGGAGTATCGCTTCTGGTATGTTTACGAAATTTCATCTATCTATATACTACTAAAACTCAAGTTTGTTTACATTTTGAATATTTATTTGTTTGTTTGTTTGTCTGATTTGGTACTGTAAGGAAACTGCTATATATGGGGGAATGTAAAATAGTATGTAGGTAGAGAACAATTTTTGTTTGCAGACAGACTGTTAATCAGACATTTATTTAAAGACGTTAATTAATTTAATGATTTATTCATAGGTAGATTAACCTGTGCGGGGCACAGGGCAGGTGAAGTAGAGTTCACCTGTTTCTATGTTCTCAGCATATGAAGTGATAGTGTGGTCAGAGCCATGCTCGGCCGGAATCGCTTTTTTAAAAATACGACCATGTCTGAGACTTGGCGGGGCACTGGGCAGGTGAAGTAGAGTTTGGTAGAGTTTTTAAAATAAAACAAAATCGTCTTTTTGAATGTGGGGTCTGGTTATTTTGGGATGAAAAGTGCTGGCAGACGTGATGTCATTTATGGATGACCCCCCGAAACCCAAAGTTATCTAACTAGATAACGGGTAGTCTAGTATAGATCTATAGATGAAGTATTTTATCCTATTTATAGTTTTCTTGAAAACCCGAACAGCAGATTGCGATCTCTAAAAGACAGTTGTCTGCCCCTTCTACGTGGTCGATATAAGGGCGACCAACCGTGACCAAACAACATGCAGCGTGAACCACAGCTCCCCAGACTGGCCGGAAACATCTAATTAAATGAAAAAATAGATACTTGTATTGTCATCAAAGTGGAACATATCTAGAAAGTTTGAATGAAATCGCTGCATTAAAAGTGGGTCAAAAATGAGTTACAAGATTTGCCACAAACCCACAAAAAAAAAACAGACGTTGTGAACTAAATAAAAGTTTGTAAAAATAGTATTGTTTGAACTCAGCCTAATTTCCTTTAAAAAATTGTAAAAATATATCGACTCTACGTCTATAAATAGAAACTAAATATAGATCCTCGTTGCTCGAAATAAGCAAGTCGTTTCTTTCGTCTTCAGATAACCGATATAAGCACTTCTATAAATAAATCTGCTTGGAATTTCGCACCAGCTGCACCAGATTGTGCCATGTTGAACACTTGTGTAAGACGACACAGAACACAGACATCATCTGTTGAGAAAGGTTGATAGAAGCGAAAACAACTTACCGAGTCAAGACATCACCTTAAGACAGGCGGCTAAGTGTAGACACCATCTTAAGACAGGCGGCTAAGTCTAGACACCATCTTAAGACAGGCGGCTAAGTCTAGACATCACCTTAAGACAGGCTGCTGTCGCGGATGGAATGGCTCTTGAATTGGCTCTACAGAAAGAAGCAGACGGGCCAGCCAGATCACGTGATCACCGTTCCCACAAACGAGGAGACCCAGCTGAGCATGGAGCAGGCGGCAGGTGGCGTCTGGTCGGAAAATGTGGAGACGCAGAGGTAAGTCCGGCTCTTGTCATTTATTGGTCAGTCCGTCTGGTCATTCATTGGTCAGTCCGTCTGGTCATTTATTGGTCAGTCCGTCTGGTCATTTATTGGTCAGTCCGTTTGGTCATTTATCGGTCAGTCCGTCTGGTCATTTATTGGTCAGTCCGACTGGTCATTTATTGGTCAGTCCGTCTGGTCATTCATTGGTCAGTCCGTTTGGTCATTCATTGGTCAGTCCGTTTGGTCATTTATTGGTCAGTCCGTTTGGTCATTTATTGGTCAGTCCGTTTGGTCATTTATTGGTCAGTCCGTTTGGTCATTTATTGGTCAGTCCGTTTGGTCATTTATTGGTCAGTCCGTTTGGTCATTTATTGGTCAGTCCGTTTGGTCATTTGGACAACCCACCATAAAACAGCCCACCATAAAACAGCCCGCCATAAAACAGCCCACCATAAGACAGCCCACCATAAAACAGCCCACCATAAAACAGCCCACCATAAAACAGCCCACCATAAAACAGCCCACCATAAGACAGCCCACCATAAAACAGCCCACCATAAGACAGCCCACCATAAGACAGCCCACCATAAAACAGCCCACCATAAAACAGCCCACCATAAAACAGCCCACCATAAAACAGCCCACCATAAAACAGCCCACCATAAAACAGCCCACCATAAGACAGCCCACCATAATACAGCCCACCATAAAACAGCCCACCATAAAACAGCCCACCATAAAACAGCCCACCATAAGACAGCCCACCATAAAACAGCCCACCATAAAACAGCCCACCATAAAACAGCCCACCATAAAACAGCCCACCATAAGACAGCCCACCATAATACAGCCCACCATAAAACAGCCCACCATAAAACAGCCCACCATAAAACAGCCCACCATAAAACAGCCCACCATAAAACAGCCCACCATAAGACAGCCCACCATAAGACAGCCCACCATAAAACAGCCCACCATAAGACAGCCCACCATAAAAAAGCCCACCATAAAACAGCCCACCATATTTCCCTCCCAGCAGACGACTGTCTCGTGCCACCAAAGAGCAGCGCGCGAGAAACACGTCCACGTCACAGACGCTGGGCGGCGTCATACGCTTTGTGAGTGAGGACTCGCTCCAGTCTGTAAGTGGGTCACGTCATTAAGTGGGTCAATTCTGTAAGTCGGTCACGTCTGTAAGTGGGTCACGTCTGTAAGTGGGTCACGTCTGTAAGTGGGTCACGTCTGTAAGTGGGTCATGTCTTTAAGTGGGTCAATTCTGTAAGTCGGTCACATCTGAAAGTGGGTCACGTCTGAAAGTGGGTCACGTCTGAAAGTGGGTCATTTCTTAAAGTGGGTCATGTCTGAAAGTGGGTCATGTCTGAAAGTGGGTCACGTCTGTGAGATGGACTTGATGGCCGTAAAAAAGCTGTGTGTGGTGGAGACAAAAATTTAGGAAGTTTTAAAATGTCCTCACATGTGACATGATGACATCTGACATGATGACATCTGACATGATGACAACTGACATGATGACAACTGACATGATGACAACTGACATGATGACAACTGACAATCACACGTGAACGATTAGACGCGACCCACATGACCCATGTGACCCACATGACCCATGTGATTGACCCAGGAGACCAAGTACATGCTGGTGTGTGAAGACAGCGGGGAGCAGGTGGAGCGGCTGGCCAGCGACCTGACGCGAGTCTGGGGCCTCAAACCCCCCCGCCTGGTCCTCTCCATCATCAGCAACAGCCAGCACTTCCAGCCCTGGAAGAGGTCAAAGGACATAGAGGACTTTCAGGACGGTTTGATGAAGGTAGGTGTCGTCGTTCTAGGCAGGCTTTGATCACATCGCTTGATTACACTGACAGAGTTGAAAACCACCAAGAACAAATGTATTAAAAACATTACAGAAAGTACTCATTAAAGCTCTCATTTTCTTCATAGTTATTTAAATTTAAAGAAAATCATTTGTTCTACTTTTTAGTGCATTTTTACATAAAAGCTTATTGTTCAAACGTGAAATTTTAAAAAATGTCCCCTTGAGGCGGCCACCCTGACGGAGATGTGGATCCTGACTGACGGCAGGAACAGCGAGCTGACGGCACTGGTGGGCGAGGCTGTGGTCAGGGAGAAGAGCCGGCGCAAGATCCTGGCCACGGAGCAGACGGTCGTCCGGTTCCTGTCGGATAACGTCCTGCCGGAACTCATCGTCATGGGGGTCATTTCCTCAAACTCACTCAGTCCTGGTCTGGTATCAGAACTCATGGCTAAAGTGGTAAGGGGACAGACAGACAGACGCACGGACCGACTGACGGACGGACAGACAGACAGACGGACGGACAGACAGACAGACAGACGGACGGACAGGCAGACAGACGGACAGACAGACAACAGCACAAACAACTTGGTCACGTGATGTTTCAGCCGTTGAAGGAAGCCTTGACCCTGCAGCTGGAGGACACGCATGCGCAGAAGATGTTGAATCCCAACCTGACGCACCTGTTTGTGACGAGCGAGGAGATGGGGCTGTCGGCCGTCTCCAACTTTGTTCACAAGCTAGAGATCCGGCTCATGCGCCGCACAGACAGGACGCTCTTTACAGGCGAGTAACAGCTGGCGCCGTCAATGGATGGCTCATGGCCCGGCTCTCGACATTCAGCAATCTACACGTTGTCTCACCACGTTGTCTCACCACCACCTATACGTTGTCTCACCACCACCTACACGTTGTCTCACCACCACCTACACGTTGTCTCACCACCATCTACACGTTGTCTCACCACGTTGTCTCACCACCTCCTACACGTTGTCTCACCACCTCCTACACGTTGTCTCACCACCACCTACACGTTGTCTCACCACCACCTACACGTTGTCTCACCACCACCTACACGTTGTCTCACCACGATGTCTCACCACCTCCTACACGTTGTCTCACCACCTCCTACACGTTGTCTCACCACCCCTTACCTTGCCCCCCCCCCCCCCCAGGTGAGAGCGAGACCCCCGTTGTGTCGACCCCTTTGATTGGGGTTTTGATTCAGGGCGGTCTGGACGACATTGACCGGGTCATGACCTTGTTGAGGAAAAACATCCCCGTCATCGTCATCGGTGGCCAGGGCAAGGCGGCCAGTTTGTTGGCCTTCGCCTTTAGGGCCACCCAAGAATCGTAAGTCTGCTCTCTGTCCGTCCGTCTGTCTGTCTGTTTGTCCCTCCGTCAGCCTGTCTGTCTGTCTGTTTGTCCCTCCATCTTTCTGTTTGTCCCTCCATCCGTCTGTCTGTTTGTCCCTCTGTCAGCCTCTCTGTCCGTCCGTCAGCCTGTATGTCTGTCAGCCTGTCTGTCTGTCTGTCAGCCTGTCTGTCCGTCCGTCAGCCTGTCTGTCTGTCTGTCAGCCTGTCTGTCTGTCTGTCTGTCAGCCTGTCTGTCTGTCTGTCAGCCTGTCTGTCAGCCTGTCTGTCTGTCTGTCTGTCAGCCTGTCTGTCTGTCTGTCAGCCTGTCTGTCAGCCTGTCTGTCTGTCTGTCTGTCTGTCTGTCTGTCGTCCAGCAGCCACGAGATGTCCAGCACGTCCCCAGGTATGGTGTAGAGGGTTACGCTGCCTATGTCAAGACGGAGCTGCTCAAGCGTTTGACCGATGTTTTCCCTGAGGAGTTTAGAGACAACAGCCTCAGCAGAAATCAGTACCGAGACAAGATTCTACAATGTATTACATTCGCCACACAAGTGAGTTCATTACATTCGCCATACAAAACGACGACAGCACATGACCTTTGACACGACATGACCTGTGACACGACTGTGATGAGCAGCGTATGTCATGTCATGTCACGTCAGGTTGACAGTCAGCTGATGACAGTATGTCATGTCAGGGTGACATTCAGCTGATGACAGTATGTCATGTCATGTCAAGGTGACAGTCAGCTGATGACAGTATGTCATGTCATGTCAGGGTGACAGTCAGCTGATGACAGTATGTCATGTCATGTCAAGGAGACAGTCAGCTGATCACAGTATGTCATGTCATGTCAGGGTGACAGTCAGCTGATGACAGTATGTCATGTCATGTCAAGGAGACAGTCAGCTGATCACAGTATGTCATGTCATGTCAAGGAGACAGTCAGCTGATGACAATATGTCATGTCATGTCAAGGAGACAGTCAGGTGATGACAGTATGTCATGTCATGTCAGGGTGACAGTCAGCTGATGACAGTAGTGGAGAGAAACACTAGCCTGGAGCTCAAGGACCTGAGCAAAGTGATTTTAACTGCCGTCCTCACCTGTAAGTTGATGCGTACATTTGTTCCTCTGTAAGTTGATGTTTACATTTGTTCTTCTGTAAGTTGATGCTTACATTTGTTCTTTTGTAAGTTGATGCTTACATATGTTCTTTTGTAAGTTGATGCGTACATTTGTTCCTCTGTAAGTTGATGCTTACATTTATTCTTCTGCAAGTTGTGTATTTCCAGAAAAGAAACGACTAGATTTACATCCTGAGATTTCGACTAACCCTTTCTTATTTCCCCTCCCTCCCTCCCCCCCCCCCCAGCCCACAGCACCCAGTCCGAGGTGCCGACAATGGAGGAGCTGCAGGGGAAGATGCAGTTGATCATTGACTGGATGCAGCCGGACTTGGCCGTCTCCGAGCTGTTTGACAAGTTCAGCGCTAACAAGTTCACGGTCACTCAAACTTACAAACCTTGATTCAACTTACTCAAACAAAAATCACACATTTTAGTTAGAAGCTTTTAAAGTCGGATGTATGCGGTTAGGGTTTGAGTTTGAATTCTTAACGATTTGATCGGCCAACTCTGCTCTTTGTTCCCATGACAACGGCAGGTAGACGAACATTTGTTCCAGCAAGTTCTCCTGCGACCAGACAGGGAGAAGTTTGTGGAACTTTTCCTCGACCGCGGCTTCATCCTGCACAAGTACCTGAACCACAAGCGTCTGGAGATGTTGTACGAGCGGTGCTGTGACAAGGACTTCTTCGCCAGCATCTGTCTCGAGACCATACTAGGGGAGAAAGTGGTATGTCGGTCTACAGGGGGGGGGGGAGTGGTTCGTTTGTCTGCATGGGTGGGGGGTTGCATGTCTTTATGGGGAGGGGTAGTGGTTCATTTGTCTTCTCCTAAACTATCCCCCACCTATTCTAAACTATCCCCCACCTATCCTAAACTATCCCCCACCTATCCTAAACCATCCCCCTATCCTAAACTATCCCCCACCTATCCTAAACTATCCCCCACCTATCCTAAACTATCCCCCACCTATCCTAAACTATCCCCCACCTATCCTAAACTATCCCCCACCTATCCTAAACCATCCCCCACCTATCCTAAACCACCCCACCTATCCTAAACCATCCCCCACCTATCCTAAACCACCCCCACCTATCCAAAACCATCCCCCACCTATCCTAAACCACCCCCACCTATCCTAAACCACCCCCACCTATCCTAAACCATCCCCCACCTATCCTAAACCATCCCCCACCTATCCTAAACCACCCCCACCTATCCTAAACCACCCCCACCTATCCTAAACCATCCCCCACCTATCCTAAACCACCCCCACCTATCCTAAACTCTCCAGCACCAATCCCAAGTGATCCCAATTTTTCCCACCATCCCAGCACTTCCAACAGCCGCTGTCGGAGAATTTTGTCAGCAGCACCGACTGCCCCCTCAACAGCCTGCTCCTGGTCCTGACGGGCGTCAAACATCTGGTCGACCCCCTCCTGCTTTCTGTCAACGCTAGCACAAACAGGGAGGAGACGGCGGTGGTGGCAGAACAAAGGGTGGGGACGTCAGGCCGTGGGGCGTCAGGGGTGGGGACGTCAGGGGAGGGGTGGGGACGTCAGGCGATGGGGCGTCAGGGGAGGGGTGGGGACGTCAGGGGAGGGGTGGGGGCGAGAGGGGAGGGTGGGGACATCAGGGGAGGGGTGGGGACGTCAGGAGAGGGGTGGGGGCGTCAGGGGAGGGGTGGGGACGTCAGGGTATGGGTGGGGACGTCAGGGTAGGGGTGGGGGCGTTAAGGGACTGGTGGGTGTGTCAGGATAAGGGTGGCCTGTATTAACTGGACTGTGTTGACGTCAGGCCCTGCACGCCCTACTCTACTGGTCAGTACTGACCAACAACACCAAACTGACCAAGATACTCTGGAGCCGAACCAACGACCCCATGAGCATGGCACTTATACTGTCCACAATGTACAACCGTCTGGGCCGACAGTGGATTTCTGACCATGACCTTAAGCTCAAAATTATGGACACCGGAAGGTAGTTCAAGGCTAATATGCCTTGTGTTTGTCCCCTAGAGTCGACCTTATTGTATTTGTCCCCTAGAGTCAGCCTTATTGTGTTTGACCCCTAGAGTCAGCCTTATTTGTCCCCTAGAGTCAGCCTTATTGTGTTTGTCCCCTAGAGTCAGCCTTGTTTGTCCCCTAGAGTCAGCCTTGTTTGTCCCCTAGAGTCAGCCTTATTGTGTTTGTCCCCTAGAGTCAGCCTTGTTTGTCCCCTAGAGTCAGCCTTGTTTGTCCCCTAGAGTCAGCCTTTTTGTGATTGTCCCCTAGAGTCAGCCTTATTTTGTTTGTCCCCTAGAGTCAGCCTTATTGTGTTTGTCCCCTAGAGTCAGCCTTATTGTGTTTGTCCCCTAGGGTCAGCCTTATTGTGTTTGTCCCCTAGAGTCAGCCTTATTGTGTTTGTCCCCTAGAGTCAGCCTTATTGTGTTTGTCCCATAGAGTCAGCCTTATTGTGTTTGTCCCCTAGAGTCAGCCTTATTCTGTTTGTCCCCTAGAGTCAGCCTTATTGTGTTTGTCCCCTAGAGTCAGCCTTGTTTGTCCCCTAGAGTCAGCCTTATTGTGTTTGTCCCCTAGAGTCAGCCTTGTTTGTCCCCTAGAGTCAGCCTTATTGTGTTTGTCCCATAGAGTCAGCCTTATTGTGTTTGTCCCCTAGAGTCAGCCTTGTTTGTCCCCTAGAGTCAGCCTTGTTTGTCTCATAGAGTCAGCCTTATTGTGTTTGTCCTCTAGAGTCAGCCTTATTGTGTTTGTCCCCTAGAGTCAGCCTTATTGTGTTTGTCCCCTAGAGTCAGCCTTTTTGTGATTGTCCCCTAGAGTCAGCCTTATTGTGTTTGTCCCCTATAGTCAGCCTTGTTTGTCCCCTAGAGTCAGCCTTGTTGTGTTTGTCCCATAGAGTCAGCCTTGTTTGTACCCTAGAGTCAGCCTTGTTTGTACCCTAGAGTCAGCCTTGTTTGTCCCCTTGAGTCAGCCTTGTTTGTCCCCTAGAGTCAGCCTTGTTGTGTTTGTCCCCTAGAGTCAGCCTTGTTTGTACCCTAGAGTCAGCCTTGTTTGTCCCCTAGAGTCAGCCTTGTTGTGTTTGTCCCCTAGAGTCAGCCTTGTTTGTACCCTAGAGTCAGCCTTGTTTGTACCCTAGAGTCAGCCTTGTTTGTACCCTAGAGTCAGCCTTGTTTGTTCCCTAGAGTCAGCCTTGTTGTGTTTGTCCCCTAGAGTCAGCCTTGTTTGTACCCTAGAGTCAGCCTTGTTGTGTTTGTCCCCTAGAGTCAGCCTTGTTTGTACCCTAGAGTCAGCCTTGTTTGTCCCCTAGAGTCAGCCTTGTTGTGTTTGTCCCCTAGAGTCAGCCTTGTTTGTCCCCTAGAGTCAGCCTTGTTTGTCCCCTAGAGTCAGCCTTGTTTGTACCCTAGAGTCAGCCTTGTTTGTCCCCTAGAGTCAGCCTTGTTGTGTTTGTCCCCTAGAGTCAGCCTTGTTTGTACCCTAGAGTCAGCCTTGTTTGTACCCTAGAGTCAGCCTTGTTTGTCCCCTAGAGTCAGCCTTGTTTGTCCCCTAGAGTCAGCCTTGTTGTGTTTGTCCCCTAGAGTCAGCCTTGTTTGTACCCTAGAGTCAGCCTTGTCTGTCCCCTAGAGTCAGCCTTGTTTGTCCCCTAGAGTCAGCCTTGTTGTGTTTGTCCCCTAGAGTCAGCCTTGTTTGTCCCCTAGAGTCAGCCTTGTTGTGTTTGTCCCCAGGAAGTTTGGTGAGCTGGCCGTTGAGATGCTGGACCTGAACTACCGCGAGTCCCCTGAGCAAGCTTTAAACTGCCTGACCCTCCGGCACGCAGACGTCCAGAATCACACGGCCGTGGACCTGGCGCTGATTGGTCAAAACAAATACTTCATCGCCCACTCGTGCTGTCAGAAACACATCAGCAACATGTGGTTCGGCAACATCCGACTCAGTCAGGGCAACATCGGCTACTTCACGCTGTCAGACCACGTCAAGGTGGGGGGGGGGGGGGTCAATGTAGAGCTGATTAATGGCTGTATGCCTTGTAAAGTATTATATAACCAGGCTACACCTCCCACTCCTTCCACACCACATATACCCCACACCACATATACCCCCACACCACATAACCCCCACACCACATATACCCCCACACCACATAACCCCCACACCACATATACCCCCACACCACATAACCCCCACACCACATATACCCCCACACCACATAACCCCCATACCACATATACGCCCACACCACATATACCCCCACACCACATAAACCCCACACCACATATACCCCCACACCACATATACCCCCACACCACATAACCCCCACACCACATAACCCCACACCACATAACCCCCACACCACATAACCCCCACACCTCATGACCCCCACACCACATAAACCCCACACCACATATACCCACACCACATATACCCACACCACATAACCCCCACACCACATAACCCCCACACCTCATGACCCCCACACCACATAAACCCCACACCACATATACCCACACCACATAACACCCACACCACATAACCCCCACACCTCATGACCCCCACACCACATAACCCCCACACCACATAACCCCCACCACCTTTGACCCCAGATCTGTCTGTGTGTGTTGCTCGTCCTCCCGACCTACCTGTGGGTGGAGGTTGTTGACCCCCACGAGGCCAGAGGTTTGTACGGTGAGTCACTCACACACACACACACTCTCTCACACACTCTATCACACACACACTCTCACACACTAACTCTCACACACTCTCACACACACTCCACATACTCTCACACACCCTCACACACACACTCTCACACTTTCTCACACTAACTCTTACACACACTCACACACACACTCAAACACTCTCACACACACTCATTCTACTCACACACTCTCACACTCTTAAACACTCTCACGCACACACACTCTCTCACACACCTCACATACTCTTACACACTCATAAACACACTCTCACACTCTCTCAAACACTCTCACGCACACATTCTCTCACACACACTATCACACACACTCTCACACTCACACACACACTCTCTCACACTCACACACTCACCCAACTCTCACACTCTCTCACACACACTCAAACACTCTCACACACACTCATTCTACTCACACACTTTCACACTCTATCACACACACACTCTCACACACACTCTCACACACACTCTCACACTAACCGTTCTCACACTTTCATACACTCACTCACTCTCACACACTCACACACTCTCACACACTCTCACACACACTCATTCTACTCACACACTCTCTCACACTCACTCTTACACACACTCTCTCAAACACACACTCACACACTCTCACACACTCTCACACACACTCATTCTACTCACACACTCTCTCACACTCACTCTTACACACACTCTCTCAAACACACACTCACACACTCTCACACACTCTCACACACACTCATTCTACTCACACACTCTCTCACACTCACTCTTACACACACTCTCTCAAACACACACTCACACACTCTCACACACTCTAACACACACTCATTCTACTCACACACTCTCTCACACTCACTCTAACACACACTCTCTCAAACACACTCTCACACACTCTCACACACACTCATTCTACTCACACACTCTCTCACACTCACTCTTACACACACTCTCTCAAACACACACTCACACACTCTCACACACTCTCACACACTCTCACACACACTCATTCTACTCACACACTCTCTCACACTCACTCTTACACACACTCTCTCAAACACACACTCACACACTCTCACACACTCTCACACACACTCATTCTACTCACACACTCTCTCACACTCACTCTTACACACACTCTCTCAAACACACACTCACACACTCTCACACACTCTCACACACTCTCACACTCAACCTTCTCACACACTCTCACACACACACTCTCACACTCACCCTACTCACACTTTCATACACTCACAATCACTCTCACACACTCCACATACTCTCACACACTCTCACACACACTCACACTCACTCTTACAACAACTCTCTTAAACACACACACACACTCACTCTCATACACTATCTCAAATAATCACACACACTCACACACTCTCACACACTCTCACACTCACACACTCACTCTTACACACACTCTCTCAAACACACACACACTCTCACACACTCTCTCTCACACACTCTCACACTCTCTCACACACACTCCACATACTCTCACACACTCTCACACACATTCCACATACTCTCACACACTCTCACACACACTCTTACACTCTTTTAAACACACACTCACACTCTCACACACACTCCACACACTCTCACACACACTCCACATACTCTCACACACTCTCACACACACACTCTCACTCTTACACACACTCTCAAATACTCTCACATACTCATACACAAACTCTCACACTCTCTCACACGTACTCCACATACTCTCACACACATGCTCACACTCTCACACTCACTCTTATACTCTCTCAAACACACACACACTCTCACACACACTCTCTCACACTCACCCTACTCACACACTCTCTCACTCACACTCTCTCAAACACTCTCTCACACACAGACACTCTCTCACACACTCTCACACACACTCTCACACACTCTCTCAAACACACTCTCACATACTCTCTCACACACACACTCTCACACACTCTCACACTCACCCTTCTCACACACTCACATACACACACACTATAACACACACACTCTCACACACTCTCACACTCACCCTTCTCACACACTCACATACACACACACTATAACACACACACTCTCACACACTCTCTCACACACACTCTCACACACTCTCACACACACTCAAACAAACACACACACACTCTCACATACTCTCACACTCACCCTACTCACACACTCACACACACACTCTAACACACACTCTCACACACTCTCTCACTCACCCTACTCACACACTCTCTCAATCACACTCTCTCACACACACACACTCACACACTCACACACACTCAAACAAACACACACACACTCTCTCACACATTCTCACACACTCTCACACACTCTCTCACACTCACCCTACTCACACACTCACACACACACTGTAACACACACTCTCACACACTCTCTCACACTCACCCTACTCACATACTCTCACACAACACTCTCACACTCACTCTCTCTCACAAACACTCACACACACTCTTACACTCTCACACACACTCTCACACACTCTCGCTCTTTCCCCCCTCCCCCCCCCCCCACCCCACGCCCCTCACACTCTCTTACACAGAATTTTTACTGTCGTTACAGGTTCACGTAGCAACATTGGAAAGAGAAGTCAGTATAAAGCACAGGTGAGTCTATCTACATCACAGGTGAGTCTGTCTACATCACAGGTGAGTCTGTCTACATCACAGGTGAGTCTGTCTACATCACAGGTGAGTGTGTCTACATCACAGGTGAGTGTGTAAATCACAGGTGAGTCTGTCTACATCACAGGTGAGTGTGTAAAGCACATGTGAGTGTAAAGTACATGTGAGTTTGTGTAAAGCAGAGATGAGTGTGTAAAGCACAGGTGAGTCTGTCTACAGCACAGGTGAGAGTGTAAAGCACAGGTGAGTCTGTCTACATCACAGGTGAGTCTGTCTACAGCACAGGTGAGTGTGTAAAGCACAGGTGAGTCTGTCTACATCACAGGTGAGTGTGTAAAGCACATGTGAGTGTAAAGTACATGTGAGTTTGTGTAAAGCAGAGATGAGTGTGTAAAGCACAGGTGAGTCTGTCTACAGCACAGGTGAGAGTGTAAACGACAGGTGAGTGTGTAAAGCAGAGAGGAGCGTGTAAAGCTCAGGTGAGTGTGTAAAGCACAGGTGAGTGTGTAAAGCACAGATGCATGTGTAAAGCTCAGGTGAGTGTGTAAAGCACAGATGCATGTGTAAAGCTCAGGTGAGTGTGTAAAGCACGGGTGAGTGTGTAAAGCACAGGTGAGTGTGTAAAGCACAGGTGAGTGTGTAAAGCACAGGTGGGTGTGTAAAGCACAGGTGAGTGTGTAAAGCTGCACTAATCGTGTGACGTGTCCCCAGACAATCGGCTTCAGGAATATCTGGCTCCGCCTCTTTGTCTACCGTGTCTGGCAGAATCTGATGGTTCTCAGGAAACTCTACTACCTCTGGCGGGCACCAATCACAAAATTTTGGATGGCCCAGGTAAGTCCGTCTTCTTGTTTTTGTTTGCGTCCCAGATCTTCTACTTCCTGTTTTTGTTTGTGTCCCAGATCTTCTACTTCCTGTTTTTGTTTGTGTCCCAGATCTTCTACTTCCTGTTTTTGTTTGCGTCCCAGATCTTCTACTTCCTGTTTTTGTTTGTGTCCCAGATCTTCTACTTCCTGTTTTTGTTTGTGTCCCAGATCTTCTACTTCCTGTTTTTGTTCGTGTCCCAGATCTTCTTCTTCCTGTTTTTGTTTGTGTCCCAGATCTTCTACTTCCTGTTTTTGTTTGCGTCCCAGATCTTCTTCTTCCTGTTTTTGTTTGCGTCCCAGATCTTCTACTTCCTGTTTTTGTTTGTGTCCCAGATCTTCTACTTCCTGTTTTTGTTTGCGTCCCAGATCTTCTACTTCCTGTTTTTGTTTGTGTCCCAGATCTTCTACTTCCTGTTTTTGTTTGTGTCCCAGATCTTCTACTTCCTGTTTTTGTTTGCGTCCCAGATCTTCTACTTCCTGTTTTTGTTTGTGTCCCAGATCTTCTACTTCCTGTTTTTGTTTGTGTCCCAGATCTTCTACTTCCTGTTTTTGTTCGTGTCCCAGATCTTCTACTTCCTGTTTTTGTTCGTGTCCCAGATCTTCTACTTCCTGTTTTTGTTTGTGTCCCAGATCTTCTACTTCCTGTTTTTGTTCGTGTCCCAGATCTTCTACTTCCTGTTTTTGTTCGTGTCCCAGATCTTCTACTTCCTGTTTTTGTTTGTGTCCCAGATCTTCTACTTCCTGTTTTTGTTTGCGTCCCAGATCTTCTACTTCCTGTTTTTGTTTGCGTCCCAGATCTTCTACTTCCTGTTTTTGTTTGTGTCCCAGATCTTCTACTTCCTGTTTTTGTTTGCGTCCCAGATCTTCTACTTCCTGTTTTTGTTTGTGTCCCAGATCTTCTACTTCCTGTTTTTGTTTGTGTCCCAGATCTTCTACTTCCTGTTTTTGTTTGCGTCCCAGATCTTCTACTTCCTGTTTTTGTTTGTGTCCCAGATCTTCTACTTCCTGTTTTTGTTTGTGTCCCAGATCTTCTACTTCCTGTTTTTGTTTGCGTCCCAGATCTTCCACTTCCTGTTTTTGTTTGTGTCCCAGATCTTCTACTTCCTGTTTTTGTTTGTGTCCCAGATCTTCTACTTCCTGTTTTTGTTCGTGTCCCAGATCTTCTACTTCCTGTTTTTGTTTGTGTCCCAGATCTTCTACTTCCTGTTTTTGTTTGCGTCCCAGATCTTCTACTTCCTGTTTTTGTTTGCGTCCCAGATCTTCTACTTCCTGTTTTTGTTTGTGTCCCAGATCTTCTACTTCCTGTTTTTGTTTGTGTCCCAGATCTTCTACTTCCTGTTTTTGTTCGTGTCCCAGATCTTCTACTTCCTGTTTTTGTTCGTGTCCCAGATCTTCTACTTCCTGTTTTTGCTGCTGTTCGTCCAAGCCCTCGGCGAGCCGTTCTGTGGCGACCACAACAAGAACAAGCTGGTGGTCATCTGGCTCTTTGGTCTGATGTGTGACCAGGTCTATCGCACGGCCATCAAGAAAAAGGTCAGCTGGCCTAGTTAGTGTGTGTGTGGGGGGGGGGGGGGGGGGAGGCGGGCTCATTTCTTCCAGACTTTTTTCTCCTCGGGGGGGGGGCGGGCTCATTTCTTCCAGACTTTTTTCTCCTCGGGGGGTGGGGGGACACTGTTAAAAAGATTATATTTTTTCCTTATATAATTATATTAATTCCATTTCGTTCGGGGGGCGGTAGACTTTCTTCGGGGGACATTATAATTAGCATTGATTGATAAAGTGCAATATGGTAGGTAAAACACAGATATTTTAAATACTGCCTTTTATTTATTTTATACACTGAACGTACTGTTTACTAATTATTGGATTTCATCAACAACAATTTAGAAGCCGCTCCTAAATGTCCTATATGTGTAAGCCCTGCTAGGGGGGGGGGGGGATACCTAATATCTACCCTTCTAGGCTTATCTAACTAACTACTGTCCGGTCAGTGCAAGCCCGGCTAAACCCAGACTGGTTAATAACCGAACCTTAGTCTAAATAATGAAAACAAAAAGCTTTAACAATAATATAAAATTTATTTAACAAAATATGGAACCAAAAGTTATTATAAAAAAAACTAGAATCTAGATCTAGACAAAACAAAACACTCAAGACATACAAAACAAACAGAACTCAACGAAACAAAATACCCAATCTCGGACCACCGTCCATACACCACATAAACGTGACACAGAAACTCTTCAACACACAGGCCTCGACATTCCAGCAGAATGTCCCTCCCTGTCGACACACCACATTCACGAACAAAAAAACCAATTACTACGAACAAAGAAACCAATACTACGCACAAGAAAATAGTCCCTAATACAATAATAAGTAACATTCAGGACTTAAAGCAAAGTGGAGCCACACTCCTTAAACAATGTTTGCATAAATAATATCAAAATATAAACAAGACAAAGCAATTACAAACCATTTTAAAATCATAATTATATCAGCGCCAGAATAGCGGACTACTTAAATAGAAACAACAACAATCCTCGGAGGAACACAAAAAGACATTCACCTTTTTGTAGTAAAATAATTAAATAACTCCCCAGCCCCTTACATATGTTTACTTCTATCTTTCCGTTTGCGGACAAGTTTGAGGTATTATCATCGTTCACTAAATTGAATCAGGCGTGTCCGTCGGCGCCCCGGTAGGGTGTGATTTGGCGCCCTGGGATATCCTGTGAGTGCTATGGTGCAAACGTTTGTTTTAAAGAATGCGATAGGCTGTGAATAAAAAGGGTTACTATAGTCGTACACTAAATCGAATCCGGGGCGTCCTCAGGCGCCCCGACAGGGTGCTATTTGTCGCCACGGGCCTTCCTAAGTTCGTTTTAACAGTGCCGTAGACTGTAGATAAGAAGGGTTACTATAGTCCTTAAGTAAATCGAAACCGGGCGTGTGTATTTGCTTTTGTGTTTGTGTTTGCGTTACGTTTGTGTTTGTGTTTCTGTTTTTTTTTTGTCTGTGTTTGGGTTTGCGTTTATGTTATGTTTGCGTTTTTTTGTGTTTATGTTTTGTTTTTTAGTTGGTTGTGGTTAGGGTTAATTAGACAAGTAGTGTATTTCCTAAACCCGGGCAAAGCAGGTTATATGCTGCTTAATAAACACACGAGTCATGGTCCTCTTCACTGAGGCCTGTGCAGGGCCTGGCCGGGACGGCTAGTATACAATGTAAGGATCTATTTCTAGATCAACATAGATGATTGGGTGTGTGAAGCCATTGTTTGGGCTAACGTTTTGACTGTCTTTAGCAATACTCAGAAGTCTCGATCGTCAGCAACCTGCGGACTTTGCTCGTCGTCTGCTACACGCTGTGTCTGATGATCTTCTGCCGTCTCATGTACCCCAACTTGCTACCGTTTGCCTATGTCAAGGTCATGTTAAGCTTCAGTCTCGTCTATTTCTTCTTCAACGCCATGACCTACTTGTTTCCAGTCAGCCCAGTCTACGGTCCCATGATGATCAACATCTCAGTCATGGTAGGTCCTGATTGTCCTGACCTCACTGATTGTTTATTTATATGAAATATGACTTTATCGTATCCACGTATCCTAAAATCTTGACGTCACGTCCTAAATGTCCTGACGTCACCCCTCTGAAAGTCCTTACGTCTTGTGCTGAATGTCCTGACGTCATGTCCTAGATGAAGAAGGACCTGATCAGCTGGCTGAAAATGTGGTCCTTAACGCTGGTGTCTGGGGCTGTGTCCATGTACGCCGTCGTCTACCCTGCCCACCCCCTGGGCTGGCCTGGCTTCTTCAAGGCCTTCAGACGTGCCATCTTTGGTCTCTTTATGACAGACCTGTCTGACCTGAGAGCAGGTGGGCTGTAGGCTGGGTTAAGGTCAGGTGGGCTGGGTTAAGGTCAGGTAGGCTGGGTTAAGGTCAGGTAGGCTGGGTTAAGGTCAGGTAGGCTGGGTTAAGGTCAGGTAGGCTGGGTTAAGGTCAGATGGGCTGGGTTAAGGTCAGGTAGGCTGGGTTAAGGTCAGGTAGGCTGGGTTAAGGTCAGGTGGGCTGGGTTAAGGTCAGATGGGCTGGGTTAAGGTCAGGTGGGCTGGGTTAAGGTCAGATGGGCTGGGTTAAGGTCAGGTAGGCTGGGTTAAGGTCAGATGGGCTGGGTTAAGGTCAGGTAGGCTGGGTTAAGGTCAGGTGGGCTGGGTTAAGGTCAGGTAGGCTGGGTTAAGGTCAGGTGGGCTGGGTTAAGGTCAGGTAGGCTGGGTTAAGGTCAGGTAGGCTGGGTTAAGGTCAGGTAGGCTGTGCGGCATCTTACACTAGTTATGACGGCTACAGGACATTCCCCCCCTCGTATTTACCCTCTGTCAATTACCCCCTGTCAATTACCCCCCCTGTCATTTACCCCCCCCGGGAAATACCCCCCACCCTCACCCCTCAAGTTAGAATCCTAACTCTATTTGGAACTCTATACCTAAATACTACTTTAATCCAAACCTTAAGAAAAAAGACCAAAACCTAAGCATCCACCTTAGCCTAAAACTTAACACAAAACCAACGCTAGACATCGGTTTAAACCTAACTCTCACCCTAGCCCTAAACCAAACTCCAACCCTAACCCTAGCCCTAACCCTAAAGCTAACCCTAGCCCTAGCCCTAAACCAAACTCCAACCCTAACCCTAGCCCTAAAGCTAACCCTAGCCCTAAACCTAACCCTAAATCTAAACATAACCCTAGGTCTAACCCTGCCCGTGTGTGTGTGTGTGTGGGGGGGGGGGGGTAATGTCCTACTGGGCGGGGGTAATTGACAGGGGGTAATTACTCCGGGGGGGGGGGGGTAATGTCGGGGTGGTGGGGGGGGGGGTAATTGACGGGGGGAGGGGGAATGCCCTGTTCCCAGTTATGACATCACCGTTTTACATCCCACAGATAACCCCTGCTCGTGCCTGTACAACTACTCACATCAGTTTGGATGTCAAGGTGAGTTACCTGCTCATTAGTTGTAGCTCATTGTTTCTTGCTAAGGTTCCGTGACAAATGTTCTCTGACAAAATATCCCAGACAAAATATCTCACGGAGAAATGATCCCTCAAATCTTGAATTCAATATGACCCCCCCCTCTCTCTCTCTCTCTCTCTCTCTCTCTCTTATGCAGCGTTGACTATAAATGGTGGGGTGGACATAATGGGATATTGGTTTGTGCAGGGCAGAGATCGGGTAACTGGGTCGTCTAGTACCTGCTTTAATAAATTACCATTCCAATTAGTTTGATTAAGTTTACTTAAGACATTTTCTTTTTATTTTCAGTTGATAAAATCCCAGGTAAACGCTTCAACTATCCCAGGTAAACCATTCAACTATCCCAGGTAAACCATTCAACTATCCCAGGTAAACCATTCAACTATCCCAGGTAAACCATTCAACTATCCCAGGTAAACCATTCAACTATGCCAGGTAAACCATTCAACTATCCCAGGTAAACCATTCAACTATCCCAGGTAAACCATTCAACTATCCCAGGTAAACCATTCAACTATCCCAGGTAAACCATTCAACTATCCCAGGTAAACCATTCAACTATCCCAGGTAAACCATTCAACTATCCCAGGTAAACCATTCAACTATGCCAGGTAAACCATTCAACTATCCCAGGTAAACCATTCAACTTTGCCAGGTAAACCATTCAACTATCCCAGGTAAACCATTCAACTATCCCAGGTAAACCATTCAACTATCCCAGGTAAACCATTCAACTATCCCAGGTAAACCATTCAACTATCCCAGGTAAACCATTCAACTATCCCAGGTAAACCATTCAACTATCCCAGGTAAACCATTCAACTATCCCAGGTAAACCATTCAACTATCCCAGGTAAACCATTCAACTATCCCAGGTAAACCATTCAACTATCCCAGGTAACCGGAAGTGAAATAAATTCTTCGTTCAGTTTTTAAAAGCCTATGATTTGAGTATTGTTCCAGTTAGATAGGAGACATTTCACATGTGTAAAAGATCTAATTATCAGTTTTCTAACAAAGTATGAGTATGTTGTCTGATGGTCGATGTAGACGATTGCGCAAATATTTTTGTTGTCTGATTGTTTGTTCTGACATTGTCCTGACATTGCAGGTGACATCAAGGACAGGCTCGCGCAATGTCCTAACGACAACCTCAGCAGCTACCTTATCGTCCTGCAGTTCCTGTTTAACACGAAGCTAGTGTACAACACGCTGATCTTTGCTATCACAAGGTTGGTCTATGGGGGGGTTGTCACAAGTTTGGTCTATGGGAGGTTGTCACAAGGTTGGTCTATGGGAGGTTGTCACAAGGTTGGTCTATGGGGGGGTTGTCACAAGTTTGGTCTATGGGAGGTTGTCACAAGGTTGGTCTATGGGAGGTTGTCACAAGGTTGGTCTATGGGAGGTTGTCACAAGGTTGGTCTATGGGAGGTTGTCACAAGGTTGGTCTATGGGAGGTTGTCACAAGGTTGGTCTATGGGAGGTTGTCACAAGGTTGGTCTATGGGAGGTTGTCACAAGGTTGGTCTACCATGGGGGGTTGTCACAAGGTTGGTCTATGGAAGGTTGTCACAAGGTTGGTCTATGGGAGGTTGTCACAAGGTTGGTCTATGGGAGGTTGTCACAAGGTTGGTCTACCATGGGGGTTGTCACAAGGTTGGTCTATGGAAGGTTGTCACAAGGTTGGTCTATGGGAGGTTGTCACAAGGTTGGTCTATGGGAGGTTGTCACAAGGTTGGTCTATGGGAGGTTGTCACAAGGTTGGTCTATGGGAGGTTGTCACAAGGTTGGTCTATGGGAGGTTGTCACAAGGTTGGTCTATGGGAGGTTGTCACAAGGTTGGTATATGGGAGGTTGTCACAAGGTTGGTGTATGGGAGGTTGTCACAAGGTTGGTCTATGGGAGGTTGTCACAAGGTTGGTCTATGGGAGGTTGTCACAAGGTTGGTCTATGGGAGGTTGTCACAAGGTTGGTCTATGGGAGGTTGTCACAAGGTTGGTCTATGGGAGGTTGTCACAAGGTTGGTCTATGGGAGGTTGTCACAAGGTTGGTCTATGGGAGGTTGTCACAAGGTTGGTCTATGGGAGGTTGTCACAAGGTTGGTCTATGGGAGGTTGTCACAAGGTTGGTCTATGGGAGGTTGTCACAAGGTTGGTCTATGGGAGGTTGTCACAAGGTTGGTCTATGGGAGGTTGTCACAAGGTTGGTCTATGGGAGGTTGTCACAAGGTTGGTCTATGGGAGGTTGTCACAAGGTTGGTCTATGGGAGGTTGTCACAAGGTTGGTCTATGGGAGGTTGTCACAAGGTTGGTCTATGGGAGGTTGTCACAAGGTTGGTCTATGGGAGATTGTCACAAGGTTGGTCTATGGCAGGTTGTCACAAGGTTGGTCTATGGGAGGTTGTCACAAGGTTGGTCTATGGGAGGTTGTCACAAGTTTGGTCTATGGGAGGTTGTCACAAGGTTGGTCTATGGAAGGTTGTCACAAGGTTGGTCTATGGAAGGTTGTCACAAGGTTGGTCTATGGGAGGTTGTCACAAGGTTGGTCTATGGCAGGTTGTCACAAGGTTGGTCTATGGGAGGTTGTTACAAGGTTGGTCTATGGGAGGTTGTCACAAGGTTGGTCTATGGGAGGTTGTTACAAGGTTGGTCTATGGGAGGTTGTCACAAGGTTGGTCTATGGGAGGTTGTCACAAGGTTGGTCTATGGGAGGTTGTCACAAGGTTGGTCTATGGGAGGTTGTCACAAGGTTGGTCTATGGGAGGTTGTCACAAGTTTGGTCTATGGGAGGTTGTCACAAGGTTGGTCTACCATGGGAGGTTGTCACAAGGTTGGTCTATGGGGGGTTGTCACAAGGTTGGTCTATGGGAGGTTGTCTCAAGGTTGGTCTATGGGAGGTTGTCACAAGGTTGGTCTATGGGAGGTTGTCACAAGGTTGGTCTATGGGAGGTTGTCACAAGGTTGGTCTATGGGAGGTTGTCACAAGTTTGGTCTATGGGAGGTTGTCACAAGGTTGGTCTACCATGGGGGGTTGTCACAAGGTTGGTCTATGGGAGGTTGTCACAAGGTTGGTCTATGGGAGGTTGTCACAAGGTTGGTCTATGGGAGGTTGTCACAAGGTTGGTCTATGGGAGGTTGTCACAAGGTTGGTCTATGGGAGGTTGTCTCAAGGTTGGTCTATGGGAGGTTGTCTCAAGGTTGGTCTAAGGGAGGTTGTCACAAGGTTGGTCTATGGGAGGTTGTCACAAGGTTGGTCTATGGGAGGTTGTCACAAGGTTGGTCTATGGGAGGTTGTCACAAGTTTGGTCTATGGGAGGTTGTCACAAGGTTGGTCTACCATGGGGGGTTGTCACAAGGTTGGTCTATGGGAGGTTGTCACAAGGTTGGTCTATGGGAGGTTGTCACAAGGTTGGTCTATGGGAGGTTGTCACAAGGTTGGTCTATGGGAGGTTGTCACAAGGTTGGTCTATGGGAGGTTGTCACAAGGTTGGTCTATGGGAGGTTGTCTCAAGGTTGGTCTATGGGAGGTTGTCTCAAGGTTGGTCTATGGGAGGTTGTCACAAGGTTGGTCTATGGGAGGTTGTCACAAGGTTGGTCTATGGGAGGTTGTCACAAGGTTGGTCTATGGGAGGTTGTCACAAGGTTGGTCTATGGCAGGTTGTCACAAGGTTGGTCTACCATGGGAGGTTGTCACAAGGTTGGTCTATGGGAGGTTGTCAGAAGTTTGGTCTATGGGAGGTTGTCACAAGGTTGGTCTATGGGAGGTTGTCACAAGGTTGGTGTATGGGAGGTTGTCACAAGGTTGGTCTATGGGAGGTTGTCACAAGGTTGGTCTACCATGGGGGGTTGTCACAAGGTTGGTCTATGGAAGGTTGTCACAAGGTTGGTCTATGGGAGGTTGTCACAAGGTTGGTCTATGGGAGGTTGTCACAAGGTTGGTCTACCATGGGGGGTTGTCACAAGGTTGGTCTATGGGAGGTTGTCACAAGGTTGGTCTATGGGAGGTTGTCACAAGGTTGGTCTATGGGAGGTTGTCACAAGGTTGGTCTATGGGAGGTTGTCACAAGGTTGGTCTATGGGAGGTTGTCACAAGGTTGGTCTATGGGAGGTTGTCTCAAGGTTGGTCTATGGGAGGTTGTCTCAAGGTTGGTCTATGGGAGGTTGTCACAAGGTTGGTCTATGGGAGGTTGTCACAAGGTTGGTCTATGGGAGGTTGTCACAAGGTTGGTCTATGGGAGGTTGTTACAAGGTTGGTCTATGGGAGGTTGTCACAAGTTTGGTCTATGGGAGGTTGTCACAAGGTTGGTCTATGGGGGGTTGTCACAAGGTTGGTCTATGGGAGGTTGTCACAAGGTTGGTCTATGGGAGGTTGTCACAAGGTTGGTCTATGGAAGGTTGTCACAAGGTTGGTCTATGGGAGGTTGTCACAAGGTTGGTTTACCATGGGAGGTTGTCACAAGGTTGGTCTACCATGGCAGGTTGTCACCATGTATGGCAGAGTCCACTTTTTTTCTCCCAGTGAAACGCTGCAAAACACCCATGAAAAATCCATCGAGATTTGGAAGTACCAGTTTTTTAAGCTCGTCATCAGCAACCAACAGCGGCCCTTCCTGCCGGTCCCCCTGGTACTGGCTCTCTACCCCTTCATCGCCATCAGGTTCCTGTACAACACCTGTCGCAGGCTCTGCAGGGCCTTCTGTCCCTGCTGCAGGAAGCCTAAAGATAGGGTCAGTGGCAGCAGTGCTGACTGGGGGGGGGGGGGAGAACAGTGCTGACTGGGGGGGGGGGGAGAAAACAGTGGTGACTGGGAGAGAGAGAGAGAACAGTGCTGACTGGGAGAGAGAGATAGAGAACAGTGCTGAGTGGGGGGGGGAGGGGAGAGAACAGTGGTGACTGGGAGAGAGAGAGAGAACAGTGCTGACTGGGAGAGAGAGAGAGAGAACAGTGCTGACTGGGAGAGAGAGATAGAGAACAGTGCTGACTGGGAGAGAGAGAGAGAGAGAACAGTGCTGACTGGGGGGGAGGGGAGAGAACAGTGCTGACTGGGAGAGAGAGAGAGAGAGAGAACAGTGCTGACTGGGGGGGGGGAGAGAACAGTGCTGACTGGGAGAGAGAGAGAACAGTGCTGACTGGGGGGAGGGGAGAGAACAGTGCTGACTGGGAGAGAGAGAGAGAGAGAACAGTGCTGACTGGGGGGGGGGAGAGAACAGTGCTGACTGGGAGAGAGAGATAGAGAACAGTGCTGAGTGGGGGGGGGGGAGGGGAGAGAACAGTGGTGACTGGGAGAGAGAGAGAGAACAGTGCTGACTGGGAGAGAGAGATAGAGAGAGAACAGTGCTGACTGGGAGAGAGAGAGAGAGAGAGAACAGTGCTGACTGGGGGGAGGGGAGAGAACAGTGCTGACTGGGAGAGAGAGAGAGAGAACAGTACTGACTGGGAGAGAGAGAGAACAGTGCTGACTGGGGGGAGGGGAGAGAACAGTGCTGACTGGGAGAGAGAGAGAGAACAGTGCTGACTGGGAGAGAGAGAGAGAGAACAGTGCTGACTGGGAGAGAGAGAGAGAACAGTGCTGACTGGGAGAGAGAGAGAGAACAGTGTTGACTGGGAGAGAGAGATAGAGAACAGTTCTGACTGGGAGAGAGAGATAGAGAACAGTGCTGACTGGGAGAGAGAGAGAGAGAGAACAGTGCTGACTGGGAGAGAGAGAGAGAGAACAGTGCTGACTGGGAGAGAGAGAGAGAGAACAGTGCTGACTGGGGGGGAGAACAGTGCTGACTGGGAGAGAGAGAGAACAGTGCTGACTGGGGGGGGGGAGAGAACAGTGCTGACTGGGGGGGAGAGAACAGTGCTGACTGGGAGAGAGAGAACAGTGCTGACTGGGAGAGAGAGAGAACAGTGCTGACTGGGAGAGAGAGAGAGAGAACAGTGCTGACTGGGGGGGGGAGAGAACAGTGCTGACTGGGAGAGAGAGAGAGAGAACAGTGCTGACTGGGAGAGAGAGAGAACAGTGCTGACTGGGAGAGAGAGAGAGAGAACAGTGCTGACTGGGAGAGAGAGAGAGAGAACAGTGCTGACTGGGAGAGAGAGAGAGAACAGTGCTGACTGGGAGAGAGAGAGAGAACAGTGCTGACTGGGAGAGAGAGATAGAGAACAGTTCTGACTGGGAGAGAGAGAGAGAGAACAGTGCTGACTGGGAGAGAGAGAGAGAGAGAACAGTGCTGACTGGGAGAGAGAGAGAGAACAGTGCTGACTGGGGGGGGGGAGAGAACAGTGCTGACTGGGAGAGAGAGAGAGAACAGTGCTGACTGGGAGAGAGAGAGAGAACAGTGCTGACTGGGAGAGAGAGAGAGAACAGTGCTGGCTGGGAGAGAGAGAGAGAGAGAACAGTGCTGACTGGGAGAGAGAGAGAGAACAGTGCTGGCTGGGAGAGAGAGAGAGAACAGTGCTGACTGGGAGAGAGAGAGAGAGAGAACAGTGCTGGCTGGGAGAGAGAGAGAGAGAGAACAGTGCTGACTGGGAGAGAGAGAGAGAACAGTGCTGACTGGGAGAGAGAGAGAACAGTGCTGGCTGGGAGAGAGAGAGAGAACAGTGCTGACTGGGAGAGAGAGAGAGAGAGAACAGTGCTGACTGGGAGAGAGAGAGAGAACAGTGCTGACTGGGAGAGAGAGAGAGAACAGTGCTGACTGGGAGAGAGAGAGAGAACAGTGCTGGCTGGGAGAGAGAGAGAGAACAGTGCTGACTGGGAGAGAGAGAGAGAGAGAACAGTGCTGACTGGGAGAGAGAGAGAGAACAGTGCTGACTGGGGGGGGGGAGAGAACAGTGCTGACTGGGAGAGAGAGAGAGAACAGTGCTGACTGGGAGAGAGAGAGAGAACAGTGCTGACTGGGAGAGAGAGAGAGAGAGAACAGTGCTGGCTGGGAGAGAGAGAGAGAGAACAGTGCTGACTGGGAGAGAGAGAGAGAACAGTGCTGACTGGGAGAGAGAGAGAGAACAGTGCTGGCTGGGAGAGAGAGAGAGAACAGTGCTGACTGGGAGAGAGAGAGAGAGAGAACAGTGCTGGCTGGGAGAGAGAGAGAGAACAGTGCTGACTGGGAGAGAGAGAGAAAATTGCTGACTGGGAGAGAGAGAGAACAGTGCTGACTGGGAGAGAGAGAGAGAGAGAGAACAGTGCTGACTGGGAGAGAGAGAGAACAGTGCTGACTGGGAGAGAGAGAGAGAGAGAGAGAGAACAGTGCTGGCTGGGAGAGAGAGAACAGTGCTGACTGGGAGAGAGAGAGAGAGAACAGTGCTGGCTGGGAGAGAGAGAGAGAGAGAACAGTGCTGACTGGGAGAGAGAGAGAGAACAGTGCTGACTGGGAGAGAGAGAGAAAATTGCTGACTGGGAGAGAGAGAGAGAGAACAGTGCTGACTGGGAGAGAGAGAGAGAACAGTGCTGACTGGGAGAGAGAGAGAAAATTGCTGACTGGGAGAGAGAGAGAGAACAGTGCTGACTGGGAGAGAGAGAGAACAGTGCTGACTGGGAGAGAGAGAGAGAACAGTGCTGACTGGGAGAGAGAGAGAGAACAGTGCTGACTGGGAGAGAGAGAGAGAGAGAGAACAGTGCTGACTGGGAGAGAGAGAGAGAACAGTGCTGACTGGGAGAGAGAGATAGAGAACAGTTCTGACTGGGAGAGAGAGAGAGAGAGAGAGAACAGTGCTGACTGGGAGAGAGAGAGAGAACAGTGCTGACTGGGAGAGAGAGAGAACAGTGCTGGCTGGGAGAGAGAGAACAGTGCTGACTGGGAGAGAGAGAGAACAGTGCTGACTGGGAGAGAGAGAGAGAGAACAGTGCTGACTGGGAGAGAGAGAGAGAACAGTGCTGACTGGGAGAGAGAGAGAGAGAACAGTGCTGACTGGGAGAGAGAGAGAACAGTGCTGACTGGGAGAGAGAGAGAGAGAACAGTGCTGACTGGGAGAGAGAGAGAGAGAACAGTGCTGGCTGGGAGAGAGAGAACAGTGCTGACTGGGAGAGAGAGAGAACAGTGCTGACTGGGAGAGAGAGAGAGAACAGTGCTGACTGGGAGAGAGAGAGAGAGAACAGTGCTGACTGGGAGAGAGAGAGAGAGAACAGTGCTGACTGGGAGAGAGAGAGAACAGTGCTGACTGGGAGAGAGAGAGAGAACAGTGCTGACTGGGGGGGAGGGGAGAGAACAGTGCTGACTGGGGGGAGGGGAGAGAACAGTGCTGACTGGGAGAGAGAGAGAGAGAGAACAGTGCTGACTGGGAGAGAGAGAGAGAGAGAACAGTGCTGACTGGGAGAGAGAGAGAGAACAGTGCTGACTGGGAGAGAGAGAGAGAGAGAACAGTGCTGACTGGGAGAGAGAGAGAGAGAGAACAGTGCTGACTGGGAGAGAGAGAGAGAGAGAACAGTGCTGACTGGGAGAGAGAGAGAGAACAGTGCTGACTGGGAGAGAGAGAGAGAGAGAACAGTGCTGACTGGGAGAGAGAGAGAGAGAGAACAGTGCTGACTGGGAGAGAGAGAGAGAACAGTGCTGACTGGGGGGGGGGGAGAGAACAGTGCTGACTGGGAGAGAGAGAGAGAGAGAACAGTGCTGACTGGGAGAGAGAGAGAGAGAGAACAGTGCTGACTGGGAGAGAGAGAGAGAACAGTGCTGACTGGGGGGGGGGAGAGAACAGTGCTGACTGGGAGAGAGAGAGAGAGAGAGAACAGTGCTGACTGTGAGAGAGAGAGAACAGTGGTGACTGTGAGAGAGAGAGAGAGAGAGAGAACAGTGCTGACTGGGAGAGAGAGAGAGAGAGAGAACAGTGCTGACTGGGGGGAGGGGAGAGAACAGTGCTGACTGGGAGAGAGAGAGAGAGAGAACAGTGCTGACTGGGAGAGAGAGAGAGAGAGAACAGTGCTGACTGGGAGAGAGAGAGAGAGAGAGAGAACAGTGCTGACTGGGGGGAGGGGAGAGAACAGTGCTGACTGAGAGAGAGAGAGAGAGAGAGAGAACAGTGCTGACAGTGGGGGAGGGGAGAGAACAGTGCTGACTGGGAGAGAGAGAGAGAGAGAGAGAGAGAACAGTGCTGACTGGGGGAGAGAGAGAGAGAGAGAACAGTGCTGACTGGGGGGAGGGGAGAGAACAGTGCTGACTGGGAGAGAGAGAGAGAGAGAACAGTGCTGACTGGGAGAGAGAGAGAGAGAGAGAGAGAGAACAGTGCTGACTGGGAGAGAGAGAGAGAGAGAGAGAGAGAGAGAACAGTGCTGACTGGGGGGGAGGGGAGAGAACAGTGCTGACTGGGAGAGAGAGAGAGAGAGAGAGAGAACAGTGCTGACTGGGAGAGAGAGAGAGAGAGAGAACAGTGCTGACTGGGGGGAGGGGAGAGAACAGTGCTGACTGGGAGAGAGAGAGAGAGAGAACAGTGCTGACTGGGAGAGAGAGAGAGAGAGAACAGTGCTGACTGGGGGGAGGGGAGAGAACAGTGCTGACTGGGAGAGAGAGAGAGAGAGAGAGAGAGAGAGAGAGAGAACAGTGCTGACTGGGAGAGAGAGAACAGTGCTGACTGGGGGGAGGGGAGAGAACAGTGCTGACTGGGAGAGAGAGAGAGAGAGAGAGAGAGAGAGAGAGAGAACAGTGCTGACTGGGGGGAGGGGAGAGAACAGTGCTGACTGGGAGAGAGAGAGAGAGAGAGAGAGAGAGAGAGAGAGAGAGAGAACAGTGCTGACTGGGAGAGAGAGAACAGTGCTGACTGGGGGGGAGAGAACAGTGCTGACTGGGAGAGAGAGAGAGAGAACAGTGCTGACTGGGAGAGAGAGAGAGAGAGAGAGAGAACAGTGCTGACTGGGGGGAGAGAACAGTGCTGACTGGGAGAGAGAGAGAACAGTGCTGACTGGGAGAGAGAGAGAGAGAGAACAGTGCTGACTGTGAGAGAGAGAGAACAGTGGTGACTGGGAGAGAGAGAGAGAACAGTGCTGACTGGGAGAGAGAGAGAGAGAGAGAGAACAGTGCTGACTGGGAGAGAGAGAGAGAGAACAGTTCTGACTGGGAGAGAGAGAGAGAGAGAACAGTGGTGACTGGGAGAGAGAGAGAGAACAGTGCTGACTGGGAGAGAGAGAGAGAGAGAGAACAGAGCTGACTGGGAGAGAGAGAGAGAACAGTGCTGGCTGGGAGAGAGAGAGAACAGTGCTGGCTGGGAGAGAGAGAACAGTGCTGACTGGGAGAGAGAGAGAGAGAACAGTGCTGACTGGGAGAGAGAGAGAGAGAACAGTGCTGACTGGGAGAGAGAGAGAGAGAGAGAGAACAGTGCTGACTGGGAGAGAGAGAGAGAGAACAGTTCTGACTGGGAGAGAGAGAGAGAGAGAACAGTGGTGACTGGGAGAGAGAGAGAGAACAGTGCTGACTGGGAGAGAGAGAGAGAGAGAGAACAGAGCTGACTGGGAGAGAGAGAGAACAGTGCTGGCTGGGAGAGAGAGAACAGTGCTGGCTGGGAGAGAGAGAACAGTGCTGACTGGGAGAGAGAGAGAGAGAACAGTACTGACTGGTAGAGAGAGACAGAGAACAGTGCTGACTGGGAGAGAGAGAGAACAGTGCTGGCTGGGAGAGAGAGAGAACAGTACTGACTGGGAGAGAGAGAGAGAACAGTGCTGACTGGGAGAGAGAGAACAGTGCTGACTGGGAGAGAGAGAGAACAGTGCTGACTGGGAGAGAGAGAGAACAGTGCTGGCTGGGAGAGAGAGAGAACAGTGCTGGCTGGGAGAGAGAGAACAGTGCTGGCTGGGAGAGAGAGAACAGTGCTGGCTGGGAGAGAGAGAACAGTGCTGACTGGGAGAGAGAGAGAACAGTGCTGACTGGGAGAGAGAGAGAACAGTGCTGACTGGGAGAGAGAGAGAACAGTGCTGACTGGGAGAGAGAGAGAGAGAGAGAACAGTGCTGACTGGGAGAGAGAGAGAACAGTGCTGACTGGGAGAGAGAGAGAGAGAACAGTGCTGACTGGGAGAGAGAGAGAACAGTGCTGACTGGGAGAGAGAGAGAGAGAGAGAGAGAACAGTGCTGGCTGGGAGAGAGAGAACAGTGCTGACTGGGAGAGAGAGAGAGAGAACAGTACTGACTGGGAGAGAGAGAGGAGAGAACAGTGCTGACTGGGAGAGAGAGAGAACAGTGCTGGCTGGGAGAGAGAGAGAGAGAACAGTACTGACTGGGAGAGAGAGAGAACAGTGCTGACTGGGAGAGAGAGAGAACAGTGGCTGACTGGGAGAGAGAGAGAGAGAGAGGAGAGAACAGTGCTGGCTGGGAGAGAGAGAACAGTGCTGACTGGGAGAGAGAGAGAGAACAGTGCTGACTGGGAGAGAGAGAGAGAACAGTGCTGACTGGGAGAGAGAGAACAGTGCTGACTGGGAGAGAGAGAGAGAGAACAGTACTGACTGGGAGAGAGAGAGAGAGAACAGTACTGACTGGGAGAGAGAGAGAGAGAACAGTGCTGACTGGGAGAGAGAGAACAGTGCTGACTGGGAGAGAGAGAGAGAGAACAGTGCTGACTGGGAGAGAGAGAGAACAGTGCTGACTGGGAGAGAGAGAGAGAAACAGTGCTGACTGGGAGAGAGAGAGAACAGTGCTGACTGGAGAGAGAGAGAGAGAACAGTGCTGACTGGGAGAGAGAGAGAGAGAGAGAACAGTGCTGACTGGGAGAGAGAGAGAACAGTGCTGACTGGGGAGAGAGAGAGAGAGAGAACAGTAGAGAACAGTGCTGACTGGGAGAGAGAGAGAGAGAGAGAGAGAACAGTGCTGGCTGGGAGAGAGAGAACAGTGCTGACTGGGAGAGAGAGAGAGAGAACAGTACTGACTGGGAGAGAGAGAGAGAGAACAGTGCTGACTGGGAGAGAGAGAGAACAGTGCTGGCTGGGAGAGAGAGAGAGAGAACAGTACTGACTGGGAGAGAGAGAGAACAGTGCTGGCTGGGAGAGAGAGAGAGAGAACAGTACTGACTGGGAGAGAGAGAGAACAGTGCTGACTGGGAGAGAGAGAGAACAGTGCTGACTGGGAGAGAGAGAGAGAGAGAGAGAACAGTGCTGGCTGGGAGAGAGAGAACAGTGCTGACTGGGAGAGAGAGAGAGAGAACAGTGCTGACTGGGAGAGAGAGAGAACAGTGCTGACTGGGAGAGAGAGAGAACAGTGCTGACTGGGAGAGAGAGAGAACAGTGCTGACTGGGAGAGAGAGAGAGAGCTACATCCTACACGCCATGGAATGATGAGATTATCAGCTCAAGCCTGACCTTCCAGGTGACCTTGAGCAACGACTTCCACGTGTGGCGGAGTTTGATCAGGATCCACAAGAAGGACGAGAAGCTTAAGCTGGACAAGTTGAATTCTTCAAGGGAGACACAGGAGAGGTCGCCCACACTGATAGCCCACTCTATTCTCTGATGGCCCACTCTATTCTCCAATAGCCCACTCTATTCTCTGATGGCCCACTCTATCATCTGATGGCCCACTCTATCATCTGATGGCCCACTCTATCATCTGATAGCCCACTCTATCCTCTGATGGCCCTTTCAGCCCAATAGCCCATTTGCCCCTTTAGTTATTAGACATCTGTTGGCATTGATCAAACATAGCAGCACGTTCGACCCATCTAATTAGCCAGACTGTCCCACACAGACCAAACCGTGACGACACGAGGGGACGGGACTGCGTACAAACAACTTTCCCCCATTCACCCCCCCCCCCACCCCACCCACTTTACTTGCTCACTACACCAACTATAAACAAGGTTCACCCATTCATCCCCCCCCCCACACCCCCACCCACTTTACTTGCTCACTACACCAACTATAAACAAGGTTCACCCATTCATCCCCCCCCCCCCACACCCCACCCACTTTACTTGCTCACTACACCAACTATAAACAAGGTTCACCCATTCATCCCCCCCCCACACCCCACCCACTTTACTTGCTCACTACACCAACTATAAACAAGGTTCACCCATTCATCCCCCCCCCACACCCCACCCACTTTACTTGCTCACTACACCAACTATAAACAAGGTTCACCCATTCATCCCCCCCCCACACCCCACCCACTTTACTTGCTCACTACACCAACTATAAACAAGGTTCACCCATTCATCCCCCCCCCCCACACCCCACCCACTTTACTTGCTCACTACACCAACTATAAACAAGGTTCACCCATTCATCCCCCCCCCCACACCCCACCCACTTTACTTGCTCACTACACCAACTATAAACAAGGTTCACCCATTCATCCCCCCCCCACACCCCACCCACTTTACTTGCTCACTACACCAACTATAAACAAGGTTCACCCATTCATCCCCCCCACACCCCACCCACTTTACTTGCTCACTACACCAACTATAAACAAGGTTCACCCATTCATCCCCCCCCCCCCACACCCCACCCACTTTACTTGCTCACTACACCAACTATAAACAAGGTTCACCCATTCATCCCCCCCCACACCCCACCCACTTTACTTGCTCACTACACCAACTATAAACAAGGTTCACCCATTCATCCCCCCCCACACCCCACCCACTTTACTTGCTCACTACACCAACTATAAACAAGGTTCACCCATTCATCCCCCCCCACACCCCACCCACTTTACTTGCTACTACACCAACTATAAACAAGGTTCACCCATTCATCCCCCCCACACCCCACCCACTTTACTTGCTCACTACACCAACTATAAACAAGGTTCACCCATTCATCCCCCCCCACACCCCACCCACTTTACTTGCTCACTACACCAACTATAAACAAGGTTCACCCATTCATCCCCCCCCACACCCCACCCACTTTACTTGCTCACTACACCAACTATAAACAAGGTTCACCCATTCATCCCCCCCCCCACACCCCACCCACTTTACTTGCTCACTACACCAACTATAAACAAGGTTCACCCATTCATCCCCCCCACACCCCACCCACTTTACTTGCTCACTACACCAACTATAAACAAGGTTCACCCATTCAATTCCCCCCACCCCACCCACTTTACTTGCTCACTACACCAACTATAAACAAGGTTCACCCATTCATCCCCCCCACCCCACCCACTTTACTTGCTCACTACACCAACTATAAACAAGGTTCACCCATTCATCCCCCCCCACCCCACCCACTTTACTTGCTCACTACACCAACTATAAACAAGGTTCACCCATTCATCCCCCCCCACCCCACCCACTTTACTTGCTCACTACACCAACTATAAACAAGGTTCACCCATTCATCCCCCCCACACCCCACCCACTTTACTTGCTCACTACACCAACTATAAACAAGGTTCACCCATTCATCCCCCCCCCACCCCACCCACTTTACTTGCTCACTACACCAACTATAAACAAGGTTCACCCATTCATCCCCCCCCACACCCCACCCACTTTACTTGCTCACTACACCAACTATAAACAAGGTTCACCCATTCATCCCCCCCCCACCCCACCCACTTTACTTGCTCACTACACCAACTATAAACAAGGTTCACCCATTCATCCCCCCCCCACACCCCACCCACTTTACTTGCTCACTACACCAACTATAAACAAGGTTCACCCATTCATCCCCCCCCACCCCACCCACTTTACTTGCTCACTACACCCAACTATAAACAAGGTTCACCCATTCATCCCCCCCACCCCACCCACTTTACTTGCTCACTACACCAACTATAAACAAGGTTCACCCATTCATCCCCCCCCACCCCACCCACTTTACTTGCTCACTACACCAACTATAAACAAGGTTCACCCATTCATCCCCCCCCCCCACCCCACCCACTTTACTTGCTCACTACACCAACTATAAACAAGGTTCACCCATTCATCCCCCCCCCACACCCCACCCACTTTACTTGCTCACTACACCAACTATAAACAAGGTTCACCCATTCATCCCCCCCCCCACCCCACCCACTTTACTTGCTCACTACACCAACTATAAACAAGGTTCACCCATTCATTCCCCCCCCACACCCCACCCACTTTACTTGCTCACTACACCAACTATAAACAAGGTTCACCCATTCATCCCCCCCCCACACCCCACCCACTTTACTTGCTCACTACACCAACTATAAACAAGGTTCACCCATTCATCCCCCCCCCACCCCACCCACTTTACTTGCTCACTACACCAACTATAAACAAGGTTCACCCATTCATCCCCCCCACACCCCACCCACTTTACTTGCTCACTACACCAACTATAAACAAGGTTCACCCATTCATCCCCCCCCCCACCCCACCCACTTTACTTGCTCACTACACCAACTATAAACAAGGTTCACCCATTCACCCCCCCCCACCCCACCCACTTTACTTGCACACTACACCAACTATAAACAAGGTTCACCCATTCATCCCCCCCCCACCCCACCCACTTTACTTGCTCACTACACCAACTATAAACAAGATTCACCCATTCATCCCCCCCACCCCACCCACTTTACTTGCTCACTACACCAACTATAAACAAGGTTCACCCATTCATCCCCCCCCCACACCCCACCCACTTTACTTGCTCACTACACCAACTATAAACAAGGTTCACCCATTCATCCCCCCCCCACCCCACCCACTTTACTTGCTCACTACACCAACTATAAACAAGGTTCACCCATTCATCCCCCCCCCCCACACCCCACCCACTTTACTTGCTCACTACACCAACTATAAACAAGGTTCACCCATTCATCCCCCCCCCACACCCCACCCACTTTACTTGCTCACTACACCAACTATAAACAAGGTTCACCCATTCATCCCCCCCCCCCCCACACCCCACCCACTTTACTTGCTCACTACACCAACTATAAACAAGGTTCACCCATTCATCCCCCCCACACCCCACCCACTTTACTTGCTCACTACACCAACTATAAACAAGGTTCACCCATTCATCCCCCCCCCCCACCCCACCCACTTTACTTGCTCACTACACCAACTATAAACAAGGTTCACCCATTCATCCCCCCCCCCCACACCCCACCCACTTTACTTGCTCACTACACCAACTATAAACAAGGTTCACCCATTCATCCCCCCCCCCACACCCCACCCACTTTACTTGCTCACTACACCAACTATAAACAAGGTTCACCCATTCATCCCCCCCCCCCACACCCCACCCACTTTACTTGCTCACTACACCAACTATAAACAAGGTTCACCCATTCATCCCCCAGCCCCACCAAGCCCATCAGCCCACCAATCCCATCAGCCCACCAATCCCATCAGCCCACCAATCCCATCAGCCCACCAATCCCATCAGCCCACCAATCCCATCAGCCCACCAATCCCATCAGCCCACCAAACCATCAGCCCACCAAGCCCATCAACCCACCAAGCCCATCAGCCCACCAAGCCCATCAACCCACCAAGTCCATCAGCCCACCAAGCCCATCAGCCCACCAAGCCCATCAGCCCACCAAGCCCCCACTAAGCGAGTCGACTGTGTCAACAGACTGCGACTGCTGGCCAAAGAACAAGCCAACCACGGCAAGCACATGGAGAACCTGCACGACCGTCTCTTTGGTGTCATCAACAGCCAGACCTCCCTCTCGCTCACACTAGAGCACATGCGACACGTACTGGAGGAGACAGGTGGGTGGCTGGTAGGGGGGTGGGGTGGCGGGCAGGGGAGGGGAGGGGTGGCGGGCAGAGGTGGGGGGGAGGGGTGGGGTGGCGGGCAGGGGGGCGGGGGAGGGGAGGGGTGGCGGGCAGAGGTGGGGGGGAGGGGTGGGGTGGCGGGCAGAGGGGTGGGGTGGCGGGCAGGGGGGTGGGGTGGCGGGCAGGGGTGGGGTGGGGTGGGGTTACTAGCAGTGGGTGACAGGCTGGAGTGGCCGGCAGTGTTCCACTAACACTTATGCCGCTCTCCACAGCCAAGAAAAAGTTCCAGACTCCAGGTGAGGTTATGACCCTACGAGACCAGCACTCTAAATGCAGGATGTCCCCGTACCCGGGCACCACCATACGGCGGTTTCCTGTTTTTGACAAGAACGTTTCGTGGGAGGTAAGTCTTGGTTGTCAAATGGGAGGTAACTTGGTTATCATAAATATGGGAGGTAACTCTTGGTTGTCCACCCAACAGGAGAGTTACCCGAGCTACGACCCTCCATCTTTCTCCAAAGAAATCTCTCTCTATGACGTCACAAGACAGCCATATGTGGACCCGGACTTGTTTGAGTAGGTCAAGTTTGATCAATTGACCTAACAACTGACCTGGCTAGTGACCTAACAACTGACCTAACAAGTGACCAGGCTAGTGACCTAACAAGTGACCCAACAAGTGAACAGGCTAGTGACCTAACAAGTGACCTAACAACTGACGTAACAAGTGAACTGACTAGTGACCTAACAAGTGACCTAACAACTGACCTAACAAGTGACCTGACTAGTGACCTAACAACTGACCTAACAAGTGACCTAACAAGTGAGCTAACAACTGACCCAACAAGTGACCTAACAAGTGACCTGACTAGTGACCTAACAACTGACCTAACAAGTGACCTAACAAGTGAGCTAACAACTGACCCAACAAGTGACCTAACAAGTGACCTGACTAGTGACCTAACAACTGACCTAACAAGTGACCTAACAAGTGAGCTAACAACTGACCCAACAAGTGACCTAACAAGTGACCTGACTAGTGACCTAACAACTGACCCAACAAGTGACCTAACAAGTGACCTGACTAGTGACCTAACAACTGACCTAACAAGTGACCTAACAAGTGAGCTAACAACTGACCCAACAAGTGACCTAACAAGTGACCTGACTAGTGACCTAACAACTGACCCAACAAGTGACCTAACAAGTGACCTAACCTCTACTCCAGGATCATGCGACAGCGCGAGGAGCGGGCCAAGCTTGATGTGGCTGACATGGACAGCTCAGACGTGCTGTGGTTGGAGTTCAACCCGCAGTTCAACCAGGAGCGGGAGGAGTGGACCTCGGGCGGGGAGAAGTACACGGTCAACAGGGTCAGCCTGGCAGTCAAAGACGAGCAGAACTTTCAGTACACGGTCGACTCTAGCGGCGTGCCGAGGTGGGTGGTGGTGGGTGGGTGATGGTAGGTGGGTGGTGGTAGGTGGGTGATGGTAGGTGGGTGGGTGATGGTAGGTGGGGGATGGTAGGTGGGTGGGTGATGGTTGGTGGGTGGGTGATGGTAGGTGGGTGATGGTAGGTGGGTGATGGTAGGTGGGTGGTGGTAGGTGGGTGATGATTGGTGGGTGGTAGGTGGGTGATGGTGGGTGGGTGGGTGATGGTAGGTGGGTGATGGTAGGTGGGTGGGTGATGGTTGGTGGGTGGGTGATGGTAGGTGGGTGATGGTAGGTTTATGAGTGATTGTGAGTGGGTGGGTGGTTGTGCTATGAGTTTGATGCTGATGTCGCCTAGATTATCTAACAAACATTGTTGTTTGTATGCGAGATGAAATGTTTACACAAATGCAGAAATCCTATGGGCCGCACGGGGATGCGGGGGCGTGGCAACCTGTGGCGCTGGGGTCCCAACCACATGATCTACGCCATCGTTTCCCGCTGGAAGAACATCTACAACGCTGCAGACATCTCCATGGGCCACAAGATGGTCAACGGCAAGAAGGTGCTGGAGATCATGGTGGTACAGGACGAACTGGTCAATGAGGACTCTCTACCCGGGGTATGTGCTTGACCCACGGGGTATGTGCTTGACCCACGGGGTGTGTACTTGACCCACGGGGTGTGTACTTGACCCACGGGGTATGTGCTTGACCCACGGGGCTTGACCCGACCCACGGGGTATGTACTTGACCCACGGGGTATGTGCTTGACCCACGGGGTGTGTACTTGACCCACGGGGTGTGTACTTGACCCACGGGGTGTGTACTTGACCCGACCCACGGGGTATGTACTTGACCCACGGGGTGTGTACTTGACCCACGGGGTGTGTACTTGACCCACGGGGTGTGTACTTGACCCACGGGGTATGTACTTGACCCGACCCACGGGGTATGTACTTGACCCACGGGGTATGTACTTGACCCACGGGGTGTGTACTTGACCCACGGGGTGTGTACTTGACCCACGGGGTGTGTACTTGACCCACGGGGTATGTACTTGACCCACGGGGTGTGTACTTGACCCACGGGGTGTGTACTTGACCCACGGGGTGTGTACTTGACCCACGGGGTGTGTACTTGACCCGACCCACGGGGTGTGTACTTAACCCACGGGGTATGTACATTTGATATTTGCAATATTTGAGTGACCTACGATCAACGTTACATAATTCAATATTTGTTTTCTGAAATAACTTAAGTTCTACACAACTAGGACACTAGCAATGTCAAGGTCGTACTGAGTTGGTGACGTGGCAACTGTATTTTGCAGGACTTCATCACGGGCAGGGTGAACAAGTTCAACGTCCTGTGCGAAATGTTCATGAAGGAACTCCTGGGGGAGAAGGAGGTGCCAGGCACGACACAGCTGGATCAGGACGACATGATACAGGTGGGCGGGCAGGTGACAGGTGGGCGGGCAGGTGACGGGTGGGCGGGCAGGTGACAGGTGGGCGGGCAGGTGGGCGGGCAGGTGACAGGTGGGCGGGCAGGTGACGGGTGGGCGGGCAGGTGACAGGTGGGCGGGCAGGTGACAGGTGGGCGGGCAGGTGACGGGTGGGCGGGCAGGTGGGCGGGCAGGTGACAGGTGGGCGGGCAGGTGGGCGGGCAGGTGACGGGTGGGCGGGCAGGTGGGCGGGCAGGTGACAGGTGGGCGGGCAGGTGACAGGTGGGCGGGCAGGTGACAGTTGGGCGGGCAGGTGACGGGTGGGCGGGCAGGTGACAGTGGGCGGGCAGGTGACGGGTGGGCGGGCAGGTGACGGGTGGGCGGGCAGGTGACAGGTGGGCGGGCAGGTGACGGGTGGGCGGGCAGGTGACGGGTGGGCAGGCAGGTGACAGGTGGGCGGGCAGGTGACAGGTGGGCGGGCAGGTGACAGGTGGGCGGGCAGGTGACAGGTGGGCGGGCAGGTGACAGGTGGGCGGGCAGGTGGGCGGGCAGGTGACAGGTGGGCGGGCAGGTGACAGGTGGGCGGGCAGGTGACAGGTGGGCGGGCAGGTGACAGGTGGGCGGGCAGGTGACAGGTGGGCGGGCAGGTGACAGTTGGGCGGGCAGGTGACGGGTGGGCGGGCAGGTGACGGGTGGGCGGGCAGGTGACGGGTGGGCGGGCAGGTGACGGGTGGGCGGGCAGGTGACGGGTGGGCGGGCAGGTGACAGGTGGGCGGGCAGGTGACGGGTGGGCGGGCAGGTGACAGGTGGGCGGGCAGGTGACGGGCGGGCGGGCAGGTGACTGGTAGACGGGCAGGTGACGGGTAGTCGGGCAGGTGACAGGTGGGCGGGCAGGTGACAGGTGGGCGGGCAGGTGACAGGTGGGCGGGCAGGTGACAGGTGGGCGGGCAGGTGACAGGTGGGCGGGCAGGTGACAGGTAGGAGCATGCAAATAATTCCACCATGTCCTTTCAGTTTTTTCGTCAGTTTGTGAGCAGCGACTTTATTTTCTCTGGAATTCTGGGTAGATCCATGTCTTCCAGCCTGAGCAGCTCCATGGTATACAAGGGCTACATGGACGACACCAACAACACGGACAATGCATGGGTGGAGGCGGAAATATGGAGCTTTCATTACCATAGCAACGACAAGCTGGACAAGAAGATCTTACAGGTGGGTGGCTAGAAGATCTTACAGGTGGGTGGCTAGATCATACAGGTGGGTGGCTAGATCATACAGGTGGGTGGCTAGAAGATCATACAGGTGGGTGGCTAGAAGATCTTACAGGTGGGTGGCTAGATCATACAGGTGGGTGGCTAGATCATACAGGTGGGTGGCTAGAAGATCATACAGGTGGGTGGCTAGAAGATCATACAGGTGGGTGGCTAGAAGATCATACAGGTGGGTGGCTAGATCATACAGGTGGGTGGCTAGATCATACAGGTGGGTGGCTAGAAGATCATACAGGTGGGTGGCTAGAAGATCATACAGGTGGGTGGCTAGAAGATCATACAGGTGGGTGGCTAGAATATCATACAGGTGGGTGGCTAGATCATACAGGTGGGTGGCTAGAAGATCATACAGGTGGGTGGCTAGAAGATCTTACAGGTGGGTGGCTAGATCATACAGGTGGGTGGCTAGATCATACAGGTGGGTGGCTAGAAGATCATACAGGTGGGTGGCTAGAAGATCATACAGGTGGGTGGCTAGAAGATCATACAGGTGGGTGGCTAGATCATACAGGTGGGTGGCTAGATCATACAGGTGGGTGGCTAGAAGATCATACAGGTGGGTGGCTAGAAGATCATACAGGTGGGTGGCTAGAAGATCATACAGGTGGGTGGCTAGAATATCATACAGGTGGGTGGCTAGAAGATCATACAGGTGGGTGGCTAGAAGATCATACAGGTGGGTGGCTAGAAGATCATACAGGTGGGTGGCTAGATCATACAGGTGGGTGGCTAGATCATACAGGTGGGTGGCTAGAAGATCTTACAGGTGTGTGGCTAGAAGATCATACAGGTGGGTGGCTAGAAGATCATACAGGTGGGTGGCTAGAAGATCATACAGGTGGGTGACTAGATCATACAGGTGGGTGGCTAGAAGATCATACAGGTGGGTGGCTAGAAGATCATACAGGTGTGTGGCTAGAAGATCATAAAGGTGGGTGGCTAGAAGATCATACAGGTGGGTGGCTAGAAGATCATACAGGTGGGTGGCTAGAAGATCATACAGGTGGGTGGCTAGAAGATCATACAGGTGGGTGGCTAGAAGATCATACAGGTGGGTGGCTAGAAGATCATACAGGTGGGTGGCTAGAAGATCATACAGGTGGGTGGCTAGAAGATCATACAGGTGGGTGGCTAGAAGATCATAGGGGGTGGCTAGAAATCATACAGGTGGGTGGCTAGATCATACAGGTGTGTGGCTAGAAGATCATACAGGTGGGTGGCTAGAAGATCATACAGGTGGGTGGCTAGAATATCATACAGGTGGGTGGCTAGAAGATCATAGGGGGTGGCTAGAAGATCATACAGGTGAGTGGCTAGAAGATCATACAGGTGGGTGGCTAGATCATACAGGTGGGTGGCTAGATCATACAGGTGGGTGGCTAGAAGATCATACAGGTGGGTGGCTAGAAGATCATACAGGTGGGTGGCTAGAAGATCATACAGGTGGGTGGCTAGATCATACAGGTGGGTGGCTAGAAGATCATACAGGTGGGTGGCTAGAAGATCATACAGGTGGGTGGCTAGAAGATCATACAGGTGGGTGGCTAGAAGATCATAGGGGTGGCTAGAAGATCATACAGGTGGGTGGCTAGAAGATCATACAGGTGGGTGGCTAGAAGATCATACAGGTGGGTGGCTAGAAGTTCATAGGGGGTGGCTAGAAGATCATACAGGTGGGTGGCTAGAAGATCATACAGGTGGGTGACTAGATCATACAGGTGGGTGGCTATATCATACATGTGGGTGGCTAGAAGATCATACAGGTGGGTAGCTAGATCATACAGGTGGGTGGCTAGAAGATCATACAGGTGGGTGGCTAGAAATCGTACAGGTGAGTGACTAGATCATACAGGTGGGTGGCTAGAAGATCATATAGGTGGGTGGCTAGATCATACAGGTGGGTGGCTAGAAGATCATACAGGTGGGCGACTAGAAGATCATATAGGTGGCTAGATCATACAGGTGGGTGGCTAGATCATACAGGTGGGTGGCTAGAAGATCATACAGGTGGGTGACTAGAAGATCATATAGGTGGCTAGATCATACAGGTGGGTAGCTAGACCATACAGGTGGGTGGCTAGAAGATCATACAGGTGGGTGACTAGAAGATCATATAGGTGGCTAGATCATACAGGTGGGTGGCTAGATCATACAGGTGGGTGACTAGAAGATCATACAGGTTAGTGGCTAGAAGATCATACAGGTGGGTGGCTAGAAGATCATACAGGTGGGTGGCTAGAAGATCATACAGGTGGGTGGCTAGAAGATCATACAGGTGGGTGGCTAGATCATACAGGTGGGTGGCTAGAAGATCATACAGGTTAGTGGCTAGAAGATCATACAGGTGGGTGGCTAGAAGATCATACAGGTGGGTGGCTAGAAGATCATACAGGTGGGTAGCTAGATCATACAGGTGGGTGGCTAGAAGATCATACAGGTGGGTGGCTAGAAGATCATACAGGTGAGTGGCTAGATCATACAGGTGGGTGGCTAGATCATACAGGTGGGTGGCTAGATCATACAGGTGGGTGACTAGAAGATCATACAGGTTAGTGGCTAGAAGATCATACAGGTGGGTGGCTAGAAGATCATACAGGTGGGTGGCTAGAAGATCATACAGGTGGCTAGATCATACAGGTGGGTGGCTAGATCATACAGGTGGGTGGCTATAAGATCATACAGGTGAGTGGCTAGATCATACATGTGGGTGGCTAGAAGATCATACAGGTGAGTGGCTAGTTCATACAGGTGGGTGGCTATATCATACAGGTGGGTGGCTAGATCATACATGTGGGTGGCTAGAAGATCATACAGGTGGGTGGCTAGAAGATCATACAGGTGGGTGGCTAGATCATACAGGTGGGTGGCTATATCATACAGGTGGGTGGCTAGAAGATCATACAGGTGGGTGGCTAGAAGATCATACAGGTGGGTGGCTAGATCATACAGGTGGGTGGCTAGAAGATCATACAGGTGGGTGGCTAGAAATCGTACAGGTGGGTGGCTAGAAGATCATACAGGTGGGTGGCTAGAAATCGTACAGGTGGGTGGCTAGACTTAGCATAGATTAAAACTTGAATTACCTGTCATGTTTAAACCCTAACTCCTGTCAAGTTTAAACCCTAACTCCTGTCAAGTTTGAACCCTAACCCCTGTCATGTTTGAACCCTAACCCCTGTCATGTTTGAACCCTGTAGCGCGAGCGTCACTGGCGCGAGGTCTCATCACAGATGCACCTGGCCAGCAGTCAGCTGCCGCACGTTCTCGAAGTGGCCAGGGTACTAGACGAGTCCAGCAGCTAACAAAGTCACCCACTGGACCTCACACGCATGACCTAACCCACTGGACCTCACACACATGACCTCACCCACTGGACCTCACACATGACCTCACACACATGACCTCACACACATGACCTCACACACATGACCTCACATACATGACCTCACACACAATAGAAAACAAATGATGGCGTTCGAAATATTAAACCACATTCTTTCTTGTTTCCTTTTTTTTTAGAATTGTGTTTTTGGTGTATTAAAGAAAATAATTCACGTTTGTAAAAGTTTTTATTTAATTCCCAATGTCTGTCTATTTGTGCGTCTGTGGGTTTGTGGCAAATCTTGAAATTCAATTTTGACTGAGTTATGATGCAACGATTGAAAACGATAATTTATCTCCAAAGTCAACTCACACTCACCTTAGCTTAAATCTCATGTAATTAACTAGTCATTATCTTAATTAATTCAGTAACAATTGCGTTAACAACCCGTTACTAAAATATTAACTTACTGTTTACACTTTTAAAATTCAGAACTACTAAAACAAAATGAATATAAAAACCTTTCTGATAATAAGCTTTAATGGGGGACAGTATTACCCAAATACCAATAAACCGGGAGTGATCTCCCCTAAACTGTCTTGAAAATTCTTGTACAGCAACTCTAGATACAGACTATATTTTCAATCGATGTTAAATTACTTAAACTTTTTAAAATAAAATTTTGAAGAAAAAAGAATTGCGCAACAAGTAAACGCCAAACTGTATGTGTATAGTAGTGCGGAATATTATTAGTAATTTATAAATTTACATGCGTTTTTTGTGAAATCGGAAATAGCGAAAATTACTACTTCCGGTCAACGGAAATAACTCAAAATTAGACAGCAGGCAGAGAATTAGGTCTTTTACTTAGATGTGACATTTCATATAACTATCTGAAACAGCACTCAAGCTATAAAATACTTCATCAACCAAGCTGTAACGGTACACAAGTTATTGTGTTCACAGATACACACACACACACACATACGGACAAGATTAGAAAACTATGTTTTTCCGATCCATGGAAGTGTAAAACGTCGAGATTTGCAAAAATCTCGATTTTTTTTTTTGCACGATTACAATACTTTCTCTATACTTCGTATACGAGAAAGTAAAAATTTACCAAAAAATTAATAAATGAAATGTATCCCTTGTGATCAAACAGCTAAAAAAAAATCATAAAAAGCGTTTTAATAACAAGCTGTTATGTAATAATGCACTAAAAAGTAGAAAATAAAGTATACACTTTTATTTAAATTACTATAAAGAAAAATGGGTCACTTTAGTACCTATTGGATACCTTTACTAATATTTGAGAAGAGACCCACTCTTTTCTTTATAGTAATTTAAATAGGAGTGTATACTTTATTTTCTACTTTTTAGTGCATTATTACATAAAAGCTTGTTATTAAAACGTTTTTTTGTGAAAAACTTTTTAGCACTTTACATGTTTTTATTTACACTAGAGTTGCATGACTAAAAACTATTGCGCACTTATTGAGCGTGATGACGCGTGTCTAATAGCGCGGAATAGTTTGATGAGACAGCCTACTAATTTGGACAAAATTTTAATTAATTCATAAAAATTAATTAGGTATCCAATTAAGTCAACTTTAATGTCATGATGCATTGTCTTCCTGTCTTGACCCACGTACCAACTACGAACCGTATATGTCAATTAGAAGTGCCCGTTAATTCGCTCGGGTGTTTCGATCTAGACTGACGACAAAGGAAGTGAGTTGAAGAAAAGCTTGTAAAAAGTTCCCCCAACAAAACCAGGGAACGATTATGGGTGGGGTTGAACACTTTTATCTATAGATCTAATATATAAAGTCCAAATGGTGGGGTTGAACACTTTTATCTATAGATCTAATATATAAAGCCCAAATGGTGGGGTTGAACACTTTTATCTATAGATCTAATACAGGGGTCTCCAAACTTTTCAGTCCGAGGGCCGCATTAACTATCAAATTTCAGTTCGGGGGCCAGTTTCTTCCAGGCATGTCTTTGATTTTTCTGGGCAAAGTTCTTCAGCCATCACCAACAAACGTTTTTTCCGTGGACAAAAAGATCTCCGCGGGCCGGATGAGAGGACCTCGCGGGCCGTAGTTTGGAGACCCCTGACTAATATATAAAGCTCAAATGGTGGGGTTGAACACTTTTATCTATAGATCTAATATATAAAGTCCAAATGGTGGGGTTGAACACTTTTATCTATAGATCTAATATATAAAGCTCAAATGGTGGGGTTTAACACTTTTATCTATAGATCTAATATATAAAGCCCAAATGGTGGGGTTGAACACTTTTATCTATAGATCTAATATATAAAGCTCAAATGGTGGGGTTGAACACTTTTATCTATAGATCTAATATATAAAGCTCAAATGGTGGGGTTGAACACTTTTATCTAAAGATCTAACATATAAAGCTCAAATGGTGGGGTTGAACACTTTCATCTATAGATCTAATATATAAAGCTCAAATGGTGGGGTTGAACACTTTTATCTATAGATCTAATATATAAAGCCCAAATGGTGGGGGTTGAACACTTTTATCTATAGATCTAATATATAAAGCTCAAATGGATTATGTGTATAGAGGACCCGTGTTTATTATCTAAATTAATAATTTTAAAAAATTAATATCGATGTAAAGATTTTTGGTGATTTATCAATGAAAGTAATTGGTACTAAAGGAACTAAGGGGAGTAATTGGTACACTTTTTTCAGATAGAATTTAAACTCTTGTGAAGGGTGTTACATTTATTTTTCTAAATTTGTTCTTTCCACATAAGTTTGGAAAATGATTTTTTTTACAAGACCATCGATATTAATTGATGATTTCTCATTTTCTGAAGGTACCTCTATCTTGGTCGTCAAAGAAATTACAAGCTAATTAATTAGACCTAACACTTTGTGGACTATTGTGATTTTTTTTAATTGATTTTTTTTTATGTAGAACTCACGACTCCTACAAGTCCTGATCTCTGATCCCAGGCTCAGAACTCAGATTGGTGCCTATATCAATTTTTAAAACTAAAGGCATACACACACATCTCATCATACACACACATCTCATCATACACACACATCATACACACACATCATACACACACATCATACACACACATCATACACACACATCTCATCATACACACACATCATACACACACATCATACACACACATCTCATCATACACACACATCTCATCATACACACACATCATACACACACATCTCATCATACACACACATCTTATCATACACACACATCTCATCATACACACACATCTCATCATACACACACATCTCATCATACACACATCTCATCATACACACACACATCTTATCATACACACACATCTCATCATACACACACATCGCATCATACACACACATCTCATCATACACACACATCTCATCATACACACACATCTCATCATACACACATCTCATCATACACACACACATCTTATCATACACACACATCTCATCATACACACACATCGCATCATACACACACATCTCATCATACACACACATCATACAAACATCATACACACACACATCATACACACACATCTTATCATACTCACACATCTTATCCTACACACACATCTCATCATACACACATCTCATCATACACACACATCATACACACACATCGCGACATACACACACATCTCATCATACACACACATCATACACACACATCATACACACACATCTCATCATACACACACATCTTATCATACACACACATCATACACACACATCATACACACACATCTCATCATACACACACATCTTATCATACACACACATCATACACACATCATACACACACATCTCATCATACACACACATCTCATCATACACACACATCTTATCATACACACACATCTCATCATACACACACATCTCATCATACACACACATCTCATTATACACACACATCTCATCATACACACACATCTCATCATACACACACATCTCATCATACACACACATCATACACACACATCTCATCATACACACACATCTCATCATACACACACATCATACACACACATCTCATCATACACACACATCTTATCATACACACACATCTCATCATACACACACATCTCGTCATACACACACATCTCATCATACACACACATCATACACACACATCTCATCATACACATACATCTCATCATACACACACATCATACACACACATCTCATCATACACATACATCTCATCATACACACACATCATACACACATCTCATCATACACACAAATCTCATCATACACACATCTTATCATACACACACATCTCATCATACACACAAATCTCATCATACACACACATCTTATCATACACACACATCTTATCATACACACACATCTCATCATACACACACATCTCATCATACACACACATCTCATCATACACACACATCTCATCATACACACACATCTCATCATACACACACATCATACACACACATCATACACACACATCATACACACACATCTCATCATACACACACATCTTATCATACACACGCATCTCATCATACACACACATCTCATCATACACACACATCTCATCATACACACATCTCATCATACACACACACATCTTATCATACACACTCATCTCATCATACACACACATCGCATCATACACACACATCTCATCATACACACACATCTCATCATACACACACATTTCATCATACACACATCTCATCATACACACACACATCTTATCATACACACACATCTCATCATACACACACATCGCATCATACACACACATCTCATCATACACACACATCATACAAACATCATACACACACATCATACACACACATCTTATCATACACACACATCTTATCCTACACACACATCTCATCATACACACATCTCATCATACACACACATCATACACACACATCTCGTCATACACACACATCTCATCATACACACACATCATACACACACATCATACACACACATCTCATCATACACACACATCTTATCATACACACACATCATACACACACATCATACACACACATCTCATCATACACACACATCTTATCATACACACACATCATACACACACATCATACACACACATCATACACACACATCTCATCGTACACACACATCTTATCATACACACACATCTCATCATACACACACATCTCATCATACACACACATCTCGTCATACACACACATCTCATCATACACACACATCATACACACACATCTCATCATACACATACATCTCATCATACACACACATCATACACACACATCTCATCATACACACACATCTTATCATACACACACATCTCATCATACACACACATCTCATCATACACACACATCTCATTATACACACACATCTCATCATACACACACATCTTATCATACACACACATCTTATCATACACACACATCTCATCATACACACACATCTCGTCATACACACACATCTCATCATACACACACATCATACACACACATCTCATCATACACATACATCTCATCATACACACACATCATACACACACATCTCATCATACACATACATCTCATCATACACACACATCATACACACACATCTCATCATACACACAAATCTCATCATACACACACATCATACACACACATCTCATCATACACACACATCTTATCATACACACACATCTTATCATACACACACATCATACACACACATCTTATCATACACACAAATCTGAAGACTTGATTAAAATAGAAAATTATATTTATAAAATTATATTTGTTTAGTCAAATAGCAAAAAAAAGCTAACCCAAAAACAGAGAAAACCATCATGATGAGGTGGGTTGTGGACCATTATGGTGGGGTGGGGTGTGGACCGTTATGGTGGGGTGTGGACTATTATGGTGGGGTGTGGGCCATTATGCTGGGGTGGGGTGTGGACCGTTATGGTGGGGTGTGGACCTTCATGGTGGGGTGTGGACCATTATGGTGGGGTGTGGACCATTATGGTGAGGTGGGGTGTGGACCATTATGGTGGGGTGTGGACCATCAAGCTGGGGTGTGGACCATTATGGTGGGGTGTGGACCATTATGGTGGGGTGTGGACCATTATGGTGAGGTGGGGTGTGGACCATTATGGTGGGGTGTGGACCATTATGGTGGGGTGTGGACTATTATGGTGGGGTGTGTACCATTATGGTGGGGTGTGTACCATTATGGTGGGGTGTGGACAATCATGGTGGGGTGGGGTGTGGACCATTATGGTGGGGTGGGGTGTGGACCATTATGGTGGGGTGTGGACCATTATGGTGGGGTGGGGTGTGGACCATTATGGTGGGGTGTGGACCATTATGGTGGGGTGGGGTGTGGACCATTATGGTGGGGTGGGGTGTGGACCATTATGGTGGGGTGGGGTGTGGACCATTATGGTGGGGTGGGGTGTGGACCATTATGGTGGGGTGGGGTGTGGACCATTATGGTGGGGTGTGGACCATTATGGTGGGGTGGGGTGTGGACCATTATGGTGGGGTGGGGTGTGGACCATTATGGTGGGGTGTGGACCATCATGGTGGGGTGGGGTGTGGACCATTATGGTGGGGTTCTGACCATTATGGTGGGGTGTGGACCGTTATGGTGGGGTGTGGACCATCATGGTGGGGTGTGGATCATTATGGTGGAGTGTGGACCATTATGGTGGGGTGTGGACCATTATGGTGGAGTGTGGACCGTTATGGTGGGGTGTGGACCATTATGGTGGGGTGTGGACCATTATGGTGGGGTGTGGACCGTTATGGTGGAGTGTGGACCGTTATGGTGGGGTGTGGACCATTATGGTGGGGTGTGGACCGTTATGGTGGGGTGGGGTGTGGACCATTATGGTGGGGTGTGGACCGTTATGGTGGGGTGTGGACCATTATGGTGGGGTGTGGACCATTATGGTGAGGTGGGGTGTGGACCATTATGGTGGGGTGTGGACCATTATGGTGAGGTGGGGTGTGGACCATTATGGTGGGGTGTGGACCATTATGGTGGGGTGTGGACCATTATGGTGAGGTGGGGTGTGGACCATTATGGTGGGGTGTGGACCATTATGGTGGGGTGTGGACCATTATGGTGAGGTGGGGTGTGGACCATTATGGTGGGGTGTGGACCATTATGGTGGGGTGTGGACCATTATGGTGGGGTGTGGACCATTATGGTGGGGTGTGGACCATTATGGTGGGGTGTGGACCATTATGGTGGGGTGTGGACCATTATGGTGGGGTGTGGACCATTATGGTGGGGTGTGGACCATTATGGTGAGGTGGGGTGTGGACCATTATGGTGGGGTGGGGTGTGGACCATTATGGTGGGGTGTGGACCATCTTGGTGGGGTGTGGACCATTATGGTGGGGTGTGGACCATTATGGTGGGGTGTGGACCACTATGGTGGGGTGTGGACCATTATGGTGGGGTGTGGACCATCATGGTGGGGTGTGGACCATTATGGTGGGGTGTGGACCATTATGGTGGGGTGTGGACCATTATGGTGGGGTGTGGACCATTATGGTGGGGTGTGGACCATTATGGTGGGGTGTGGACCATTATGGTGGGGTGTGGACCATTATGGTGGGGTGTGGACCGTTATGGTGGGGTGGGGTGTGGACCATTATGGTGGGGTGTGGACCATTATGGTGGGGTGTGGACCATTATGGTGGGGTGTGGACCATTATGGTGGGGTGTGGACCATTATGGTGGGGTGTGGACCATTATGGTGGGGTGTGGACCATTATGGTGGGGTGTGGACCGTTATGGTGGGGTGGGGTGTGGACCATTATGGTGGGGTGTGGACCATCATGGTGGGGTGTGGACCATTATGGTGGGGTGTGGACCGTTATGGTGGGGTGGGGTGTGGACCATTATGGTGGGGTGTGGACCATTATGGTGGGGTGTGGACCATCATGGTGGGGTGTGGACCATTATGGTGGGGTGTGGACCGTTATGGTGGGGTGTGGACCATCCGGGTTGCCATTAGATAAGAAAATACTCGAGTCGCTTGTCCTTGCACATGGTGTCGTAGAGATCCTGGTACTTCAATGGAGCAGATTCTTTTAAACTGTTAATAAACAATGGAGCAGATTCTTTTAAACTGTTAATAAACAATGGAGCAGATTCTTTTAAACTGTTAATAAACAATGGAGCAGATTCTTTTAAACTGTTAATAAACAATGGAGCAGATTCTTTTAAACTGTTAATAAACAATGGAGCAGATTCTTTTAAACTGTTAATAAACAATGGAGCAGATTCTTTTAAACTGTTAATAAACAATGGAGCAGATTCTTTTAAACTGTTAATAAACAATGGAGCAGATTCTTTTAAACTGTTAATAAACAAGTGGCAATTTAGTTTGTGGATAATCTTCAAACTTTCAAGGTACATTGATCTCCAATGACAAGAAAAGAATATCTATTTCAAAAGTAGACATTAGGTTAGTAATTATAATAAAAAAATCCTAAATACAATAGCAAGAGGGGAGATAACAAACTTAACTACAGCTGACTTTCAACGTTGAACTAATGGGATCGGTTGAGGCTATCACAGACTAAGTAGGGTGCAGATAATTTCTTTAAATGATTGTCCCTGATTGGGTTTAAAGGAAATATTTTTTGATCATGCTTCTATTGAACGCTAAAACAAAGTTCAACATCTGTACAACCTGAGGGTCCGCTGACCTAAGTCACCCAACCAGAACTGACCGTCCACTGACCTAAGTCACCCAACCAGAACTGACCTAAGTCACCCAACCAGAACTGACCTAAGTCACCCAACCAGAACTGACCGTCCACTGACCTAAGTCACCCAACCAGAACTGACCGAAGTCACCCAACCAGAACTGACAGTACACTGATCAAAGTCACCCAACCAGAACTGACCGAAGTCACCCAACCAGAACTGACCGTCCACTGACCTAAGTCACCCAACCAGAACTGACCTAAGTCACCCAACCAGAAGTGACCTAAGTCACCCAACTAGAACTGACCGTCCACTGACCTAAGTCACCCAACCAGAACTGACCGAAGTCACCCAACCAGAACTGACAGTACACTGATCAAAGTCACCCAACCAGAACTGACCGAAGTCACCCAACCAGAACTGACCGTCCACTGACCTAAGTCACCCAACCAGAACTGACCTAAGTCACCCAACCAGAAGTGACCTAAGTCACCCAACCAGAACTGACCGTCCACTGACCTAAGTCACCCAACCAGAACTGACGTAAGTCACTCAAACAGAACTGACCGTCCACTGACCTAAGTCACCCAACCAGAACTGACCTAAGTCACCCAACCAGAACTGACCGTACACTGATCTCAGTCACCCAACCAGAACTGACGTAAGTCACTCAACCAGAACTGACCGTCCACTGACCTAAGTCACCCAACCAGAACTGACCTAGGTCACCCAACCAGAACTGACCAAGGTCACCCAACCAGAACTGACCTAAGTCACCCAACCAGAACTGACCTAAGTCACCCAACCAGAACTGACCGTCCACTGACCTAAGTCACCCAACCAGAACTGACCGAAGTCACCCAACCAGAACTGACAGTACACTGATCAAAGTCACCCAACCAGAACTGACCGAAGTCACCCAACCAGAACTGACCGTCCACTGACCTAAGTCACCCAACCAGAACTGACCTAAGTCACCCAACCAGAACTGACCTAAGTCACCCAACTAGAACTGACCGTCCACTGACCTAAGTCACCCAACCAGAACTGACCGTCCACTGACCTAAGTCACCCAACCAGAACTGACGTAAGTCACTCAAACAGAACTGACCGTCCACTGACCTAAGTCACCCAACCAGAACTGACCTAAGTCACCCAACCAGAACTGACCGTACACTGATCTCAGTCACCCAACCAGAACTGACGTAAGTCACTCAACCAGAACTGACCGTCCACTGACCTAAGTCACCCAACCAGAACTGACCTAGGTCACCCAACCAGAACTGACCAAGGTCACCCAACCAGAACTGACCTAAGTCACCCAACCAGAACTGACCTAAGTAACCCAACCAGAACTGACCGTCTACTGACCTAAGTCACCCAACCAGAACTGACCGTACACTGACCTAGGTCACCCAACCAGAACTGACCAAGGTCACCCAACCAGAACTGACCTAAGTCATCCAACCAGAACTGACCGTCCACTGACCTAAGTCACCCAACCAGAACTGACCGTCCACTGACTTAAGTCACCCAACCAGATCTGACCGTCCACTGACCTAAGTAAACCAACAAGAACTGACCGTCCACTGACTTAAGTCACCCAACCAGATCTGACCGTCCACTGACCTAAGTCACCCAACCAGAACTGACCGTCCACTGACCTAAGTCACCCAACCAGAACTGACCTAAGTCACCCAACCAGAACTGACCGTACACTGACCTAGGTTACCCAACCAGAACTGACCTAAGTCACCCAACCAGAACTGACCTAAGTCACCCAACCAGAACTGACCGTCCACTGACCTAAGTCACCCAACCATAACTGACCGAAGTCACCCAACCAGAACTGACCGTACACTGATCAAAGTCACCCAACCAGAACTGACCGAAGTCACCCAACCAGAACTGACCGTCCACTGACCTAAGTCACCCAACCAGAACTGACTTAAGTCACCCAACCAGAACTGACCTAAGTCACCCAACTAGAACTGACCGTCCACTGACCTAAGTCATCCAACCAGAACTGACCGTCCACTGACCTAAGTCACCCAACCAGAACTGACCGAAGTCACCCAACCAGAACTGACCGTACACTGATCTAAGTCACCCAACCAGAACTGACCGAAGTCACCCAACCAGAACTGATCGTCCACTGACCTAGGTCACCCAACCAGAACTGACCTAAGTCACCCAACCAGAACTGACCTAAGTCACCCAACTAGAACTGACCGTCCACTGACCGAAGTCACCCAACCAGAACTGACCGTACACTGATCTCAGTCACCCAACCAGAACTGACCTAGGTCACCCAACCAGAACTGACCTAAGTCACCCAACCAGAACTGACCTAAGTCACCCAACCAGAACTGACCGTCCACTGACCTAAGTCACCCAACCAGAACTGACCTAGGTCACCCAACCAGAACTGACCAAGGTCACCTAACCAGAACTGACCTAAGTCACCCAACAAGAACTGACCGTCCACTGACCTAAGTCACCCAACTAGAACTGACCTAAGTCACCCAACCAGAACTGACCTAAGTCACCCAACCAGAACTGACCGTCTACTGACCTAAGTCACCCAACCAGAACCAACCGTACACTGACCTAGGTCACCCAACCAGAACTGACCAAGGTCACCCAACCAGAACTGACCTAAGTCACCCAACCAGAACTGACCGTCTACTGACCTAAGTCACCCAACCAGAACTGACCGTCCACTGACCTAAGTCACCCAACCAGAACTGACCGTCCACTGACTTAAGTCACCCAACCAGATCTGACCGTCCACTGACCTAAGTCACCCAACCAGAACTGACCGTCCACTGACCTAAGTCACCCAACCAGAACTGACCTAAGTCACCCAACCAGAACTGACCGTCCACTGACCTACGTCACCCAACCAGAACCGACCTAAGTCACCCAACCAGAGCTGACCGTACACTGATCTCAGTCACCCAACCAGAACTGACGTAAGTCACTCAACCAGAACTGACCGTCCACTGACCTAAGTCACCCAACCAGAACTGACCTAAGTCACCCAACCAGAACTGACCGTACACTGATCTCAGTCACCCAACCAGAACTGACGTAAGTCACTCAACCAGAACTGACCGTCCACTGACCTAAGTCACCCAACCAGAACTGACCTAGGTCACCCAACCAGAACTGACCGTCTACTGACCTAAGTCACCCAACCAGAACTGACCGTACACTGACCTAGGTCACCCAACCAGAACTGACCAAGGTCACCCAACCAGAACTGACCTAAGTCATCCAACCAGAACTGACCGTCCACTGACCTAAGTCACCCAACCAGAACTGACCGTCCACTGACTTAAGTCACCCAACCAGATCTGACCGTCCACTGACCTAAGTCACCCAACAAGAACTGACCGTCCACTGACTTAAGTCACACAACCAGATCTGACCGTCCACTGACCTAAGTCACCCAACAAGAACTGACCGTCCACTGACCTAAGTCACCCAACCAGAACTGACCAAGGTCACCCAACCAGAACTGACCTAAGTCATCCAACCAGAACTGACCGTCCACTGACCTAAGTCACCCAACAAGAACTGACCGCCCACTGACTTAAGTCACCCAACCAGATCTGACCGTCCACTGACCTAAGTCACCCAACCAGAACTGACCGTCCACTGACCTAAGTCACACAACCAGAACTGACCTAAGTCACCCAACCAGAACTGACCGTCCACTGACCTACGTCACCCAACTAGAACTGACCGTCCACTGACCTAAGTCACCCAACCAGAACTGACCTAAGTCACCCAACCAGAACTGACCGTACACTGATCTCAGTCACCCAACCAGAACTGACGTAAGTCACTCAACCAGAACTGACCGTCCACTGACCTAAGTCACCCAACCAGAACTGACCTAAGTCACCCAACCAGAACTGACCTAAGTCACCCAACCAGAACTGACCTAATTCACCCAACCAGAACTGACCGTACACTGACCTAGGTCACCCAACCAGAACTGACCAAGGTCACCCAACCAGAACTGACCTAAGTCATCCAACCAGATCTGACCGTCCACTGACCTAAGTCACCCAACCAGAACTGACCGTCCACTGACTTAAGTCACCCAACCAGATCTGACCGTCCACTGACCTAAGTCACACAACCAGATCTGACCGTCCACTGACCTAAGTCACCCAACCAGAACTGACCGTCCACTGAAATAGGTCACCCAACCAGAACTCACCTAAGTCACCCAACCAGAACTGACCGTACACTGACCTAAGTCACCCAACTAGAAGTGACCTAAGTCACCCAACTAGAAGTGACCTAAGTCACCCAACCAGAACTGACCTAAGTTACCCAACCAGAACTGACCGTCCACTGACCTACGTC